ATCTTTGATACGGACATGGATGCCATTGTTTCTGCTCTGCATGTGATGTATGCTGATGACTCTAGTGTGCTTCCCGCTTATTACTCACTGTTGCCTAGTGTCGGTGTGCCTAGCTTAGCCTCCCCTGCTGCGTCAGGCGTAGGACCCCCTGCTTTGTGTAGTCTTGGTGCTTCTGCCGTCGTTCCGTCGCCAGACCCCTCGGCTTCGCTTTCCTTCACCTTGGACTCTGGCGCCTCTCGGTGTTTCTTCCGCGACTCCACCACCCTGACGCCACTTCTTGTTCCTGCTGCCGTTTCTCTTGCTGACCCCTCCGGCGGTCCGGTAGTCGCCCGCAGTTCTACCACCCTTCCCTGTCCGGCGGTTCCTTCGGGCTCTCTTACAGGTCTGCATATCCCCTCGTTCTCCAGGAACCTAGTTGGTGTCGGTTGCCTCCAGGACCTTGGCGTCACCACTACGTTCCCTGGTCACGAGCGGTATGCTGTCTGTACCGAGGCCGCCACTGGTGCCCCCCTGTCCACGTTCCCCCGGGACCCGGTGTCCGGCCTGTTCACTCTGGACACCGTGCCCCCCCCGGCTGGAGCGCCCCCTCAGGTGGCTGTGTCTACCCAGGTTGCTGCTGCCTGCTCCTGTCGCTCCCTCCCTCACCCGACCCTCCTGTGGCACCACCGCCTAGGTCACCCTGCGCTCCCGCGTCTGCGTCACATGTCCCAGCACGGTCTTGTCCTTTGTCTCCCAGGTTCCCTCCCCGCGTTTCCCTCCTCCCCAACTCCACCTTGCACGCCTTGTGTCGAGGGTCGGCTTCGCCGTGCCCCTCACTCCTCCTCGTTCCCCCCTACCGCCGCGCCGCTGCAGACCCTGCACCTGGACGTCTGGGGCCCCGCCCCCGTCCCTGGGCCGCGTCGCGAGCGCTACTTCCTTGTGCTTGTCGACGACTTCACTCGTTACACCACAGTCTTTCCCCTGGAGCGCAAGGCCGACGTGCCTAACGCCCTCATCCCCTGGCTTGTCTCTGCGCGTGTCCACCGCGGTCTCCCTGTCTTGCGTCTTCACTCAGACCGTGGTGGCGAGTTTGCCTCCGGTGTCCTTGGTCGCTTTTGTCGTGCGGAGGGCATCACCCAGACGTTCACCCTACCGGACTCCCCACAGCAGAATGGGGTCGCCGAGCGACGCATCGGTTTGGTCATGGAGGTCGCTCGCACCTCCATGATCCATGCCGGTGCACCCCATTTTCTGTGGCCGTTCGCAGTGCGCTACGCTTCCCACCAGCTTAACCTGTGGCCGCACCCTCAGCAGCCGCAGGTTTCGCCGACCCGTCTGTGGACTGGGTCTCCTGGTGACGCGTCTGCGTTCCACGTCTGGGGCTGCCTTGCTCACGTCCGTGCCTTCGGCACGGACAAGCTCACTGCCCGCACCCTTCCCTGCGTCTTCCTCGGTTTTCCCCTTGACGCGTCCGACTGGCACTTTTACCACCCGCCGTCTCACCGCTTCTTTCACTCTCGTGACGTCACCTTTGACGAGTCCATCTCCTACTACCGCCGCTTCCCCCACCGTGGTCCCCCGGTTACCCCCCCCTGTTCCTGGTCACCCCTTCCCCGGTAGTCCCTGCCCCTCCTCCTCCTCCTCCCCGTCCCGCCCCCTCTGGTGTGTCCCACGTCACCCCCCTTCCGTCCGTGGACCCGGTTGAGGAGTCTTCTGACTCTGGTGGCCCTCCGGTGCAGTCCTCGCCGGCCGCCCCTCCCCAGGTGTCCCCTCCCCAGTCCCCTCCTCCGCCGCCCCTGCCGCCGCTGCAGCCGTCGCCGTCGCCGCCGCCGCCGCCGCCGTCGCAGCCCCCGTTCGCTGACTCTGGGGGTGCTCGTCCCGGTCGCCCTGAGGGTGGTCCCTCTGGGGGTGCGGGTGTGGAGAGTGCCGGTGGTAGCCGAGGAGCAGCTTGCGGTCCAGGTGTCGCCGTTGTGCCGCCGCAGCAGCAGTCCCCACCGGTGTCCGCCCTTCGCCTGCTCGGCCTTCCGTCCCCCGACCCTGCGTCGGTTCCTCCCCGACCGTCTCCTCCTCTTCTTGTCTACGGCCCTGTTTTCCCTCCGCCGGACTCGTCACCGGCCCGTCTTCCCCCTCGTTCCCCTCCTGTGTCCCCTCCCCTGTCTCCTGACCCGACTCCTCCGTCCCACGTCTGGTCTCACCGTCCCTCCCGTGCTCGTCCTGCCTCGCCTGTCTTGCGCTCCCACCCTATGTTGCTTCGTTCCCACGCGTCTCGTCCTCCCCTTCTGCCGTCGCCTCCTCCGTCCTCCCTTGTTGTCGTGCCCCCTCCGCTGTCCGACTACCTTCGTGCCGCTCGTCCTCTCGTTCCTCGGGTCCTTGCCTCTCTCGTTACCGACTCGTCTGTTCCGGTCTCGTGCCTTGACGCTCTTGTCGCTGCTGTCGGTGACTTCGCCTCTACCCGCCGCCTTGACTACGCCACCGCTCTGGTCTCTGACCCTGCCTGTCCTCAGTCTGTCGGGGGTGCTTCTGCCCTTGGCAGTGACGTCCTGGAGGACCGCCAGTTCGAGCTTGCTTTCCTCTCCGAGGCTGCTCCCCATCTCTGTTCCATGCTGCTAGTCCCTGAGGGTGACCCAGACGCTTTCGACATCCCGACCCCTCGCACTTACGCTGAGGCGACTTCGGGACCCTGGGCCTCGCAGTGGATAGCTGCCATGGAGCAGGAGATGGCATCTTGGAGATCCACCGGCACCTTCGTCGACGCAGTTCCCCCGCCTGGGGTGAAAGTAGTCGATGGCCGTTGGCTCTTCAAGGTGAAGCGCCCTCCTCGAGAGCCGCCTGTGTACAAGGCGCGCTACGTGGCTAGAGGTTTCAGTCAGTGTGAGGGTGTGGACTTCTTCCAGACCTTCGCTCCGACCCCGAAGATGACTACTCTTTGGGTGTTGCTACACGTAGCAGCTCAGCGTGACTACGAGCTTCACTCCCTCGACTTCTCCACTGCGTTTCTTCAGGGCACTCTACACGAGCAGGTCTACCTGCGCCGCCCTCAGGGCTTCACTGGTACCTTCCCTCCTGGGACCCAGTGGCTCCTGCGGCGCCCCGTCTACGGCCTGCGGCAGGCTCCCCATGAGTGGCACGACACGCTGCGTGCTACGCTTGCTGACCTACAGTTCTTTCCATCCTCTAGTGACCCTTCGCTCTTCGTTCGTGCTGGCCAAACCCTGTTCTACATCCTTGTTTACGTAGACGACCTGGTCTTCGCCACTGCCGACAGGGACGCACTGGCCTCCGTAAAGGCAGAGCTGTTGAAGAGACACACTTGCACTGACCTTGGAGAACTGCGCCACTACCTTGGCTTGCAGATCTCCAGAGACAGAGCAGCGCGCACCATCACTTTGACTCAGTCACACTTGTTGCGCCAGGTCCTTCAGAGGTTCGGCCTTCAGTTCTCCTCTGCACAGCCCACCCCTCTGCCTGTAGACCACAGGCTCTTTGCTCCAGTGCCTGAGGAGTTGGTAGAGCCCAGCGGCCCCTACGCAGAGCTGGTGGGTTGCCTCATGTACCTGATGACTTGCACTCGCCCAGATCTCGCATACCCTCTCAGCATCCTGGCTCGCTTTGTGGCCACAGGCAGACACCGACCGCAGCACTGGTCTGCCGCTAAGAGGGTTCTGCGTTATCTTGCTAGTACATCGGGCATGGGGTTAGTGCTAGGAGGACGCAGGCCAGTGGTCCTTACTGGGCACACAGACGCTTCGTGGGCAGACGACGCTGAGACACTCCGGTCTACCCAGGGCTACTGCTTCAGCCTTGGCTCAGGTGCCGTCTCGTGGAGAGCTACTCGCTCCTCGTCTGTTGCACAGTCCAGCTGTGAGGCTGAGATCTACGCCGGTGCCATGGCGGCACAGGAGCTCCGCTGGCTGACCTTCTTGCTCACTGACTTAGGTGAGCGGCCTAGCTCTGCCCGGTCCTGTTCGCTGACAACAGGGCCATGATCCTCCTGTGTCAGGAGCCTCGACTCGAGGGCAGAGCGAAGCACATTCAGCTGCGGTACTTCCTCCTGCGTGAGCTACAGCAGCGACGTCAGGCTCGCGTAGTACACTTGGCCTCAGGTGCCAACACAGCTGATATCTTTACGAAGGCGCTTGCGCCTAAAGATCATCAGCGGCACTGTGTCCAGCTTGGTCTAGTTCCTGTAGCCTCTCACTTGCTAGGACCTTGACTTTGTACTGTCCTTTATATGTATACTCAGACTGGACTTGTGTCCTCTCCCAGTGGCTGGACTAGTAGTGCCGCCCTGCTCTTGTGCTTGCCTTGTCTGTACTCCTTCTGACTGGTCGCTCAGACCCTTGTCTCAGAGGTTGGACTAGTAGTGCCGCCCTGAGCTGTTTGTTTAGGACTTTCCCCTATGCAGTCTCGGGGGTGTGTCAAACATGTCTATTTGTTATGTGTGTATAGACTGTATAGGGTAGCCTCTTAGAGGGTATAACACTTAGCTATATTGTGTGTACTCTCTCTCTATCACCATCACTTGAATTTCTGATACCTATGACTGTTTGCCTGCAACGTGGCATGACGATGGTCCTACTCACCATATACGCGAGCACGTGCAAGAATCGTCAAAATTCGGCACAAAAGAACTGTCTATATCACAGTTCAATTCCAGTTCATAAACATAAAATTGTCATTCCATAGCCCCCGGGCGTTATATAAAAAGTGCCACTAATTACACCCCCACTAAATTTTGCATCAAAATTTAGTGCCAACCGTGGGTGTTTTATCCGGGGGAATACGGTAGGAACACCATTGCTAGTCTAACCATGCGATGGTAAGGTTCGGGAAAGAGATCGAAGGGCCGCGAAGTGACGAAGCGAGGCCCGGAGAACTCCCGAAGGTCGAACTAGAAGGTCTGGAGAAGCCGAGGCGGTTCTGTCAGAAAGGTCCGGAATAGTCCCGAGGCTTCGGGTGTGTTCGATGTTAAAGTCTGAACTAGGAAGAACAGAGGAGGCCGCCATGAAATGGCGGCCAAGGGTTTAGCTAGAAGCTGGACGAGAGTGTCGAGAGAGAAGAGAACTTGGATTAGGAAGAGAGGGGAGTACAAGGAGGGGTTTGTACCCCCTACAGAAAGGTTCAGTAACAACCTACCAAGCCTATATTAAATTATAACATATATAATTTGAACACACCCCCTAGGCTTGGTAGTGTCAAGCCCACTCACACCCCCACACCCACACCCACACCCACACCCCCTAGCCCAGCACCCCCATTCCCAGCAGGAACCGAAACGACTCCGGAAGTGGGCAGATCCCACGGCCCGCGGGATGGCTATGGCGGCAGCAGCGACAGTGACGACAGCGGCGGCGGCGGCGGCGTGCGGCGGCGCCCGGCCCGCGGCAACAGCGGCGGCAGCGGCGGCTTGAACGTCAGAGGCTGGTGCAGCGGCCCCCGCCCTCTCGGCGGCATGTCCATTCCCCTCGGCGGTGGGGAGGGCCCTCATGAGGCAGTCGTCGGCTGCAGCAAGGAGGTGGGGGATGCAGGGGAAGGAGGGGGAGGCGGGTGGGGGGGGGGGGGGGGGAGGGTTTGCCACTACCAAGCCTAGGGGGGGGGGGGGAGGGACGAATCTTCAGCGACGCGCCATAAATGGCGCGATGCTTACTAGCGGGACAGCGGCGACGCTGATGCAGCGGCGACGAGGCGGACGGGCGATGGCAGCACCACGAGCCCGCGGCGGCATCTCGCAACGGCCATCACAGCGGCACGAAGACAAGAAGCCGCGACGGCGGCACAAAAGCGGGAGGCCGCCACGGCGGCACAACGACAAGTGGCCGCCACGGCGGCAGGAAAATAAAGGGCCGCGACGGCGGCACAGGCGCGGACGATTAAAGCACGCGGCGGAAGCGTGGGGAGCAGGCCCACAAACGGTCACCTGCTCTGATACCATGTTAAAGTCTGAACTAGGAAGAACAGAGGAGGCCGCCATGAAATGGCGGCCAAGGGTTTAGCTAGAAGCTGGACGAGAGTGTCGAGAGAGAAGAGAACTTGGATTAGGAAGAGAGGGGAGTACAAGGAGGGGTTTGTACCCCCTACAGAAAGGTTCAGTAACAACCTACCAAGCCTATATTAAATTATAACATATATAATTTGAACATTCGAGTGTACGCGCTAGCAGTACCGCTCGGTAAGGAATGGAAAATTCCTTACACATACACATTCGCAACATGCAGTTGATGAGAATACATTGCAAAGCAATGTGCTCATAAAACACAATATATATAACACACCTAGCAATACACGCGAACAAACTCCATGCACAATAAACACACTTACATAAAACCCTCCTAAAATCATGACGTAGGTAGCATTGACCCCGCAACACGCACTTGATATGATGCTGATGTGCTCGGCACGACTTCACCCATTTGGCTCAACTGCACAGCCGCAGGAGGCGGAGGAGGGATGGTGATATATGCCAACCGGCTAGGAGCTTCAGGAGGCAAAAGGGGCATTGCTGATCCGGAAGCCGTCGCAATCACAGGCGCGGATAAATTACCGTCTTGGCCACTGGCTGCGGTACCTCCATGCACCCCTTGCTGCTCCGGAATGTCGCCCGACGCCAGCAGGCGGTTCGGAATGAGGGAGGTTCGGCAAAGAGGGCAGGAAGAGTTGGTCTTGAGCCACGCGTCAATGCAGTCCTGAGAATGGGTGGCAGAAGAGGGGAAGAAAGGAGAGAAACAAAAAGGATTGAGAGACTGAGAGAAAAAAAGGATCAGGTATCACACTTGTGGGGAGATATTGTCAAGTGAGTGGGATACGCAGGGGATGAAGGGAGATAGGGAAGCCAGCATTGTATGATAGTTCAGGTCTGGAGAATCTTTGCAGGTGCAGAGCAGAGCTTGCCTGCATTCATACTTGTTGTTCATTATTACCCACACACCCACGCTCTCTCCCTCTCCTCGCTCCCTCTCTCGCTTCCCCATCTCCGTACCCTCAACGGTGCTCCTGATATCCCTTGCCCTCATATCTGTCCTCTTCTTCTCAAAACCACCAGTCTTCCCTATTGTCAAGCTCCTCCGTGTTGCCCTTGCCATTCACGGTTCCTTATCATGCACACCTCGTGGAACTGGTGGTGCTTCTGAGGCGACTCAAAAAGTCGATGCAAAAGCCGACTCAAAAGCGTATTGTCCTTGCTGTCGTACACACCTGGTGGAACTGGTGATTGCATGCGTGCAACTGTCGGATGACGTCACCAGTCTTGTATTCCCCCAGACACACAATGCACTCCCGCTCGTCGTCCCCCTCCTCCCGCCCCGCTCTCCCCCCCGCGCCGGCCCCCTCACTCCCTCCGCTCGCCCCTTCCGCCCCAGTTGACCTTCTGCTGCTGCTCCTCCCGCTCGCCCCCAAAGCTCCGCCTTCCCCCACTCCATCTCCCCCCGTTCCTCCTTCCCCCTCTCCGCTTCCCCCATTTCCGCCAGCGGCGCTGGGCCCATTTCCGGCTTCGGGATCATCCCCAGGCTCGACGTAGTTAAACGACTTTCCGAGCGTCTTAATTATGTGGTCTGGTACGCCGGAGCGTAGATTCCGGCCGTCCATTAGTAGACCGCGGGTCCCGACAGGCTGGAGGGACTGAGGGTCGGGGTCATGCGTGGCGGCTCTCTGGTGCTGCCACGTGGCACGCGCCTTTATAAAGGAGAGGATTAAAACGAGGATGACGAGGAGAATGAGCACGGCGACGACTGCGATGTTGAGCTGTCGCAGGGAGATGACCGACTCGTATGCGATGTTCGCGGGCGGTGCGACTGTATCGGGGGAAGGCGGAAGAGGTGGAGACTGCGGGGGGAGGGCGGGGCTGCTGGTGATATTACCGCCAGTGACATTAGCGGTGGAATTCATAGCGAAGGGTTGAGGTCGCGTACGAAATGCGGGGTTGGTGGAGCGAAGGAAGAGAATATACCGGTCCTTAGCGGGCTCACAACCCCTTAGGTAGCGCAGTCTAGCCCCTGGACTGCGCTAAGTCAAGAGTCAAATCTAGGGTACCGCGCCGCGACGTCTACTATTGGCTGTGCTTCACCAGTAGTTTTATTCTCCCGTGTCAGCTAGCTGGCCTCGTGCTATAGCCTTGACGCACGATGGCCCGGGCAAGGATGCGTGAGGAGGAATCGAAGCATAAGGAGCTTGTTACCCAGCGCTAAGTGCGGAATCGGAACGGAAACAGGACAAGTCTGGCTGGGCGCATCTTTTTTCCAGGCGTGGATTAAATTCTTGCTGGGGCTTGGTGGGGGTGAGGGGGAGGTGGGGCGTGGAGGGGGGTGGTTAGGGGGTGGTGTGGTTGGGCTGGTGGTGACGGGGGGAAATTGAAATACGCGCAAGGGCAGTTTTTTCCCTCGGACCAACCTTAGGCCGCGGTCTTCGGCGGTGGTCACCGCTGGTGTGGCCCCAAACCAAGCCGAGAAAATGGTTCGGCAGCTGGTACGAGTGTGGGCCCCTGGTGCGGTGAACATGGGGCACCCGAAGGGGAAACAAGCGCCTGAATTTCGCACGGTCAAAGGGCGACTGCCAAGATCTTTATTTTCGGGATTGCCGTGGTTGATTTCCACCGCAGATTCCGTCTTGTGTTTTGTCGGCCATCCGGAGAATTCGCACATGCGCGAGATTTGCACCCAACCAAACCCACGTTAGACCTTAGGTGCGGTCAGGAAAAATCATTTCCAATTCCCCAGCAGAATCGAGGTGCCAACGCTCGGTTTGGACAGCTGATTTGGCCCTTCATCGGCGTCGAAATGCTGGTTTGGTGTGCTTCCTGCATCTCCGATTCCGTAGAAACGAATCAGTGATTGAGTACCCTTCTAAGTCGCATTCGATGTAACCCCGATCGTACTCTGAACAAATTCGTTTTTACTCCGGGCTAACTTATCTAAAACCCCCCCACGACCCAAGTTGGGTCTCTAGCCTCTAGCAGCTTTCCTGCGCACAGTGCTGTCATGTACTAGGCTCCTAGCCAATCGCACTATTCTATCGCGAATTATATGCGCAAAAATGGGAGGCAAGTCGAAAGGGAAGGGCAAAAAGGCTACCGAATCTCCCTCTCCCGCGCAGTCTCCTCAGCCTTCCCGCCATGCCGCCAACTCGCCCTCCACCTCCCGCGCCGAATCCTCGTCGAGTGCCCAAATGCCCGCTTGCTTCGACAATCTGTTTGGCGGGAAGAGGCTGGAGCTGAAAATCTCGGCTATAGATGACATGGCAGCGAGAGACACGTCAGCAGCCGCCCAGATATGGCTCCATCCTGCAGCGATGACGGCTGATGACGTGGCCGCGGGCGACATGGTCGCGGTAAGGCCCTTCTAAAACAATATTCGCCGTCGCTAGATTCTGCCGCTTTATTTCTGATTTCGCCAAGGGCAAAGGGGGTGTGGTGTCCAAGGTTCAGGGTCCAGGGCTTGGGGTTTACGTGGAACATTGAAAATTTCACCTAATTTGCAACCCGGATCAGTTTTCCGTGTTCTCTCCCACCCCTCTTCCCCTCCTGCCTTCTCCCCCAACTCCTTTCCCCCCCACCCGTTGCCCCCTCCCTTATCCCTCTCACCCTTTTTCTCCAACCCGCCAATCAGGTGGTGTGCATTGATCCCCAATCAGCCCAGCCAATCCCGCCGCTCCAGCTGGCACAGGAGGCGCTCCAGCTGGCAACACCTGACTGGACGCAGCACCCCAGCTGGCCGGCCATTGCCGCCCGTTTACCCGGGCTGTACTGCGCGCTAGCTACAGTGTGGCCCTCGCCTAAGATTCACAAGTCTTGCTGCCGCCTCTCCTGGCCGCTAGCAGACAGCCTAGGCCGCCCAGAGGAAGACACCCGCCTTTACGTCTTAACCCCCAGAATCGGGCGGCAACAGAATCTGAATCCGAATCTGTTGCAGATTCATGGGGAACGGGGGGCTGTGCAACCAATCCCGTGCAGACAGCTGGCGCTGACGTGGCTGGAACCGCTGGCTTGCTGTGCCGATGCAGACATGTCTGCAGAGAGTGACAGGTCAGCAGCAGGGGCAGCAGGGGGAGAGGGAGGAGGAGGAGAAGCAGCAACACCACACAAGACGCCAGCAGCAGCAGCAGCAGCATCCTCCCTCACCTCTCCAGTACCCTGCACCCCCCCTCGGAGCACCCAACGCCCCCTCTCCTCCTCTTCTTCCTCCCCCTTCCCCACATCCTCCCCCTCCCCTTCCCCTTCTCCCCATACCCCCTCGAATGCCGCTCAGCGCCTTGAACCTAGAACGCCGGGCAGTGCGAAAAAAGTATCAACTCCAGGCAGTGCTGCGACTCTGGGCAGTGCAAAAAAAACTCCTTATGTCAGCGAGGAGGAGATGGAGAGAGCTCGTTGGGCAGCCGTGAAAACTCTTGTTGGGCAGACCGAAGGAAATGAGGGGAATGGTAGTGGCAGCAGCAGAGACAAGAAAGACCCTCAGGGTCTTCGACTTGTGGAAGTGTTTGCTGCCCGGTGGCTGCTGGGCCGCGTGCTTTTGCCCGGAAACATTGTGGTGGTGCCTGTGTGCGGCCAGGACTGCTGCTTTGTGGTTTCCCACGGCACTGTAGCAGCGGCAGAAGCAGAAACAGCAGCAAATGCAGTGGCCAAAATAGCAGCAACAGCAGCAGCGCAAGCAGCAAGTGCAGCGGCCTTGGAAACAAGAGCACCACTGCAAGTGGGTCCCTTGACTGCTGTCGTCATATCCTCTCCTTCACTGGCGCAAGAGGGGGCAGCTGCAGGTGCAGGGGACTTGGGAGAAGTCAGAGCAGTAGGTGGAGGGGGGTTACGGGAAGGCATGGCAGCAGGTGCAGCTGCGCCCACACATGTGCCTCCGCCCCCCTTCCTCCTCGCCCCTGTGCCCCCTCCCATGACAAGAGCGAGAGAGGAGGGAGGAGAGAGTGGTACGCGCAGTGAGGAAGAGAGGAAGGAGAAGGAGGACGAGGGGAGCGAGGGCGGGGCAGCGGCTGTGGCGAGGAGGGTGGCGGGGGACTTGAGGGGAATCACGCTGGGATCGGTGGGGGGCCTGCACGAGCAGAAGAGGGCGCTCAAGGAAGCCGTACTGCTGCCCCTCAGACACCCGGACCTCTTTCACAGGTATGGGACGTTTGAACCTTCTCCATACGCATATGGCACCTTGACCTGAGGGGAATCTCGTTGAGGTAACAAGAGGGGTTGCACAAGTAGAAGAGGGCAGCCAAGGAAGCAATGTTGCTGCCGTTCAGACAAAAGGTTTAGCATGCGCGTAATGTCGCGGATGAGCTGCGAGGCAGAGTTTTTCATGCGGCAGCTTGATCGACATGATCGCGAGATGCGCAAGCTAGATCCAGCGGCAACACACGAGCACGTGGGGGGCTCATGAGGAGGAGGCGTCGTTGGACGATGGTGATGCGGTGGGTGGGAGTGTGTTGTTGTCGGCTTGAGCGCCGGATGAATCAAGCAGAGCTGACATTAGAGAGTGAAGGATTTGGCGAAAGGGCCTTCTCGCTGGACATTCATCCCATATGTGCCAGAGCCATGGCATGGGTTACCGCCCAGAGAGGGCCCGCTCGCTTTGAATGTCACAGAGTCAGGGAGGTCGTCAAGCGACGAATGTACAGCAAGAAGGCCCTCTCTTAAAATCCTTCACTATTCGATGCCAACTCTGCGTGATCCATCAAACCGGCTAGCAGCACTCTCACACGGCATCACTATCGTTCAACGTCGCCTCCTCCTCTCGAACCTCCTACGTGCGCGTGTATCGCTGCTGACTGCGATTTTTGAGGTGCCAAAAAAATCGCCTCAAAAACTCCTCTCGAACCTCCTACGTGCGCGTGTATCGCTGCCAACTGCGACTTGTGCACCTTGCGGTCGTGTCGATCAATCTACCGAATCAGCAGAAAGCTCTGTCTTGCAACTCATCCATGCTGCCACGCGCGTGCTAAGCCTTACGTATACTGATTATGAGGCAGTGCTTTGATAATCGGCTTACCCCCCGTCTTCCTTCTCCTTTCCCCTTTGGCTACCTGCACTATACTAGATATGGAATAAAGCTCCCACGTGGCGTTCTCCTGCACGAGGAAGACGTCGCTGGTTCTCTTGGCACTTCCCCTCCTCCCCCCTAGCCCCTTCTCCCTACCCGATTCCCCATTCCCCTTACCCATCCCCCGTACCAGGTACGGCATCAAGCCCTTGGGGGGAAGACATCGCTGGTTCCCTTGGTACCTTCACTTCTTATCCCCTAACCCCCTTCCCTACCCCCTTCCCCTCCTTCCCCCCTCCCTACCCCCTACCAGATACGGCATCAAACCCCCGCGGGGAATATTGCTCCACGGGCCGCCCGGCACGGGGAAGACGTCGCTGGCGAGGGCGGTGGCGGCGGAGGCAGGGGCGGCGTTGTTTGTCATCAACGGGCCGGAGCTGGTCAGCGAGTTCTTTGGGGAGAGCGAGGAGGCTCTTAACGAGGTTTTCTCCGCCGCCCAAAAGGCTGCTCCTTCCATTGTGAGTGGCTTGGTGTCCCCACTGACTTGATGTGCTGGCTGGCTAGCTGCATGTGACTTTTGAGTCGACTCAAAAAAGTCACCCACTGATTTGATGTGCTGTTGGCTAGCTGCATGTGAAGCGGTGGGAGCTGGTCAGCGAGTTCTCTTTGGGGAGAGCGAGGAGGCTCTCAACGAGGTGCTCTCCACTGCTCAGGAGGCTGCTCCCTCCATTGTGTGTGGGGTGGGGTGGGGGGGTGGGTTGGGGTGGGCGGATGATGCCTTGTTGTGGTGGCTTATGGCGTTGTTTTCCATCATCCTCTCTCTTTCACCCCGCCCCCCTCCCTCCCCCCCTCCCCTTCCCCTCGAGGTGTTCATAGACGAGATCGAGGCCATAGCCCCTGCTAGAACCAGGGATGCATAGAACCTGTCTCACTGCATGGGGCCTACTCTCTTACAAACCCCTTCCCCCCTCCCCCTGCCTTTTCCCTCCCCTCCAGCTTTTCATAGACGACCTCGACGCCAGCGAGCTTTTCATAGCCCCAGCGAGAACACGAGACGCGGAGGACCTGTCTCACCGCATGGTGGCTGCTCTGCTCACAATAATGGATGGAGCCTCCTGTGCTCTCTTACACACCCGCTCCCCTTCCCCCCCCCCTCCCCTTCCCCTCCAGGTGTTCATAGATGAGCTCGATGCCATAGCCCCTGCGAGATCACGGGACGCAGAGGACCTGTCTAGACCCCTTCAACCCTCCCCCCACCCTTTCCCCTCCCCCGCCCTTTCCCCTCCCCCCGCCCTTTCCCCTCCCCCACCCTTTCCCCTCCCCACCCTTTCCCCTCCCCCCACCCTTTCCCCTCCCCCCACCCTTTCCCCTCCCCCTGCCCTTTCCCCTCCCCCCGCCCTTTCCCCTCCCCCCGCCCTTTCCCCTCCCCCCGCCCTGTCCCCTCCCCCCGCTCTTTCCCCTCCCCCCGCTCTTTCCCCTCCCCCCCGCCCTTTCCCCTCCCCCCGCCCTTTCCCCTCCCCCCACCCTTTCCCCTCCCCCCACCCTTTCCCCTCCCCCCGCCCTTTCCCCTCCCCCCGCCCTTTCCCCCCCCCCGCCCTTTCCCCTCCCCCCGCCCTTTCCCCTCCCCCCACCCTTTCCCCTCCCCCTGCCCTTTCCCCTCCCCCCGCCCTTTCCCCTCCCCCGCCCTTTCCCCTCCCCCCGCCCTTTCCCCTCCCCCCGCCCTTTCCCCCCTTTCCCCTCCCCCCGCCCTTTCCCCTCCCCCCGCCCTTTCCCCTCCCCCCGCCCTTTCCCCTCCCCCCGCCCTTTCCCCTCCCCCGCCCTTTCCCCTCCCCCGCCCTTTCCCCTCCCCCGCCCTTTCCCCTCCCCCGCCCTTTCCCCTCCCCCCGCCCTTTCCCCTCCCCCCGCCCTTTCCCCTCCCCCCGCCCTTTCCCCTCCCCCCGCCCTTTCCCCTCCCCCCGCCCTTTCCCCTCCCCCCGCCCTTTCCCCTCCCCCGCCCTTTCCCCTCCCCCGCCCTTTCCCCTCCCCCGCCCTTTCCCCTCCCCCCGCCCTTTCCCCTCCCCCCGCCCTTTCCCCTCCCCCGCCCTTTCCCCTCCCCCCGCCCTTTCCCCCCCCCCCCTTTCCCCCCCCCGCCCTTTCCCCTCCCCCCGCCCTTTCCCCTCCCCCCGCCCTTTCCCCTCCCCCCCCCCCCCCCCCCCCCCCCCGCCCTTTCCCCTCCCCCGCCCTTTCCCCTCCCCCCGCCCTTTCCCCTCCCCCGCCCTTTCCCCTCCCCCCGCCCTTTCCCCTCCCCCGCCTTTCCCCTCCCCCGCCCTTTCCCCTCCCCCGCCCTTTCCCCTCCCCCCGCCCTTTCCCCTCCCCCGCCCTTTCCCCTCCCCCCGCCCTTTCCCCTCCCCCCGCCCTTTCCCCTCCCCCGCCCTTTCCCCTCCCCCGCCCTTTCCCCTCCCCCCGCCCTTTCCCCTCCCCCCGCCCTTTCCCCTCCCCCGCCCTTTCCCCTCCCCCCGCCCTTTCCCCTCCCCCGCCCTTTCCCCTCCCCCTGCCCTTTCCCCTCCCCTCGCCCTTTCCCCTCCCCAACATCAGGTGGTGATAGACGAGCTCGATGCCACAGCCCCTGCGAGAACACGGGACGCAGAGGACCTGTCTCACCGTATGGTGGCTGCTCTGCTCGCAATAATGGATTGGCGAGCAGGAGGAGGCCCCTTTTGGGATCTCATACAACCCCCTCCTCCTGTGATCTCCTGTGATTCCTTGCCTGCCCCTCCCCTCCCCTACGCCAGGTGTTCATAGACGAGCTCGACGCCATAGCTCCAGCTCGCACAAGGGACGCAGAGGACCTTTCTCACCGCATGGTGGCTGCTCTGCTCACCATTATGGATGGGGCCTCCTCTTCCGCAGGAGAATGGGGAGCGGGGGGGGGAGGAGGAGGAGGAGGAGGAGGAGGAGGAGGAGGAGGAGGAGGAGGAGGAGGAGGAGGAGGAGGAGGAGGAGGAGGAGGAGGAGGAGGAGGAGGAGGAGGAGGAGGGGACGGAGGAAAAGCAGGGAGGGGGGTGGCGCTGGGGAGGGGCGTAGTGGTGATAGGGGCAACCAACCGAGTGAATGCCATCGACGCAGCTCTCAGGCGACCCGGGAGGTTTGACCGGGAGGTCGAGATTGGTACGTGAAGGTTGAGAGCGGTGCATGGAGGTCAAGGGGCTAAGAGGTCAAGCGGTGGGTGTTTAGCGGTGGGGTTAAGACAAACCGTGTGTGCTCAACCGCACCGGGGTTAAGCGGTGGGTTTCTATGCTCCTCAAAGCAAGCCGTTGAGTGAAGGGTCTATTTTTGAGGCGCCTCAAAAATAGACTCCTCACCAGGGTTTAGCGGTGGGTTTCTATGCTCCTCAGAGCGAGCCGTGTGGGTTAAGGGTGGCAATCTCTGCCCAACTCTCCTCAACCGGAGGTTTTTTTTCAGTCGACTCAGGTAGTCAGCTCAGTTGATTTTTTAGCCGACTCAGGTGATTTTTTAGTCGACTACTTTATTTTTTAGTTGACTCAGGTGATTTTTTAGTCGACTGAAAAACCTCCTCAATGCAAGCCATGTGACACGTGGCAACCTCTGCCCACCTCCTATTTCCCTATCTCCCCCCTCCCGTTCCCCTGCTATTTCCTTCCCCTTCAGGCATTCCTACCCCTGCAGACCGCCTAGCAATCCTCAACACCCATCTGTCCCGCATGGCCCACGCCCTGACACCCGAGGCCGTCCACGTCATCGCCAGCTCAGCAACACACGGATTCGTCGGTGCTGACATCAGCGCGCTGTGCTCCGAAGCTGCCGTGGCGGCTCTTAGGCGGATCGTGGGGGAGAAAGAGGGGTGGGGAGGGGAGGGCAGAGGGGAGGGCAGGGAGGTTGGGAAGGGAGGGGAGGAAACGGAGGGAGGGGACAGAGAGCACAAGGGGACTGGTGAGGGCAGTGGTGGAGATGTGGAGGAGGGGGAATTGGCGAGCACACAGGAGGAGTGCTCCAGCAACACATCTGCTGCTGCTGCTGCCCCGTCGTTGCTGTTGGCAGTGATAAGGGAGGACTTTGAGGTGGCTCGTAGGATAATACGACCCAGTGCCCTCAGGGAGGTGCGTATCCAATCAAAGGATGCAGTAGCTAGCGCCACCACGTGCCGCTGCACGCGTCGCCCGTTTCCGTGTTGCAGCTGCTTGCAGCGATCGCCGATCTCCCTCTCTGCCTGTCTGCCCATCTGCCCATCTGCACTGCACAGGTGGCAATGGAGTTGCCAGGTGGGAATGGAGGGGCACTGCGTTGGAGCTATATCAGAGGGTTGGACGGTATCAAGCAGCGGCTGAAGGAGGCGGTTGAGTGGCCGTACACGCGGGCCGAGGAGATGAGAGTCATGCCATCACATGCACTTCCCATTGTGTGCTCACCAGGTGGCAGTTGAGGTGCCAACTGTGAGGTGGAGCGACATCGGAGGATTAGAAGGCATCAAGCAGCGCTTGAAGGAGGCGGTGGAGTGGCCGTACACACGGGCTGAGGAGATGAGAGCCATTGGCGCGACCCCGCCTCGTGGCCTGCTGCTCTATGGCCCCCCTGGGTGCTCCAAGACGCTCCTGGCTAAGTGTGTAACTCTGGTCGCATGCAGACACACACGACATACCGAGCCAACCCTTGGACAGAAAACCTCATTACTGGCTTGTTTTTTTAAGCTAATTTCTTTCCCGCTTTTTGGTCTCTATAAGGATCCTATGCGGTGTTGAAACCAAACGCACAACTGGAACCGTCTTTAACCTGCACACTTGTTATTCGCCCTCTTTGCATGCATTGGCATGGGGGCATGTGGCATTCGGCATGTGGCATGAGTGCAGGGCGGTCGCAACAGAAGCTAGGCTCAACTTTCTTGCAGTCAAGGTGAGTTAACGTGAGACATGGTGACTATTTTTGAGGCGCCTCAAAAATAGACTCCTCAAGGTGAGTCAACCTGAGTCATGGTGAAATTTTCGAGTATGAAACCCAAGCCTTGTTTGCACTGTCTCCACCCAAGCCTTGTTCGCACTAGCTCCACCCAAGCCTTGTTCGCACTAGCTCCACCCAAGCCTTGTTCTCACTAGCTCCACCCCAAGCCTTGTTCGAACTAGCTCCACCCAAGCCTTGTTCGCACTAGCTCCACCCAAGCCTTGTTTGCACTAGCTCCACCCAAGCCTTGTTCACACTAGCTCCACCCAAGCCTTGTTCTCACTAGCTCCACCCAAGCCTTGTTCGCACTAGCTCCACCCAAGCCTTGTTCTCACTAGCTCCACCCCAAGCCTTGTTCGAACTAGCTCCACCCAAGCCTTGTTCGCACTAGCTCCACCCAAGCCTTGTTTGCACTAGCTCCACCCAAGCCTTGTTCACACTAGCTCCACCCAAGCCTTGTTCTCACTAGCTCCACCCAAGCCTTGTTCGCACTAGCTCCACCCAAGCCTTGTTCTCACTAGCTCCACCCAAGCCTTGTTCTCACTAGCTCCACCCAAGCCTCCAGACGATGGACTTCTCTTTCACACCTCTGAATCCCTCACTTTTCTTGTACTTCCCATTGCAACCACCGTTCCCCGCCTTATTGCCGGCCCCTGAGCTCCTTTTCCGAGGCGCCTAAGAGAAAATTCCCCGTCCTTATTGCTGGGCCCAGTTTTGAGAAAATCCTCCCTCCTAAAACTCAACTACTTTTCCGAGGCGCCTAAGAGAAATTCCCCCTCCTTATTGCAGGGCCCAGAGCTCCTCTCCAAGTGGGTCGGCGAGTCCGAACGAGCCGTCCGAACCTTGTTCTCCCGAGCCAAAAACGTAGCTCCGGCGATTGTCTTTTTTGACGAGATAGACGGGCTTGCCGTGGCACGGAGCAAGGGGGGCGGAGCGTCGGGAGGTGTGGGCGACCGAGTGATGACCCAGCTCCTACTGGAGATGGACGGTGAGTTGATGCTGGTCTGACATTCTAGACCTAGCTGGGGGATCTGACATCCCCCACGCCTCAACCATTGCGGCGTGGGCGACCGGGTGATGACCCTGCTCCTACTGGAGATAGATGGTGAGCTGTGCATCCCAGTCACACTAGAATCTGTGGGATGGTACTGAGTTGTCGTGTGGGTCATGCTTGTTTGTGGAGCCCATGCCTCGACTATTGGGTGATAGTAGGCCTCAATTACTAGGACCTTGTGTGTGGGTGATGACCCTGCTCCTACCGGAGATGTATGGTGAGTGGACGCTGAACAAACTTTTCACCTTCCATGCATGGGACAGTAATGCCAGCAACCCATCGTCCCACCCTATAAGACCAAGCTCCCCACCCCTTCCACGCAGGTAACAGTGATGTGAGTTGGATTTTTAGAATTCTCAAAAGGTATCCGTGAGTTTGCAGGGCATTCTTGAGAATTCTCAAAAATGCCCTGCAAACTCTCAGAAGGTATCAGTTAGTTTGCAGGGTATCAGTTTTTGAGAATTCTCAAAAATGCCCTGCAAACTCTCAGAAGGTATCAGTGATAGCAGCCACTGATCGCCCCAACCCATTAGACCGACCTATCCTGATATCTGGTCGCTTCAACCACCCGCTATTTGTCCCCTTCCCTCTTAGCCTCATTTCCTCGTGTGCCCGTGCACTTCCGCCCCACCTCTTCTGCCAGCCCTCAACCCCTCCACGCAGGTTACAGTGAGAGAAGCCACCAACCGTCCCGACCTACTAGGCCAAGCCCTCCTGAGAAACGGTCGCTTTTACAGCAACCTGTTTGCTCTTCTTCTCCCTTCCTCCCCTTCCTCTCTCTGCTGCCCCACCCATCCCCCTAGCCCTCACCCCCTCCACGCAGGTTACAGTGATAGCAGCAACCAACCGGCCCGACCTGTTAGACCGAGCCCTTCTGAGACCCGGTCGCTTCGACCGCCTCCTATTTGTCCCGCCGCCGGACCTCGCTGCCCGGGAGAAAATCTTTGCGCTCTGCCTACGTGGCACACCGCTAGAAGCTGATGTGGATGCCTGCCAGCTCAGCTGTCAGCTGGCGGCACGCAGCGAGGGGTACACGGGTGCTGACATCACTGCGATCTGTCGAGAGGCCAAGCTGGCAGCATTGGAGGTGAGCTGGCAGTTGGTTGGAGTGAGCTTATGTTTAGCGCTCATACGGTAGGTGTGTCTAGTCCAGTGCTCATATGCGCGCAGCTATTCGATCCGAGCTTATACATCCTTTCCCTGATTCGCATTGTGCCTGCTTGCCTTGCTTTCAGGAGGATCTCACTGCTGCATGTGTGGGCATGCGACATTTTGATAAGGCGCTTGGTACTGTGAAAAAGAGTGTATCGCCGCTAGAATCTGCATTCTATGCTAATTTCCAACGGGGGTAACAGAATAGAAAGGTTAGGGCGGATTCCTACAGCCTCGCATCAGACTAACCTCGCGTTAGACGCGAGGTGCCCTGTGTTGCGTGCCTCGGCGTCAGATCATGCACCACACTCTCGCGAATCGTTTATGGTGCAAAAAGTGCATGCGCCCGAAATATAAATTCACCTTCACCAATGGCAGATTTCGCTAACTATTCACAAAGCGGCGTGAATTTCGCTAACCGGGAAACTCATGTCGAACGTTTTGTCGCATCAGCGAATTCACAAATGGCATCTGCGAAAGCGCAATACCGTATCATTCCAGGCTTGAAAATTCGGTTTGAGTGGACGCTGAACAAACTTTTCACCTTCCATGCATGGGACAGTAATGCCAGCAACCCATCGTCCCACCCTATAAGACCAAGCTCCCCACCCCTTCCACGCAGGTAACAGTGATGTGAGTTGGATTTTTAGAATTCTCAAAAGGTATCCGTGAGTTTGCAGGGCATTCTTGAGAATTCTCAAAAATGCCCTGCAAACTCTCAGAAGGTATCAGTGATAGCAGCCACTGATCACCCCAACCCATCAGACCGACCTATCCTGATATCTGGTCGCTTCAACCACCCGCTATTCGTCCCCTTCCCTCTTAGCCTCATTTCCCCGTGTGCCCGTGCACTCCCGCCCCACCTCTTCTGCCAGCCCTCACCCCCTCCACGCAGGTTACAGTGAGAGAAGCCACCAACCGTCCCGACCTACTAGGGCAAGCCCTCCTGAGAAACGGTCGCTTTTACAGCAACCTGTTCGCTCTTCTTCTCCCTTCCCCCCCTTCCTCTCTCTGCTGCCCCACCCACCCCCCTAGCCCTCACCCCTTCCACGCAGGTTACAGTGATAGCAGCAACCAACCGCCTCGACCTGTTAGACCGAGCCCTTCTGAGACCCGGTCGCTTCGAACACCTCCTATTTGTCCCGCCACCGGACCTCGCTGCCCGGGAGAAAATCTTTGCGCTCTGCCTACGTGGCACACCGCTAGAAGCTGATGTGGATGCCTGCCAGCTCAGCTGTCAGCTGGCGGCACGTAGCGAGGGGTACACAGGTGCTGACATCACTACGATCTGTCGAGAGGCCAAGCTGGCAGCATTGGAGGTGAGCTGGCAGCTGGTTGGAGTGAGCTTATGTTTAGCGCTCATAGGTGTGTCTAGTCCAGTGCTCATATGCACACAGCTATTCGATCCGAGCTTATACATCCTTTCCCTGATTCACATTGTGCTTGCTTGCCTTGCTTTCAGGAGGATCTCACTGCTGCATGTGTGGGCATGCGACATTTTGATAAGGCGCTTGGTACTGTGAAAAAGAGTGTATCGCCGCTAGAATCTGCATTCTATGCTAATTTCCAACGGGGGTAACAGAATAGAAAGGTTAGGGCGGATTCCTACAGCCTCGCATCAGACTAACCTCGCGTTAGACGCGAGGTGCCCTGTGTTGCGTGCCTCGGCGTCAGATCATGCACCACACTCTCGCGAATCGTTTATGGTGCAAAAAGTACATGCGCCCGAAATATAAATTCACCTTCACCAATGGCAGATCGCCACAGCGATCAAGTTACCCCAGGTTGGAACCACTGCACGGTCGCATCTCGCAAGCACGGGTGACGGGAAAGATCAGAAACCAACCAGCAGAAAGCGGCGAACTACAGCATGAATTTCGCTAACCGGGAAAATCATGGCGAACGTTTTGTCGCATCAGCGAATTCACAAATGGCATCTGTGAAAGCGCAATACCGTATCATTCCAGGCTTGAAATTTCGGTTTGAGTGAACAGCCCTTCGCAAGTGAAACGCGGCATCGCAAACAAGTTTTGCGACGGTTGGCACATGAGGCCAAGCCTGACGCGAGGGAGGTGAGCAGGGTTCCTGCTAACTTTTAGGGCAGTCTGAGAATCAGACGGGGTACGAGAGTTTTGTCTGACCATCATATGAGGTGTTTGGCTTGGTCTAAAATTTCATACGAAGTATACAGCCTTATCTGTGTTTGCAGATGAAATTTGCCTCCTGAAAATTAAGCTGCTCTAGGCTTTGACTTAAGCACATGAAATGAAACATTAGATGTGTTCGAGACAGCACAGCAGCACTACTCGTAATAAGATTCCTCCTACGACAGCAGCAGCTACGGGCACTAAGTCATCCTACGAGCCACAGTTGTAGCCAACAAACATCCTACTGTAGCTACTCGTAACTCTACCAATGATTTTGGCTTGCTGCTAACATCCTACAAGCTCACTAGAGCTTCCAACCAATACCGTTGCATAACCAACTAGCATTAACCCTACCCTACTCAGACTCACTGCCAGTGTTGCATCCTTGCTCATCCTCCTCACTATCAGACTCTAGCAAAATCGCTCTGCCCTTGCCCTTCCTCTTCCATACCGTGCCTGCTGAACCATCCTCATCAAACATCCGCGCCGCCTCTGCTGCTGCAAGTGCCTCTGCCTATCGTGCTGCTGCTGCTGCTACCTTCGCTGCTGTTCTTGCCGCCTTGAATGCCGCTGACCGCTTCTGCCTCTTCGCTGAACGTGTACCTTGCCCCATCACTACCTCCCTCGCGGGCCGCCTCTTCTTGACCCCACGCCACTTCGCCACCATGCCGTCCCACTCCATGTCGTAGTCGAGGAGCGACATGGTCATCAGATCGCTGAGCTTCGCGTCACACAGGTTGCCGCGCAACCAACTCTTAATGACGTTCTGGCGGCTGAAGCCGCGCTCGCACTCGACAGTGCTCAACGGCAGCACCGCCACTGCTATCCAAATGCTGACGATATTCGGGTAGGCCGTCTTCCAGTCGGGAGTGGAGAGCATGTTCTTCAAGCTTGCATGAAAGTCGAGGTCATCCTGGTGAGTAGACATGATAGTGGTGAAGCTATTCAGCTCCTTTTTTGCCTTCCCCCAGTGGACACCTTCAGGATAGGGGATAGAAGAGCCAGGGGAGAAAGGAGGGTGTTTAGTAAACGGTAGAAAGGGTTGAAGTAAATACACGTCATGAACAAGGCAGAGAAAGACTTGAGCCACATGCATGCTTAAATACGACAATCACCAGGCAGCGTGTCGGGAGCGGAGGAGTCGCGCTTCCAGAGGTTGTGGAGAGCCTGCAGCCATGCCACGAACTTCCGCTCACGCTTTGCCGCCGTCCAGGGATAGAGACCCTGCTTGAACAGTCGCGTGCCGTTCAACAACGCCAAGTCAGATTGTCGCGCCTGCAGCTTGCTGATAATGGACAGCACCACCGCCGTCGCCAGCTCCTGCAGCGACTCGATGTTCCCGTCAAATTGTTGCCCTTCAATGTCGGCAGTCTGCAGCTCGTACGTGTGAGTCGTCGGGGTGACGTTCGCGTCCACGCCGCTAATGGTGATGTCGGCTCCCGTAGCTACCAGGTTCAGGAATTCGAAGAAATCTCCTTCTGCGGGGCCAAAGCAGGTGCCGTAGTTGACATAACGAGCCCGCAGCGTCACGATGGTGTTGTCCACTATCCTAAGCACTTGGGTGACGTCGACCTGCGAAGGGGCAAGTACGGGATTAGAAACGGAGAATTATAAAATGTTGGAAACGGTTAAATGGTACCCGCACCTGCCGCCGTTGGAACTTCAGATTGAGGGCGTTGAGCTCCTTCAAAACGTCAGCAAGGAAATACAAGAGAAAATGGAACTTCAAGGTTATAACGAGCGCATACATAGCAGAATCATACTCCCTTAGGAGAAGCACTGCTGCAGGGAAAACCTCAACCAGACGCTGGATGGCCTCGCCCCGAGACAACCACCGGATATTGTGAATCCCTTGCATCTCGAGGTTTGTCTCGGTGACCACCTCCTGCAGCTCTTTGAATCGGGAATGGACGACAATCGACCGGCCGAGAATGCCGGCCAAGGATCGTATGACTTTGTCAACCATCCCCAAGTCAGGGAACTCTGCTGCAGCATCCTTGGCAGCGAGAGCTTCCCTGCACACATAGCAAATGAAGCTGGTCAGAAATCCGGGCAGAGAAAACCATAAGGCAAAACTGATGTGGGCCACAACTTACCTATGAGCAATATAGTGGCATGACACGAGGTGAGGAATACGAGTGCAAAGCCGTGCGACAAGCCCGTTTTGGGCTCCCGTCATCACACTCGCTCCATCAGTGCTTATGCCACATATGCGGTTGAGGTCGACGCCTTGTCCCACCAGGTGTGTCAGCAGGACGGCTTGAAGCGATGCGGCGTCGCACTTCTCGACCGTCAGGTGAGCGAAGAACTCAGTCACGACCGTCGTATCGCGCAGGAACGTCAGATACACTATCATATGCTTGGCCCGCCGCCTGTCGGTGCTCTCGTCAAGCTGGATGCCGAGAAATGGGTTCGCCTTGATGTGGGTCAGTTGCTTCGTGCGCAGGTAGCCGACCATGTTCTCAATGAGTTGGTTGAAGCCATACCTGCACACAAAGAGGTAAAAGCACTGCTTAATAGCAAGAATTTCCGTGACCATCTCCGGAATACAAACAACGGTGGCTTACAGAAATATCATGAGAACCCTGCACAAACAAGGCGCCCCGCAGGATTGACAGCACTTACTCGCTTTGGTAGGTTCCACGTTCTTTCTCTGGCAGATCAGGAGTGCCTTGCTGTGCCATGAACTACACCAGTGATACGAAGAGGAGAACTGGGGCGTCCGACTTGCAGATGAAGTGGACGATCGCCATGAGCCGCTTCAGTCGCTTGGATTTCGCGTCGCCATTTTCAAACTCCACGATGGACCGCTGCTTTGCCTTCTTGCCGTCAATTTGAAGCTTGCGCGCCATCGCTGTCTCGTGCTTCTGGCTGTACTGATGCTTCCGCATAGTCTGCTTTTGAATATCGATCCCGCCCTCTCCATTGCGCCCGTACTGGTAGTCGAGGTCGTCACCGTGCACCATGCAGACTGTGCACTTCATGCACGGACGCCCCTCGGAGGTTTCAGAGATGACGAGCCACGGAAAATGGCGCGTCCACTGCTCTTCCGCCTTTGCCTGAAGCTCTGCGACTATTAAGGGAAACGGACCTTCATCGTCCGACGGTGTGGACGGCGCGGGATCAGTACGAGCCCGCTGCTCGCCAAGGCGCACGGAGGACGTGGAGGCAGATGAGGCAGGCCTACTGAAGGTAAGCTTGCGCTGCTGGTATTGCACCCTTCCAGGCTTGCGCACAGGAAGCACGGGCCCTCCCGAGATGCAAGCGGACGGGCCGACGGAAACGGCAGGTGCGACATGCGGTGACGGGCTGGTAGAACGCCCTGACTGGCTAGTATGAGGCCCAGACCGACTGCTAGGAGACCTTAACGGGCTGCTAGGACGCTCAGACGTGGGGGGCACTGTACCCTCAGGCGCGAATGTGATCCACGGTTCTGTGTCTAGCGGAGGTAAATGGGACGGTGGGGTCGATATAGTTGATGCGGCGTGTGCAGGTGCCGACGCTACAGTGGTAGCACGACCAGTAAGAAGGTCGATGCCTGATAGCCTGGGAAGCAAGGCTACTACATGCTCCTCGACGGGGGAATCTACCGCTGGCTTTGTGGAACCAGCGGCAGCAGCCATGAGACCTATTCGTCGAGCAGATACAAGACTACACTTGCGACTCTGCTGAGAGGACGACTAGGAGGAACGAGGCAGGGGGGAGGCATCTCGTATAGAAAAATGAAAACCAGTGGGTGACAGAACAGATGTGGAGCTACGACGAGAGCCTTGCACTGCCATTACGCAAGGATGCCTCGGCGCCTTGCATGGGACGGTGCCTGATTTAGCACGAAACTCATCTCGCGCTGGCAGGCATCGAGGGTGGCTTCCCTACAGCGCAGGCAATGCGCTGGCAGTATGCTGCATGCAAATCATGCCTTAGAGTTGCCAGCAAGCCAGGTTTTGCACATATCGACGAATCGGTAACAGCATGTGACTCAGGCAGCTGTAAATCTGATACGAAATGTACAGCGGCGATGAGAGGCCACGCGACGACTTTATTGTGCATGCGACGGTTTCCTAGGACTGGATGGCACAAGTGGCCCAGTGCGCACATGGGCCGATGGGAGGGTGGGGAACTGGGCAGATGTGTCCGTATCAGACGGAAATATACGCGCTATCTGAAAATTCAGACGATTGCCTATACCTAGTTTGAGAATTCAGACAAATTTATATAACCAAGATGGTCGTTCAGATGGAAAATTAATGGTTGTCAAAAAATCAGATGGCACGGAAAATGTGAGTCTGATTCTCAGATGAACAGACGGATTTCGTCTGCTAACGGGAACCCTGGAGGTGAGTCTGGGCAGAGGTTCGGGCAAAATGACGAGTCTGACGCGAGGTTAGTATGACGCGAGGCTGTAGGGAATCCACCCACCGCGCAGTTTGTGCTCACAACAAATCACGTCCCTCGCGCGAGCCTGCTCTAGCCTTCCTCGGGCAACCAGCGTGATACAGTACTTGGTCTAAGGACCAGTCACGCTCCTCATAATTGCTCCTAGGTACAGTACCTCGGACTTTTGCGTGATTTTGGTCTGACGGCCAATCACAGCCTCACACCTGCTCCGGGTACGGCGAAGCACGTCGAAGGACAATGCGTGTACAGTACAGCAGCAGGGAGTTTGTCTGTGATGGGTCATTGCAAGTGTGTGATTGGTTGTTGAGGGACTTGTGCCACCCGCTCAGAGGACGACAAAAAAAATCAGGGGAAAGGGGGTGCGGGGAGAATGTCTCTAAAAATGGAAGACTTAGCCGATTTTTGTGGGTGTTGGGGGTGTTAAGGGGTGTCTCTAGAACAGGACTTCAACGATTTTTGTGGGCTGCTGGTTGTGCTTGGGGGAACTGTCTCTGGCTGCTATGACTTAGCCAGATTTTATAGGTTGCGGGGGTCCGTACACGCTGTGCTCTGAAAACTCAATATCCACAAACTGCCAAGTCTGAGATTCTCAGGATTCAAAAACATATAACTCTGAAGGGTTCAGCATTCAGAAATTGGCAAGTCTGAAAAATCAGGATCGGCAAAAAAAATAGGTCTGAAATTTCAGACAATCAGACTAAAATAGTCTGATAAAATCAGGCCTGCCAGTAGTATGAAATAATCATAATAAATAGAAATTACACCACTTGGAATAATCTACCGTACATGGTACACTCATTTTGGGCGCATGGGCCTCCATTTAGAAGAGAAGGGCGAGGAAGGAGTACAGCAAAGCCATAACCGCTGTAGTGAGGACATTGCTGACTGTTGCTGGGGCAGCCTTCCCAGTGGCATCGGGGGGTGAAGCAGCAGCAGCAGCAGCAGCAGGAACAGAGAGGGCAGTGGCAGGAGGAGAAATGGTGGTGGCAGGTGAATTTGCAGGAGGGGAGGGGAGGGCAGTGGGGGGAGATGGGGAGGCAGGGGCAGGAGGAGAGAGGGCAGCAGCAGGTGGGGAAGGAGGGGGGGAGTCCAGCGGTGCAGATATGGCCTCAGGTGGAATGCCTGCCAGCGACGCCTGGGTCCTGCGGTGGGGGGAGAGGGGGGAGAGAGAGGGCAGAGAGGTGGGAGAGAGAGGGGGGAGAGGTGGGAGAGAGAGGGGGGAGAGGTGGGAGAGAGAGGGGGGGGAAGAAGATGAGTGGAGGAGCATTGGGATGTGGACGTGTGGATTTGATGGTGAAGTGAGATGGCGCAGTGGCAGATGGGGGGAGTAGGGCTGTACGGCCGTATGGCTGTATGACTGTATGGCATGGCTTCAATGGGCAGCACTCACTGTGTGGGGCAGCCGTTGACGACAGACAGGGGCTTATTTGCCCCAAAGTCGATCGTGCACCGCTGGTTGGAGGGAATGAGGCTGTTGCTGCCCGAGCCACAGACGTGGAAGGTGGAGAGGTTGGGGCTGGTGGGGTCCATGGTGAGAGTGCCGTTGTTGTCTGAGGCACAGACCTCGTAGCATGAATGCATGTCTGCACCAGGGAGAAAGCACAGGCATGTGGGCAGAGGGCAAGTGGGAAAAGGGGGCGAGAGCAAGAAGGTTGGGGCTGGTGGGGTGGGGTCCACGGTGAGAGTGCCGTTGTCGTTTGCTGCACACACCTCGTAGCACGAATGCATGTCTGCACCAGGGAGGGAGGGAGAGCCATGCATGTGCAGGATTATTGTAGCTTGAGTGGTCGTGAGGTGCTACGTGGGAGTGGGAGTGGGAGTGGAAGTGGGAGTGGGAGTGGGAGCGGGAGTGGGAGTGGGAGTGGGAGCGGGAGAGGGAGTGGGAGCGGGAGAGGGAGTGGGAGAGGGAGTGGGAGCGGGAGAGGGAGTGGGAGTGGGAGTGGGAGTGGGAGTGGGAGAGGGAGTGGGAGAGGGAGTGGGAGAGGGAGTGGGTGTATTGCTCTGCCTAGCGGGGTAATAAACGAGGTAGTGGCGTACTTAGAGAGTTCTCAAGTCACTTTGGCCATGCCTAGCCGGGTAGTCCAAAACACAAGGGTGTCAAGTCAACGCACATCTCATCCTCAGCAGCCAGACCGCCCTTCCTCTCCCAGGTGGTGCTCTAGAGCAATCTCTCAACACTCACCTTGGCCGAGCGTGTCTAGCCAGATACTACACAGCTGTTCTCTAGGCGTATCAGCACTAACCTTGGCCGTGTCTAGCCGGGTAGTACACGAGGTAGTCAACGCACATCTCATCCTCAGCAGCCAGACCGCCCTTCGTCTCCTGCGGGCACGTGGAGCCAAGGGGGGAAGGGAAGAGAGAACGGAAAGGGGGGGGGAGGGGGGGATGAAGGGTGGGGAGGGATGGCACAAGAAACAGTGGGCAGGATAGGAATGGATGGAACCATGTGACCATGGCAGGGTAGGTTACTGTGTTGGCGTTGTTGGACTGGTGGTTTGATAACGCCAACACAGTAAGACATCGTGTGGTGACACATGAGAATCCACAGCATACGATGCTCACAGCCAGCCGCCTGAGTACGAGCGGTGGAATGCCCTCACGCCCGGGCGTGGGTTTTGAGGCGACTGTGCTGGCAGGCACGTACTGGGCCTGGAGGTTTGCACCTTATCTCGGGCAGAGGGGTCCCACACGCACGTGGTGTGCACCTCGTCTCCTGGCAGGAGCTCAAACCCAGGCAGGCGGTCGAACTCGGGTGTGGTGGGTTTGAGCCGACCCAAAAAGAAACACCGTGCTGGGCCTACAGGTGTGTACCTTATCACGGGCAGAGGAGTCCCACAGGCACGTGGTGCGCCGCACAGCTCGTCGCCTGGCAAGAGGTCGAACCCAGGTGTGGTAGGTTTGAGCCGGCCCAAACGGTAACACCGTGCTGGGCCCACAGTTGCGTACCGTTTCACGGGCGGTGGAGTCCCACACGCACGTGGTGCGCAGCTCGTCGCCGGGCAGGAGCTCGAACTCAGGGAGCACGGGCACAGTCTGCTGGGATGCAAAGTCGCTGGTAGGGAAGAGGGTGGTGGGTGGTGGATGGGGTGGGATGGAAGGAAGGATGCGTTTTGAGACGTCGCAAACCTGAACCATTATCAGACAGGCAGGAGGTCGAACTCAGGCGGCACGGGCACGGTCTGCTGCGATGCAAAGCCGATGGAAGATTGGGATTTGTGGGTGGAGATGCAAGGAAAGAAGAAAGGTGGTCCTCCTCAGGGAGCACGAGCGTGGTCTGCTGCAATGCGAAGTCGCTGCTTTGATTTGGAGTGGTGAGTGGGGGGATCGAGGGCAGGAAGGCAGAAGGTTATCCTGAGGGGATAGGGAGACAGGGGATAGGGGATAGGGAGACAGGGAAGAGGAGGGAATGGAGAGAGGGAAGGAGAGAAAGGAGAGAAGGTGGAGAGGGGAAGGAGGTGCACTCACTAGTAATCAATGCGGTTGATGGTGGCGACCTCGCTGCCGCCCCTGATCACCTCAGTGTACATCTGCACGTGGAGGGGAGAGAGAGGATGCAGAGAAGAGAGAGAGGATTCATGAGAGGATGCACAGAAGAACGATGAGGAGAATGCTCATGAGGCAACCTTTCACGGAGTGACCTCGCTGCCGCCCCTGATCACCTCAGTGTACATCAGCCCATGGATGGAGGAGAGACCAGGGGCGAAAGAGACAGAGAAGCAAGGTCAGCTTGGGTCCAAGAGGGCATACCAGGAGGGATGATGCAGCAGCACGCATTGACAAGACCTAGTATACACAAAAAGTCGACTTTCGAGCGGAAACCAAGCACGGTTTTTTTTTTCTATAGCATAATGCTTCAAGTATTGTGCAGGTCGCACCTGTCTTCCTAAATTATGCTGGTGCAGTATGGACCCGATCAGCTTCACGCTCTCATTCTACACAGCCTTGGTGCATTCGCCGGGGCACGAGCCCGCTTGTGTCCAGGACGGCATGCCGGGGGGGATGCAGGACCCACCTGTCTCCCAATATTATGTTGGTGCAGTATCGACCCGATCAGCTTCACACTTTCATTCTTGAACACCGAGGCAGTGCACTCGCTGGGGCAAGAGCCTGCTTGCGTCCAAGACGGCATGCCGGGGGGGATGCGGATGAGTGCGCGATGGTCCACGAGGCCGACTTTCATAATGGACGCGTCCATCAGGGTGGGGGCCGGCGCCAGCTTCAGATAAATGCCGGAGCTGTCGATGATGTCATCAATAGCCTCGGGGTTAGTGTAGTGCATCTGAGGGGAGGGAGATTGAGTGGAAAAAGCATGGGGGGGAAGAGGGGGGGCAAGGGAGGCGCACAAGGGGAGGCGCTCAAGGGGAGGCGCTCAAGGGGAGGCGCACAAGGGGAGGCGCTCAAGGGGAGGCGCACAAGGGGAGGCGCTCAAGGGGAGGCGCACAAGGGGGCAGGGTGCATGTGATGTGAGGGCGCAAGAGAGGGGGAAAAAAGGTGGTGGGAATGCGGATGAGCGCGTGATGGTCCACGTGGCCGACTTTCATTATGGACGCGTCCATCAAGGTTGGGGATGGCGCCAGCATCAGATAGATGCCCGGGCTGTTGATGACGTCGGCAAACGCCTCGGGGTTAGTGTAGTGCAACTGGCTGGGGGGAGGGAGTGGAAACAGCATGGGGGGGCAAGAGGAGGTGCAATTGGGGGCGCGCGTCAGACCACAAGGCTCGGGAGACCACAAGGCTCGGGAGACCACAAGGCTCGGGAGACCACAAGGCTCGGGAGACCACAAGGCTCGGGAGGCCATGAAGCTCGGGAGACAATGAGGCTCGGGAGACCATGAAGCTCGGGAGACCATGAGGCGCAGAAGAACCCGAGGCTCGGAAGACTATGAGGCTGGGGAAAGTATGAGGCTCAGGAGGCTTGGGAGACTACGAGCAATAAAAGGGACGTTGTGGGCCGAATGCTCCCTGATTTGAAGCAGGAGCGGGGTAAGTTCTGCACCGCACTGCACCCACCTCCAGCACGAACTTGGTGAAGTAGCTTGGACCGATGGGGTAGCCGACATTGTCGGGGAATGTGAATGGCCGGCCCCCCCACGCCCACACGGCCACAAAGGTGCTGCAGGGCGTCTTGTACATGCAGTCAAAGCCGAGACCGACGGGGGGGAGACTGGCGTACTCTTCCCTGTTCGGGGGAGAAGAGGGGGGCAGAGAAGGTGAGTGAGATGAGGTGTCAAGGGTGTGGGGAAGGGCTCCCCCCTCTGAGTCCCCCATCGCTACGCAGGTGCTGCAGGCCGTCTGCCACACATGGTGCCATGCACATGAGTGAGTGGGTCTGGGGTCAAAGATCTTGGGGAGCCTTTGCCTTGCGTTGCGAGTAAGCCGATGTGCATCTTTTGAAGAGGTGAGGTGAGGTGAGGTGTGGTGCAATACACGTGGTACCTTGCACATGAGTGAGTGGGTCTGGGATCAAAGATCTTGGGGAGCCTTTGCCTTGCAAGTAAGCCGATGTGCATCTTTTGAAGAGGTGAGGTGAGGTGAGGTGTGGTGCAAGACATGTGGTACCTTGCACATGAGTGAGTGGGTCTGGGATCAAAGATCTTGGGGAGCCTTTGCCTTGCGAGTAAGCCGATGTGCATCTTTTGAAGAGGTGAGGTTAGGTGAGGTGTGGTGCAAGACATGTGGTACCTTGCACATGAGTGAGTGGGTCTGGGATCAAAGATCTTGGGGAGCCTTTGCCTTGCGAGTAAGCCGATGTGCATCTTTTGAAGAGGTGAGGTTAGGTGAGGTGTGGTGCAAGACATGTGGTACCTTGCACATGAGTGAGTGGGTCTGGGATCAAAGATCTTGGGGAGCCTTTGCCTTGCGAGTAAGCTGATGTGCACCCATCCTTTGGTGCTTACGGTTTGCAGCCGTAGAGGAAGGCATGATGGACGGCTGAGATGTGGGTAGAGTTGAGCACGGCGCCCCACTCAACCGCATGGGTCTTGACCTTCAGAGGCACGTCCACCACCTGTAGATGTCAGCGAAGGGTGTCAGAAACAGATGGGCGGCAGAAACAGATGGGCGGCAGAAACAGATGGGCGGCAGAAACACAGGAAAACATGAGAAAATGAAGGGCTCGTAAGCGAAAAGGGCTGGCGAATGCGCGTAAGATCTGGACCTCTGGACGGCCAGCAATGCACGCCTCCACGTGTATGTGCCTTGCGTACCTTGCACTGGTATGTGGTGTGATTTGTCGGCACGCGGTAACCCGAGACTGTGAATTTGAGCATGCTCTCCTGCTGCTGCTGCTGCTGAGGTCCAGCCAAAACCCCCTGACTTCTCGGCCTCCTCCCAGCAGCATCAGCCTCAGCTGCAATTGCCGCCGCAGAAGAAGACGAGGAGGGAGGCGGGGGGGAGAGAATCGAGGGGCCGGGAGCAGGAGCGAGCAAAAGGGAGGACCCCCCACGGGTGGACCCATGGTAGCTGACGTCATCCGTGGAACCAATGGCCCAGATGAGGTTATGAAGCTTCCCCGGCACGATCGGACGGTCGTTGCAGTCTCCCGTGTCCAGCTTGCGCCACGCGTGCACCGTGGTCCACGTGTCGCCCGTGGATTGGTTGGTGGCCTGGCTGCCGCCCAGCACGTGCCAGTCCTGCTGGGCGTCCAATGCTGGGCCGGACTTGTCGAAGATGAATCGGTCCGTCGCATACACGCGACCTTCGGTCTCCGCCACCCAAGCCACAAGCGCGTCTGTTTGGAGCAACACACGGGGAACAAACGACGCACATAATCCGCCAAAGGAACCATGACGGATGCGAGGAAAGCAGCAGAGGTGCTAGTTTCGTAGTACCCACACGCCATGGCTGAAACGTCAGGATTTCCGTCTAAATTTCGTACCTGATCCAACCATGGATCCAATCTCGGAGATGCCTATAGCGAGCCATCCCGCCGTTTGCGCTCTAGCCGCCACGTGGATGGTCGCGTCGCTGCTGTTGACGGACCAGAAGAGCTCGAAGCGCGGATCCAATAGCGCCACGCTGGAATAGGAGGTCAGCTCGGGAACGGTCGGAATCGCAGCGCCGTCTTCTGCGCCGTCTTCTGCGCCGCCTTCTGCGGAGGCCGCAGAATGGGTGAGAGCATTGGACGTGAGAGTTAGGAGAAGGAGAAGGCATGCGCTGGTTGCGGGCGAAACGCCGTAGCGGCCACGGTGGCGTGTGGGTGATTTTTTAGAATTCTCATAAATCGCCCTCATCATGACGATCGTCAGAGCAAGTTGCAGCTTTCGATGGCTGGAAGTTCGAGTTCTACTAGTGAGGGATGTTCGCTGCCAACTGCTGTCTCATCGAATTACACCGTAAAGATTGAATACTAAGTACTACTTACTGGTTGGTCACTCACGTGGAACCGGGTGGAGCACCTCATGTGTGGCCAGAAACGCCTGGTGTGCGGATTGCGTGGACGGGAGACGCAAATGTCTGTTGACCACTCACTTCAAGTTGACGCCGCCCCTCGGTGGCCGCCTCGCGTCTCGCCCGTCTCGCCCGTCTCGCCCGTCTCGCCCGTCCCTGCCGTCCCAGCCGTCCCAGCCGTCCCAGATCTCACAAAATCCCGTTCTCTCGTGTGGTGTGAGGTGAGGGAACGGCAACGGGTTTTACTGATTGGTGGAGTGGATCGCGACGAGTTAGCGGACCACGTACGCACTGGTCAAGAAGACCGCCCATCTTCGTTACTCCAAAACCGCCCACCTGCTCGTCTCTAGGAACAAACGGGCCCATGATGGTTGTACCACGGCTTTCTATAACTGAAACCTACCGAATCGTTTTAAACCACTCTAAGAGTACGAAGACGAGGGCTGTTCGAACCGCATCCCAGACGCCGTAATGCGCCAAATGCGGGCGAACCACAAGTCCAGCGCATTACGGGGGGCGTCTTACAGCCATGTTCGCCACATCTCCGCTATGGGCGCATTCGTATTTCCGACAGCGAAGTTAAAAAATTGCACATGACATCTACACGAGGCATAGTAGAGAATAGCGTATCATATGCAGCTCACCCAATCTTGAGTGTTGTGTAGAGCACCAAGATTCAATGGAAAAACGGATAACTAAAAAAGTGTGTGCCAATTTTGAAGGAGAGTGCATCAATTCTAGAAGCCCGCGTTCTCTGCTACCCTCCGGAAAATATTGTTGAATATAACTCAACTCAATCTATTGAACATTGCAATCAACAATGCTTCGCTTCCAATATTGGCCCGCCCTGGTCCAGTACCAGTACCATTGCTACTGGAACACCTCTATTGGAATAGTATATATTCATCGCTGCTATTTCAGAGAAGGGCAAGGAACGAGCAGAGTACAGCCAAGACAATTGCCGCGGGGACAAGTTGAAATGATGTTGGGGCCGCCTTTCCACTGGTACCAGGGGCGGGGGGTGAAGCAGCAGGGGTGGCAGGGGCTGCAAGGGCAGCAGGGGCAGGAGGAGAGAGGGCAGTGGCCGGTGCGGAGAGTGTCTCAGATGGAATGTTTGCCAGGGATACCTGGGTCCTGCATTGGGGAAGAGGGGTGGGTAGGTTGGGGGAGGAGGAAGGGGGAGCACACGGGGTGGGGATGATTGAATGTGAGTGTGATATGTGACAGTGTGATATGTGATAGTGTGATATGTGACAGTGTGGTATGTGATAGTGTGGTATGTGATAGTGTGATGTGTTAGTGTGATATGTGATGGTGCAGTGGCAGGTGGAAATGGCGGGGCGGATTGCTGCGGTGCAGGGACGTCATCAGGTGGGGCGCCTGCCAGCGATGCCTGCCAGCGTTGCCTGCCATGGTCTGCACTCACTGGCATGGTTTCGGTGCAAGGGCCATGGCAGACCATGGCAGACCATGGCAGACCATGGCAGACCATGGCAGACCATGGCAGACCATGGCAGACCATGGTCTGAACCCACTGTACGTGCGCCGTGCAGGGCATATGGCATGGTTTCAGTGGTCAGGCATGTGCTGAACTCACTGAGCGGGACACCCGTTGAGGGTGGAGAGCGGCACGTTCGCGCCGTAATCGATCGTGCACTTCTTATTGGAGGGGATGATGCTGCTATCCCCTGTGCCGCAGAGGTAGAAGGTGGCCAGGTTGGGTGAGGTGGGGTCCGTGGCGAATGTGGTGCTGTCCACGCAGAAGTCGAAGCACGAGTTCATCTCTGCATGGGGCACCGAGGAAGGGGGCATGGGGCATGGCGCATGGGGCATGGGGCATGGCGCATGGCGCATGGGGCATGGGGCATGGGGCGTGGGGCATAGGGTAAGTCGAAGCACGAATTCATCTCTGCAGCCCAGAGGCACGACAGGTATGCGGGAGAGAGAAAAGGGGGGGAGAGATCAAGTGAGGTTGGGTGGGGCTGGTGGGGTCCGTGGCTAATGTGGTTCTGTCCACACAGAAGTCGAAGCATGGGTTCATCTCCGCATGGGAGAGGGAAGGGGGCGTGGGGCATGGGGCGTGGGGCGTGGGGCATGGGGCGTGGGGCATGGGGCATTGGGCATGGGGCATGGGGCATGGGGCATGGGGCATGTCGCATGGGGCATGGGGCATGGGGCATGGGGCATGGGGCATGGGGCATGGGGCATGGGGCATGGGGCGTGGGGCATGGGGCATGGGGCATGGGGCATGGGGCATGGCGCGAGGGGCATGGAGCGTGGGGCATGGGGCGTGGGGCATGGGGCGTGGGGCATGGGGCATGGGGCATGGGGCGTGGGGCATGGGGCGTGGGGCATGGGGCGTGGGGCATGGGGCATGGGGCATGGGGCATGGGGCGTGGGGCATGGGGCGTGGGGCATGGGGCATGGGGCATGGGGCATGGGGCATGGAGCATGGGGCATGGGGCATGGGGCGTGGGGCATGGGGCATGGGGCATGGGGCATGGGGCATGGGGCATGGGGCATGGGGCATGGGGCATGGGGCGTGGGGCATGGGGCATGGGGCATGGGGCATGGGGCATGGGGCATGGCGCGTGGGGCATGGGGCATGGGGCATGGGGCGTGGGGCGTGGGGCATGGGGCATGGGGCATGGGGCATGGGGCATGGGGCATGGCGCGAGGGGCATGGGGCGTGGGGCATGGGGCATGGGGCATGGGGCATGGGGCATGGGGCATGGGGCATGGGGCGTGGGGCATGGGGCGTGGGGCATGGGGCGTGGGGCATGGGGCGTGGGGCATGGGGCGTGGGGCATGGGGCGTGGGGCATGGGGCGTGGGGCATGGGGCATGGGGCATGGGGCATGGGGCATGGGGAATGGGGCATGGGGCATGGGGCATGGGGCATGGGGCGTGGGGCATGGGGCGTGGGGCATGGGGCATGGGGCATGGGGCGTGGGGCATGGGGCGTGGGGCATGGGGCATGGGCATGGAGCATGGGGCATGGGGCATGGGGCATGGGGCATGGGGCATGGGGCGTGGGGCATGGGGCATGGGGCATGGGGCGTGGGGCATGGGGCATGGGTCATGGGGCATGGGGCATGGAGCATGGGGCATGGGGCATGGGGCATGGGGCATGGAGCATGGGGTATGGGGCATGGGGCATGGGGCATGGGGCATGGGGCATGTCGCATGGGGAATGGGGCATGGGGCATGGGGCATGGGGCATGGGGCATGGGGCATGGCGCGAGGGGCATGGGGCGTGGGGCATGGGGCATGGGGCATGGGGCATGGGGCATGGGGCGTGGGGCATGGGGCGTGGGGCATGGGGCGTGGGGCATGGGGCGTGGGGCATGGGGCGTGGGGCATGGGGCGTGGGGCATGGGGCGTGGGGCATGGGGCATGGGGCATGGGGCATGGGGCATGGGGCATGGGGAATGGGGCATGGGGCATGGGGCATGGGGCATGGGGCGTGGGGCATGGGGCGTGGGGCATGGGGCATGGGCATGGAGCATGGGGCATGGGGCATGGGGCATGGGCATGGGCATGGAGCATGGGGTATGGGGCATGGGGCATGGGGCATGGGGCATGTCGCATGGGGCATGGGGCATGGGGCATGGGGCATGGGGCATGGGGCATGGGGCGTGGGGCAGTTGGGCTGTTGGAGTGGGAGAGAGAGGTTGGGACTGGGGGGGTCCGTGGCGGATGTGGTGCTGCTGTCCACACAGAAGTTACGAATTTCTCTCTGCACCGTGCCGGGGAACAACACACGTGTGGAAGTGGGAGGATGGGAGTTGGAGGGTTGGCATAGAGAGACGTGCTGCACTCTCTACTAGTATTGTAGTATGAGGATAATAATTACCTTGGCCCTGCCTTGCTGGGTAGTACACCAGGTAGTCAATGCACATCTCCTCCTCGGTTGACGGCCCTCCCATCGTCACCTGCTCGCAGTGAGGGCAGAGAGGGGCAGAGAGGGGCAGAGAGGGGCAGAGAGGGGCAGAGAGGGGCAGAGAGGGGCAGAGAGGGGCAGAGAGGGGCAGAGAGGGGCAGAGAGGGGCAGAGAGGGGCAGGGGCAGGGAGAGAAGAATGAGGGATTGTCTAACTCATAGCAGTCGATGCACATCTCATCCTCAGTTGAACGGAGCGTTGCCACCGGTATGTCCTTAGAGCTGGTAGCACTGGTAACACTCGGCCACTACCTTCGTGCGGGCAGAGGAGTCCCACATGCACGAGTGGGGAGCAGGGACGTGCACGCACTGGTAACACTGCTAACGCTCGACTATTGCACACACTCGCCCGTTACCTTGGTGCGGGTAGAGGAGTCCCACACGCACGTTGTGCGCAGCTCATCGCCTGGCAGGAGCTCAAACTCAGGGAGAGTGGGCACCGTCTGCTGGGAGGCGAAGTCGCTGCAAACAGTTGAGGTGGAGGGTAGTGGTATGAGAGAAGGAAGGAAAGAGCTCAAAGTCTGCGCGTGTGGGAATGGTGTGCTGCGATGCAAAGTCGCTGAAACAATCTAAGGTGCGACGAGGGAAGGAAGGAAGGTGGTTATGCTGAGGGAGAGCAGGAAGGGTGTGCCGGGATTGCAAGGGGCTGCTGGGATGGCATGGGGTGCTAGGATGGAGAGAGAGAGAGACGGGGGCGAGTGGAGGTGAGGGGATGAGCGAGGGGAGGTGAGGGGATGGGCGAGGGGAGGTGAGGGGATGAGCGAGGGGAGGTGAGGGGATGGGCGAGGGGAGGTGAGGGGATGGGCGAGGGGAGGTGAGGGGATGGGCGAGGGGAGGTGAGGGGATGGGCGAGGGGAGGTGAGGGGATGGGCGAGGGGAGGTGAGGGGATGAGCGAGGGGAGGTGAGGGGATGGGCGAGGGGAGGTGAGGGGATGGGCGAGGGGAGGTGAGGGGATGGGCGAGGGGAGGTGAGGGGATGGGCGAGGGGAGGTGAGGGGATGAGCGAGGGGAGGTGAGGGGATGAGCGAGGGGAGGTGAGGGGATGAGCGAGGGGAGGTGAGGGGATGAGCGAGGGGAGGTGTGCGCTCACTAGTAGTCTTGGCGGTTGATGGTGCTGACCTTGCTGCCGCCCCTGATCACGTCAGTGAACATCTGCACGTGGGAAACAGAGAGAGGATGAGAGAACTGCGTATGAGCATGCCATGCACGTGGCATGGCGACCTTGCTGTCGCCCCTGGTCACGTCAGTGAACATCTGCACGGTAAGAAAACTGATGAGAACGCTAAATTCTCGTGGTTATCTGGCCATGGGCCACTGCACATGCACATGCAAAGAAGCCTCCTAAAAAGAGTGCTCCGAGACTCCCATAAAAAGGCCGGGCTTCACCCTGCATGGGTCGTACCTGGTGCAAGTCGTACCTGGTGCAGGTCGTACCTGTCGTCCCAGCGTGTGCAGGTGCAGCACCGACCCAATGATCTTGACACTCTCGTTCTTGAACACGGCCTTGGTGCATGCACCGGGGCACGTGCTGACTTGCGTCCAAGACGGCATGCCGGGGGGAATCTTGATGAGGTAGTCATACGCCACGGGGCCGACCAGCATGATGGACGCGTCCATGGGGCGGGGAGAGGGGGTTAGCTTCAGGTAGATGCCAGAGTTGTCGATGATGTCGGCACGGGCGGTGGGGTTGGTGAAGTGCACCTGGGGAGGGGGGAGTGGGGGCCGCATGGGATGCAAGAGAGAGAGGGAGGCAGGAAAAGATGGGGGGTGCGGAAGAGGTAGTCACGCTGGGGGGGGGGTGCGGAAGAGGTAGTCGTACTCCACGTGGGGGCCGACCAGCTTGATGGACGCGTCCATGGGGCGGGGGATTGGTGATAGCTTGAGGCAGATTCCGGAGCTGTGGTTGCTGTCGGCACGGGCGGTGGGGTCGGTGAATTGCACGTGAGGTGGGGGAAGAGTGGCGGCAATGCAGCATGGGGTAAGTGTGGCATGTGATGTGGCATGTGATTTAGCATGCGATGTGGCATGTGACGTGGCATGTGATGTGGCATGTGATGTGGCACGTAGTGTGAGGTGCACCCACCTGCAGCACGAACTTGGTGAAGTAACCCGGGCCGATGGGGTAGCCGACATTGTCCGGCAGCGTAAACGGCCTCCCCCCACAGCCCACATTGCCACAGTGGTGGCGCAGGGAGTGTCGTGCAGACAGTCAAAGACAGTATTGGCGGGGGGGAGATTGGCGAACTCGTCTCTGTAGGGGGAGGGGCGGCATAGGTGAGTGAGACGAAGGGCCTTACCCCCACGGCCCACATGGTCACAGTGGTGGCGCAGGGAGTGTCTCGCAGACAGTATCGGCGGGAAGGAGATTGGCGAACTCGTCCCTGCAGGGCGGGGGGGGGGGAATGGGGGGCTGACGGTGAACTGAGGTGAGTGAGGTGAGGTAAGGTAAGGTGAGGTAAGGTGAGGCGAGATGCCCGAGAAAGCAAAGGTAGGGGACTGGACAGTTGGCGTATGTGCTTCAGAAAGCCCAGTTAATTGTGGTGAGGTGAGGTGAGGTGAGGTGAGATGAAGCGCTCAAGATGAGGTGCAGACAAGTGGTTTTTGCGAGAGTGGATCATGGGTAAGACAGGGGTAAGCTTGAGAGTAGAATATGCGCTTGTCGCTTACGATTTGCAGCCGTAGATGATGGAATGATGGACGGCTGAGATGTCGGTCGAGTTGAGCACGGCGCCCCATTCAATCGCATGGGTCTTGACCTTCAGAGGAACGTCCACCACCTGCCAGCAGGAGAGAAAGAGTGCGAGCATTACAGATGGGTGCTTGCAAGCACTGCATGTGGATGTCAGTCGTGTTGAGCATGGCACCCCATTTCATTGCATGAGTCTTCACTGTCAAGGAACATCCACCACCTGCCGGCAGGAGAGATGGTGCCGGCATGAGAGATGGTGCAGGCATCACAAAAGGGTGCCAAAACACAGGAAACTAAGACAAAACCAAAAGGCCCGAGAGTGCAAAGGTAGTGAGAAATGGCGTATGTGCTGAGTCCTGCCCAGTGACTGCGACCTGGAAGGCCGTCACTCTCTGCAGCCGGTAGTATTGCCAGAGCCAGAGCTGCAGACTTATTGCCTGAGCAGGCACTACTCTCCCTTGGGAATTCCAGAGCCAGAGTAGCTAACCTCGGAAGAGTGGTGCTTCCTCCAGATTAGTGCACTACCCTTTGGAGCCTGTGCCTTACGTACCTTGCACATGTATGTGGTGTGGTTTGTCGGCACGCGGTAACCCGTGAACGTGACATTGAGCATGCTCTGCTGCTGCTGCTTCTGCTCCTGCTGCTGCTGCTGCAGTGCTGCTAAACGGCCAATCAATCCAGAAGCAGCAGTACCGGAATCCGATCCAGAAGCGGAGGAGGGAGGCGGTGGGGAGAGAATTGAGGGGCCGGGAGCTGGAGCGAGCACGAGAGAGGACGCGCCGCGGGTGGAGCCATGGTAGCTGACGTCATCCGTGGAACCAACGGCCCAGATGAGGCTGTGAAGCTTCCCAGGCACGATCGGACGGTCGTTGCAGTCTCCCGTGTCGAGGTGGCGCCACACGTGCACGGTGGTCCACGTGTCGCCCGTGGATTGGTTGGTGGTCTGGCTGCCGCCCAGCACCTTCCAGTCCTGCTGATCGTCCAACGCGACTCCCGCGGTTGTCTTGTTGAAGATGAATCGGTCCGTCGCGTACACGCGGCCTTCGCTCTCCGCCACCCAAGCAACGAGCGCATCTGCTCAAAGTGGGAAAGCGGAGGTGGGAAAGAGGAGGTGGGAAATATCCGTTGTCCAATGCTGGGCGTCCAATGCTGGTAATGCTAGTCGTCCAATGCTGGGGCTGGACTAGTTAGAAAATGAACCTGTGCGTCGTATACACGCAGGCTTCGGACTCTGCGACCCACGCGACGAGGAGTTCTGTTCATAGACGAGACAGGGGCATGCAGAGTCATGAACAGTGGTGCAGACCCACCCAACCATTTCAGCTAGCTTTTAGTTAAGATCAGTCGAGGGCACAAGGCTTGCTGCGGTTCGAATCCGTCAAATTCTCTGCAGAGTCATGAACAGTGGTGCTGCAGGGAGTGTCGTGGAGATCCTATCCGTCGCAGGTGGGGTATCGGGTTTAGGGTTGCATAACCCTTGAGTTCACCCTCCGCCATCACTGGTGGCACGCTCTCAGAACATTGTTTGAAGTGACGCACGAAAATAAACGCCAGTCTGAAAAACTGGGTGCTCTGACTTGAATTATCAAATCTCGGATGGTACCTGATCCAACCATGGATCCAATCTCGGAGATGCCTATAGCGAGCCATCCCGCCGTTTTGGCTCTGGCCGCCACGTGGATGGTCGCGTCGCTGTTGTTGACGGACCAGAAGAGCTCGAAGCGCGTATCCAATACCGCCACGCTGGAATAGGAGGACAGCTCGGGAACGGAAATTGCAGCGCCGCCTTCCGCGGCGGCACAATTCGTAAATGTATTGAATATGACCGCCAGGAGAAGTAGAAAATACGCGATTGAGGGCGAAATACCGCCGACGCTGTGTCGTATGAGCTCCATCGATGGACTCAAGTTAAATTTGACGCTTTTAGAAGAATTTAGGGCGAAGGGCTGGAAATCCGAGTCGCGATGGATCGCAGTGCGCTTCAGTGGATGTCAAATTAGAGCGAGCACGCTCGTCGGGATTTCCACTGTTGGCTGTTGAAGCGAAGCGACGGAAGGAGTGACGAATCGTCACTTGGGTGCGACAAAACGAACTTCAGAGTAGCTATACAAATACTCAACTGATTCAACTGTGGAGCATCTGTAAGTGACTGGTGAGGGGCGGATGTGGGGTGGCTCTGCGGAGGGGAGGGGCAATTTTGGGGAGTTTTGACTCGAGCCGCGATGTTTGTGGACTGGATTCTGGAACCTGAATCGAGGCCAGCTCTTGGATTGTTGTGCACGTATGGTGTGCAGACGAGGAAGCCGAACTGAAAATTCAGTGATTGGTCGCAAAGATCGCGGAGATTTGGTGAAAGTTTGTCCGCTTGTGTGCCAAGCCAGCATGGCACATGCGGTCAGTTCTCGGTCACTTCGTATGACGTGGGTTTTGCAATTTGGGTAGCTGATACGAGCGGTAACTCTCTCGCACGCTAGTTCGCGAAAACTTAAGAACGTCTTGGTGATGTCATCCGAGGCTTCGCGGAATGAGTTTTTTTCTAGTGGCCTGGACTGATGTCATGGTGGTGAAGGCATGAAGCCTGGGGTTGCGCAACCTGAGTACGTTGCGCAATCCGTTCTGGTTACGCATCTAGCAAACATTTCGACGGTACCTCGCAAACTTTTCTCTCAAGAAAAACATCGCCAGAACCGCAACCGGTTCCGCAATTCTGGGTTGTGCAACCCTAGTTTCCACGCCTTCATTGTGCCTGGCATGGACTCCCAGAAGAACCCCCTCATAGATTACCCACATACCGTTTTCTACATGACCAGGGCCAAAAAAGACCACGAATTCTGAATGCGTAAAAATAGGCCTTCAAAAAATTTGAGCGTGTTTCTTCAGCACAAATCGTGTATTTCACAGTATATGTTATAATTCCCATATTCCCGCTACTATTCTACTACCTCAACTCTACTCGATGGATTTCAGTATGTTCCTCCCCACGTCCAGCAGCACCAACAACACTGGTGAGAGCATCACGAGCAGCAACAGCATCATGACCATCAGCGGAAGCACCACCAGCATCCATATTCCCCCTCACGTGAATTCTCACGTCAGGTCCCCTCTCAAAGTTTCTACCCTGCCGCTCCTGCTCCTCCTGCTGCCCCTCCTGCTCCTGCTGCTGCGCCTGCTGCTGTACCCCATCCCCATGCACACCTCTCACCATCCCCACTTCAACACGTGTCACCATCTCCGCATCCCCGCCAGCAGCTGCTGCTGCCAGCTGGCGCTGCCTGACAGCCAATCGCGAGGCTTCCCTGAGCTCCTGCTGCGCCTCAGCATTGCCAGGCTGGCAGGTGGAGTGGGCACGGGGAAGATACAGTGAGGAGTGAATCAATGGAGAGAAGCATTGGCTGCGTGGGATTGTGGGGCTGGATACAGCGGAGGCGAGAGAAATTGGTAGGCAGCCGGGGAAAAGGGTGGAGAGAGGGAGAGAGAGTCGGGAGGTGCAGGTAGAGGTTCTGGGAGAAAATCAGGGGTCGATGACTTTAAAAGGAATCCAGGGGCGCGAATGGGGGAGAGAAGAGGGGGTAGAGGGGGAGAGGGGGAGGGAAAGGGGGAGAGGGCGGGGGGTGGGCGGGGGAGGGGGATAATGACCTGCAGCAACAGCGCGTGTGAGAAGGAGGCTTGAGCCAGCTGAGGCTCGCCGAAGTTGAGCTGAGCTCGCGCCAGGGTCACCCACGCGTCGTGCCATTCTGGGGCGATCTCTGTGGCACCTGCAGCGGACGCGGGAAGGAGAATGGAACTCATACCGGGACTATCCTGCAAGCATACGAGAATAGGATCTGCAGCGGTGCAGCCCAGCAAGGCTTGTCCAGGGCACATGCCAGCTAGGATGGCGCCTATCCGACTGCAATCATTGCATACGCCAGCTCGGAACAAGGCGCAATCATTAGAGCAATCATTACATGTGCCAGCTCGGACGGCCTCCCACAGTCGCCCCATCTCCATCAGCACCTGCGCCTTCTGCTCGAATAGCACCGCGCGCTGACGTGGCAGGGGACACAGGCCAATGGCGGCATCCCACGTGGCAAGAGCAGCAGGAAAATCGCCCGCCTGAGTGCAGGCAGGGGGGAGTGGGAGAGGGAGCGGGAGGGGGAGGGAGGCGGGATTGGAGGGATGGAGGGGAGGGAGACGACTTTTGAGGCGCCTCAAAAGGGAGAAGGAAGGTGAGGGAGCGGGGCGGGATCGGGTCTATGGGTAAATGAGGGGAGGTGTGTGGAAGTGAGGAGGTGGGGAACACCTAAGAAGGAAACGCGTGTCTCCCGCGTGCCTCCTGCGTGCCTCCCACGTGCCTGCACGTGCCTGTGCGAAGGCGTTTCCCCTTTGCTGGAGCTGCGCTGTCTCCTCAACTCTCGTCTTTCGCCTCGGTTCCGTCTCGCCTGAGATCCACGTGGCGTCTTCCCCGCGTGCCTCGTCAGCGACGGCCAGGTCACCACGCGAAGACGCTGCTGCCACGTCATCCTGGTCCCCGAATGCGCGGAGGACGGCCTCGCCGCCCTTGGCGCGTCGCATGCGCTTCTTTGCGCTTTTTGCGGCGGGAGTCCAGGCGAGCTGCATGGTGGCGCGGGAATCTGGCTAAGGGCGCGCGGGCCAGGGGGGCACTTTTACGTGAGATAAGTGACGATTTCCTCGCAAAAGTGCCTCCAACTATCACGCGAAAGAGTCCAAGGCGGCGCCAGTAGCAAGGGGACGAACTACAGGGTGAGATAGGAGGGTGGTCGAGCCGGAAAGCGGACGCTAACACGAAGCTCGCTACCTAAAATCGGCAAAATGCGGATGTGAAATAATCGGCAAATGCACTATCACTCCATTTTGTCCCTTCCAGTTTTAGTTATTTCTGTTCGCTGAAACGGAATGTCGCATATTGAAGATGCTCCGTTACTCGTTTGTGGCGTTATTCGGGAATATTTTGTCGCATGTTTATATATCGGCAAAACGATTTAAAGGTTCCGCTGCTACGTGCCTGAGATTCACTGGCTTCCACCGGCCATGCACCTGCCAAACACACCAGCACCAGCTCGCGAACCCTCGCGAGTCACTCTTCCTTCTATAACTCGTTTTCGCCTGGCGAATGCATCTGCAGCCAATTTGCCCCTCGAATATCGCAAATTTCTGGCGGGGATTCAACCAGGCATATGCAAATATTTCTGGCCCTCTTGTGCATGAGGGCGTATCCAAAGTTTCGCACGAGGATTTCGGCACAGGTTGGATCTCGACTTCGTAACTGTAATGGCACACACACGTTCAGTATAAGTTACGAAATCCAGAATGTGCATTTTCCGGCATTCTGTCCAAAGTGCAGTTATGTTTTGCGTCCTGTGGTGTACGAAGCTGCGATTTTCCCCAGAGATGTGTGTGTTCTACAAACTACGCACGTTCCTTTCACGAAACCAGTCACAGAAATTCGTCTCGTCATAATGGGCACCGGATAAAGTGTTCCTGTTACGCGACGTGCTCTCATCGCGTGACTCAAAGCCACTTTGGAAACGCCCTGAAGGCCGTTCTCCCTATTTGACTGCCCTTGCCTCATCAATGGCGCTCAATCCAGTCCAGTGCATTCCGGGTTCGGGCTCTCTTCAGCAGGTGCATGGGTTGCGTGGAACCGCGCACTTCGATTAGAAAGGACCCTATTCGGCGCGCAATTCGCGTCGACAGGTAATCTTGGTAACTTTGTTTACTGCCAAAAGTGAGAAAAGAACCGTGTGGAAGCAAGAACCCTCTGTCACAGAGGGTAAGCACGGTGTTCGTCTCCTTGCGTCCAGTAAGCCAACGCGATGCAGTCGCTCCGACCATCACCATCGTCGCGAATCCGTCTCTCAATCTCCCGCCATTTCCTCTCTCCGATTACCCACTTACCACTAAGAGCAGCAAGCAGAGCCTCGATTGGAGTCGCCAGCGCTGCAGATACCGGGCCTGTAGTTTCTTATTCGCGCTTGATCAAGAACGATCGTCCTTCGGCGCGAACTCTGAATCCTAATTCATCTGCCCTTCGGCGGGCTTTAACAGTCTCGCGACTGCCTTCCGCAGATTCCTCCCCCTGCCTTCGCACCGCCGCGCAGTCCGCGCCGCTTGCGGGTACCGTTTCCCCTTTTCGTCCGCGCGTTGCGCCCATCGCCCGCCGCGGGATTTCGTCGGAGCAAGCGCCTCCGCGCAACGTGCGCGTGATGGCGGAAGCGGAGCGGAAGGAGGAGGCCCCTGGCGAGGCGGGTCGAGCGGAGGAGGAGAGGGGCGGAGGGGAGTGCGCGGGGAAGACGCACCAGTACACGAATCGCCTGGCCAAGGAACAGAGCCCGTACCTGCTGCAACACGCGCATAACCCGGTAACCATCTCAACCCGGTAACCATTCATCTCCCTTCGAGATTGGCTCACTTCCTTTCTTTCTCCGTCCCATCCCTTTTCGTCACCCTCTCTGTCCGCCCCCCTGATTGTCCCGCCATGTTGAATTTAGCTGTGGGGGGGGGAGATCTGGGAGCGTCTGCGCTGATTCGCTGAGACATTTCCCCGTGCCCTCCCCCTCCACCTCCCCCTCTCCCCCCGCCCCCCCCCCCCCCCCCCTTTGTCTTCACCCCCTTCCTCCCCCCTCCCAGGTTGACTGGTATCCGTGGGGGGAGGAGGCGTTTGCGCGGGCGCGAGAGGAGGGGAAGCTGATCTTCCTGTCGGTGGGGTACTCCACGTGTCACTGGTGCCACGTCATGGAGGTGGAGTCGTTTGAGCGCGATGACGTGGCGGATATCATGAACGAGGGGTTCGTCAACATCAAAGTGGACAGGGAGGAGCGCCCTGACGTGGACAAGGTGAGACCTGTGCTGATGCGGACAGGGTGAGGGGCAAGCTGACGTGGACAAGGTGAGACCTGTGCTGACCTGGAGAATCACAACCAGATACAAGGGATTCTTCCACCCATGTATCTGGTGGTGGTTGCGGCTTCCCCCCCTTCTTTCCCCATGTCTACAGGACCTAGATGCAAGCCGCACGAGGCTGGGGTAGGTGGCCATGAGCGTGTTCCTCACGCCCTCATACCACTCTGCATCTGGCGGTACCTTTGTCTTTCTCCCCCCTTCGCCCCCCTTTACTGTCCGCCCGCTCAGGTCTGCATGACCTACGTGCAGGCCGCGCAGGGGGGGGGGGCGGGCGGCCCATGAAGGGGTCCGCCCTCGCTGCACCCCTTTCTTTCCTCCCTCTCTCCTCCCCCGCTATTCCCAGGTCTGCATGACCTATGTGCAGGCTGCGCAGGGGGGGGGGACGGGCAGCCCATGTCTTTCTTTCCTGTCCTCGGAGGTACCTTTCTCATCCTCCCTCTCTCCTCCCCCGCTATTCCCAAGTCCACATGAGCTACATGCAGGCCACGCAGGGCCGGGGCGGGCGGCCCATGTCTTTGTTTCCTGTCCTCGGCGGTACCTTTCTCATCCTCCCTCTCTCCTCCCCCGCTATTCCCAAGTCCACATGAGCTACATGCAGGCCACGCAGGGCCGGGGCGGGCGGCCCATGTCTTTCTTTCCTGTCCTCGGTGGTACCTTTCTCATCCTCCCTCTCTTCCCCGCCCTGTATTCACATTCTCAGGTCTACATGACCTACGTACAGGCCACGCAGGGGGGGGGCGGGTGGCCCATGAGTGTGTTCCTCACGCCATCTCTGCACCCCGTCTTTGGCGGCACTTACTTCCCTCCAGAGGACAAATACGGCCGCATTGGCTTCAAGTCCCTGCTCAAGTGAGTTTTTTTCCTCTCAGGTGGATGCTCAGGTGAGTATGTTTTCCCCCAGGTGGATGCTCAGGTGAGCTTGTTTTTCCCTCGGGTGATTGTCAGGTGAGGTGGCAACAGCACTTCTTTCCTCGCATGGAAAAGTTTCGTGTTTCTCCCCACACCGCTTCCTGTGTTTCTGCCCATACCGCTTCCTGTGTTTGTCCCCATACCGCTTCCTGTGTTTCTGCCGCCTCCTCATCCATCCTCCGCGCCTCCTTCTGTTTGTCGCTCTCTCCTCGCCTTATGCTCCTCCCCCCCCCACTCTCCAGGCGAGTTCGCTCTGTGTGGGAGGTCCGGCGCAGTGAGGTGCAGAGCGGTGCAGAGGATGCCATGGCGCAGCTGCAGGAGGCCATGCAAGGGGGAGGGGCGAAGGCGATGGTGGAGCGCCCCTCCACCAGCAGCAAGGGGGAGGGGGAGGCGGAGGGGGGGGCGGAGGGGAAGGCGGAGCAGGAGGAGGAAAGGGTGAGAAGACTAGCCGAGGAGGCAGTGAAGCTGTGCACGGAGCAGCTGGCCTCGCGGTACGATCACAAATTGGGGGGGTTTGGGTCGGCGCCCAAGTTCCCCCGCCCCTCAGAACTCAACCTGCTGATGAGGGCGCACCTGAGGGAGGCGCAACTGGGGGAGGATGCGGAAAAGGGGAAGGGGAGGGTGGTGAGGGGGACGGGGCCGGGCGCGCTGGAGATGGTGGTTCACACGCTGGAGTGCATGGGAAGGGGGGGCATGCACGACCACGTGGGAGGGGGCTTCCACCGATACTCGGTTGATGAGTACTGGCACGGTAAGGCGTGGTGTGGTGTGGTCAGGAATGAAAAGGAATGGTAAGGCACGGTATGCCATGGTGCAACGCAGCCCGCTGGAGATGGTGGAGTGCATGGCGCGGGGGGGCATGCACGAACACGTGGGGGGGTGTTTCACCGATACTCGGTTGATGAGTTGTGGCACGGTAAGGAGTGGTGATGTGCGGGGTACGCCAGGGTGCCAGGCGAGCTGGAGAAGGTGACTCGCATGGGGCGGGGGGGCATGCACGACCACGTGGGGGGGGGGGGGGGTTTCACCGATTCTTGGTTGACAAATTCTGGCATGGTAAGGCGTGGTGTGGTGAGGTGTGGTAAGGCGTGGTGTGGTGAGGTGTGGTAAGGGTAGTGTGCTGCTCTACGATCAAGGCCACCTCACCAACTCTATCAGCTGCCTCACAATACAAGCGCTTCCTTGCCTCACGATCAAATTGCTCCTCTCCAACACCCCCCCCCCCCTCCCCTCTCCCTCCCTTCACCCCTCAGTGCCCCACTTCGAGAAGATGCTCCGCGACCAAGGCCAGCTCGCCAACTCGCATCCGCACCTCGTGTTTGTTTCCAAGACCCCTCCCCCAATTCCCTCCTCCCTTTTTCCCCCCCACCCTCCCAGTGCCCCACTTTGAGAAGATGCTCTACGACCAAGGCCAGCTCGCCAACTCCTATCTCGACGCGCTTCTCATCACCGGCCGCCCTGATTTCGCGCGCATGGGGCGGGATATTTTGGACTATGTGCGGCGGGACATGACGCACGTGGAGGGCGGCATCTTCAGTGCGGAGGACGCTGACAGCCTGGCGGCCGTTACTGACGAGAGGAAGAAGGAAGGGGCGTTCTATGTGTGGAGTGAGAAGGAGGTGAGTGTGTGGTGGTGGATGGAGCTTAGTCCTTGACCCTTGAGGAGGGTGATATTTTCAGTGCGGAGGATGCTGACAGCCTCGCAGCTGTTGGTGACGAGAGGAAGATGGAAGGCGCTTTCTATGTTTTTTGAGGCGCCTCAAAAAGGCGCTTTCTATGTTTGGAGTAAGAAAGAGGTGGGTGTGCGAGACAGAGGCGACAGGCGCTGAAGCCCCTGTTTGCAATCAGCAGCTGTTTGCTTTTGAGGCGCCTCAAAAATAGGCGCCTCAAAAATAGACTCATTGCATGATTGCACTCACCCACCTTCTCATTACTAGCCAGCAGCTGTTTCAGCGTAAAGGACGCTGACAGCCTGGCAGCGGTTTCTGATGAGCGGAGGAAATCGGGCGCTTTCTACACTTGTAGTGAGAAGCTGGTGAGTGCGAGGTGAGCAAGCGTGCTGGGCGCCAGGCAAGGGTGCTGGGCGCCAGGCAAGGGTGCTGGGCGCCAGGAAAGGGTGCTGGGCGCCAGGCAAGGGTGCTGGGCGCCAGGCAAGGGTGCTGGGCGCCAGGCAAGGGTGCTGGGCGCCAGGCCAGGGCGAGGATGTGTGCAGACGAGGGAGGAAGAATCTGTGTCTCAAGCTCGCTGCACACTGTGAAAGGACGGATGGCAGATGAAACCTCCCCGTACCCATATTTTTCCCCATTCCTTTCCAATGTAGATTGCATCAGTCCTCGGCCCCACCACCCCCTGCCACCGCCTCTTCAGCACAATCTACGCTGCATGCGCAAGGAGAGCAACGGCGTCCTAAAATCCGCAGCCTCTGCCCTCTCTCCTGTCGGTCCCTCCATTCCGTCATTCAGATTGCATTGATCGTCGGCCCCTCCTCTCCCCGCTGTCGTCTCTTCACTGACCTTGTCACTATGCACAAGGATGGCGACTGCCACCTCCCCTCTATATATCTCCCTAACCCCCTCCCCTCCTGCCATGGCTGTTTCTACCCCATCGTTTCAGATTGCATCAATTCTCGGTCCCTCAACCCCTCGCTTCCGTCTCTTCACCACCCTCTACACTGTGCGCAAGGATGGCAACTGCGACCTCTCCCCTCGCTCCGACCCCCACAACGAGTTTGCGGGGCTCAACTGCCTCATCCAGCGTTGCTCTGTGGCTGAGGCGGCTGGAAAAGCGGGCGTACCGGAGGAAGAGGCAGAGGAGGTGAGAGCTCAATAGGGGCCCTGGAGTCAATAGGTGCCTGTTACGCCTTTTGCCCTTTTTTTCTCAATATGAGCTCAATAGGAGTTCCCTTTTTTTTTGTTTTTTTGCTAGACGGCACTGCAGCACGCCCATATGCAACACGCCTTACTGCTGCAGATGGGCGTTGCAGATCAGGTTGGATTTGGATATTGCTGTTGCAGATCCAAATGGGCGGGCATTACCCAAATGGGGTTACTACTGCTGTTGCACATCCAAATCCAACGCCGTTCCTACCCGGTAGGACTATCTTCTATCGGTTCTCCACAGACCCTACTTCACCCTCCCCGCATATCAGGTGCTAGTGTAATGAGTCGATTTTTTAGTCGACTCAAAAATCGACTCATTACACACGGCAGGTGATTGTCGCCAGTTGCGTGAGGAGTCTATTTTTGAGGCGCCTCAGAAATGTTCTCCACAGCCCCTTCTTCACCATCCCCGCATATCAGGTGGTGGTTGGTAGCCAGGTGATTGTCTTTTTTTGAGGCGCCTCAAAAAGGTGCTAGCCAGGTGATTGTCGCCAGTTGCTGCATGCAGCAGCAGTGATCCTCTCCTCTCCCCCGTCATCGTTCCTCGCCGTTTCTCCTTCCTCCTGTACTCTCCCCCATATCAGGTCCTAGTTTTTTTAGGATTCTCAAAACCAACTCAACTTCTTCCTCTCCTTCCTCTCCATCCTCTCTTTGCCCTCCCCCTATCAGGTCCTAGGCGAGTGTCGCCAGTTGCTGCATGCAGCCAGGAGCAAGCGACCCCGCCCACATCTGGATGATAAGGTAGGCCCGCCAATGTACGTGTAACCATGTCACCCTGTACCGATGTAGCCATGTAACCGTGTAACCACGTAGCCGTGTGCCCGTTTTGATCGTAAGGTGTGTCCACTCATAGTCTCACCAAATGTTATCCAGCCCTCCAGCAAGGCACCCTTCCTTCTTCCGCTACCTCTTGCCTGTCATGGAGCAGACTTGACTGCAGCTCTCTCTGAATCAAACCCCCCACCCCGTATCCACCGCCCCTCTCCCCTCATTCCTCCCCCTTCCCGCTCTTTCCTCCCCTTCCCCCTCTTTCCTCCCCCTTCTCCCTCTTTCCTCCCCCTTCCCCCTCTTTCCTCCCCCTTCCCCCTCGTTCCTCCCCCTTCCCGCTCTGCTCCCCCATCTCCCCCACCTGTCGCCTGTCAGGTCATAGTGGCTTGGAATGGGCTCATGATATCTGCCTTTGCACGAGCGTCTCGGATCCTCCAATCGGAGCCTGCCACGTCATCCCACCACTTCCCCGACGACGGATCCCCGCCGTCCGTCTACCTCGCCTGCGCCGTCCGGGCGGCGAGTTTTGTCCGGTCCAAGCTGTACGACCCGGCGTCTTTGCGCCTGCGGAGAAGCTTCCGGGAAAGCGCGTCCGAAGTGTGGGGGTTTGCGGATGACTACGCCTTCCTGGTAGCTTCCTTGCTGGACCTGTTTGAGGCCTCGGGCGACTCTGATTGGCTGGCGTGGGCCATGGAGCTGCAGGACTCGCAGGTGGGTGGTATTGGGGGTGTGAGGGGGGTGGAAGGGGGTGGAAGGGGGTGGAAGGGGGTGGAAGGGGGTGGAAGGGGGGTGAAGCGGGTGAAGGAAAAGGCTGTCGTTGCAGCTCCAATGAGCTGCGTGGGCCAGACGTGTGGGCCTTGGAGCTGCAGGAAACGCAGGTGGGTGTTGGGGTTGGGAGGGTGGGGAGGGGGCGGGAGGGCGGGAGGGGGGGGGGACTGATCCGGCATGTCTTATTGTTGAGTTGACTCAAAAATAGACTCATTGCATGCGGGAGTGGTGCGGCACCAGGAGCCTATTGCTCCTGGTGCCCTCATGGCTCATCGTGGGCCGTGGGGCTTCAGGAAACGTTTTGAGTCGACTTGCTCATCGTGGGCCGTGGGGCTTCAGGACACACAGGTAGGTGTTGGGGGTGGGAGGGGGTTGGGGGGGGGGTGATGGTTGAGTGGTGGGGGAGGCCGCCATTGCAGCTCCAATGAGCTGCGTGGGCCGGACAGGTGGGCCTTGGAGCTGCAAGACACACAGGTGATTGTCGGGGGTGGGAGAGGGAAGGGGGAAGGGGAAGGGGAGGGGGAATGGGGAAGGGGAGGGGGAAGGGGGAAGGGGGAGGGGGAGGGGGAAGGGGGAGGGGAAGGGGGAGGGGGAAGGGGGAGGGGGGAGGGGGAGGGGGGCACGGGCCATGGAGCTGCAGCGGATTTTTTATGGGGGTATTTCTAGGGGTAGCCTTCATTTCTACTGCAATTGAACATTGCTTTCCCTCCTCTTGACTCCAGGACCGCCTGTTCTGGGACGAGGAGGGGGAAGGCGTATTTCAACACGGCAAAGGGCGACCCGTCTCTCCTGCTGCTCCTGTTTGTGCCTCTCCCTATCTCACACGCACACATGCACACATGCACACATGCAGACATGCGCTCTCCCCTACATCAACACAGGACCGTCTGTTTTGGGATGAGAAGGAATGGGCACATTTCAACACAGCAGAGGGCGATTCCTCTCCTGCTGCGAATGAAGGAGGACCATGACCTGCTGTCGTCCGCCCCATTTCTCTATCGCCGCACGCTGCACCCTGACACCCACACAGGACCGCCTGTTCTGGGACGAGAAGGAAGGAGCCTATTTCAACACAGCAGAGGGCGATCCTTCCCTGCTCCTGCGAATGAAGGAGGACTACGACGGGGCGGAGCCCGCTGCCAGCTCAGCAGCAGCTGCCAGCCTGGCGCGCCTGGGAGCCATGATTGGCGGGCCGAGGGGCGAGGAGTTCCGGAGGAAAGCAGCCAAGTGCCTGGTAAGCGAATGCCTGGTGAGTCCATTTTTTGGCAGGAGAACGTATGTGCTTCATATGGCGGAGGGGATGTAAGGATCCTGTTGGAGAGGGCCGAGGAGTTCCAGAGGAAAGCGACCAAGTGCCTGGTGGGTCAATTGCTTGGCCGAACGTATGTATGTGCTTTGCCGTGTGTCTCAACCAAGAAGTATCTCCTTTTGCTGTGCTGCACGGCTTGCCCTTGACTCAGATGTGCTGCACGGCTTGCCCTTGACTCAGATGTGCTGCACGGCTTGCCCTTGACTCAGATGTGCTGCACGGCTTGCCCTTGACTCAGATGTGCTGCACGGCTTGCCCTTGACTCAGATGTGCTGCACGGCTTGCCCTTGACTCAGATGTGCTGCACGGCTTGCCCTTGACTCAGATGTGCTGCACGGCTTGCCCTTGACTCAGATGTGCTGCACGGCTTGCCCTTGACTCAGATGTGCTGCACGGCTTGCCCTTGACTCAGATGTGCTGCACGGCTTGCCCTTGACTCAGATGTGCTGCACGGCTTGCCCTTGACTCAGATGTGCTGCACGGCTTGCCCTTGACTCAGATGTGCTGCACGGCTTGCCCTTGACTCAGATGTGCTGCTCGCTGGATCTGCTGTTGTGCTTGCCGTTGACTCTGTTCCTCTCCTATCCACACTCACTCCCTTCCCCCCCTCTCATCCGCCCCACTCCCCCTTCCATCCGCCCCCTCCTATTGGCCAGCTGGCCTTTGAGGACCGTCTCACCCGCATGCCATTAGCCGTGCCACAGATGTGCTGCTCGCTGGATCTGCTGGCTGCCACATCAGCGCCAGCTCAGCGCCAGGTCATCATTGCTGGGCCACGGGGCAGGCCTGAAACTGAGGCGCTGCTGAACGCTGTGTTCTCCGTGCTGCAACCGCATCTTACTGTAAGGGGGATGTAACATTTGTTTTCTTTTTTTTAACCATGCTTCTCCATTGCTCTTATTGTCATGAAGTAGCAATTGCTCATATGGCATTCCCTCCTCGCCATTCCCCTCCCCACCTCCACCCTTCTCACTCTCCCCACCCCCCCCAATGTTTCCTCCTATTCTCCTCAGCTCATCCCTATTGATCCATCCAACCAATCGGATGTTGCCTTCTGGCAGCAGCACAATCCAGCTGTCCTTGCCATGGCATCCAAGGGCATGGGTGACAGGTCTACTGGCACTGCCACGTCAGCAGCAGGGGATGAGGCAGCAGCAGCAGGTGCTACGTCATCAGCGTACGTGTGCCAGAACATGACGTGTCTGGCGCCTGTGTGTGAGCCGGACAAGCTGGTTTCTCTTTTGAAAGGAGGGCTGCAAGGGGGGATTGGTAGTGTGTCTGCGTTTGCCTTGCCTGCTGGGTGGTCTGGAAAGAGTAAGGGGTAGAACTTGCGTGAGACAGGCTGCCTAGGATTTGCATAATAGGCAGATGAAGGCGGCTTTCGTGAGTGAGCTAGCTCTGGCACTATATGAAGACATCTAGTGGGAGCATTGATGTGTACATACATACTTATTCTCCACTACAAATATATGTTTTATGGATGTGCGTGTCCCTTGACATAGCATGAACAGGCTGACCACTCGCGAGGTCTGTACCAACCTCTTATGTGCATGATTGGCCTACTTATTTCGTATCCATACAAATATTGTACGTATATGGCATTTTGGACTCATCTGATAACCAGAGTACAGTTTTAGGGAACGGAAATGGCAGAAGGGCCGACCAACCCTTGGGTGTGACGCCTCCGTTGATCAAGCGCTGAAGCATACAGCTGGCACTTGCTGGTGGGAGGGAGAGGTGTGGCTGCATTGCTTGGTTGGATACTCCATATAGTCTATCCCTCCGCTATAGGGTAAGAAGCCCACTACAATTCCAAGATTGCAAAAAAGGAACACACACTGCCCTTGTTTTGGTCACCCCCTTACTGCCACCAGTTGCACTGCCTTCATTTTCCACCACAGCCTGATGCCCATGTTTCCTCTCTGCCCGTCGCTGCCAGCCAGCCTTCTGATAACTGGGCGGGGCCTGTAACCCTATCTCGAGCAACCTTAGGTGCTCCATACAATCGACTTCGAGTTGCTTCTCCGCGTGGGGCAACGTGTAATAGCTGTAGACAGATTGGCGTTGCGCCTAAAAATGTCAAACCCATGTGAACGACCTTTCGGGTCGCCCCCCAGTGTGCTGTTTTTGCTTGGAAGTTCAGAATAGGGCTCACTTCTATCAGATTTTACGAACTGCATTTTGAGAAATGGAGGTTGTTGAAAGGTGTAGGTGCACGAGGCGGAGCGTGATTCGTCGATACCGAGCCGCATGTTGGAGTGGCGGTTTGCATGGTGGTTGGGAATTGTAGCCAACTGCGCGCTTCGATTTCAGCACGCAACTCAACTCAATGCAATGCAACACACCGCCTCTTCACTTCCCTCACTCTCCCAGCAGCAGCAGCACCCCCGAATCCCCGATCTTCCGATCTTCACTTCCCTTGCCTCCACACCTCAATCGATGCGTCTGCACTGCTCTCACTCACACAAGCCGTACAAATACAACAACTCTTCATTTTTCCCCGACACCCTTGCCTCCACAACTAGTACCCGCTGCATATTCATCAGTTGCCTTTACCCGCTACTGGTAGTCTCCGCTACCTGTTTCATCTCCTAACCTCGTCGACTTTCATCGAGCAAACATGGCGGCCAGACATAGCGTTCTCGCAGTGGTGCTTCTTCTCCTCGCACTCTTCTCTGCTCTCCATGTCACCGAGGCGAAAAAAAACCGCGGCAGGCAGAAGCTCTCTGCACTCGATCAAGCCTCGCAGAATTCCCGAGCCGCGCAGAACAACGTCGCGTACGCGCAGAAACAAGCCGACCAGCTCTCGGCAAAAGCGACGGCCGCCGTTGCCACAGCGACACAGAGGGAGACGGACGAAGCAACGGCTAAGGGCGATTTCGAAACGAAGCTCGACGCGTTGGCTACAGCCGCCGGCGCGCTCCCCCCGCTCGACTTCGCGCAGCAAAAGGCGGAGCAGTGGGCGGCGCTCGCTACGAAGAAGTACAACGCGGCTGTAGCGCGGCTCGCCCTCGCGAATAAGTACAAGACGGCTGCTACAGCCCTCTCCGCGCTCGTCGACGCTGCGATGTCCGCCGCAACAACCGGGCTGACTGCCGCTACGACCGACCTCACCGACGCGAACACCGCCGCGGATGCCGCCGCTACAGCCGCCGACGCTAACCCGACGTCCGCGCTTCGCGCCGCGGCAGCCGCGAAGTATGTCGAAGTGGCGATCGCGCAGTCAATCAAATCCGCGTGGGAGGATCACTCCGCTATAGTCACCAACCTGCAGACGGCCGCTCAGGCCGTTGTGACTGCAGCGGACGCCGAAGTAACCGCGGCCACGTCGGACGAAGCGTCCACCAAGACCGATAAAGACACTGCCGACTCGGACTTAACCGCCGCGAATACCGCTCTCGCCACGGCGCAGCAGGACTACGATTCCGCAAAGACGGACTACGACAACTCGAAGCGCCTCTACGAAACGGCTAGGTCGTACACGACCGCGTCGCGTGCGGACGAGCTGGACCTTCTGGCGCGGAACCGCGCCGCGCAGATGAAGCTTCTCGCGCAGTCCGTCGCGAGCGCCAAGGCGTCGCGCACGCTCGTGTCGGCGATCACGAGCGACACGAAGAACAACCGCGCGCCGTGGCAGCAGAACGCGGCGCAGATGGCAGCGGCTAACCCGGACGCGCTCAGGGCAATGGGCGAGATACTCGCGTCCAGCAGGGCCCCATATTTGAGCGGAGGAGCGGTTTGAGCGGTTTGAAGTAGGGAGCCGAAGTAAGGAGCCATTGCCGCCACTAACTGTGCAGACATCAGGCAAGACAGACTAACACAGTGGTTCTCATGCCACTGCCAGCGGTTGTCTACTGAAGCGCCACAATTCTGACAAGGTATTTACCTGCTGACAATGTCTGTCTCTGCACCTTTTTTGGGCCCAGGTGCCTGGGTGTGGTTGGTTGGTTGGGTTTTGATTAGGTCGTGCTGAGTGTGGATGGCTGGGTTTACTTGGGTTTAGGTGGGTTTGGGTGGGTTTGGGTGGTTGGGCATTAGAGGCCATAAGTCCCCCCACAACCCCAATCCTGTCAGGGGCTGGCACTACTGGTACCTTGATGGTGTATGCCTATGTGTTGAGTGCACATAATGAATGGATTATTAGTTCATACCGAAGTAAATGCACATCAGAATCAAACTCCAGCAAGCTGTATGCAAACCTGCAAACCTCCTCCTTACCCTTCCCCATCCCTCCTTTCCCCCATCCTTTCCCCTCCCCCCCCCCCCCCTCCGACCTCCTTCCCCCCTCCCCCCCTCTCCCGTCTGCCCCTCTCCCCTCCAATCACAATCCTTTTTCCCCACAGCTCCCCTCCGTTCCCTGCTCATCTCACCCCTCCCCTCCCCCCCCCCTCACAAAGCTCCTACAGTAGGTTCTGATTCTTGTCCCAGGAATAAAAACACCTTTAAACACCTTTTCCCTCACACACGCTTGGTCTAACTGAACACCTTCCTCAAAATGTTAACTGAAACCCATAACTGCGTACAGTTGAGCCATTCTGTGCAATTCTAAAAAATCTCTGGAAAAGAAATGACAGCAATTCTAAGAAAGAAAGAACATGTGACACACTGCCCTTGCTCCTTGTATCATCGTAGCCTCCAGGAACTGGGCTTATCCAATGAAAAAAGATGCCTCAGTAAGACGGGCCGCCTAGATTGGAACTGCACACCTCCAAACACCAGACACCGTTTTTATGCATTTTTCAGATGATACAGAGGAGTGATGTCATAACTTAGAGCAAATCTAGGGGGAAACTAAATCTGTGCAGCGTCATATTTCGAGGATATTTCTATGCGGGACCAATGACCAGGAAACGATCGCCAAGGTCTTGACGAGGCCTCTGCAATTGGCAAATAAGGAGGGGGGGGAAGGGTTGGGGAAGGGGAGACATAGGCAACAATGAAGAGTGAGCAAACACAAGAGACAGGAGATGTACTGCTGGGGAAAAGAGCCAGTCGCTTAAGCGGGGTGAGGGTTGGGGAAGGAGAAGGGGGAGGCCAAGTTTGAGGCACCTCGAAAGGCGGGGGAGGGGGTGGAAGTTGGGGGAGGAGGAGGGCAGGCGGAAAAAGCGAAGATGGGTGGAGCACGGTTCGGTAGAAGAGAGGTGAAGGCGGTCCAGTGGACATATGGCCTCGAATTTTCTAAAATGTTATCGTTCTCACAGAGTTGAGGGATTGAGGCTGCCAGTCACCCACATACACCTCACTCACACATCCCATTGCGGCTTGACTCAATTCCACCAAGCCCAGAAGAAACATACCGAGTTGAGGGCCAGAGGTTGCCAGTCGCCCATGTATTGCATTGCATGATCTCATCCACACATGATTCATCCCTCCTCTTTGAGCGCAATCTCCCTCCCCACTCAACCCAATCCCACCCAACCCACTCTCACCGAGTTGAGGGCCAGAGTCTGCCGGTCGCCCACATATCGCATGAACTCAACCACTTGTGCGTCAGGGATGCGGAGAGGGGAGGCTGGATAGACGAAGGCGAGGGATGAGGGAGGAAGGGCGGGGAAAACACAAGGGCAGGCGTTACGCATGGGCTCAACCACTGGGCTTCTGGGACGCCGAGAGGGGATGCTGACGAGGGGGAAGAGGAGGAGGGGAGGGGTGACGAGGGAGAAGGGCATGGGAGAGGGATACGGAGAGAGAGTGCGTTGTTGGAGGGGGGGGAGGAAGGTGGGGAAAAATTCTGAGGCGCCTCAAGACGAGGGAGAAGGGCATGGGGGAGGGATACGGAGAGAGAGTGCGTTATTGGAGGGGGGGGAAGGTGGGGAAAGAGGGGGAGGGGGGAAGCATGGGGGGAGGGCATGGCATGTTTGACAGTGGTACATGCTGCGTGTGCGCGACCACACGAAATGAGGTGGAGAGACAAACGTGCAGGGGAACGGTGAGAGGGGCAAAGCATGGAAGTGGGACGTAGGGAGGGAGGGGGGGAGGGGAGAACAGGAGAAATTTGTGCATAGTGTGACTTACAGAGGACAAACCAATCAACACCCTCAGAGCACGGGGGGGTGGTGAGAGACCCCTTGTAGTGGATGTAATTGTGGGCACCGTCCTGGGCAGCACACGGGAAGAGAAGAGCGACAAAAGGTAAAGACAAGTAGTGAGATAGCGCCATGAGATCGTCACAAACGCTGTGAGCGAGGCCCTGTACTGAATGTAGTTATGGGCGCCGTTATGAGCATGTGGCAAGGGAGGGCAGTTGACATGGCAAGCAAAAGAGACTTGATATGGTTGGAACCCATAGCGAGCTACCAATCAGACAAATGTTTCTAGGCTACTCCCCCAACTCCCTCAAGTGCATACACTATTACATGCACCGCTATTACATACACTATTACATGCACTAGGCCTCATGCATCAGAAAGTAGCCAATTTTCCAGGCTCGGCAATGGGAGCTCACCGAGGGGAGACTCGGGACTCACTGCTCTGTCAGGCTTGGGGAGGAGAGGCTCGGGGCTGATCTGGATCTTGAGGCACTGCTTCAGGGGCTTGCCGCCGCCCACTGCCGGCACCTCGAAGCACTCCACTGGTCCCGCACTGGTGGGGGGAGACGAGGGAGGAATGGTAGAGGATGAGAGGGGAAGTTAAGAGGACGAGGGGGGGAATCTTCACACGCACTGCTTCAAGGGCTTGCTGCCGCTCGCTGCTGGCACCTCGAAGCACTCCACTGGACCCGCGCTGGTGAGACCAGCCAACAGTACGAATAGTTGATACGCCCCTACCAGAATCAGCACATGATGGTACTCTCACATTTCCCTCCGGAATTTCCTCTTCCTCTCAACCTCACATTCCCCAAGATCTCACTCCTCGCTCCATTTGAATCCGCACTGCACCGTGCACTCACATCTGCTTGAGCTTCTCGTTGGGCGAGAAGGCCAGCGCGGCCTCGAGACAGAGATTCCGGGGAGCCTTGGGGTCGGCCTCCAGCATCACTCTGTTGAGGCGGGGGGGGGGGGGGGGGGGGGGGGAGTTTGACGGAGAAAGCGTTAGGATTTTTGGGAGACAGGGATTCCGGGGAGCCTTGGGGTCGGCCTCCAGCTTCACTCTGTTGGCGGGCGGGCGGGATCGAGGGCGAAAGCGGAATGGAGAAGAGGAAGAGTGCAAAGCCATTCAAAAGCAGGTTTGATAAAACGGTGAATATGGCCTGGATACAAGGGAGGAGTGTCACTGGTGCTAGAGCTAGGGACGAAGGAGCTTACCCTACGACTGCGAGTTTGCCCTCCGCATCACCTGGAAGAGAGAGGGAGAAGGAATGAGAGATGGGAGGAACGCACGGGAGTCTATTTTTGAGGCGCCTCAAAAAAAGGAATGAGAGATGGGAGGAACGCACGGGAAGAGGGAGAAAGTTAGAGAGAGGACCACTTGAGTGGGAACACGCATGAGGCCATGTTTGGTTGGGGTCGCAAACGGCATGAGAACAAGTGGCTGAAAGTCGTGATGGTGCGATCGCATTACGCTGTGGAGAAAGTGGTGTGTTGTTTTATCACGTACGGTGGACATGACACGGCGATCGTACGTACGGTGAACGAGATGTGCCTCCATGGCGGTACGGATGCCGTTGAACGAGTGCTCGCTGGGCGCGTGGAAGTGATACTGCAGCAGCTCCAGCTTGCGCCCGCCGATCTCGCACGTGTTGCTGCCGCCGGGGAAGTTCACCTGCGAAGGAACGGTAGGAAAACAAGAGTCAAGATCACGCCTCAGAAATCGGGAAGCGACTAAGGGGGAAAGGCGCAGTCAGAGGTAGGATTTGGGGATGCTGGGAGAGGATGGAGAGGGGAGGGAGGAGAGCAGCAGCCTTATCTATGGCCGAGTTGCATCAGGACGGAAAATGCGTAGGGAGGTGAGACGAAAGGCACGAGTCCATCATTTAACCATACAGAGCCATCCTAGCAATTGCCTTGTCCACATAACTTGCCACCATCCCACAGCTTGCCATAGCAAGTGTATCACGATATTGATGCTAGGTCACGACAGAGCTACCAGCATCTTCTTCTTATCGAAACGGCTGACTGACCTGCATGGTGCCGTGTCCAGTGTTGAGGAAGCTCGCATCGGCGCGCTTATATCCGAACGCGAGCTTCCCGATGCTATTGTCCGACACAATCTTCGGCGCCGTCAGGGAGATGTCGATCGGCGACTGCGCCGCGCCGGTCTTGCACACCGCACCCCACTCGTTCGGGCCTGACAGCTCGCCGTAGCCCCAGTCCGCGGCGAGCGCGGCACCCATGGACGGCGAGCCCGAGTCGCAGATAGGGCAGCCGACGACAGCGGCCATGCCGGCCGCCATTCCGCCGAGGATCAGCCGCCGGGACACGGCGCGCTTCGCGTGGGTGTGGGAAGAAGCAGCCTTGGCTCCATCCGAGCCTTCCGACGCGGCAGCACAGCGGGCTGAGAGGGGTTTACGCGATGCGGAGGGAACGGAGGAGGGGAAGGCGAGAGTGCTGGCAGACTGGCCGAGGAACTGGCTGGCCTCGAGCACGCTCTCGGTCTTGAGAGCGCCTGGGAGCTTAGCGGCGACTCCGGCAGCCATGGCAGCCATTTTCGACGAATTTCTGGTCGAAAGAAAAAAGTGAGAGCTGTGACTGCAAGGGGAACGTCGCAGAAGAAAATTAGTAGATGCTAATCAGCTGAAGTGGAGATTATCACCTAACAAAACGTTCTGGCCAGCTTCGTTCTACCTGGGGAGGGGCCTAAAAAATAGTCACCTACTCACCCACCCACCTCGTACACTCGAGTCCCCTTCACCTCTCAGTCCTGCCAATTTCTGAAACCCGTTTTCACGGCTTGGTGAACTCCAGGGCTCACGAGTCACGATTGGACGGGAACGATTGGGCGTGCTCCAGTCATCCAACGGAGAATGGAGCCTCGAGGTTGTTTTTTCCCGCTGAAGACGGAATTCTGAACAAAAGGTTGGCCTTCTGACAATGTTGTGGTGTACAAACTTCGAGAAGATCCTCCACGAAAGAAATTATTCGAATAACGAAGCGCTGGTTCCTCCAATAGAGTGCACCTGCCATGGTGGAGAATCCACGTGGCTTTTCTCCTTGTGGATGGGAGGGCGAGGGGGCTAGTTGCCTCTAACATGACGTGGCTGGAAACTGCATTTCTCGCTCTAACGAATTCTTCTATTGGAACGTCAATCAAGGATAAATTCAGACGAAGATGTGCTCTCGTTTGTAGACTACTCGTGACACTCGTTTAACGAAGAGAAACATATTTGCAATACGGAATGTTTCATTATAGTTATAGAGTAACACAGCTGAAGCGTACAACCAGCATCAGGCACCAGCCACTTGGCGCTCGCTGACTGCAGAGGAAGATACTCCGCCCACTTCCCAGGAGTTCCACCAATCAATGCAGGCCCGCTGAGGTTCAACGGCATCCATCCAGCGAAGCCCGGTCCCGCATCAGGATTTAGGAGGCATTGACCAATTGGGAAAATCTGTCAGGGACGTCATGTTAGAGGGAAAGCAAGCAAGCAAGCAAATTTTGTCAGCCATAGCGAACTATATATGCGAGCCCCAAAGGCAAATCTGTGCTTCAGAGTTGTGCATTTTTTTCCGAGTTTCCTGCCTAGGAGTTGTTCTGTCAGGCTCTCCTAGACCTTGCCGCCTGCAAGCATGGCTGCGGCTACTCGAATAAATTCCTCCACTGCCGTGCTTGAGTGTGGCCGGTTGCGCGAGACGGAGGGGCGTTCTGCTTCGTTAGCTGCGTGTACGTGTTCACGACAAAAACCCTCGCCAGTAGCAACATGTGCCGCTAGTTAGCTGGTTAGTTCTGTCTCACGATAACAATTTCCATTGCGTCAAATCAACGCACGCTTACTGGTCATAGTGCCACTGGGCTCACTGGTCATGCTTACTCTGTTCTCCTCCCTCTCTCTTTCCCCATCCCACCCGCAATCCCTCCAGCCTTCAATGGCTTCAGGCGTGAGTCCAAGACAGCGCTACCATCACCTCTTCCCTCCATCACCTCCTCCCCATCAAGCCGCATTATCCGCCGCCATGCACGGTATACAGTCGCACGTGCAGCAGGGAGGAGTGATTCCTCTGATTCATCAGCTGCTCCGCTCGCTACAGTCACTCAGTCCTCCTCTACCCCGGACCTGTCTTCCGCTACTGCCGCTTTGAAGCGCCTCCAAACTAATCTCACTACATTCACACAGTCCGTCTCCACTCAGGATCTGCCGCCTGCTATAGCGGCTGCTAAGCCTTACGCTCCAGCCGTCCTAGGAGCGGGAGCGCTCGGTCTTGCGTCGTATTTAATAGTCAGGAAGGTTACATCAGGTCAACCAGAAGCGGGAGCGGATGCAGAAGCAGCTCCTCCCAGTGGCATCGTGCCACGTGCCAAAAAAGTATGTGCACCGCAACCAGCCGGGCCTTTCACTGACAACCGTCAGCACCTCCTACGCATTCTGATTCAACCTCCTTCCAATTCCTTCTCAATCTGTGCTTCAATAGGCGCGTTTGTTACCATCCTCCCACAGTGTTTTCGCGTCCATTTCATTAGAATCCCGCCCGTACTATCCCGCCACATTTCTGCCATCGTTTCCCCTTTATTTGCATCGTTGCGCTTCCTTACGATGCCCCGTTCCCCCTCCAGGCCGCGAAAACAGCGCTAGCGGCGATGGCGGCGACTTTCCCGCGGGCCATGCAGGAGGAGGCCTTCATGAAGGCCGTGAGCCAGGAGCTCAGCAAGATGGGCTTCAAAAAGTAAGCTGGGGTTCAGAAGGTGCGGTAGGGATTCGAGGTGTGACTGTTGAGTCGACTCCGAAGTCACCGTTCCCGCGGGTCCTGCAGGAGGAGGCCTTCATGAACGCCACGAGCCAGGAGCTAAGCAAGCTGGGATTCAGAAGGTGCGGTAGGGGGTTCGAGGTTGTCTGTTGAGTCGACTCCGAAGTCACCCTTCCCGCGGGCCATGCAGGAGGAGACCTTCATGAAGGCCACGTGAGCTGGAATTCAGAGGGTGCGGTAGGCGTGCGAGGTGTGACTGTTGAGTCGACTCAAAAGTCACCCTTCCGGCGGGCCATGCAGGAGGAGGCCTTCATGAAGGCCGCGAGCCAGGAGCTCAGGAAGATGGGATTCGAAAAGTAAGCTGATATTCAAAAGGTGCGGTAGGGGTTCGAGTTGTGACTGTCCAGTCGCCCACCTTTCCCGCGGGTCATGCAGTAGGAGGAGGCTCATGCAGTAGGAGGAGGCTCATGCAGTAGGAGGAGGCTCATGCAGTAAGAGGAGGCTCATGCAGTAGGAGGAGGCTCATGCAGTAGGAGGAGGCTCATGCAGTAGGAGGAGGCTCACGCAGTAGGAGGAGGCTCATGCAGTAAGAGGAGGCTCGCATGGCCCGCGGGAAAGGTGGGCGACTGGACAGTCACATCTCGAGGCCATGGAGGAGGCTCGCTCATTATGGCCACAAGCCTGGAGCTCAGCAAGCTGGGCTTTTAAGTGAGCTGGGGTTTCAAAAGGTGCGGCAGGAGGGGCACACTTCTATGCTGAGAAGGGATGGGAAATGAGAGCTTGGAGTGAAAGGGAAGAACAGGAAGGATGTGGGAAGATCCCGATGTATAGACTTTGCCGGAAGGCACTGCTATAAAGTTGGACTGTGAACGGCTGTGCAGTAGCCCAACCAGATGATACGGCCTTCCAGCCATAGGTTAGTCAGTGACAGGCCAGCCCAATGGAGAACTGGTCCAACAGCAGATAGGAAGTCCCGATTGACATGTACCGAAAAAAAAACTCTCTCCGTCCCACCCACTTCCTCCCCCATCCCCTCCCCTCCCCTCATCCCACCCCCCCCAAAACAACCTCTTTACTTATTCATTCGCCAAAGACAACTGCATTGCTCCTGTCTCGACGTGCCGTGACGAGGTGTGCCAGCCGGTGGTGAGTCTGGTGGACCGCGAGTTCGGGCTGGGAGACGTGCTCAACTGCGGGGCCACGGGCTTCAAGGCTGCCATGAAAGGCTGGAAGCTGGTCCAGTAGCAGACTGGAAGCTAAGTTTAACATGCCTCACATTAACTTTGCTTCACTCTCTCCCCATCTTTCCCCCCCCTGTTCCACGTGCTCGTTCTCTAGGGACAACTGCATTGCGCTTGTCTCGACATGCCGCGACGAGGTGTGCCGGCCGGTGGTGAGTCTGGTGGACCGTGAGTTCGGGCTGTCCTTCAACATCGCCGGGCTGGGAGGCGTGCTCAACTGCGGGGCCACAGGCTTCAAGGCTGCCATGTCACATTCGCCGGAGTTCCCCTGCGAGACAGATGGGACCGTCAAGGAGCGATGTGAGTACGGATGTTTGTCCATGATGGGGGTTGCATGATGAGGGTGTCAGGCCTGGGGGGCGTGCTCAACCGCAGGGCCACACGGTTCAAAGCCGCCGTGTTGCACTTGCTGGAGTTCCGGTGCGAGACAGATGGGACTGACAAGGAGAGATGTAAGCATGATTGCTGCACCACACTTTCTATGCGTCACCCCTGGCTTCCTTTCGTTATTCCTGACCTTTGAAAGGGTCTTGCAGGTTGGACCATGGAAGCTTCACATTTTTCTCATTCCATTATTCCCTCAACCCTTCCTCATCCTCCCTCGCGTCTCCTCTCAGACATCTTCTTTGCCTTCCCTCACGTGTCTATCGGAGAGTCGGGGGATGTCGGTTCGCTGCTACGCCGCGGGCGAGGCAAGCCGTCGAGTGCATGTGGCGCATTGATCGCCATTCAGGGCGACATCAACGCGGGCAAGGCCACAGTGTCAGATCCATATGACGAGGAGTATGTACTGCTGAAGAAGAAAGTCAAGTCACTGGTAGGTGATCTAAGAAGGAGCTGGTGATGCAGGCTGAAATTGTGTTTGATGCTTGCATTTTGTATTGTTTGCCCTCACTTCTGTTTGATTTGCCCTCACGTCTGCTCGCCTCATTTCATGCCATGCCAACGCCCCTGATGGCGGGTGTCATGGCTCTTCTCAGATTCTGCGGCGGGGAGCTGGCGAGTATTCGTTGGTGGAGGTGACTCGTGCTGCGCTGGCAGCTATCAATGATGACCTGGAAAAGCTCATCTCACTCACTGTTGACCCAGCCACTGCTGACTATGGGGTGGTCACAGGCGTGCAGATTCATTCCGGCAACCAGGTTAGTACCAAAAGTTGTATCTCGATTTTGGGGGTGGATTAAGTGTGGAATGTTGCGATGCTTCTGCGGTATGTTTCTCATGGTTTCCTGTTTGGTGCAGATTCCTGGAGAGCCGTTCCGCATCGAGCGCACTTGTGATTATATCGCCCCTGATATGATGTATGCGGTTGTCAGAGGGCAACGCTATGACCTGCAGCTAGAAGCCAACAAGGAGGATTTGGCAGCACACTCTAGTTAGAGCCCACAACCCTAAAAGTTGTTATCACGCTCATTGTGTGTGCTATAGAGACACTACATTTAGACACCTTCCCACAATGTTGAAGTTTTGGGGTTTGTATATTGCAGGGCATTGATTTGGATACTTAGAAAACGTGGTGTACTTCTTGTCTGGGGCCTCCGCGCCTCAATCGCGTCAACAATTTGCCCAATCTCCACCGTTCACTAGGATGACTCATCGTCCACGTGGCACTACTCAATCTCACATCCACATCCATTTCATCTCCCGCCCGCTCTGTCATCTCTTTACCAGCCACAAACTTTCCAGTCGCCATGGCGAACCAGGCCAGGCCACCGGCTTCGAGGATCAACCCGCGCCATTCAGATTCCGCCTCCAGCGGAAGCGTCCGCCATCCCCTCATAATCGCTTCCCCCAACTCAACCTGTAAACGCCCGCGCGCTCCTGCAACCTTCCCGCCTTCTCCCCCTCCCCTTCCCTTTGCCGCCGCTCCCACAACCATTGAACTGGATATGCTCTCACCCAAGAGCCAGCGAAGCATTTCTAGATTTTTGTTCTGAGGCTGGTCCATCATAAACTAGCTGTTCGAGAGGTTTTGTGACACAACGTCATTTTGATCCTTCCCGTCATCTATCTGACTTGCCAGAGTGACTGCTTTGCGGATCAGAAGTCCAGAGCCATTCGCGTCCACTCTGTCATCCTGAAAAAGCGTCCGGAGAAGCTAGAATACTTGGTCACCGCTTCCGAATTGCCACTGATCAGTAGTGATCTGTATGGTATACAATGCTGAGGGCGTTGGTTCAACATAAATGCCCAGGCTTTGCAGTAGATGCATCTGGGTCGGCTTTTCTCTCAAAAAATGATTTCAGCCAACGAAGAGGTTACGGTCTCTGTCACTTATCGCCATCCCAGCCCCCCATTCAAATACATATTAAGTCCGTTCTCAGACCTGCGATCCACTCTTCATTGTCATCCCAACCACATCGATTCCAACCTGTCCATAGATCGGTCAGGCGCAGTGCCTTAAGGGCTCTCAGTTCTTCGTCTGGTGCGCCATTTGACGACGCTCTTGAATCAGAAGACGAGTCAATTGAGCAGTATGAAGCCCGTCTGGAAGCCAGAAGACAGCAGCTGCAAGCAACTGGAGGATCCGTTAAGAGCAGTCCCGTTTCATCGTCAGGCAGCATGGCGGAAGCATTTGAAATTACGCCTCAGACGGCCATGGGGATCACTGCAATAATCAGCATTGGTGCTGTAGTAGCTCCCTTCTTCATGAGCGCGTGGAACCCTGCAGCGTCGCCTCACCTGAAGGGCCTGACCTACCTGACGCTGATCCTGGGATTTTACATGGCGTGGAACATTGGCGCGAATGACGTGGCAAACGCCATGGGGACTTCGGTGGGCTCGGGAGCGCTGACGCTCCGCCAAGCGGTGCTAGCGGCGGCGATTCTGGAGTTCGGCGGGGCGTTCCTGGTGGGATCGCACGTGAGCCACACGATGCAGAACGGAATTATCAAGGCGAATGTGTTTGCTGGGAAGAACGCGATGCTCTTCACAGGGATGATCTCGTCCCTGGCAGCCGCGGGGACGTGGCTTCAGGTACGAATGGCCATTCGATTCGGGAACGAAGTGTTCATTAGGCTGCTTGTGATTGTAAATTATTCAGCTGACGTTGGAGATATATTTTATAAATCAGATACATGTGATGCGAAGGGAAACCAATGGTGATCTACCCACTGGGGAAAAACATGGTGTGCCCATCAAAAGATGTAAATGGCTTCTTCTTGGAGTCCATATGGTGCCCCTTTTTTCTTGCTACCCTTGCCCTTCATTCCTTCGCAACGCACAGGTCGCTTCGTACTTCGGCTGGCCGGTGTCGACGACGCACTGCATCATCGGAGCCATGGTCGGGTTCGGCATCATCTTCGGCGGCTGGAATGCCGTGTACTGGTCGTCACTCGCTCGAGTGGTGTCATCGTGGGTGGTCTCGCCTCTTCTCGGCGCCAGCATCGCCTACATCGTCTACAAATGTATCCGAAAGGTATGCAGACCTTACGGCATTTGACTGGACGTACCGCAATGCATTGCGATGCCAGCATTGCACGGACTTATCAGGTGTATCATCATTGTTGACCATAGTCCAACTCTGCGTGGTTTTCGTCACTTTCGTAGAGGCTTTCGTACAGGACTGACGGTGCCTTTTAAACGAAACGGTGCTCGATTTTTGAAGTGGGAGGTGGATTGCGAAGGTGCTGAGGAATGGCTGCCTCCTCTCTACTCACTGCGAGCGGTAATGACGTGGAGAGACGGGCAAGAAAGGGCAGCAGGGGAGGAAGCAGGAACGGGTCCTGCCGGGTAGAAAAGCTGTTTCTCTACTCACTAGAAAGTTCAAACAAGCAACCAAAGGATGACACGAGGTATCAGAGCGGGGGGATGCTGAGGGGGGGCGGAGAACGAGTTTCGATGCGCCTAAAACATCGTCTCAGTTCAACCGGATTTGGAGGCGCTTAAAAGATGGATGTTGAAGGGTGGTGGAGAGCGAGCGATGATGAGAGCAGAGACGTGCAGGCACAGGCCTGTATAAGTCCGTGCAGAAGGGAATGCTTTTGTGTCGACTCGAAAGCAGACTCATTACACGCGGTTTCTACATTGACAATGTACTTGTTGCAGGCATACGACTGTAAAAGACCGTGCAGAAGGGAAAAATTTGCAGTTGCCGTTTGACGCTTCTCCACGTGGCGGTGTGGTCATGTGGCTGGGCATTCGCCTCACGAGGAACAACGTCTAATTGTTTCTCTCAGCAGGGCTACTTGACCATGGTTGCTCGGCTCCCGACGCCAGTCGACGCGTTTTCCAAAGCCTCCACTCCCTCCCTCACTTCCTCTCACCCCGCTTGTCCATCCCCCCCCCCCCCCCCCCTTTCCATATCTCCTCTCCCCTCTCCCCTCTCCCCTTCCGGTATCTCCCCTCCCCTCACCCTTCGTCTTCACCTCCACCTCACCTGCGCGCAGTTCGTCTACAGCTCGTCCAACACGGGCCAGGCAGCGTCCACTGCCGCGCCCATCCTCGCCTGCACGGGTTAACTGACTTGACTGCGTCTTTCCTCTCCCCCAATGCCCCAACCACTCTTTTCTCTTCACTTGCACTGCATCTCACCCGCCCGCAGTTCGTCTACAGCTCGTCCAACCCGGGCCAGGCGGCGTCCACCGCGGCGCCCATCCTGGTCTTCGCGGGGGTCACCGCCTTCTCCTTCTCGTCCCTCTTCACGGCCCCCAACGCCCTGCTGCGCGCGCTCGCGCTGTCCCTGGGCGCGGGGATAGCCTCGGCGGTGGCGATGTCAGCAGTGATCAAGCGGCAGATGGGCGAGCTGCTGGGGGAGTTCTGCGAGATCCCCAAGCAGCCGGGCGAGCCCAAGCCGGAGAAGGGCCGCGGGCCCATGGGCACCCAGCTGCGGATTGTGTATGGTGTCTTCGGATACCTGCAGGTGAGAGGGATGCATTGGTTGCGTTGAGGTGGGAGGAATGGGCGGTGTATGGTCGGTTTGCAGAAGAGTATGCTGTTGAGTCGACTCAAGGGCTGCGGGCCCATGGCCCATGGGCACACAGCTGCGCATTGTTCTTGCCGTCTGGTAATTGCCTTCAGGTGGGTGATTGCCTTCAGGTGGGAAAGATAGGGTACCTTCAGGTGGGTGGGTGGGAGGGATAAGGTATGTTTAGGTGAGAACGATGGGTACATTTAGGTGGGAAGGATAGGTTACCTTCATGTGGTGAGTGATTGTGCTGTCTTGTGATACTACTTCCTGCTTGTCATGTGCTCACTGGTTCAGATTTATGGCTTCCAGCTTCAAAACACAGGCATCACAGCTATCATTCACATGGTTGGTTTGAATGCCGTTTCAACTCCCTTGCCTCCCGGTCTGTCGTCTTCCCTGCAGGTGCTCTCCGCATGCTTCATGTCTTTTGCTCATGGGGCCAACGATGTGGCCAATGCCATCGGCCCCATCTCCGCCGCTCTAGCCATCCTCGCCTCCTCTTCCTCCTCCATCATATCCTCATCCCTCGCTGCCGCTCCAGTCTCCGCCGGTGTTGCCACGCAGGTTCTCATTTGGGGCGGTTTTGGTATTGTAGCCGGTCTTATCATCTGGGGTTACCGTGTCATTGCAACCATCGGGAACAGGATTACCGAGCTCACTCCGACGAGAGGCTTTGCAGCAGAATTCTCAGCAGCTACTGTGGTGGTGGTAGCATCTCGGCTGGGTCTCCCGATCTCTGCCACGCACACACTCGTTGGAGCGGTGATGGGAGTGGGCCTCGCACGTGGTATTGGGAGTGTTAGGGGGGATGTGGTGAAAGAGATTGTGGCATCGTGGCTCGTCACCATCCCGATTGGAGCTGCACTCTCAGTGATCTACGCCTTTTTGTTCTTGAGATTCGTTCCTGGGTTTATGTAGGTTTGGAGATGGCTTGGATTTACCTTCTCGTTTGACCCTTTTCCATAAGATTGTGGGTGAAGCTGCTTGTTTGTATAAGTAGTGGTATTTTAGTAATGGCCCTGGGGTTTTCATGTTTGTTAAAGTGTAATCTAATGTGAATGGGGGCTGGTGTAGTCTGCAACGTACCACTGAAACGCTGCCAAATATAAACGAATTCCGCGTAATCCCCAACTCCAGCCGCGTCAGATGCTTCTGACCAGCGCGTACGTTTGATTGCGGTTGGGTGAGGTGCCTCACGTATCAGAAGGTTCGATAACAAATCTAAAACGGTTGGGTAAGTTTTTTACCAAAAACGTATGCGCTGCTTCTGACCTGTAAATGCCAGCATCACTGCTGTAAAGAGCTGTGCTTGGCTGTTGCACACTGTTTGCGAACGACCCGTCGCCCCGAAAACCACGTGGATAGGGATGCCACGTGATAGGACGCGGAGTTCATGAGCAGATCAGCAGACCCATTTCGCCAATCCCCTCAACTGAAACTTAACTAAAATTTTCAGGAGTTACACAGGTGTACCGTCTAAGTTTCACCGGGAGCTACACCGCGCAAGAAGGCCAAGCCCCAGTCTTTCCCACCTACTGTACTACCCAATCCGCCCCAGACAGATCTGCCTCTGACAATGGAGTCTCCGCAAACCATGTCCACCCACATCAGCAACAGCACAGCAGCATAACTTCGAGACGGCTTACCAAGATGCCTATGTTGTCTCTTAGGTGAACTGGCTTAGTTTCCTGCCATGCTTTGAGCAAACCTTCCCCAGTCAGCACCATCCATTAGGTGAACCTTTTGTCGGCAGGTAGCCAAGGTTCGATGAGGTTGTATCCGCGTCGTTTGCGAGCTTGACCTAGCCGAAACGGACATAAGCGAGTCGGAGTCAGCCAGACGATCTTAGAACGCGAGGGGTCTCATTTTTCCTCGATGGACGCACCAGCTGCGAGCCGAGCGAAGCCGGCGAAACCCTCGACGAGTAGCGCCGCGGAGAATGAGAAGAAGCAGCGGCAGCGCGTGAAGAAGGAGGTCTGTCAGGAGGTGATCCGGAAACTCCAGGAAGCGAATCATTCGTGCTTCCAGCAGCCGAATTTCGAGGAGGAGCTTCAGGCTCACTTCCTCCGCTTGCCGACCAGGTAGGGTTTGCATGTCCAGTTTCGTCGCCAAACACGTAGTTTCGTACGCCATGCAATGTCAACATTCGACCGAGTCACGGACCATTCTTATTTGGAAAATGAGTTCATTTCGCTTTTCGAGCCTCGATTCTGCCGAGGTCTCGTAACGCATAAGCTCTGTCGTGCGAACTTGCGTGACAAGACCTCATCAGAGCAAAACGCTGCTTCAATCTAATGCATGCGTGTCATAACTCTGCGAAACGCTGCGATCCCTTCTCCTCCCCCATGACCGTGCCATTGATCCATGACGTCACATATTTCCATTTTCTTATCGACATAATTAATTAGATCAGATCAGATCTCGAGTTGGGTGGTGACGGTTATTATAGTTTTTTTCTCTTGTCGCCGTCCCATCGCTGCTGCTCATGGATTCTCGCTTATCCGGTGACATTCAGGATGTATTGTCGCATTTGCGACTGTAAACATTGCATTTATTGTGCTTCTCAATGTGACTGTAACCGTCGGATCTCAGATATGCCCTAGACGTGAACACGGAGCGAGCGGAGGACGTGCTCACCCACAAGCGGCTCTTAGAGGAAGCTGCCAAGATGCCGAGCCAGCCGGTGGTGCATGTCCGAGCCGTAAGGGTAGGTTCGGCACGGGTTCGAGACGGGAACGGGACCAGGGTATGGTCGGGAAGGGGATGCGTCGTGGGCGTACGTTTGGAGGCGGGTGAAGGACGTGTCTCATCATCCGCCTCAATCCTACCGGAACCCTTCGTGTCATGCGAGCCGGTCCCACGCTGCAAGCCCGTTTCTCCCTGTGACTTCGTCGAATAGCATCCCACCGTACCTACCGGACAGACCCTTCTTCCTCCAGTATTGTCCAGATCTCCGGCGTTCTCCGCGTTAAGAACAAGAATCATTCCAGCGTTATCAGCGTCTGACAGTGTCTGCAATGCGTGCAGGTCACGACGGCTCTGCCAGGAGTGGCTGCAGCCGAAGGTGCTGCAGGGGGTGCGACCATGGAGACTGACGAAGCAGCAGCCGAATTCAAGCGCCAAGGGTACGGCTGTGTGCACGGATGGCACGCATAGTTCTCTGTGAGGGGCTGTGGGAAAGTTATAGGCCTGTGGGAATGATATAGAGCTGTGGGAATGAGATGGGGCCGTGGGGTGGGGGTGGTATAGGTCCCTGCCAGCCAGGGGTGGCTGAAGCCGAAGGTGCTGCAGGGGGTGCGACCATGGAGACTGACGAAGCAGCAGCCGAGTTCAAGCGCCAAGGGTACGGCTGTGAGAACGGAGGGCACTTATATTCCCCTGAGAGAGGCGCTGTCCATGTCTCTCCATGTGATGGCGCTGTCCATGTCTCTCCATGTGATGGCGCTGTCCATGTCTTTCCATGTGATGGCGCTTTCACATGTCTCTCCATGTGATGGCGCTTTCACATGTCTCTCCATGTGATGGCGCTTTCCGTAACTTTCCATGTCGTGGTGCGTTCCATGTGTCAGGTCAGCGCCATGATTTTCTAGATTATCTTCCCAGAAGCTCCACTTCCTCCCCCCCTAACACACCCACGCACACCTCCCACAATTTGCGTTCTTTCTCCCCTTCGTCCCCTCGCCCCTCCCCCCCCCCCCCCCCCCTCTCTCCCCCCCCGGCCACAGCTAGCTGGCTCCGCCAGCCTTCGGATACTCCCCCAATCTGGACTCCTTTCTGCCCCTTCCTCTCTCCCCCCCAACCCCGCCCCACAGCTTGCTAGCGCCGCCAGCCTTCGGATCCTCCCCCAATCTGGACTCCCCAATGCTGGCGGGAGGGGCAGCGGGAGGGGGGTTGGCGGAGGGTGCAGCTGTGCACGCGGATGGGCATTCAGACGGGAAAGGGTCATCCAGGTGAGCGGGATGACTGAGAGGGAAGGAGGGGAGGTAAAAGAGAGAGGGGAATGCACGTTCGTACCTTGTATTGCTGTGAACCTGCATGCCTAGCTTGTGCACGTACGTAGCTTGTATTGCATGTGTACCCTGATTCCAGCAATAAACGGACCGCTGGAGAGAGGGAGATGTGCCAGGCTACCGTCTTGAACCCGTCTGTTCTCCCCTTCCATCTCTCTATTCCACCTTTCTTGCCTTCCGTCTCCCTATCTTCCTCCAGCACCCTGCCCCCCCCCCCCCCCCCCCCCACCCTCTCCCTCCCTCCCCCCCCCCCCCGCCTTCCCCTCCTCGTCCCATCCTCCCCCCCTCCCTCCTTCGTCCAGCTCTCTCCTGCAGGTGCCCATACACGAAGTGACCTTCTCCTCTGTCGACCGCCGCAAGCTGCTCAGTCACTCCATCCCCTATCCTCGTCTTCTGCACTGATCTCTCATTCTCCTCCCCTCGCCCCCAATTATTTCCACTTTGACCCCCCTCTCTTCCCCTCCAGCTCTCTCCTGCAGGTGCCCATGCACAAAGTGACCTTCTCCACTGTCGACCGCCCCAAGCGGCTCAGTCAGTTCATCTCCCAGTATTCCTCTTGTGCTCTGCTCTCTCATCTCCCCCCTCCCCCTCCCCCTCCCACGCCCCCCTTCCTTTCCACTTCTCCCCCCCTCTCCTCCCCTCTCCCCCCCTCCGCCTTTCTTATTCCCCCTCCAGCTCTCTCCTGCAGGTGCCCATGCACGAAGTGACCTTCTCCACTGTCGACCGCCCCAAGCTGCTCAGTCAAGTGAGTTAACCCAAGTCAAGTGAGTCAAAACGCGAATCAAGTGAGTCAACCCATCAGGCAGCAGAGATTCAACCCGAGTCAAACGAAGTCGAGCAGCGAAACCAGCTGCTTGTAACATTCGTCATGCATGAGTCTTAGCAGTGCTGGCAGACGTGGGCCTCAACATCTAAGCATCTCAGCATCCGCCTCTCCGTGAGCCCTACATCTCCCACACCACACACCTCCCCCACCCTCCCGTCTTCTCTCAGCAGTGCTGGCGGACGTGGGGCTCAACATCCAATCTATCCCTGTGCCCTCCTTTGTATCCCCATGGCTGAACCCCCCCTCCTCCCCTCCCCCCCTCTCTCCCCCCCTCCCATCAGCATTGCTGGCAGACGTGGGTCCCAACATCCATCTCTCAGCGTGCCTTACATTCCCGTGCCCCCCCCACCCTCTCTCTTCCCCCCCGCCGCCCCCTCTACCCCCCTCCTCCCCTCATCAGCTCTCAGCAGTGCTGGCAGACGTGGGTCTCAACATCCGTGAGGCGCATGTCTTCTCCACTTCTGATGGGCTCTCGCTCGATGTCTTTGTGGTTGACGGATGGCCCTCTGAGGTACGTGGGGTAGTGGCGTGTTGGGGCGTTTGGTTGATGGGGGGATGGGCGGAGCGCAGTGTGCAAACAGCCAAGCACAGCACGTCTTCTCCACCTTGGATGGGCTCTCCCTCGATGTCTTTGACGTCGACGGATTGCCCTCAGAGGTAAGTGGGGTAGTGGGGTAGTGGGGTGTTTGGTTGATTGGTGAATGAATGCATTCATCCTCAGAGGTAAGGAACAGACAGATGGATTGCTGGCGCCTGCTTGCTGGCGCCTGCTTGTCTCCCCCTCTCCCCTCGTCCGCATCCATCCTTCTTACCCTCCCTGCTCGCCCCCCCCACCCCCCCCCCTGATCGCCCCTCCCCGTCCCTCGCTCTACACTCACTTGCATGCATTACAGGATGTGGTGGAGATGCGCGCAGCACTCATGCGAGAAGCACTCATGCGAGCAGCACTCATGCGAGCAGGGCTCATGCGAGCAGGGCTCATGCGAGCAGCACTCATGCGAGGAGCACTCATGCGAGTAGCACTCATGCGAGCAGCACTCATGCGAGGAGCACTCATGCGAGAAGCACTCATGCGAGCAGCACTCATGCGAGCAGGACTCATGCAAGCAGCACTCATGCGAGCAGCACTCATGCAAGCAGCACTCATGCGAGCAGCACTCATGCGAGCAGCACTCATGCGAGCAGCACTCATGCAAGCAGGCTGTTGAACCGACTCACGATCTCCCCCCCGGTCCCTCCATGCTCAACTCCTCCTCACCCCTCCCTGCACACGCACTTACGTTGCAGGATGTGGTGGAGATGCGAGCAGGCTGTTGAGTCCACTCAAGACCACCCCCCTCCCCCCCCCCCGCCTCCCCTCCCTCTCCATGCTCACTCCTCCCTGCACGCGCACTGGCATTGCAGGATGTGGTGGAGATGCGGGCAGCACTCATGCGAGCAGCACAGGTGAGCATCGCTTCACTGATTACCCGTGCGAGCAACCTTTTTTGCAGAGACATCTGCCTGTACCATTTTCTGTAGTACGGTTTCTTTCCCCTGGCTATTCCTGAGGCGCCTCAAAAATAGATTCCTTGCAGAAACATCTGACAGTGTCATTTTCTGTAGTACGGTTTTTCTTCCCGCCGCCCCCCCTCCTTCTCCTTCTCCTTCCCCTGCCTTTTCCCCTTCCCTAAAAAAAATCGTAATAAACAAAATGATTTCTCCGAACATTCAAGATTTAATTTCTGTTCCCCCATCTCCCTTCCATCAGCAATCCGGGGAAAACGGTGCACCGTCAACCCTCCCAGAGGCATCCGGCCAATCAAACCCCGCCACGTCAGAATCAACAGGCGTGCCCATGTCCTCGTCAGCAGCCACGGCAGCAGCAGGACACGTGGCAGGCTCCCTTGTGTCAGGCGCAGACTCGCGTGTGCGCATCCCATCGGACGGGCGGGACGACTGGGAGATTGACAACGATCAGCTGAAGCTGCAGCACAAGATTGCCTCTGGCTCGTTTGGCGACCTGTAAGTAGTTCTCGCTTTTCCGTTGAACCTCTAGAGGAGTCATAGTTTTATTGACTCTTAATACCCCTGTTCCTGTCTGTTTCCGTCTCTCTCTCTCTCTACCCACAGCTACCGTGGCACTGCCGGCAAGTCGTGGCAATTAGAGATCAATGCTTTGTATTGACTTAGGTGTCCTTCCGTCTCTCTATCCCCGCAGCTACCGCGGCACGTACTGCGGGCAGGACGTGGCAATCAAGATCCTCAAGGCAGAGCGGCTCAACGACTCGCTGCAGCAGGAATTCGCCCAGGAGGTGTTCATTATGCGGTGAGTGTGAGTGTGAGTGTGAGTGTGTGTGTGTGTGTTTGCTCCCCTTGCCTAGCCTGTATCCAGGGTTCAGCAATACTAAGGACCACTTGAGAGAGAGAGAGTGTGTGAGTGGGAGTGCGAGTGTGAGTGGCAGTGCGAGTGTGAGTGGGAGTGCGAGTATGAGTGCGAGTGTGAGTGCGAGTGCGAGTGTGAGTGGGGCCATTTATCATGCGATGAGTTCACAAAATTGTCCCCCCCCCCCCCCTTTTTTGTTTTTTGTTTTTTTGTTTGTTCACCCTCTGTTTTTTTCGCATAACCAGTTGCACAGTGGTCATCAGCTCGTTGCCCTTCCTCTCCCCTGCTTCCCACACATGCAGGAAAGTCCGTCACAAGAACGTGGTGCAATTTATTGGGGCCTGCACCAAGCCCCCCAACCTCTCCATTGTCACAGGTGATATGCTTGCTGGCCCGGGGCAGGGGGGGGGGGTCAGGGGCAGGGCTTGCACTTGCTGGGCAGGGCTTGCACTTGCTGGGCAGGGCTTGCACTTGCTGGGCAGGGCTTGCACTTGCTGGGCAGGGCTTGCACTTGCTGGGCAGGGCTTGCACTTGCTGGGCAGGGCTTGCACTTGCTGGGCAGGGCTTGCACTTGCTGGGCAGGGCTTGCACTTGCTGGGCAGGGCTTGCACTTGCTGGGCAGGGCTTGCACTTGCTGGGCAGGGCTTGAGCATGAGGGGTTCGTTCGTGTGGGCATGAGGGGGCCTGAGTTTGTGTAGTACGTCCCTCCCCCTTGCCCCCTTGACCCCTTGTTCCAATATGCAGAGTTCATGGTGGGGGGGAGTGTGTAAGACTACCTGCACAGGCACAGGGGGAGCATGAAGCTGCACATGGTGCTGCGCGTGGGGATGAGGGAGCCTCAGTCTGTACGGCACATGAACCCCCTTCCCCCCCTCCCCCCCCCCATATCACTCTTCTTCTATCCAGAGTTCATGGTGGGGGGGAGCGTGTACGACTACCTGCACAAGCACAGGGGCAGCATGAAGCTGCCAATGGTGCTGCGCGTGGGCATGGACGTGGCGAAGGGCATGGACTTCCTGCATAAGAACAACATCATCCACCGGGACTTGAAAGCTGCCAACCTCCTCATGGACGAGAACGATGTGAGTGATGTGCTGTGCTGTGCGGTGCGGTGCAGTGCTGTGCGGTGCGGTGCAGTGGCAATGGCGCGTGGTCATGGACGTGGCGAAGGGCTTGGACTTCCTGCGTAAGAACAACATCATCCACCGCGATCTCAAGGCGGCCAAACTCCTGATGGAGGAGAACGATGTGAGTCTGAGTCCTGTGCACCCCCCCCCACACTCACCCTCACTTCCTGCATAAGAACGGCGTCATACACTGTGGTTTCGAGGCCTCTAACCTCCTGATGGACGAGAAAGTCGTTAGAAAAAGGGATTCGGAGAATGAGTGCTGCTGTGAGGTGGTAATGCTTCTGTTATGCTTTGGCACATGCGAACGCATGCCGCCATGCATGGCTGCATGGCTTCATGTCCGTGTGTAATGAGTCGATTTTTGAGTCGACTCAAAAATTGGCCGCATGGCTGCATGGCTGCATGGCTGCATGTGTGGATCAGTTGTGGATGAGCACGCTTTCATAAATCATGCTCTCATTGGAACATGGGAGCACCTATGTGTCTCTCCCTGTGTGTATATTTGCAGGTGGTGAAGGTGGCGGATTTTGGAGTGGCGAGAGTGGGCTGGTTATTGAAAATCACAAACAACAAAGCACCTATATGTCTCTCCCTGGGTGTATGTTTTTGTCTCCCAGGTGGTGAAAGTGGCGGACTTTGGAGTGGCGAGAGTGAAGGCAAACAGCGGCGTCATGACAGCAGAGACAGGCACCTACCGCTGGATGGCACCTGAGGTAACACCTGAAACACATGGATGGCACCTGAGGTAACACCTGAAACATCCCACATACCACGCCATGCTCACTCTGCTTTGTGCTCTCTGCCTACCCCTCACTCCTGCTGCAGGTGATAGACCTTAACACAAGGCAGGCATACTTATTCTTTCCCCTCCCCTCTCCTCACTCGCACATGCCAGGTGATTGAGCACCGGGCGTACGACCACAAGGCGGACATATTCAGCTTCGGCATCACCATGTGGGAGATGCTGACAGGCAAGGTGAGAAGAGAACATGGGTGATGATGGCAACGTGAGATGGTGTGACGCACAAGGGTGGGATGCTGATGTGAAAGTGGTTTGGGAGCTCTCAGACGGTGCCATGTGTTGAGAGATGGTGACAATAGGGTGGGCAGGGATGGAGAGATCGCAACATTTTCCTCGTTTTATGGCCCCTTATTGTCTTTGATCTTCTCCTTGCCCCACCGCGTTTCCACAATATTCATACCCTCCCCTCCCCCCCTTTTCCCTGCCCTACTCTCGCTTTCTCAGCTTCCCTACCCTGACCTCACTCCCCTGCAAGCTGCTGTCAGTGTGGTCCAACGGGTAAGTGCAACAGCCTGCTCTCTCCGCTGCAGTTCACCTTCCATTCCCCCAACCTCGCCTTGACCGCTCGTCTCCACAATTTCACCACGGTTGCTCCACCTCCTAATTTGCAGACCTCTGTCTCTCCCTCTGTCTCCCCCCCACCTCCCCCTTCCTTTATTCGTTCTACTTTCCTCCCCCATCCCCCTCTCCCCTCTTCCGCTTCCCCCAGGGCCTGCGCCCCCCCATTCCCAAGGGCACGCACCCGCGGCTGGCAGATCTGTTTGAGCGCTGCTGGGCCACCAACCCCACCGACCGGCCCGAGTTCTCAGAGATAATCCGAGTCATTGCAGAGATAGCGCAGGAGGTGAGAGTCCCTTCACTGACAGGTCGTCCGTGCGAAACCTCTTGTGCGTCTGCCATGCTAGGCCACCAACCCCACCGACTGGCTAGAGCTCTCAAAGACTCGGATGACTCGGACATCCGAGTCATTGCGGATAGGATGACCTCCTGCGCAGGAGGTAAGTTCTTCCTTGTTGGCACAGGTGGTCCCTGCATGCTCTCGCTTTAGTCTCCCCTGCTGGGCTGCCAACCCAGTGGACCGGCCTGGGTTCTGAGTCACTGCGGAGAGAGCACAGGAGGTGTTTGCCTCTTGGTAAACAGGTCGCCCATGCAGCCGCCCTTGAATATTCCCTGTTGGGCCATCAACCTGGTGGACCGGCCCGAGTTCAGCGATTACTGGAGTCATTGCTGTGATAGTGCAGGACGTGAGATTGTTCTTGGGAACAGGTCTTGTCGAATCTTCCCTGCTGATCCACCAACCAACCCCACCGGCCGGCTTGAGTTTCCAGAGATCATTCGAGTCGTTGCAGGGATAGCACAGGAGGTGAGAGTCTCCTCCTTGTGGTCACCCATGCAGCTATTGAACCTCCCCTGCTGGGCCACCATCCTGGTAGACCGGCCCGAGACCTCGGAGATAGCACAAGGGGTGAGTATGGATCAGTTGTTATATCGGGGGCAACAGGTTGCCCTTACGGTCCCCCCCTCTTGAATCTCTTGAATCTCCTCGCTTCCCAATCCTAACCCACTTCTGTGTAGGTACCGTTCATTACCCCCCCCCTTCTCATTGCCCTTTTCTGCCGCTTCTGATGCGCCCCCCAGCTGGAGGATGATGGAGACACGGATCAACACAGACGAGAGAAGCGTGGAGGTTTTTTTGCGTCATTCAAAAGAGCAGGAGCTGGGGCTAGGTGATAGGATTCTCCAGGAGGTTGTATTGAAGCTGCTGCCTTCACTTTCCCAGAAACTACATCAACAGAAGGTCTACCATTGAAGTATTTCTTTGCGTATTTGGCGCATATCAATGGCAGGCTTTACGTTCTCCTATCGGAGGCAACAAACAAATGAAGTTTGGCACTAGTCACACACAGGTTGCATGATTTACCACACCCCTATACCGTTTTTCGCTTTCCCATTTTTCGAACTGTACTTATGCAAGAACACTCTCATCTGTTCACACGTCTGTCTACAATGGATACACTGAAGTCGCTGAATCTGGATGGTTCGATGGATCTGTTAGAGTATCGAGGGGCCGAATACAGACAGTCCACATCAACTGATGCCCACTCCTTCTGACGACTCCACAACCCAATGCCAGCGTATCCCACGTCAGCACTGCTCACAGCCAACCTCTCATTTGTCAGCACGGGAATTGCTTTCCTGTCGCGACTCGGTGCCGCGACTCGCGATGACTGGGGGAATCAAAACCAACATTGCAGGGGGGGCAACAAGGAGAGCAGAGCGGCAATCTCAAGGAAAGCACCAGTCCCAGGGAAGCTTGGAGCTCGCCTTCCTACTCTTTGCCTCAAGAATTCCACCGACCTTTCAGGGAAAAGCTCGAGGCCCGACCCGAACCGCCCAGCGGTGGTTATTTCAGGACCTTGAAATCGAACGGACTTGAGCCATTTCATATGCATCATCACCAGATCCAATCCAGTTTTCGAAATTTGGTTTGCACTTCCCGTGAACTGCAGAAGCCGGCAGTTCAACCGCAGCCCACAGCTAACTCAAGCAGTGATTGTTGGAGTATCTTTCTTCCGAGTGGGTGAATATCTCTTACATCCGTCCATCAGTCCTTTACTAGGAGTTACTCGGAGTTCCGCTAGGCCTACGATAGGCGAAATATATTTTTGTTTTGACTTACAGTTGCAGCTTGTTTTCTTCGTGCAAAGCCTTCTTCAAGTTGATTTATCGTCGCCGGCATGGGTGCCGCACGATTCGTTCCGCCGCGGCTTCTGTTCCGCCAGCTGTTTGAGAAGGAATCGAGCACGTACACCTTCCTGCTGGCCGACGAAACCGCACCAAACCGACCCGGCGTGGTAAGCAGATCTGAATCCATAGTAGAGCGGCTGGCTCTTCGACTCGACATCATCCTCTGCAGGAGTCGCTTCAACATGATGATCGTGGCGCTTGTGTTTGTCTGTAGTGAGCCACGGTTTCATTCCTTTCTTTATATTTCTATCCTCCCTTTTCATCTCCTTGCATGCGGCAGTTGATTGACCCCGTTGACTTGACCTTTGACCGCGACGTGCGGCTCGCAGAGGAGCTCGACGTGACGCTGCGATTCGCGCTAAATACGCACGCACACGCCGACCACATCACCGGAACTGGACTGCTCAAGGTACTTGACTTTTGGTCGGCCGCACTCATTCAATGCATCATAAACTTTCAGGAATTACAGAAGATGTGTCGACGTAGTATAGTGGTGAGTTTTCTCGCCAGTTGCGCGTGAGACCCTGGTTCGAACCCCGGCTTCGGCGGCGCTCTTTACTTGCTGTCTTAAGACACATCCTGTCCTGACCAGTCCACTGGCATGGATCATTCTTTATGTGGTCCTGAATCCGTCATCTAAAGTATTCCTCTGTCCCTGTCTGACACCCACCACCACCCCATCCTCATGGCCGTCATCTAAAGAATTCCTCTGTCCCTATCTGACACCCACCACCACCCCCATCCCCATGGTCATTGCCACAGAAACGCGTACCCGGCATCAGATCCGTCATTTCTGCCGCCAGTGGAGCTGGAGCTGACGTGTTGGTGGACCACGGTGACGTCATCCCCTTCGGCCGATTTGGTCTCCAGGTGAGATTCCCAAACCTGGGGGGTTTGAGATTGCAAGTGACTGAGGCGATTTTGGCAGTCCACGCACCATCATTCCTGAAAGCTCTTGAAAGCTCGTGGCGATAGTTGCGCATGATAAGGCGGGCTTGCATAGATGGGCATAGAGATTGCTACTGGGAGGTGGGGTCGCACCTGTTGATCTAGATGGTGAAAATATTCAAATTTGTCGACATGTGTCATGATTATAGCAGAGTTATGTTTTCTGTTATGACCCCAACCTAAGTGCAGGTTCGGGCAACACCGGGCCACACCAAAGGGTGCATCACATTCGTTTTGGTGGAGCGGGTTGCTACTGTAGCTGCAGGAACCGCCGAGGCTGATGGTCAAGACAGTGTGTGGAGGGAAGGAAGTGTGGACGTTGAGGGGTTCGCCTTTGATAAGCTTGTAACGAGGATGGCGTTCACTGGAGACGCACTGCTTATACGAGGATGCGGACGGACAGACTTTCAGGTGCGTGTGTCCTCTCAAGCAAAAACATTTACAGTCATTCTTTTCCCCCCCAGCAGAGAACCACCAGATTGGATCTTGGTCTTTTATCCCACACGACCTGACCCTTCCTAGAACTTTCCCCCATCTGTAATGTGCTTGTCTTTATCCCTCAACACTACGTCCACCTCATTCTCCGTTTCCTCCTTCCGACTGACTTTCTTCCCGTGCAGGAGGGAGATGCTAGTCAGCTGTACCGCTCAGTCCACAGCCAGGTAAGCGGGTACTCAGGCATAGAGTGTGCCAGGTCACTTGCAGAGCTTTCGTAGAAGTGCTTATTTGAGCTGGATCTGACTACTCCCCCCTGTTTTGCCACTTCAGATATTGTCACTTCCACCGGACACGCTTCTTTACCCTGCACACGACTACCAAGGCCGAACAGTAAGGCCTGCTTCTGTAATTGACTCTTGCCTCCCGGTGACAATGCAACTGTACATACGTCTACACGTGGGCAAGGAATCGAGTGAGGTCAAATTCCTTGGGATTGCACATGGCTGACGTGGCTGACATTGATTGGTTGGCACGGCAGGTTACGTCGGTGGAAGAGGAACGCAAGTACAACCCGCGGCTGACTAAGAACGAGGTGAGAGAGAGAACACAAGAACTTACAAGCCTTATAGAGACCTTAGCTTTGCAATCTGTACTCCACCTAATGGCCTGGTTTGATTGATTGCATGCGCGCGCTGCTTCCATGTGCACTGTCCAGTGTCATTGCACTAAGAAACTGTTCTTTGTGTCTATTGCATGATTGCATCCCTCCCCCCCTGTTTCCGTCCATCCATGGGCAAATATACCATATGCTTGTATGTGAATGGCTTACAGGAGCAATTCAAGGCCATAATGGATGGTAAGCTTATGACTTCCACAACTCCTCAAGCCTCCTACTGCTCTTCTTTGCATGGTGCTGCATAATTTCACCCATGCATCCCCCCTCACTCAACACCTCATTGGCATCCATAGTTCCATTCCAACTGTTTCTATCTCTGTGCATGCATTCCAGGCCTGGGCTTGCCTCCGCCAAAGAAGCTCAAGGACGCACTTCCTGCAAATATGGCAGATGGGAATGTTGAAGCCCAGAATAACACCTTCCTTGCTGCTTGATCATCAGGTTCTTTTACTACGAAACTGCAGTCTGCAATGATCCACCAAATGTACGGTATTTAGCCACCTTATTATATTATGATGCCTATGTATTCCAATATTATTATAGAATACTCTGTGATCAATGTAGAGCAAATACAGAAAGAAAAGAACATAGAGGAACACTACAAGGAGCATTCGGATTCTCCGAACGTTCGGAGAGCATGCAAAATAACGAACAATTGGAGAAAACAGAAGCAGGCAGGGCTGGCTGGCTGGGACATCAATAGCGAGATGTGTTGCGATGGGGCTAATGGGATGAAAATGGCATGAATCATGATGCCTCCCAGTGGAAGACGCATGATGGACTACTGTAATATGTTTGAGATATAGGACATGCAGAAACGTTCGGTCGGTCGGGAGGCAGGTTGCCCTGCCCTCTGTGACACCGGGACTTGGAGAGGAACGGGAGAGAGATGGAACGGTCAGGACGATCACATGTGGTGTGGTGGGACTTGCATGGTTGAAAGTTGAAAACGATGATGAGTTAAGGAAAAGGAGGCTGGCCAGGACTGGATAGGAATGGCGGGGTGATTAAGAGCCGAGTGACTGAAGAGCTGGAGCTGGGGAAATGGTGGTGGAAAGAGCGGCAGAAAGAGCTGAGGCGGAAGCTTCCAGGATCTGGAGTTCAGATAGTGCCCTTCTCAGCTCTGCTTTGATTCTGGATTTGCCGGTGTCAGAGCTGTGCTGTAGTGTCGGATTGAACCCCGTTGACGACCATCCTCTTCATAAGCAGCTTCTCTAAGCGCGCACGACCTTGCGCTTGCGCACCTCGGTTGCCAGTGACTGCGCCACGAAGGACCGCGCCCATTGCTCCGCTTCCTTGCCCCCCATCGCCACCATCTCCTGGGGGAGGATGGGAGAGGAGAGCGGAGGAAAGAAAATTGAGGGGGAGGGTGAGGGGGGAAAGTGAGGGGGAGGGTGAGGGGGGAAAGTGAGGGGGAGAGGCTGCTGAGTGCACTCAGAGGCTGTCATAGAGGCGTCCACACCACACACGCTCAAGAGAACCTCACACACACGCTGAGGGCAGAGTGTAATGAGTCGATTTTTTAGTCGACTCATTACACACGGATTTTTGAGTCGACTCATTACACACGGATTTTTTAGTCGACTAATTACACACGGATTTTTGAGTCGACTCATTACACACGGATTTTTGAGTCGACTCATTACACACGGATTTTTGAGTCGACTAATTACACACGGATTTTTGAGTTGACTCATTACACACGGATTTTTGAGTCGACTCATTACACACGGATTTTTGAGTCGACTAAAAAATCGACTCATCACACACACGCTGAGGGCAGAGTCCAACGACCACAAGTAGCTAAAGACCTCACCTCGACAAAGAGGCTCGTGCCCGCCTCGCGCTCTGACGCCGTCATCGAGGCGTCCACATATGCACTGCGGATGGCCTGCGCGTACTGCTGCAGCTCCAGCTGCGAGCACGAGTGCTGGAAAAAGGGTATGGGGGTTGGGGAGGATGGAGGGAAATGGAGGGCGGAGGGGGGTGGGGGGTGTGGTTGACACACACATACGCGCTGCAGATGGATGGCCTGCGCGTACTGCTGCAGCTCCATCTGGGAGCAGGCGTGCTGCCAAGGGCAAGAGGGGCGGCGTTCTGCAATGGTGGATGGTGAGGAGAGGAGAAAGAAGAGTGACGAGAAAGCATGCGGGAAGGGGAGCCTGCGCGTACTACTGCCATTCGAGGAGCAGGCGTGCGGTGACTTTTGAGTCGCCTCAAAAGTAATCTATAGTCTCTACTGCCATTCGAGGAGCAGGCGCCAGGTGCGCCTGTTAGAGATTTTCAAGTTTTTTAAACAGAGTCTCTAGTGCCATTCGAGGAGCAGGCGTGCGGTGACTTTTGAGTCGCCTCAATAGTAATCTCTAGTCTCTACTGCCATGCGAGGAGCAGGCCGCTGGAGAAGGGCGACCGGAAAACGGAAAATAAGGGGGAGTAGGGGGCATATTGCTGCATCTGGTGGTTAGAAACGGCAATTGGAAAACAAGAGGACAAGAGAAGAGAGTGGAGAGTGCAGATGAAAGGGGTTGTACATGACAACATGGCATGACAACATGGCCAGACTATCCTGCATACCTGTGAAGCAGCAGTGTCGGGGGTGGGAGGGTCGTATGCCAAAGGAACAGGCAGAGGCTTGGGGGCAGTCAGGCTCGGCCGAAGCAGAGCCTCGGCGATGTAGCCTCGGGCCCAACCCTCGGTGGCGCCATGTAGGACGAGCTCGCGGACCAATCCGTTCACTCCGTGCTGCTGCTGAGCTGGCGACGCTGACGTGTCAACGTACGACGGGAAGAGAGCGCGCGCGTACACCTTGAGGTAATTCTCCCGCTCTTCTGCCGAACGAGGCCGCCCGCCCGCCGCCCTCCTTCCTAGAAACTTCGTGCCGTAAGCAGTGCTGGGTGCTGCTGCTGCTACTTCTGCTGGTGGTGCTGCTGTTGCTACTGCAGCCGCCATGGCAGGGGCAGCAGTGGTGGCGGTGGTGGATGGGGAGCAGGTGCGAGGGGAGCGAGGAGCTTTGAGCGACGAGAGGAAGGCGGAGAGGGTGTTGGAGGAGGATGAGAGGGAGGCAACGGCGGAGGAAGGGGCGGCGGACGGGGAGGAGGAAGGGGAGGAGGGGGAGGAGGGGGATGAGGTGGAAGAGGAGGAGATGGGCGAGAGGGAGGGTAGGCCGGCCTTGAGTGGGAGCGAGGGGGATGAGGCGGAAATTGACTCGAGCTTCTGCTGAATGCTGGATAGCTGGTGGGTGGGTGGGTGGGAGAGAGGGGGTGCGGTGCATTTTGAGTCGACTCAAAAGTCACCTTGAATGTTGGATAGCTGGAGGGTGGGTGGGAGAGAGGAGTGCAGGTGGAACTAGACAAGAGAGAGCATGGGGGGATGACGTCACGAGAAAGATAAAAGCAAAGGTGAAACTGCTCCTTGGGAATAAAAAAAAATCCTGTCTTGAGACATCTCAAGACGAGATTATTATCACACTGCACAAGAAAAATAAACCTTTTCCTTGGGCGGTTCAAAAAAACTGATCACCAACTGGCTGATCACAAGTCACGACCCACCTTACTCATCATGTCATTTATCCCTTTCAAAGTCCCACCACCGCTGCTGCCACCACTACCACCACCATTCTCCCCCCTAACCCCGTTCCCCTCCCCCTCCTCCCTCCCCATCCGAGCCCCTGCTTCCGCGGCTCTCTGTAGCGCCGCCTCCCTGCTGCGCCTCCTCTCTCCCGCGTCCATCCCTAGGCGCGCACACAGCTGCTGCACGCGCGTGCCCTCCTCTTCTGCCCGCTGCTCCGCGAACGAGAGCGAGGAGACGAGCTGCGCCTCCATGCTGAGCAGCGCAGCGGCGGAGGGGGTGGGCGCGGACGAGCGCAGCGAGTGCAGGCGCGCCTTGGTCCACGCGACTGCCTCCAGATACTTGTCCCGTGACTCCTCCGCCTTGACCTGTTGGAATACACGTTGTGGGGATAGAAGTGAGAACACCACTTGGTGGTGGTTTTTGCCATACATGGCAGCAGGCTGTAGAACACTGTGGTTTAGAAAAAAATCTCGCTCAGAAAACTAAACTACTCCTCCGCCTTGACCTGTTGGAATCCACGTTGTGGGGATAGAAGCGGGCTTGAATAGTCAGGGGAAGGAGGCATGAGCAGCAGGAATGGCAGAAGAGAAAATGACAGGTGCTCTCACACGAGGAGGTATCACTGCTGTGCGCACAGTTTATTTTTGAGGCGCCTCAAAACTGTGACAGGTGCTCTCACAAGAGGAGGTACCGCTGCTGTGTGTAATGAGTCGACTCAAAAATCGACTCATTACACACAAATGACAGGTGCTCTCACACGAGGAGGTATCGCTGCTGTGTGCACAGTTTTGAGGCGCCTCAAATCTAGACTCGCTGCTGTGCGCACCTGCTCTTCTTAGTTGCCTCAATGAGAAAGCGAGAAAGGCAGCAGGCAGTCTAGTTATGAGGCGGCTCAATGAAAGGCGAGAATGGCAGCAGGCAGACATAAGGGTCTCTCCTCTCACCAGTTCGAGCTCCAGAGGAGACATCGCTGCTGTGTTCACCACAGGGACCGTCGGCTGCTGCTGGTGCTGCTGCTGCTGCTGCTGCTGCTGCTGGTGCTGCTGCTGCTGCTGCTCGTCGCTCTTCTCCTTCACGTCTGCAGTCGTGGCATGAGCGGTTGAGCTCTGAGCCAAGATGCCATGGCGCTCAGCCAGCGAGCGCAGCACAGACAGACGGACCTGGAGAGACGCGAGAGGCACGACGGAGGAAGAGCGCAGACGGAGAGACCAGAAAGGAGAAACGGGAGATGCGAGAAGGGGGCAGACGGGGGGAAGGAGTCTATTTTTGAGGCACGACGGAGGAAGAGGGAGAGACCAGGAGAAACGGGACATGAGAGAAGTGGGCAGACGGGGGGAAGGAGTCTATTTTTGAGGCACGACGGAGGAAGAGGGAGAGACCAGGAGAAACGGGAGATGAGAGAAGTGGGCAGACGGGGGGAAGGAGTCTATTTTTGAGGCACGACGGAGGAAGAGGGAGAGACCAGGAGAAACGGGACATGAGAGAAGTGGGCAGACGGGGGGAAGGAGTCTATTTTTGAGGCACGACGGAGGAAGAGGGAGAGACCAGGAGAAACGGGAGATGAGAGAAGTGGGCAGACGGGGGGAAGGAGTCTATTTTTGAGGCACGACGGAGGAAGAGGGAGAGACCAGGAGAAACGGGAGATGCGAGCAGGGGGCAGACGGGGGGAAGGAGTCTATTTTTGAGGCACGACGGAGGAAGAGGGAGAGACCAGGAGAAACGGGAGATGCGAGCAGGGGGCAGACGGGGGGAAGGCGCAACGGACATTTCTTGTGGCTCCTCGACCTAACAGCCCATCACACCTCCACTCTCCCCTCATCCTGTATTCTCTCCTCTGACCATATCCCCTCCTAGCCCAAATCACGCCCTCCCCATCCCGTACCCTCCCCTCTACTACCTTTCCTTACTTTACCACCACACCACACTGCCGCCTGCCACCACACGCCATGCTCTCCCCTCTGCACCTCGATTCCTCACCTGCACGGTGCTGTCTCCTCCACCCCACGATTCTTGAGGCGCCTCAAAAATCGTCTCTAGCTGCCACCTGCCACCACACCGCATACTCCCCCCCATACTCCCCCCCATACTCCCCCCCATACTCCCCCCCATACTCCCCCCCATACTCCCCCCCATACTCCCCCCCATACTCCACCCCATACTCCCCCCCATACTCCCCCCATACTCCCCCCATACTCCCCCCCATACTCCCCCCCATACTCCCCCCTCTCCCCCTTAATCCCTCACCTGCGCGGCGTGCTGCCTCCGCCGCTCCACGCCCGGTCGCTGCAGCCGCTCTCGCTGCCTGTGCCTGCCTGCCCTCAGCGCCTGCACCCACCCTGCCACTGGCTGCTCCCCCCGCTCCCCCTGCTCCCCCTGCTCCCCCTGCTCCCCCTGCTCCCCCTGCTCCCCCTGCTCCCCCTGCTCCCCCTGCTCCCCCTGCTCCCCCTGCTCCTCCTCCCACTCCTCCTGCGCCTCCCCCTCCGCCGGGGCTGCATTTGAAGCAGCAGCTGCTACAGCTGCAGACGGCGCTACAGCCGCGGGGGTGACAGCACGCGGAGTGATTTTGCCGTCAAGAGTGTCGGCCACACGTTGCCTCAGCTGGGGGGGAAGAGACGGGTGAAGGGGGAATGGGGGGTGGGGGGTGGGGGGGGGGAGAGGAGGGGGGGAGGAGTGGGGGCGGATGAGTAAGGCGAGAGGGGGAAGCGGAACAGTGGGCCAAGCTTGGCGGTAGCAGCACGCGGACTGACTTGCGCGCCTACCACTCTTTGATCTCCCTCTCCCCCCCCCCCCCCCCCCTTTCCTCCCCCCCTTCCCCCACAAGTCCTCCCCATACTAATCTCCGGGCGCGTCTTCAGCAGCTCCCCGCGTCTTCAGCAGCTCCCTGCGCCTGTCCTTCACCGCGCTGCTGCGCCCATCCGCGCCCCTAGCGTTCGACCCCCTTTTCCCGTATCCTCTTCCCACAATCACATCCCCACAATCACATCCCCACAATCACATCCCCACAATCACAGTCCCACAATCACATCCCCACAATCACATCCCCACAATCACAACCCCACAATCATCTCCCCACAATCATCTCCCCACAATCACATCCCCACAATCACAGTCCCACAATCACATCAGCACAATCACATCAGCACAATCACATCCCCACAATCACATCCCCACGAACTAACCTCGGGGTGCGCCTTCAGCAGCTCCCCGCGCCTGTCTTTCGCCGCCTGCACAGCCGCGGACGCCGCGTCCATGCGCGCCTCTAGCGCCTGCAGCTCCGCGCGCATTGCGCCCCGCTCTTCGCGCCCCTGCAGCACGTGCGCGCCCGCCTGCGAGGAACGGATAAAGAGATATTCGATTTTTGAGACGCCTCAAAGCTCCGCGCGCATTGCGCCCCTCTCCTCGCGCCCCTGCAACACGTGCGCGCCCGCCGGAGCCGGTAGGGAGGGTCAGGGGGACGACTGATGGAGAATGAGATATTCTAAGATCCACATGCAACAAGTTGCAGTGGCAACACAGCCGTCGAATCCACTCTCGTTACCCTTGCATTTTCAAAGGAGTCAGGGGCAGAGTCGGAACCAGCAGCCGCAGCACCAGCAGCCGCAGCACCAGCAGTAGCAGCACCAGCAGCCGCAGCACCAGCAGTAGCAGCACCAGCAGTAGCAGCACCAGCAGTAGCAGCACCAGCAGTAGCAGCACCAGCAGCCGCAGCACCAGCAGTAGCAGCACCAGCAGTAGCAGCACCAGCAGCCGCAGCACCAGCAGTAGCAGCACCAGCAGTAGCAGCACCAGCAGTAGCAGCACCAGCAGCCGCAACACCAGCAGTAGCAGCAGCAGCAGTAGCAGCACCAGCAGCAGCAGCAGCAGCAGCAGCAGCAGCAGCAGCAGCAGCAGCAGCAGCAGCAGCAGCAGCAGCAGCAGCAGCAGCAGCAGCAGCAGCAGCCAGCAGCAGCAGCAGCAGCAGCAGCAGCAGCAGCAGCAGCAGCAGCAGCAGCAGCAGCAGCAGCAGCAGCAGCAGCAGCAGCAGCAGCAGCAGCAGCAGCAGCAGCAGCAGCAGCAGCAGCAGCAGCAGCAGCAGCAGCAGCAGCAGCAGCAGCAGCAGCAGCAGCAGCAGCAGCAGCAGCAGCAGCAGCAGCAGCAGCAGCAGCAGCAGCAGCAGCAGCCAGCAGCAGCAGCAGCAGCAGCAGCAGCAGCAGCAGCAGCAGCAGCCAGCAGCAGCAGCAGCAGCAGCAGCAGCAGCAGCAGCAGCAGCAGCAGCAGCAGCAGCAGCAGCAGCAGCAGCAGCAGCAGCAGCAGCAGCAGCAGCAGCAGCAGCAGCAGCAGCCAGCAGCAGCAGCAGCAGCAGCAGCCAGCAGCAGCAGCAGCAGCAGCAGCAGCAGCAGCAGCAGCAGCAGCAGCAGCAGCAGCAGCAGCAGCAGCAGCAGCAGCAGCAGCCAGCAGCAGCAGCAGCCAGCAGCAGCAGCCAGCAGCAGCAGCAGCAGCAGCAGCAGCAGCAGCAGCAGCCAGCAGCCAGCAGCAGCAGCCAGCAGCAGCAGCAGCAGCAGCAGCAGCAGCAGCAGCAGCAGCAGCAGCAGCAGCAGCAGCAGCAGCAGCAGCAGCAGCAGCCGTCAGAACCGCACTAGACTAGACGAATGATTCTAGAAGAATCGAAATTACCTTGCGCATTTCCAGGGGCACTGAGGTGGGGTTGGCAACTGCAGCAGAATCCGCCGCACCAGCCGCGGCAGCCGCAGCACGTTGAGAATCGTCATCATCGCCCAATGACGGGGATGTGAACGATGACGTCATCGGTGCCACGTTGGCAGGCTTGAGGCTGACGTGGGCGGCCACGTCGTCCGACACCTCGCGCAGGTGGTCTTCCGCCAGCTGCTGCGGGGCCGCTGAGCGCGGGGAGGTGGGGGGAGCGGGGGAAGAACCGCTGGCGGAGGCACCAGGGGCTGGCGCACGGGCGGAGAAGGAGAGGGGTGGAGACGCGAATAAGGGGAGGTTAGGCTTGCAAAGCAAGAGCGGAGAGAGAAACGGAATGCGATAAGAAACTGATGCGTGATGCGATAAGACGTTTAGCGCGTGATGCGCTAAAAGCATATCCTGCGGGATGATACGACGAGCGATTCAGTTGGATGCCTTGTCATTGCCGTGCCGACGATGCTGCTAGCTTACCACGCGACAACGAAGTGTGCGACAACGAAGTGTGCGATAGCGTACCGTGCGGGACCAAGAGATTGGTGATGAAGTTGGTCGCCTGGTCGTTGCCGACGATGTGAGAGAAAAGCGGCGACGCCGCCTCGATGGCCTGGGGGGGGTGATGGACGGGGGAAGGACGGGGGAAGGACGGGGGAAGGACGGGGGAGGACGGGGGAAGGACGGGGGAGGACGGGGGAAGGACGGGGAAGGACGGGGGAAGGACGGGGGAGGACGGGGAGGACGGAAGACATAGACATGAAGGGCGGGGGAGCAATTCATTCCTATTCTCATTCATTAAACAGGAATCATAGCAACCGATAAGACCCTCACTCTCTCCTGGCCCCCATCCCCCCCCGCTTTCCTGCTTCCCCACGTCCTCCGCTCCCCTCCGCGTCTCCGCCCTATCGCTCCCTGCAGAAGCCGCCTCCCTCGCCGCGCACCTCGTTGTGGCTCCGCAGCGTCCGCAGGGATCGATAGGGTGGCCCCGCTCCCCGCAAATCAGCGTCGCAGCGGCCACCTTCGCCATTGCATAGGAAGAAGGGTTGCTTTAAGCGCTTTGAGCAACAGTTGAGATATACAGAGATCGAATCACTGAGTCGTACCATAGCGCGTGTAATGAGTCGATTTTTGAGTCGACTCATTACACAGAGGTCGAATCACTGAGTCGCACCATAGCGCACCTTGTTGTGGTGCTCCAGCGTCGCAGCGGCCACCTTCGCCATCTCCTTGCCTTAGCCATTACCTTCGCCGCACGAAATGAATCTGCAACTAGCTAAAGAGAACAACGGGCACAAGTGTGGCGCACCTTGTTGTGGCTCTCCAGCGTCGCAGCCGCCACCTTCGCCATTTCTTTCGACGCGCGCTCCGCGCCCTTTGCCATGTCTTCCGCCGCCTTCGCCATCCGCTCCATCCACGACCGCGCGCCCGCGCGCGTCTCGCCCGCGCTGCGGAACGGGGGAAGCACGGGGTGGGAAGCGGGGGATGGGGGAAGGGGAGGGGGAAAGGGAGGGGGGAAGCAGCGCATGGTGAGAGGCCTGAAGGTGCGGAAGCTGCCGGGGGGGGGGGTAATGCGGGGGACATAGGAGAGAGAGCTTGACGTATGACGTTGAGTGCAGACGACGTGCCGCTGAGCGCTTCAGAAATGCGTGATGCGAAATGCGAGAAGCCAGAGACTTATTTTGAGTCGACTAAAAAAAAGCACGAAAATTACCGCTGAGCGGTAGCGACTATGAAGTACGAAGGTGAGTGCAAACGACGTGCCGCTGAGCGGTTTCGAAATGCGTGATACGAGAAGCACAACGCTTACCGCGGAGCGCTAGCGGTGCGGGGCGCAAGAGGCTTACCGCTGAGCGCGGAAGATGGCGGAGACCGGGCGACGGCAGTTTCGCCTGAAGCTCACTGCGAGCACCAGCCAGTCCAGCCATGCCACGTGGACGTGAGGGAGGAGGCGTCAGGCAAAAACAGAAGACGAGTGCAATATTATAGTCTCCACGTTGTGCCCAGAACTAGAACGTTTACGTTGCTGGAACGTCTACGCCACGTGGCGATCATGACAGGAATCTCTATAGACATGGCGAGCCATGGCCATGGCCAGCCATTGTAGTCTACGCTGCAAGAGGACAGGAATAGCGCCTAATACTAGCACGGTTTCACGGAGCGAAGCTGCTGGTCGACTAAGCGCGGGGCGTTATTCCCCTAAAGCTAGATCTAGGATTGCACTAAGCTCTGCCACTTTTCCGACGAGCCTGCGCTACTATACTACGTTTAAGTCATATAAGCATCTAAAATCGTCCGGAAATCGTCTGGTTATAAGAGATCTATCCGTGGGGTAGGCTCGTAGACTTACGAGTAACGCGCTTCGGCCGCATGGGGACGACGAAGGCGGAGCTGAACTGCGGGGAGTTGGGGGCCTTCCGCCACCGCGCGCCCATGTACGGCGCAAGGCCCGGAGGCGCGCATACGCGCATTGCGACAATGGCTTGACTCGCCATTGCGGGGCTATTAGCGGATAAGATGTACGACGGTGGATGGAGGTGCAAGTAGGTTCTTTCAGTGATCCAGAATAAAAAACTAGCTTAGAGAACAGGAATAATTATCACAGAACTAGAAGCGTCGGGGTGCATTTTCCGGACGCGCGACGTCTGTCAGGAGGCTGTTAGGAGGTGTCAGCCAGCCTCAAAACAGACTAGCCTCAGATCTGAAAGCCCCGCCAATTATCCTCCCTAGATAGTGGTGTGGTGTGGTTGTTAGCTCTAGGGAAGGGGAGGAAGCGGAAAGTCCAGGGGAAGTGGGGCATGCCGGTAGGCGTGAGCAGAAAGTGTTGCGCTGCGCAAGGCACGGGGAAAACTTTGCGCAGCAGCGAGCAGCAGGAGGTTGGGGGTGGGGACGGGAATAACCAGAGCACGGTGCGGAGCGGGAGGGAGACCTGTGGAAGGACGCCAGGAGGCTTTTGGGGAAAGGGAAGCGCAGGAGTAGCGCAGTGGGCGGGAGCAGCAAGGCGGGGCAGCCTCAATCTGGCTGGGAAAAGTTCAAACTGGGGGCGGGCGGAAAATGGCGCGCGCCCGAGGGTGGGCGTTCAGATCGAGGTCGCCCTCGGAAAATGCGATAAGCTTGTCCGTGTGAAGGGCCAATCGTATCGGAGGGTCTCTGAATCGTAGCTCACCGAAAGCTGCTCTTCGCCGTCAGATCTAACTTCCCGGCAGGAATGATGTGCAACTGTTTCGCACAACTCGCTCGCTGCATCCCCCGCCGGGCCGCGTAAGCTTTTTCGTTCGTGCCCCACTGCGATTTGAAAATTGGCCAGTGTGGCGCTGTCGTGGTGTCGAAAACTTTGGGGCTGCCAGGAGAAAACGGGACAGGCGGCTGAAGGTTAGTGTTCTCCAAAAAAACACCTCGCTTGAGTGCATTTTCCAAGCTATACTGTGAACAAATGTTTGCACAACAGTTTATGACATTTTGTTCAAGCAGGCTCCGTGGCAAACCATTCCAGCATCATGCTACAGTTTGCTAAGCATGGCAGTCCTGATTAGGGCGTGTCCAGGGCGTACGTTTGATTGCGGTTGGGTGAGGTGCCTTATGTACCAGAAGGTTCGATAACATATCTAAAACGGTTGGGTAAGGTTTTGACCCAAAACGTACGCGCTGGACACGCCCTTGTCAAAATCTGCACATCCTTGCTATCAGCTGCCTCAGCACAGATTCCATGCGCTTTATTTTCACGAGTCATACAAGGGGAGTAAACCCACATATTCTCAGCTCAGCTAATTTCACCGCGTTTTGCGGCATGCAGCGGAACATAGCGCCTGTGTGCCGGTGCATGAGCCTTATGGCGACTGGCGCGGTGCTGGCGACAGCCCCACTAAGAGCGAGCTATGGCGTGGGCTTGGCGGCGGGGCATAGCGCTCCCTTCGTTGGTGGATGCTTACTTCCTTACTTCCTTACCTCCTTACTTCCTCCTTGTCAGGACAGAGGAACGGCTGTGAGCCGCTGGTTGATCGTGCTGACGCACGGCTTTCGTGCGGGCTGAGGCACAGTTTACTTGCTTGCGAGACATTTCAAGAACATCATTCAAAGCTTCATCACGCGCACCTGCGCTCTCCTGCTTAGGAACTTCGCGCGAGCCGCGTCACTTCGCCCGTAGCATAGCATACAGCAATGGCGGAAGGCACGGCGCAAGTCAACCCGCCAGCACTCGTGGCGGAAGCTACAGTGGTGCGCTCTGTCTTCGCCGCGTGGGAGAGCGCGCCAGCGCCTGCTACGGCGGCGGCTGTAACGGCCGTTGCGCCTGTAGCGCCTGTAGCGCGGACGCCGCCACTGCGCACGCCCACGCCTGACGTCACCTATTCCTTGCCTCATGCCGTTGTCGCGACTCGCGCGCGCGCCGCGACGGTGCGGCTGCGGTGCGGGCGGCGAATCGCGTATCTGGAGAAAGGGATGGGCGCGGCGCACGCGACGCGGACGCTGCTGGTGCTGCACGGGCTGGGGTCGTCACGACTCGCCAACATGCCGGGTGAGACTCAATATTCCAGACATTAAAATCCCACATATCCAATATGCCGGGTGAGTAGACACCTCATATCCAAGCTTGGATTCCATCTTGGATTCTAAACCCTGAACCCTGGATCTCAGACGTAAGGCCGCGGATCCTGGGCCCGTGCAGGATTTCCTGTGCGCATTCATCCTTTCCCCCTTCACTATTGAGAATTCTCAAAAAAATATTTTCGAGAATGCTAAAAAAAGCATCTTTGAGAATGCTAAAAAAACTTTCCTGTGCGCATTCATCCATTCCGCCTTCACTAGGAGCGCCGGATGCTCTGCTTTCTTCCTTTGGTCTTCGCCTGATGGCCGTAGACCGACCGCGCTACTGGCAGTCAGACCCGACCCGGCACCTGCACTCACTCTCCAGTCTTTCTCGCAAACGCCACCCCCCCCCCCTCCTTCTCCCCCCCCCCAATCACCACCACCAGGAGTGCTGGATGATCTGCTCTGCTACTTGGGTGTGCGCCCGGTGGCCATAGACCGACCAACCTATGGCCAGTCAGACCCGGCGCCTGATCTGACTCTCCAGTCTTTCTCACAACCCCCCACCACCACCACCAGGAGTGCCGGACGATCTGCTCTGCTCGTTCGGTGTTCTCCTGGTCGCCATTGACCGACCCGGCTACGGCCAGTCAGACCCGGCTCCCAATCTGACTCTACAGGCGTTCTGTGAGGACCTGGAGGAGCTGGCGGATTTGCTCGCGCTGGGCAGCAAGTGAGTTCTCCCTATTGCGCCCCCCATTCGCTATGCAAACCGCTCTTCTGATGCTGCAACTGCAACTGCTTCTCTGATCGTCTGCTCTTCTGATTTTCCTACCTGCTCTCGTTTCCTCAGCTTGAAACTTCTCAACGTGCCCCTCCTCCCCTCTCTTCCTGTCCCTCTTCCCCCCTTGCCTCTTTTTTTGAGGCGCCTCAAAACTTCTCTTCCCGTCCCTCTTCCCCCCTTGCCTCTTCCGTTTTATCTCCCCTGTCCTCAAGGTTCTACCTGCTGGGGTATTCAGCTGGGGGCGCGTATTGCTGGGCGCTATTCTTTCTTGCCCCCATGATCTCCCCACCGCCCCTGCACCTCCACTCCGCCACCACCTATCTACAGGTTCTACCTGCTTTTTTTAGGCGCCTAAAATATCCACTCTGCCACCACTACCTACAGGTTCTACCTGTTGGGGTATTCAGCCGGGGGCGCGTATTGCTGGGTGGCAGTGCGGTACATTCCGCACCGCATCCTGGGAATTGCCATGTGGACGCCCTTCAGCTCCTTCTTCTGGCAGGTGAGAGTCACTTATTTCACGTTCCTGAATGTTCAGTCATTTTAATGTCCTGAATGTTCAGTCATTTTAATGAAAGATCACTTCTTTGTCGGTTCACACGTCGAAGCAGAGGTTGCGTTGCCATCGGCTAAAAAATGGTTTCCCCCAACCCCTCGCAGGGCATATCGGAAGAGCACAGGGAAGCCATGTTTTCTAGTTTTGAGGCGCCTCAAAACTCAACCCCTCGCAGGGCATATCGGAAGAGCACAGGGAAGCCATGTTTTCTAGTTTTGAGGCCTCCCATGCGTGAGGAGTCTATTTTTTAGGCGCCTCAAAATAGACTCCTCAAGTGACACCTCCCTCCCTCCTTCCCTCCCTCTCTTTTATCCCCCCCCAACCCTTCACAGGGCATATCAGCGCAGGACCGAGAAGCCATGTTTGGTCACATGACACCTCCCTCCCGTCAATTATTGACTCGACCAACAGAATGCCACACTTATTCGCTCTCTTCCATCCCCCCGCCATTTCGCAGGGCATATCGGAGCAGGACAGGGAGGCCATGTTTGCTCACCTGACGCCTCACTCCCGTTGATTCCTCCGCCTCGGTCGCTTCGCCCCTCTCTGGCTCATCCGCCTCTTCGTCTGCAACTTCGTCGTTCCCTTCTCCGGTAAGCGTGCGCCTCGCTGGTAAGTGTCCTTACCTGGTGCACTCGCTGGTGCACTCGTTGGTGCACTCGCTGGTGCACTCGCTGGTTTGCCTCGCGGACAAATCAGCGATTGCTTCTGGTAAGTGTCCTCCCGCTTTGCTCCTCTCTGGCTCATCCACCTCTTCGTCCGCAACTTCTTTGTTCCTTTCTCCGGTATGCAGGGTATTCTTGAGAAATCTAAAAAATACCCGGTAAGATTTTTTCTGGAGTAGCTACCCTCCCAAGTCACCTTGCTCCGGCTTTTGCTCAGGTTGCAGCCTTGTTGTTGGGACATGGGCAAAGCCGGAGCAAAGGTGACATCCTCCCATGTCACCATGTCGCAAAAGCTCCCTTTTCTCCTGCCTCTCTGTTGTTTTTCCACAAGCGATGGGTCGTCTATTCTGAAAGGGAGGAAAGGGTGCCCCCTGTTCTTATCCAACCTCACTTGCCGCCCGCCCCCGCCCGGCCCCCACCCCCCCGCCCCCCTCCTCGGCTTCTCAGGTTCCCTGTGGCTGCAGCGCCTGCAGCACAGTCTGTCACACGCCGATCGAGAGTAGCCTACTTTCAGCTTGTATCCACTTTATTCCACCACCCCTCCTCGATCGATTTGTTCCCTCTCAGGTCCCCTGTGGCTGCAGCGCCTGCAACACAGTCTATCCTTGGCCGATCGAGAGTACCTGCTGCAGCCAGCAGGGGCGCAGGCACTGCTCAACGACAATACCGAGTCACTCCTTATGGGAGCGCACGGGGAGGGCATGGCGAAGGACGTCGAGCTCTTCAGCCGGCCATGGCCCTTCGACATCACCGATTATCTACACAAAGTTAACAACACGGGCTCTTCCCTCTACTCAAATCCTCTCTCGAGTCCTCCCTCTTCGCCATTTATGGTGCATGGCACTGAGGATGTGTTGGTGCCGCTCTTGCTGCAGCGCTGGCTGCAGCGGCAGCTGCCGCAGCTGGTGCGGCTGTACGAGCTGCCAGGGGAGGGGCACCTCTCCTGGTTCTGCCACCAACCACAGAATTATCACCAAGTGCTCACCACTCTCTTCTCTTGAGTCCGAACCAGAGCCACCTCCGCTTCTTGCAGCAGCAGCTGCCTCGGCTGGTGCAGCTGTTCGAGCTGCCAGGGGAGGGGCATCTTTCCTGGTTATGCCACCAACCCCACAACCACCACCAAGTGGTGGCCACTCTCTTCTCCTGACTTCATTTGTTACAGCCACAACCATAGCGTAACCCTTACCTATGAACCCTCTGCCTCGATGTAAATAGTCGTCTCGTCTAGTCGGCCTTTTTCTCACGTCTCCTGGATGTCACAACGACACACCTTCGGAAGACTTCGCTTATGAGGCGCCTCAACACATTCTTGAGGCGCCTAATAAAACACGTCTCCTGGATATCGCAAGGACACACCCTGGGAAGAATTTGCTACCGTACTTGGCTTGGGGAAAGAGGAGAAGACCATGGCATGACAATGCCTCTATCCTGATTTTTGCACAAATAGCCCATCGTGCAAACACCCATTGACGAAGTGCAAGATATGCCAATGCCAGTAGAGGAAATTAGTTTCTGACACTTGATGGCCAGCAGAGAAGAAACAGGACTATCACATCCGCTGCTACCGTATCAGAATTGTTTCCGACAAGTGACAGCCTTGCATGCGTAGTCAAAATCATCTATCACCCACAACCGTGCACCTTTCAGCAGTGCGACCTTATCTTCCTTCTTAGCAGCAAACGGAGGCACCACCACCGGCAGCAACCACCCCTTGGGAACCCTCACCCCCTCCTGCGGGCCAAAGGGGATAGTCCCGGCCTCTTTAAAACTAACAGTGTTACTTAGCAGCTGGGCTGCTTGCTGCTGCTGCTGCCGGGAGCCACCTCCCCCACATTCCACCTCCACCACATCGAAATTGTCCACCAAGCTGCCCGCAAGCACGTTGGTCAGCAGCGGGGTCCGCGCACAAAAATTTTCAAGCTGCCCCCACGCAGCGATGGTCGACGGCGAGGATCGCACCACGAGAAAGGAGGAGCTGAAATCAACGGCGTCCAGACGACCCCACATTTGGAAGCTGGGATCGACACGAGTGACAATATCTGCTGCTAAGGGATCGCCCCTCCATATAGTGTCAGCATTGCCTATAGCCACGTTAAAGCCCAGAGAAAGAGCCGTGAGTACAAGCTGCACGTGGCGGGCAGTCCAATGGTTTCGGCCGCTCATTCTCCTTCTCCTGCTGACCTCTACTGGACTCTCCATCCCTCTCTTCCTCCTCTCCTCCTCGTCCTCCTCCTCCCCACCATACCCAAACCCCACAGTACTACCCGTACTGCCATCACCATCCCCACTGCTGCTACCAGAACTGCTGCTACTCCCAAAATCACCCTCCGTCTCCTCCTCCTCATCACCCTCTTCTCGGCCAGGGTGGCTAGAGCCATCTGGGTCCGGTTCATCCTTCCAGAACAGGCTGTCGATGCCAATACTGGTGATGGTGCCTACGCCCCCAAAGCTGGTCCCCCCTTCATCTACACCCCCGTTCCTGCCACTGCTGCCGCTGCTGCTGCCGCCGCCGCTGCTGCTGCTGCTGCTGCTGCTGCTGCTGCCACTGCTGTTGCCACTGCTGCTGTCACTGCTATCATCACCCCCTGCAGCTGCTGCATCAGCGCTAATGTTTCGCGCCAGGTGTCGCAAGATCCTGCGACGGGTTACAGGTGGCAGGTAGAAGACAGCGTACCCACGTGCTGCCAGCTCAGCTGCCAGCCTGGCGCATGGAACGATGAGGATGAGGTTGGAGACGCCCGAGCCGTCGATGTGGCAGAGCCAGTTGTTGATGAGATCTCGGCCATTGAATGGCACCACTATTAGGGACACATACTTGTCCTGAAGAGAGGAGAGAGCATGGGGGGTGGGCGGGGGGGGTGAGCGAGGAAGGAAAGTGAACTTAGAGAGGGAAGAATGCTGGTGGAGATTTTGAATATGTGTCAGATTACTTCACTCGTTATCCTCCCCTCCCTCTCCTTCGCCCCTCTCCCTCGTACCTCCACCCTCTTTTCCCACATCCCAGGCTTAGCAGAACAACAGCATTCAGCAGAGAGAGAAAGTCCTCCAGCGATCTCGCAGGCGGCAACCACCGCAGATGCCGGAAGCACAGGTCATGCCGCTCCAACCCTCCTTTTCTCCCCTCTCTTTCCCCCCCCTGGGCTTACCGGAGCAACCGCATTCAGCAGAGCGTGAAATTCCTCCAGCGATCTTGCAGGTGGTAACCATCGCAAATGCCGGAAGCACAGGTCATGCCGCTCCAACCCTCGTAGCGCCGGCAGCGGCCGAAACCACCACTCCCTGATCGCCCTCGCCCACGCTACATCCGCTCCCCGTGCTCCACCCCTCTCCCCTGCTGCTACAACCCCTGCTGTGGCCGATCCTCCAGAAGCAGCAGCAGCTGCAGCCAGGGCGGCAGCAAGCTTCTGGGGGGTCAAAAGTGCAGCGTCAGCCCCCCGGTTCTTTGGCATATTCGATCCTTTCTCCCGGTGCGAGATCGAGAGAGAGAGATTCCCGGGCGGCGACGGGTAAAGATTGAACATACCCTTGGCATACGCCCACTTGATGATCCACGGTGTCCAGAGGCGATTACCCTTGGATTTGAACCAGACGGTGGTTTTTAGCCCCTCGAGGGCGGGTTCCCGAGTGGTGTTGTACCGGCGCATGTCGTACCACAGACGAAACTGCTTCCAAGGGACGGGGAGGAGGAATTGGCCCCATGTGCCAACTAGCTGGTAGAGGAAGGGGTCTGGATGGTCGTACACGTTCAGACCACTGTTGAAACCTGGAAAGGTGAAACACGGTGGGTGGGGGGGAGGGGGCGGGGAATGGTGGGAGGAGGAATTGGCCCCACGTGCTGACTAGCTGGTAGAGGAAGGGGTCTGGATGGTCGTACACGTTCAGACCACTGTTGAAACCTGGAAAGGTGAAACACGGTGGGTGGGGGGGAGGGGGCGGGGAATGGTGGGAGGAGGAATTGGCCCCACGTGCTGACTAGCTGGTAGAGGAAGGGGTCTGGATGGTCGTACACGTTCAGACCACTGTTGAAACCTGGAAAGGTGAAACACGGTGGGTGGGGGGGAGGGGGCGGGGAATGGTGGGAGGAGGAATTGGCCCCACGTGCTGACTAGCTGGTAGAGGAAGGGGTCTGGATGGTCGTACACGTTCAGACCACTGTTGAAACCTGGAAAGGTGAAACACGGTGGGTGGGGGGGAGGGGGCGGGGAATGGTGGGAGGAGGAATTGGCCCCACGTGCTGACTAGCTGGTAGAGGAAGGGGTCTGGATGGTCGTACACGTTCAGACCACTGTTGAAACCTGGAAAGGATTGTAGAGGGGGATATAGGAAAGAGGGAAAGGAGGGAAGGGTGGGGGAGTGTGTGGAAGGGAACGCTGGGAGGAGGAATAGACCCCAATTGCCAGCTGGCTGGTACAGAAAAGGGCTTGGAAGGTCGTACACGTTCAGGCCACTGTTGAAGCCTGGAAAGGGGAAGGATGGTGGGCGGGGGGGAGGAGGCAGGGAATGGTGGGAGGAGGAATTAGCCCCATGTGCCGACTAGCTGGTAGAGGAAGGGGTCTGAATGGTCGTACACGTTCAGACCACTGTTGAAACCTGAAGGGGGAAAGATGGTGGGAGGGGAGAAGGGGGGGGTTGAGAGGGGGGAGGGTGGGAGAATGGTGGGATGAGGAATTAGCCCCATGTGCCGACTAGCTGGTAGAGAAAGGGGTCTGGATGGTCGTACACGTTCAGACAGACCATTTTTGAGGCGCCTCAAAAATAGACTCCCACTTTTGAGGCGCCTCAAAAATAGACTCCCACTTTTGAGGCGCCTCAAAAATAGATGCCTCAAAAAAAAATTGAGGCGCCTCAAAACTAGCTGGTAGAGGAAGGGGTCTGGATGGTCGAACACGTTCGGACAGACCATTGTTGAAACCTGAAGAGGGGCAAACGGGAAAGTGGGCGCCCTAACAGCCCCACCATCCCCACATCATCTCCAGAACCCCATCCCATCCTCCCCAACTAACCCGCTTTTTCCCAACATCCCCATCACCTGCCTGCAATAAAGAACAGTCGTTGGAAGAAAACCCCATCCCTCCTCCCCCCCCTCCCTCCCTCCCTCCCTCCCACACGCATACCAGCAATGAAGAACTGCCGCTGGAAGGAGACGCCATACACGCTCGGGTTAAAGTTGGACGCATTGAAGTAGTACACTCCAAGAAGCCTTTTCAAATATCGATAAAATAACGGCGAAACCTCCATGTCGTCCTCCACCACAAATGCCACGTCATTCACGCTCTCGGGCCACCACGATTCCAACCACTGCGGCTGAATCCCCATGTTCTGGGACCGGTACAGTACGGTTCTGGGTCCATGCGGCCATGTGAACGTATCCAGCAGTGACAATAACGAATGCGCCACTGTAACCCGATCCGCCGCTCGCTTCGTCCAGGCTGACTTCCCGGACCGGTTTCCGAACGTGTGGTCGACGAAAATATCTAGGGTTACCACGTCCCCGTCATACTCAGCACTCGCTAACGCCTTTAAGCATCGCGCTGCCACGTCAGGGCGGTCGTAGACCAGCACTTTAATATGCAGCCGGAATTGCGAAGGATCCACCCTTCCGCCGTTCGGCCCGGGGAATAACCTCGCCAGCTTTGGCGGAAGGAGCCATGTAGGACCCTTTAGAGGCGGCTCAGGGGCTAGGAGACCACGGGAAGACGCCGAGGAAGACGAGGAGGAGGAGGAGGAGGAGGATGACGCTGATGCTGTTGCAGTTGAAGGGTTCAAACGTGGTTGCAAGTCAATCGGTTCGTTACTAGTGCTACCGCAAGCTGCTTGTCGGGTCTGCTCTTGGCGGGTATGCTGGCGTGCCGGTTGTCGCTGTAGCTCGAGCCAGATTCGCAGAGCCGCCGAGGCGACGAGGGCGATCAGGAAGACGAACAGGAAGCGACCGCGACCCGGGGATCCCGCCATGGTATCAGTCGGTTCTTATTCGTTACGCATCGGTTCTCACTCGCAGCTAAAAATAAGCTCAATCCCAAGCTGCGAAGCTCACAACCGAGTTTCGATGCGAACGATTCGATCTATCTTCGGCGAATGCTATGGCGAGAGATCCGATCTCGAAAATCAAGCGCCATGCTGGGACTGATGGGCCTTGATACACATGCACAGACTGATTACCCCTAGCTTCAGGTCCAGTGTTGCACGCCTAGTGTTAGGGTGAACCACGAGCCAGGAAGGATGGCACGGAGCGTGTGCAGGAGACGCCAATCGCACGATCGCAACGAATTACGTTCCGCCCTGAGGTGGCTAAGCAGGCCTACTATCGCGCAGCGATGACGGATCAGGCCCTAAACACGAAGACCGAGCCAATCAGGTGTAAGGGATGGCTAATCAGGAGCTACTATCATCAGTTTCACACTAACTCGCGAGGCGTTATTATGCAGTCCAGACTGCAATGCACTGTAGCCATCTAATCTCGAGGGGTTGGGCCTTCAAATCAGTAGGAAATTCCCGCCAGAACCTCGGTTCTGGTTTCTGCAGAGCAGTTGGCTTGGTTCGCTTTCTCGGTACGGCATAACCGAGGTCGAGCGGAGTAGGTAAAGTGGTTAGAGCGGGAGTCACTGTAGACTACAGAATAGGTGTAGACAACTATACGCTTTGATAAGCCTCCACCCACATAAGTCGTTAACAAGATATTACCACACTTCTACTTATCTTATGCATTACACTTGAAGCAGCTGTCGAGCCGAACTTTTTCATATTGTTGGAATATGGGAGGGAAGGGGGAGGAGGGAGGGGGTGAGGGATAAGAAATGACGTTGGAGGATGCCAGGTGATGGATGGATGTGGAGTCGGGTTGGGTTGGGTTGGTTTGGGAGATGAATGGGTGGAAGTTGGGTGAAGTGAAGAAATGAAGCCGTTCATAGCTGCCCAGTATTTCCAAATCTACAAGCCCCACTCCCTTCACGGGATCCTCATGCCTCCATCAATGCGCATCTCATCCCATCTCCACCTGCAGATCGAGCTCTCCTGTCCAACGCTTAGCTTCGAGGGCCTTCCAAAGCTTAGCTTCAAGCGCTTAGTTAACAACGTCCACAATGACCCTGCGTGACTTGATGGGGGACCAGCGCCAGCGCTTGTAGTAGATGGCAGTGAGCCACACGAGCGAGATGATGAACATCCACTTCACTCCCATCTGCCATGGGCACACATGTGGGTGGGGGCACACATGTGGGTGGGGTCACACATGTGGGTGGGGGCACACATGTGGGTGGGGGCACACATGTGGGTGGGGGCACACATGTGGGTGGGGGCACACATGTGGGTGGGGGCACACATGTGGGTGGGGGCACACATGTGGGTGGGGGCACACATGTGGGTGGGGGCACACATGTGGGTGGGGGCACACATGTGGGTGGGGGCACACATGTGGGTGGGGGCACACATGTGGGTGGGGGCACACAGGGGTAGCGTTAATATCCAAGAGGAGATCTTGGAATAGATGGCAGTGAGCCACACGAGCGAGACGATGAACATCCACTTCACTCCCATCTGCAGTGGGAAGACACATGGGGAAGGGCACGCATAGTGATGAGCTAAGTTCCATTAACTTGGTGATGAGCTTACTCCACAAGGAAGGCAAGAGGGGCCCCTGTAGTAGATGGCTTGGAGCCACACAAGCGATATAACAAGGAGCCAATTCACTCCCATCTGGTGATAGAAACGGAACACGGGAGAGAGGGCAAGAGGAGGGAGGGGGGGGCTTGCACGCGTCCATTCCAGCAGCTTCTCTGAGCCGCCTTTTGAGTCAACTCAAAAGTCACCTCGCCTCACAAGGCATGCTCTCACAAGCTTGCGCTCCTCCATCTCGGGCTCAGCAGCCCATGCGAAGAAGGTGACCACGTCCTTGGCCTGCTGGGACTCCGTGGCCGGGGTGCCGTCTTGGTACTACTCGAGGCCCATGCCTCCAACGCCACCTTGTGAGCCACATAGATTGTGTACTTTTCACACGTCCCAGAGACTTCACACCACCACTCACCAGCTTGCGCTCGTCCATCTCGGGCTCAGCAGCCCATGCGAGGAAGGTGACCACGTCCTTGGCCTGCTGGGACTCCGTGGCAGGCGTGCCGTCCTCGTACTCGATGCCCCCGTCGTTGAGCATCTTGGGCATGGCAATGGCGCCCCCTGGGAAGTACGGGTTGTAGTGCAGCCCCTCGCGCACCTGAAAACGGCAGAAGAGAGGGGTGTAAGAGAGAGGAGAAAAAGGTGCATGGAGGATTCCAGGCGGGGATGGCAGGGGCGCAGCCTCTGTGCTCTATGCCCCCCTCGTCTTGGCTTGGCAATGGCGCCCCCTGGGAAGTGCGGGTTGTAGTGCAGCCCCTCGCGCACTTGCTTGGCCCCAGGGTCACGATCACAATCAACATCAGACACAAGCACAGGGAAAACGGCAGGACGGAGGGGTAAGAGAGGGGAGAGACTAAGGGGAAGGAGTGAGTTCGATCCTCGCACTCGATGCCCCTGTTGCTGAGCATCTCGGGCATGGCGATGGCTCCCCTTAGGAAGTACGGGTTGTAGTGCAGCCCCTGGCGCACCGGCTTGGGGCCAGGATGCATGCCAAGACTAGCAAATAACAAGCACAGGGTGGCAGGGGTGCCATCCACTCCACTACTCTACCATGTTCAGAGAGGAAAGCGACAGACAAAGAGGGTACGTGGCGAGGGCAGAAGTTGCATTGTCTTACTGTGATCCACTCCACTACTCTACCATGTCCAGAGTCCAAACACACAGTGCTGCTTACCGAGATCCCAGCAGGCGGTTCGCGGTAGCCAGTGAGGAGAGCATACACGTAGTTCTGCCCGTCATGGCGTGCCTGGGGTGAGAGGTGAGAGGTGCGAGGTGAGAGGTGAGAGGTGAGAGGTGAGAGGTGAGAGGTGAGAGGTGCGAGGTGAGAGGTGACGGAGGAGGAAAAGGGGGGGGGGGGGTGAGGATAAGGGTTGACAGGGTAGCCAGTGAGGAGAGCATACACGTAGTTCTGCCCGTCGCGACGTGCCTGGAATGAGAGGGGCGTTACGATGGTGGAGGAGAGGGGAGAAAAGGGGTGTGGGGGGGGGGGGGAGAGGGTGAACATGGCACAGCAGAGACAAGTATGAGGGCAGCCAGAAACGCAAGCATGCCCGTAGTTCTGACCGTTAGCGCATGCCCAGCAGGCGCATAAATGTTGACGCCGCATGGCGCCTACTAACCAAGTAACCTACCAATAGAATTCTACAGTACCTTGCTCATCAGGCTCAGAACCGGGGGGTATGCCCTGCCATTGGCGAACCGGGCTGCCTGCTCGTTGGCGTAGGGATTCGGGAGCTTATCGGAGGGCTTCCCTGCATGCAGTAACATGTCGCCTGCCTGCAGCAGGAGGGTTACCGTTACATACCTTGCTCATCAGGCTCAGATCCGGGGGGTAGGCACCCCCGTTAGCGAACTGGGCGGCCTGCTCGTTGGCGTAGGGGTTGGGGTGCTTATCCGAGGGCTTCCCTGGGCACAGGAACATCTCGCCCTCGTCGTTGGGGCCATCCTCCACCTCCACCTCGGCGGCGAGCGCCTTGACCTCGGGCATACCTTGCTAATGAGGCTCAGATCGGGAGGGTACGCCCCGCCGTTGGCGAACCGAGCGGCCTGCTCGTTGGCGTAGGGGTTGGGGAGCTTATCCGAGGGCTTGCCCGGGCGCAGGAACATCTCGCCCTCATCATTTGGGCCGTCCTCTACTTCCACCTCGGCGGCGAGCGCCTTGACCTCGTCCTCCGTGTACGCCACGCCGATCAGGTCGCGGTACGCCACCAGCGACATGCTGTGGCACGTCGCGCACACCTGCTGGTACACCTGGTGGCCCCGCCGAATGCTGGGGGGAGGGGGTGGGGGGGGGAGGAGGAGGTGGGGAAGGGGGGGACGCGCGGGGGTGGGGGGAGAAGGAGGGCGCGATGAAATAGAGGAAGAAGAGGAATGTATGTGATAATGGGAGGAGCGTGTTACATGAGTTGATAAAAAAAAGGGTGCTTATAGCAGGCGTGCGTCGATGACAGATGCTTACGAGGCATAGTCGTAGGAGCTGAAGATGCTGCCGTCATGCGACCACGGGTACGCGGGAGCGGGAAGCTCATGCTTACGTTAGGCGTGCTTATAGCCAGTGTGCTTTTAACATGCGTGCTGAATGCTTACGAGGCGTGATCATAAGAGCTGAAGATGCCGTCATGCGACCACGGGTACGCGGGAGCGTGAAGCCCGTGCTCCGCCTCGTCAGCACGTGCCACGTCAGCGAGAGCTGCGACGCCCAGCACCGCGCCTCCCACTGCACCCGTGGCACGCAGCAGCTTCCACGTCAGCGAATCGTTCGTGGTGTTTTCATTGCCGGCTGCTGACGCGGCGGCTGCAGCCGGAGCGCTGGTGCTGAATGGCTGAGAGAACCGGAAGGGGAAAACAGCCAGTGGAGGGAAACAGGTAGATTCAATCAGAGCATAAAAAGCAGAGAAAGCAGCACTTTACGGAAGCCCAGGGATCGCTGCCTGAGTCTGCCCGGAGGGATGTGGACGGATCAGCGGAGGAGGCAGCAATGTGTAACGAGTCTGTTTGAGCGACTCAAAAACAGACTCATTTCACACAAATCGCTGTCTGAGTCTGCCCGGAAGGATGTGGACGGATCAGCAGAGGAAGCCATGCAAGAAAACTGTCACGCGGGCTTGCAATACGCTTTGACCAACAACGTGCTCGGCAAGACAACGAACCCAGCAAGATCGACGGCTAGGAACGCCCGAGCGATCGAAAGCGGATCTAAAGCTCCGCGAGATCAGCGAGGAAAGGCAGATCGCAGGATGCATGGATGCTTAGACGGGGGAGTCTAGCTGACCGATTCACGCAGGCCAGGATGACCTTTAAGTGGATGTTTTTTGTGACTCGGAACTCACGGTGGTTCGTGGGAGGATCTAGGTGTGGATGAACTAGGTGATCTGTGCACGCGGATCTAAGCCGCGAACATCCCGATGCTGCATTCCGCGAGCTATAGAAGATAAGAGAATATCGAGTAACGAGTTATGAACGTACTTTGACTCGGAAAGTATGACGGAAAATCGCTCTTTTCGTACTATCGCCGGCGTAAAGATCAGGCCATAGAAGGGGCCTTCGCAATGCCATCCAAGTGTCAGCAACTAAGCAGTTCGCATCGTCGCATCTTGCTGCGAAACTGGGGAACTGGTTACCAAGTTACCTTGCATGCCTTGTCAGCGATCGAGCCTCCCTTCCCGCGGGCCAAGGAGCGCGCGAAAACCGCTGCTCGACCCAACATGCTGCGGTCCGAGATAGGTCGCACCGCGCTGATTTAATCGACGACGATGTCGCGACGCGACGGAGATTAGGGACGAGGAATCCCTAAAAGGTCGAGGTAAGGTGTGACTGATGCTAGGGCACAACACGCCTAGGGAACAGGGTGAGGGGAGAACAGGAAGCATGATAGGAAGGGAGGGAGTGCCTGCCAGCAGCAGCCTCATGCTAATATAAAGAATACTTTTGTATATTGGAAAACACGATGTTGCTACGAGTAATAAATTAGCCGCGAGATAATGTATAGCGAGTATGAATCAACTCTTTTCTGGGCTTGCCACGATGTTCCACTCACAGACAGCAGCCGCGGGATTTTCTGAGGTGGGCCGCTCGGTCACTCCCTGAAGACGGAAAGCGCGAGAAATGAGCCGACGCTGACGGTCTCCGTCAGCTTAGTGGAGTGAAGCTGACGTTTCCGGATCCCACAGCTCTGTCTAGCTTTGGATCTTCCATCACCGCCTTCCAGTCACCCACACCCTCCGCCATCTTTCTGCACCTCTACTTTCCACTTGCACGCACTTCAGTCCATCACTCTTCCTCCCCCTCTTCCTCGAATTCAGGTTCAGACACAAAAAACTCAATCCCTCTTCCTTACACTTGAATACCTCCGCCAGACACCTTATTCTCTTGCACTTGCTCCTCCGCTCACTCCTCGCTGTTCACGTTCCTGCATTAAGATGCAGCTTCTCCAGTCTTTACTCTTTTCCTGGCCCGAATTCCGCTTTCCACACACGTCATTGCCGTCCTTTCTGTTTGCAAAGAAGGTGCCATCATGCCTCGTCAGACGAAGCGTTCTAAGGTGGAGCCAAGCGCGTCGGCTGACGAAAGCGAGGATTGTTTAGAGGTAATCGCTACCACGGTAACTGTCGAGACCACTTCTAGTTCGGCTCGGAGGCAATCCACGCGGCGAAGGCGACCGCCTCCGAAGCTGGAATTCGGACCTGCCGGATTTGGATCTACTGTTTTCGGATCGGGCCGAACGAAGGTAGAGATTGAACCAGCGAAGGACAGCAATGGAGCGATCGCGGTAAAGAAGGAGCCTGACGGAAAGAAGCAGGTGAATTCGGCAAAGAAGGTAACTGTTCCGGTAAAGCGGAAGGCGGAGGCTAAAGGTGTAGCGTCGTCGTCGTCGTTTCGCTGGGCGAGTGACTTGGTCGACGCGGATCTGAAATCCAGTGAATCACTGTCTGATGAAGATGACGCGTCTGAGTCTGACGACAGCTGGGCTGCCTCTGATCCGGAAGACGATAACGGATATGGTCTTAGCGAGGACGAGGAGCGGGATCGCGGATTCGCGGGAGTAAGAGAAGTCGATTCGTCGGATGTGTATGCCGTGAGTGAGGATTCCGATGAGGATGAGGATCTCTCACCCGGAGAGAAGCCCGATCAGAAGCTGCGGGTCAAGGAGGAAGCGATGACGCGAGCAGGGAAGAACAAGAGGAAGAAGAACGAGGCAGACGAGGACGACGAGCAAGAGGAGCAAGAGGATGCGTGCCTGTTCTTTGAAGAGGAGGAGGAGGAGCCGTCAGACGAGGACGTACCAGTGAACGCTCTGGCGAGTCGGGTATGGAGCAACATCAGGAGAAGCAGCAAGGGTGGCGGGAGGGCCCAGAAGAAGCAGCAGGGGAAGCGGAAAAAGGCGGCTAAGGCAGCAGCGTGGGTGCGGGCGGTGCATCTGGAGGGGGAAGAGGTGGAGGAGGAGCGGATGGCGGAGTGGGAGAAGGAGCTGGACGCGTGCAATAGAGGGGAGATCACGCCTCAGCACCTCGCGGCGAAGCGGGAGAGGCCGCGGGAGCAGGAGCCTGCTCCGGATATTCTCATGCCGCTGTTGCCATTCCAGAAGGAGTGGCTCGCGTGGAGCCTCAAGCAGGTATGGGTTCCCTTCTGAGTCGAATTAATAGACGCATTCCCATGTCGCTGCTGCTGTTTGGAAAGGAATGGCTGGCTTGGAGCCTCAAGCAGGTGTGGGTTCTCTTCCGAGTCGAATTAATAGACGCATTCCCATGTCGCTGCTGCTGTTTGAAAAGGAATGGCTGGCTTGGAGCCTCAAGCAGGTGTGGGTTCTCTTCCGAGTCGAATTAATAGACGCATTCCCATGTCGCTGCTGCTGTTTGAAAAGGAATGGCTGACTTGGAGCCTCAAGCAGGTATGGATGTTACCGAGCCTCATTGTGCTGCTGTTGTTCAAATATGCAGATTACTTGATTATTATTCACTCTGTTGACATATTGTCCTGTTGTGTAATGTTTTTGAGGCGCCTCAAAAATAGACTCCTCACACATATTGTCCTGTTGTGTAATGTTGTGCTCATTCATGTGTGTTCCGTATCAGGAGCAAGGGCCCATCAAGGGCGGCATTCTAGCAGACGAAATGGGCATGGGCAAAACCATCCAAGCCATCTCCCTCATTGTCACCAGCCGTCACCTACAATCACAAGCATCTGCAGTCACCCCAGTCCCCTCCCAGCAGCAACAGCCATCATCATCATCTGCTGCTGCTGTGCCAGCCACCACTGCTGTAGCACCTACTGCTACTGCTGTTGCTACTGCTGCTGCTGCTGCTGCTGCTGCTGCTACTGCTACTGCTTCTGGTGTTACTGCTACTTCTGCTGCTGCTGCACATGCTACAGCTGCTAATCCAGGTTCGACCAAGGGAGGTGCATCTGAGCCTGAGAGGCCGGCGGTGAAGGCAACGCTGGTGATCTGTCCGCTGGTGGCGGTGCTGCAGTGGCGGCAGGAGATTGCTCGTTTTACACGGCCGGACAGCGTCAAGGTGGGTGACTGGATGGTTCAGGTCTCTCATGTCGTAGTTCTCAGCGGATCTTAGACATCAGCCGCTCATTTCTTCGTGTCGCTCGTTTCTCGGTGTTGCTCATTTCTCGGTGTTGCTCATTCTTAGTGTCGCTCATTTCTCAGTGTCGATCGTTTCTCAGTGTCGCTCGTTTCTCAGTGTCGCTCGTTTCTCCGTGTCGCTAGTTTCTCAGTGTCGCTTGTTTCTCAGTGTCGCTCGTTTCTCAATGTCACTCATTTCCCGACGCAACTCATATTTCAATGTCTCAGAGTGTCCGGGACAAAGAAAAAGCCTGCCATCAGGTCGACTTGGGAGAATACGATCTCGTCTTCGCCACCTTCTCCTATGCAGCCCATTTGTTCAATCTCTCCCACTCTCTGAAAGCCTGCCATCAGGTGCTGGTGTCCCATGGCCCTAAGAGAGCCATCAGGGTGGAGGATTTAGCAGAGTATGACGTCGTCCTCACTACATTCCCCATTGTCGCTCACTTTCTGTGTCGCCGTCTTCCCTTTAAACGCCTCCCATCAGGTGCTGGTGTACCACGGTCCCAAGAGGGCTATCAGCGTGGAAGACCTAGCAGATTATGATGTCGTCCTCACTACATTCTCCATTGTTGAGGCCGAAATGCGGGCAACTGTTTTTCCCTCCAAGGTCGAGTGCCAGTGGTGCCTGCGGAAGTTTTTCCCTGACCGGCTGGAGATCCACCAGAAGTATTTTTGCGGCCCGAATGCAAAGCGGACTGAGAAGCAGGCGAAGCAGCAGAAGAAGGTTCCGAGAGGCTTCAAGGGGATGGCGCATGGGGGGAAGGGAGGGAAAGGGGGGAAGGGGGGAAGAGGAGGGAACGCGAAGGTGAAGTGGGAGGAGGAGGAGGATGATGGGAGTGATAGTGAGTATGAGGAGGAGGAGGAGGATGATGGGGAGGAGGATGAGGCGCTTTGGAAGGGGAAAGGACTGGGCAAGGGGAAAGGAAAGGGCAAGGGGAACGCAACTGGGAAGGGCAAGGGAACGAGAAAGGGAAAGGGGAAAGTGCTTGATGATGATGAAAGTGCTTCTGAAGATGGCGTGACCAAGGCTGGGCAGACGAGTGCGAATCCGCGAGGGAGGACAGGCCCGGATAAAAATGCCGAGAAGAACGCAGAGAAGAAGCCGCCGTCGGTGCTGCATGCGGTGAGGTGGAGGAGAATTGTTCTGGACGAGGCCCATAGCATAAAGGACCGGCGCTGCAACACGGCGCGAGCCGTCTTCGGGCTGCAGTCGGACTTCAAGTGGGCGCTCAGCGGCACGCCCCTGCAAAACCGCGTGGGGGAGCTCTACTCGCTGATCCGCTTCCTGCAGATCGATCCGTACTCGTTCTACTTCTGCCGCCACTGCGACTGCCAGTCCCTGGACCACAAGTGAGTACCTACCGTGCAGCACGCCCCTGCAGAACCGCGTGGGCGAGCTCTACTCGCTGATCCGCTTCCTGCAGATCGACCCGTACTCGTTCTACTTCTGCCGCCACTGCGACTGCCAGTCCCTGGACCACAAGTGAGTACCTACCGTGCGGCACGCCCCTGCAGAACCGCGTGGGCGAGCTCTACTCGCTTATCCGCTACCTGCAGATCGACCCATATTCGTTCTACTTCTGCCGCCACTGCGACTGCCAGTCCCTGGACCACAAGTGAGTAAAGGAGGGGGGTTATAATGCGTACATGTGTCGCTTACGAGGTTGCGGGTTTTGCTTTCAACGAGATTTGCGGCACAGATCCTCTCCTTCCCGCAGCATGGGTGCATGTTTCTCTGCATGCCTGCATGTTTCTCTTCATGCTTTTTTCTTTTCGCTGCATCCACTGCATGCACCCATGTTCTACGGACGCATATGCCAGCAATGATTTGTCTCTGGAAACTTCCTCCCTTTGTGGCTGGCAGGTTTTCTGCACACAACCGCAAGTGCGACCAGTGCGGCCACTCGCCATTGGTCCATTTCTGCTGGTGGAACAAGGTGGGTCGAATTGGGCTGGCAGGAAATTAACGGCCTTTCACATCAAGAAGTATGGGTATGGGGGTGACGGGCGGAGGGCCATGCATGGTGTTGCCGAGTGCCATGCGGCACCGGTGGCCACATGGCACCGTCACCTCATATCTGCCGTCACCTCATATCTGCCGTCACCTCATATCTCCCGAGCAGGATGGCACCAGCACATGCTGGGTATGGGTATGGGTATGGATATGGGTATGGGTATGGGTATGGGTATGGGTATGGGTATGGGTATGGATATGGGTATGGGTATGGATATGGAGGTGTCGGGCGGAGCTCCATGGTCCATCAAGTGCTGGATCAGATTCTCTTGCCACTTTTCCTTTCTTCCCATCCCGCAGTTTGTAGCAAACCCCATCAAGAAGCATGGGTACGGGGGCGATGGGCGGCGGGCCATGCTGCTGCTGAAGCACCGCGTGCTGGATCGGATTCTGCTGCGCCGCACCAAGACAGAACGGGCGGCTGACCTCACTCTGCCGCCCAGAACTGTGAGTGCTGCTCTTGTTTCTGTTCCTTCCTGACTCCGTCTGCAGTATTCCTGGCAGACCACGTTATGTCCCTTTGAGCAACCCTTTGGTGGCTTCGAAGTCCTCGCTGTATGCCCCTCTCGACTCCCCCCCGCACACTTCCTCCCCCCTCCCCCCACTCCCCCCCCCCCTCCTCCGCCCACTTTCCCCACCCCCTCCCTTCCCCCACTCCCCCCCCCGCCCCCCGTCCCCCCTCCACCACCAGGCAACGTTACGGAGGGACCGTTTTGACGCTCGCGAGGAGGATTTCTACGAGGCGCTCTACACTCAGAGCCAGTCACAGTTCGCCACGTCAGTACCATTACCACGCTTAGCCCAGTTAGCTAAACACATAAGCTTGCCAGGTGCCTGCCCGCCTGCTTGCTTGTGTTCTTTTGGCTCGTCGTCAAACACAGACTCGTTCTGAGGCGCCTCATAAGCGTGTCAATATGCGTATCTGCCTCCTGCTTCTCTTCTCACCGGTACGGTGGTACCTCTGCCTAGCTTGCTTACTGTGTGTCTGTCTGCCCACTTCCCACCCACGTGTGCCTTCTCCGCGTTTGTCACGTCTTGCACTTTCGCTCTATCCCCCAGCTATGCTCACATTTTCGGCCTCCTCATTCGCCCTCTCCCTTTGATCTACCTCCCTTTGATCTACCTCCCTTTGATCCACCTCCCTTTTTCCATTTTCTCTGTCCACCAGCCATGTCGACACAGGTACTCTCCTCAACAACTACGCACACATATTCGACCTGCTCACTCCCACTCTCCTCTTGATCTTCCTCGCCTCTTCTCTCTGCTCCCTCTGCCCACCAGCTACATGGACATGGGCACGCTACTCAACAGCTATGCGCACATATTCGACCTGCTCATTCCCCCTCTCCCCCTGATCCTCCTCCCATCCACTTCTCCCCCCCCCTCCCCCCCCCTCCCCCCCCCAGCTACGTGGACACGGGTACTCTCCTCAACAACTACGCGCACATATTCGACCTGCTCATTCGCCTGCGCCAAGCCGTGGACCACCCCTACCTCGTCGTGCACTCTGCGTCGTACAACACCGCTGCCGCTGCCGCTGCTGCCTCCTCTGCTGTCGCCTCCACTGCAGCTGCCTCCGCTGCTGCCTCTGCTGCTGCAGCTGCTGCTGCTGGGAGGGGAGGGAAAGAGGCAAGAGATGGGGGAGCGGAAGGGAGCGAGGGGAGGGACGAGGACGAGGAGCAGAACGTGTGTGGCATCTGCTGCGATTATGCTGAGGACCCTGTGGTATGCTTTCTAGCTTTTTTTTAGGCTTGATTTTGTGTAAGGGCTGCTGGTTTTAGGGCTTGGGTCTATGCCATGTTTTGTGGTTATTGGGGAGTGCCCCTGTGATATGTTTGCTGCTTGCTTGCTGGTTCTTCCCTGCAGCCATCCCTGACCTTCATGCCACCATCCCTTCATCTGCAGGGGATGCATCTCTGACCTCGAGAACACCACTTGCCGGGGTGCCGGGGATGCATCTTGGACCTCGTAGCAGCGAGCAGCACCGCCACCAAGGGCCACTCGAATCCGCCGTGTGCTCATCCCCCCTCACTGCTGACCTCAGCTCAGCCTAAGCGCCCCCTCTTCCTGCTCTATTCCCTTTCCCCCGCATCCCCCCTCCCCCTTGCGGTCATCTCGCTGCCACCATGTCGTCTGCCCGGGGGGACTTTTGAGGCGCCTCAAAAGTCGTCCCCCATGCGGTCATCTCGTTGCCATGACACCATGTCGTCTGCCCGGGGGGGATGCATCACGGACGTCGTAACAGCGGGCAGCACCCTCACCATGGGCCCTCTCCTCTTCAATGCCCTGTTTGCTCCGCCCCCCTTCCGTTTTTCCTATCCCGTCTCTCCCTCCCGTCTCCAGTCCTCCCGTTGCCGCCATACTTTTTGCCGGGGATGCATCACGGACCTCATAGCAGCAGGCAGCAGCGCCACCATGGGCCCTCTCGAATGCCCTGTGTGCTCCGTCCCCCTCACTGTCGACCTCAGCGCCCCCGCTCCCCCCTCCCCTCCTGGGGACACTGGCAACGGGGGGAAGGGGGGAAGGGCAAGAGGGAAGGGGAAAGGGGGAGGGGGGGATGGTGATGGGGTGGCCGGGGGAGGGGGGATGTGGGGGGCTGGGGAGGGAGAGAAGGAAGGGGGGAAGGGGGGAGGGAGGGAGGGGGGGAGGGATGGAGGGCGGCTGGCGGGAGGGGTGGTTCGAGCGCGAGGGAGCATTTTGAGCCGGTTCGACTTGTCACGGTTCCAAAGCAGCACCAAGATTGAAGCATTGGTGAGATTGGTTGGGGTGGGGTGCCCTCGTGCTGTCGTCCTTCTCGCAGTGTGGAGTGTTAGAGATTTCTAGAAAACTCTTGTCGCGATCGCAAAGCAGCACCAAGATCGAGGCCCTGGTGAGGCGGACTGGTGAGGCGGACTGGTGAGACTGGGATGCTATTGCTGGTTTGGGCTGAAAATAGATGGTGGTTTGTTAGGTGCATGCGCCTTTTTTCGTCTTTGTGCAGCGGTTTCACCTGCTATGGTGTATGGACGTTTCGTTTCATGGTCATCTCGCTTTTCCCCTTGTGCCATGATTTGCATGGCATGGCACGGTATGGCATGGAATGGCATGGCGTGGCATGGAGTGTGATGGCGTGGCATGGCATGGCGCATGGCATGGCGTGGCGTGGCATGGCATGGCGCATGGCATGGCATGGCGCATGGCATGGCATTGCGTGGCATGGCATGGCATGGCCCATGGCATGGCATGGCGCATTGCATGGCATGGCGTATGGCATGGCATGGCGCATGACATGGCATGGCATGGCATGGCATGGTATGGCATGGCATGGCGCATGGCATGGCATGGCATGGCATGGCATGGCGCATTGCATGGCATGGCGCATGGCATGGCATGGCATGGCAGCGCGAGGAGGTGGACACGATGACGCAGAGGGATCCGGGCGCCAAGGCGCTCGTGTTCAGCCAGTTCACGTCCATGCTCGACCTCATTGCATACCGCCTGCACCAGGTGCGACCTCTTGTTGCATCAGGTGTACCTATGGCGTACCACTTGCATAGGGAGGGATGACGCCAGCAAGCCATTGGATCCTTCTCAGCTGGCCCCCGTGTTCAGCCAGTTCACATTCATGCTCGACGTGGTTGCATACCGCCTGCACCAGGTGCGACCTCTCATAGCATACGATATATCCATCTATCTGCTTCCTTCTTAAGTCAAGCCTCTCGTGTTCAGCCGGTTCACATCCATGCTCGACCTCATTGCGTACTGCCTGCACCAGGTATGACCTCTCAGTGCATACCGCTTGCACCAGGTGTGGCTAGATCCGACTTATGGTACACCTGCCTATATCATGTATGTTACCAGCTAGCTGCAAGGTGCTCTTAATCCTGTCTTTTTTACTAGCCAGGTCTCATCTCTGGCTCAACCTCGTTGCATACCTTCCTGCACCAGTCTGGCGGGACTCTGCTGCAAGACCCCCCTCCCCTCCATCCCCTCCCCTCCTCTTCCCTCCCGCCCCCCCTCATGCTCTATGAGTTGTTGTTGCACACACTCCTCTCGTTGTCCCTCCTCGCCCCGTTCTTCCTCGCTCCTCCCCTCCCTGGTTACTCACCTGCAGGTGGGCATCCGCTGTGTGAAGCTGGACGGCAGCATGACCATGGACGCGCGGGATCGAATCATCTCCACCTTCACTCGTGACGCTGACTGCCGGGTAGGTTTCTGACTGACGTGCGGGAGTCTATTTTTGTACGGCATGCTGTGAGTGGGGAGTCTATTTTTGAGGCGCCTCAAAAATAGACTCCTCACGCAGGTTTTTGTAAGGCATGTTCTGAGTGGACAAGCGGCGCTGACTGCAGGGTAGGGTTTTGTGGGGCATGCTTTTGAGCGGACAAATGGCGCTGACTACAGGGCTGGTTTCTGTAGGGCATGTCTTTCACTGTGGGGTGTGTGGCGTTTAGTTTGAGGCGCCTCGAAGCTAGACTCCTTTCTAGACGGCAGCATGATCATGGACGCGCGGGATCGCATCATCTCGACTGCACTCGCGACGCTGACTGCCGGGTGGGTCTGTGCTGGATATGCTCTGAGCGACTGCAACGCTGAGTCCCGTTTCTGAAGCCCAGAGTGCAATTCTTCGCTGCATCCCACATGGCTTCTTGTTTTGAGGCGCCTCAAAACGTTTTTGAAACCCAGAGTGCAATTCTGTGCAATTATTCGTTTTCTTCGCTTTGAGGCGCCTCAAAACTAGACTCCCGTTTTTGAAACCCAGAGAACAATTTTTCGCCGAATCCCACATGGCTTCTTCCTGTGGCAGCTCTGGTGAACTCAAACGCCATGAGGCGTTTCTGATGAGACTCGAGGCAGGTGGGCGAGGTGGCTCTCGAGGTGACTTATGAGTCGACTCAAAAGTCTCGAGGCAGGCGGGCGGGGTGGCTCTCAACCTTCCTCCTCGTGTCGCTTTCCCCTCACTGCCATTCTCCCCTTTCCCCTTCCTTGTCCGTCCTCTCCTCCCTCCCTCGTATTTCCTCTCCTCCTTCTCAAACGCCATCAGCTCTTTCTGATAAGTCTCAAGGCGGGAGGGGTGGCGCTCAACCTCACTGTGGCTTTCTCCTCACTGCCATTCTCCCCTTCCCTGCCTTTTCTGTCCTTTCCTCCCTTCCTTGTCTTTCTCCCCTCTCACCCAGGTGTTCCTGATGAGTCTCAAGGCCGGAGGGGTGGCGCTCAACCTCACTGTGGCTTCGCATGTGAGTGGCATTGCTTTAATCAAGTGTGGCGGTGTTTTGTCAAGTCTTAAGGTGCCGACTTCCGGTCTAGAATCTAGAAAAGTGCTCAACCTCGCTGATACACTGCATGGCATGGCATGAATGACCGCTGCCTCCCCGTGTGTCCTGCTGCCTTTCCTTACTTTCCCTCCTCTCCTCCTCTCCAGGTCTTCTTTTTCCCCAGGTCCTTCTGATGGACCCCTGGTGGAACCTTGCAGGGGAGCAACAGCCTGACAGCAGAGCCATAGTCCTCGTTCTCCTCCCCCTTTCCCCTCCCCCTTTCCCCTCCCCCAAACCCCCCAGGTCTTTCTCATGGACCCCTGGTGGAACCCAGCAGTGGAGCAGCAAGCGCAGGACAGAATTCACAGGCTCGGGCAGTTCAAACCTGTCAGGTAGGCTCGGAAGGTTTAGGCCCATGACGTAGGCTCGTGCCTAGCAAGTTCTGTGTCGGTGCCTTATCCAGTTTGACTGGATGGTCTAGTCCGCTTTTGACTCAACTCAAATGACCTGGTGTAAGCCTATTCTCTCCGCACTTGCATGATTCCACCCCCTTCTAGCTTTTTGAGTCGACTCAAAAGTGCGCTGTCGAGTGTGGGGTGGGGTTGTGGTGACCTGGTGTAAGCCCTCTAAGTTGCGTGTCTCTTTCCCCTTCCTGCCACCCACTATTATCACCCCTTCCATCGTATCCCCTTCACAGGGTGACTCGTTTTGTGATAGCGGGAACAATAGAGGAGCGCATCATAAAGCTGCAGGAGAAGAAGCAGCTGGTCTTTGACGGGTGAGTGACGGATTATCTCTACCTCAAAAGTCTATGCTGGTGCTCTAGGGAGACTGACCTTTCATGTGGGCCCTGACTCAGCCGTCATTATCTTTTGCACAGACCCCAACACCCTCCTCCCCCCCCCCCCACCCTCCTTCTCCCCCCTTCTGCCCCCCTGACCCTCCCCTCCCCTCCTGTGAGTCCTCTGCAGCACGGTGGGAGGGTCGGCAGAGGCATTGGGTCGACTCACAGAGGACGACCTGCGCTTCCTCTTTGCCAGCTGATGCTGCTTCGTCAAATGGGCAATCCGTGCCCGTGCGGCCTTTCTTCGCAGCCTTTCATTGCTCGTGGTATCAGCGTTGGTTCGAGTGAAAGACATTATGACACCGGTTCCACTCTTGGCATTTGCCAGCCCCCAGCCCCCAGCCCCCAGCCCCCAGCCCTCCCTGCTCTCCTGCACCCTTGCCTGGATCGCTGCCATTCCAATAACGCCTCCAGTCTAGGTGAATTCCTCGATGTACATAATGGTAGTCTTGTTTCGTTGCAGTCGTCGTCCGACCGACCCTGTTGATTTCAATAACGAGACAATGCCTTGGACAAGCTTGAGAGAATGAGAGGCGGACGGGAAGGGAGCCCCACCATCACCATCACTCCGCTCCTCACATATTATAATTCTGAGCAGACTGGGACCCAACCACATAGCAAGCTGTTGGAGAGCACAGTAGGTAGATCAAAGGTGGTAATGGGCACAATAGGTCGATCCTCTGGGCTCCACCCAGCCAGCACAAGCAATGGTTTGCTGAAACCAGCACTTGGTAACTCTAACACATTCACAAGCACATCTTACAGGCAACTACTTGCCCGATACAGTAAGTCAGCTGCAGTACAGTACTTCCCTAGAGTGTAGTAGAAGTAGCCCATTCGGCCTGAATACGTTGCTTGGAGCGCTTATTGCCTTGATCCATGTGGGATAAGGGGATTGGCCGAGAAGATTATTCCATCATTATCGGCATAGCACCAGTCTCCAGGGTGGACCATCACCCCCTGAATTTTCACAGGAACGTTCCTCTCCCCTTGCCCCTTCTTCACGCTCTTCACAGGACACGTGGCAAGCCCTCGCACGTCCACGTTGCACCCGCGAATCTCGTCCACGTCACGCACGCACCCGCTGACAAAAACGCCCGCCCAGCCGTTCTTAGCCGCCTCGACGGCTAGATTCCCGCCCAGTAACGCGCAGCGCCGGCTCCCTCCACCGTCGATTATTAAGATCCGCGATTCACCGGGCTGCTCGACCTCGGAGCGCACTAATGTGTTGTCTTCAAAGAGCTTTAAGGTGACGACTCGGCCGCAAGATGCGGTCCGGCCGCCGTAGGAGACGAGGCCAGGCTCTAGAACGCGGATTTCGCCTCGCATGACCGCGTCGTGATTGTCGTCGCACAGGTCGCACGTGGCGAAACTCATTGTCGAAGAGAAATCGAGGTTTGGTAGTAACTTGGGAACGGCGCAGTTGGTGAAACGAGTCAGGGCGAAGCGGCAGAAGGAGCCGCGAGAGCTGATGTCAGCTTGAGCGAAGCGGGGATAACTAGCGCACGGCAAGAGCCCCAGCAGCACTGCCGCCGCTGTATGATCGATAGACTACTAGCGCTGTTTGCGACGGCCACTGTGCTGAACGGGAGGGGGAAGTGGGGAGGAAGAGCGTTCTCTGCTATTCGGTTCTCTGAAATGAAATTAGAGCGACCTTTGTTTGGAGGGCGAGATGCGTATGGTATGCATGAGATGGGATGCGGTGAGTTGGGATGGGGTGGGCTGGGCTGAGATCAGATGGGATGCAATACGGCGTGACCAGCCAGACGCCTCAGCATGGATGGGATTGGGGGGAACACTGGGATAAAAGGTAGAACCAGCGCATGTTCCCCACGGGAACATGGGGATGAGTTGGAGCTGAGCTGAGCTGGTTGAGAATTGAGTCAGCACTGCGTCAACTCAGTCTGTGGTCCCCCCCCACTTCGCCCCACAGCCCAGAAATCCTCTTTTATTGAGACGCTCGTTGCGTATAAGAACTGCGAAGATGTAGGTGAAGATTATATCGTTGTGTCCGAGAAGTTCACAATCGGTTGCAACTAAGCTGACCAATCCGAGCCACGCATCGCATCTTTGACAGCTTGCGTAAAACCTCCCTACTTCCCCCATTCCCGACGTAAGCCCCGAAGCAAAAACGGGGCTGTTTGCTCGAAGCACACACCATAACCCTAACCTAGTAACGACGCGACACGATGGCCCTTGGAGTCAACGCAGGTTGCTTCGTTTCGTTCGGCTCCCATGTTGAAGCAACCCAAGCCATGCACCATCGGGGCGTAATGGAGTGATTTACAAATCGTCAGTCCTCATTACAGCTCATCAGCAGGAACTATCTCCATGCGTGCTACGCAACGACACTAATTTCCCTCAGATCAGAGAAGCTTTAGACGCACGACAGGCAAGACCGCCGCTATTTTGAACCAGTCGTTCTCGTCTGTTGCTGGCCGAGGCTAGGTTAATGGCGCATTTCGAGGCTTCCATGAACCAACTCGACGTAGACTGCCTCGCGACTATCTTTTCGTTCCTAACTCCCGCGCAAATCTGCCGCTTTGCGCACGTGTCGCGCACGTGGTCGGCAGCAGCAGCGTCTGACGTCAGCTGGGGCCGCCTTCTTCCCCCTCTTTGCGGCTCGCCGTGCTTCCAGAAAGCCCTTGAGGCGCATCGCGTAACGGCATGTTCGAGATGCCGGCTGACGTCAGCCTCCCCTCGTGATGACGACAGCAGCAGCTCCTCTAGTGGCGGGCCGAGCAGAATAATGTGCCGCAGTAGCAGCAATGATGACGTCAGCAGCAGCAGCAGCAGTGTTGACGCCAGCAATAGATGCAGCAGCGGCAGCAGTGAGGGTTGTAGATGCCACGTCAGCAGTTTCACACAGAAATGGGTGTGTCAGAAGCTTTGTGAAGGGGTTTACGTGGACGATGGCCGCTTCCACGTAAGCATGGACCCGTTCACCGCTACAGTCACAACCTGTGTGAATGTAGCGAAGGTGCTTGAAGTTGTGGGCATGGGATCAAACGGTGGTGATGCTGACGATGCACTTTCCACAGAATGGTTCCTTGAGACGGGTCGTACGGCGCCTAATAACGAGGATCCTCAAAACGAGGAGCGAGGACCACGTGGCAGGCCACAGCGACGCAGAAATGGCCGAAATCGGGGCGGAAGAGGACGAGCTGCTTATAACGCGGACGGGGGCGCCGCAGCAGCAAGAAACAACTCTCCCCATGGAAATATTAGTCGAAGTGAAAACCCAAACCCTAATGTGGGGGAAGTCGGCATTCCAGGCGCAATTTTCCCCGCGTCAGTCCCCCACCTGTTTTCCGCCATCCGCTTTCTTATCAGGGGCGACATTGCGCTCCCCTTTCCCCTCCGCCCGGGCGCGTACGAGGCGGAGTGGCGCATTGCGCGCGACCCCGCAGAGGGCGAGTGGAAGCAGGCGGAGGAGCGGCTGTTGCGGGAGGCGGAGTGGGCGGAGGGCGCGGAGGCGGAGGCCTGGCGGGATTTGGGTTTGGGGGCAGTCAGCGGGGATGACGCGCGCGGAAAGGGAAGGGGGAAGGGGAAAGGGCGGAAAGGAAGGAAAATGGACAAATCCGCGGATCTGGTGGGCGCTCTACGAAGCATCAGGGGGATTGGGCGGAGGGGGCTAGGCGTGCAAAGTAGGGGATGCGGGGACTTGGCTGCAGGGGGCTCGGCGTCGGATTTGACCGCCGGATCAAATCACCGGGACACGGCAAGGGGTGTTGGTTCAGTGAAGGACGAGCTTGAGCAGGCGATGGATGACGTGGCAGCGAAGCTGGCGTTTTGGCGAAGCACTCAGCAGCGAAGCGGCTTTAAGTGCTGGGAGGAATGGCCGCTCACGAGCGGCGCGCAAGTGGTAGTCGGGGGAGGGGAGGAGAGGGAGGATAGGAGGGAGGTGGGAGACAACGGAGAGGAAGAAGAGGAAGACGAGACGAGGAGGGAGCGCGAACTGGCGTGGGAAGAATTTTACGGGAATCCTGTCGAGAAACGAACTTACGTGATGTGGAAAGATACAGTTTCTACACTACCGGACTGGACGCATCTGGAGGCAGGCGTTTTGCTTATAAAGGGGGAATTTCAACGGGACATTGCGGTGAATGCACGTGTGCGGATGAGATTGTGGGAGGCGCATAGCGGACGCGATAAGAGGGGGATGTTTGTTGACTGCGTTGTGCTTAGGGAGACCGGCATTCCTTGCGAGTGCTTATGGTAGGTTATTATAGACTGCTATGAAGCTTAGAAACATAATCCACAAGATTAAGCGTTTTACAATGTATACATGTTACCTCTTAGTACAGACTGTATTCACTCTATTGGACCAGAACAGTACACATATACCCTGCATCGGTTGCCATTCATGAGGGTAGTTGCTCCTCAGTAGCCTCGAATGAGGAAGGTAATTGCTCCTCTGTACCCCCTGCACTCCTCCCTCCTCCCTCCCTCTCATCCTCCCTCTCTTCATTCCCTTGTGTCGTCCCTTGTGTTTCACTTGGCGTTGCACCTTGAGTTACATCTTGAGTTGCGTCTTGCGTGGTATCTTCCATCTTATCTTGCGTTGTCGTGTCAACTTCTCCCCCAATCTCCTCCCCCTCTACTTCACCATCCCCCGCCTCCCCTACCCTTCTTCCATCTCCTGCAAGATCAGCTCCTTCCTCAAACCCCTCTCCACCCCTCTCTTCTCTCCTCTTCATTCTCCTCTCCTCCTCCCTCCCTTCCACCACCGCCCCTCTCCTCTTCTTCCTCACATACTGTCTCTCGCCTCCCATTGGCTCAGCAATTGACACGCCGCCTCCCATTGGCCGACTCAAACCTGGCTCCGTAACTCCCTCTCGCTCCTCCTCCCCTTTCCCCTGCTTCTCCCCAACCTCTCCTTCCTCCCCTCCTCCCTCCTCTCCATCGCCCTCCTCTCCTCCCCATTCCTCTCCTTCACCTTCCTCCCTAACACCTGAGTCCAGCCGCCCAGCACTTCCCTCCTGCTCCTCCTCTTCGAATCCACCAGCACGAGCAGCAGCAGACCCATCAGCAGCAGCAGCAGCAGCAGCAGCAGCAGCAGACCCATCGGCAGCAGCAGCAGCATCAGCGGAAGAGAAGGAGAGCTTCTTTCGCTTGACTGCCGACTCGCTCTCATCCACACCACCACGGTGTACCCGCCTCCCGCCCTCTCCACCTTCGTCTGCAACCCCCTTTCCAGCTCCACCTCCCTCCCTTCCACCTTCGTCTGCAACCCTTTCTGCTCCTGCCTCACCTGCTGCCTCATCTGACACAGCACCTGAAGGACCACCTGCCGCCCTGCCCGCTGCTGGCCCATCTGCCACCCTTTCCTTGGCTGCTGCTGGTGCTGACGCTGCTCTCTCTGCGATGGCAGATGTGAAGCCCATCAAGGGCTCAGAGGATGCCATGTCATCAGCCACATCATCATCCACTTCTGATACTCTCTCCTCAAGTGTGTTAAGACTGTTGGGAAGAGATAAGACAAACATTAAGACAGGAGAAGAGTTTAACAGATGTGGGGAAGGAGACAGGGGGAGGGGTTGGGGGGGAAGGGGAAGGGCAGGTTAGGAGGGTGAGTGGTCGAGACAAGTCGGTCAATCAGTGAATCAAGAGGGGTTTGATGAGCCGGGGAGAGTGGGGGAGTAAAGCCCAAGATCAAGATCGTTTTTGAGGCGCCTCAAAATAGACTCCTCACGGTTTGATGAGCCAGGGAGAGTGGGGGAGTAAAGCCCAAGATAAAGGTCTCCGACACAGAGACAGCGCATTTGGAGAGTGAAATAGCCAGCACATGTGTACCAGCCTCTAGGAGCCAAGACTCACATGCTCTTAGCGTCCGCTCCAGTGAGCTTTGAAGCAAACCGGAGAAAGATGACTGTCGATTCGACTCATAAGTCACCGCCCCAAACACGTGCCCACCCCTAGGAGCCAAGACTCACATGCTCTTAGCATCAGCTCCAGTGAGCTTTGAAGCAAACGGGAGAAAGATGACTGTCGATTCGACTCATAAGTCACCGCCCCAAACGCGTGCCCACCCCTAGGAGCCAAGACTCACATGCTCTTAGCATCAGCTCCAGTGAGCTTTGAAGCAAACGGGAGAAGCGCACATTCCAGAAACGCCAGCCGGTCGGGCGGCGACTCAAACGCGAATGCCACCCCTTGCTGCACTAGCTGCCGAATTGCCGCCCGCTGCTCCGCCAATCGCTGCGCAGAGAACTGCGGGGCGGCTGCTACAGCAGCCAGGCGGGCTGCCAGGCTGGCACAGCACGCTACAGATGCTGGGCTTGGCGAATGAGACGGTGCCACGTCATCAGCTGTGAGTGGGTGGTCGGCGGTTGGGATGAGTGACAGCGAGGGAATAAAGGCCTGATGACATGGAGGGGATGGGAGAGGTGAGAAGAGCACAAGTGAAGTCATAAGTTGACTGGGGGGACAAGCAAGAATACTGGAATGTCGGATAATTTATGACTTGCCCAAAAAGGCTTTACTGATGATGATGAAGCAAGCAGTATAGGTGATCCCACAAGAAGATACATCTCTTATGAGGAAGGAACTCAGCAACACTTTCCAGGAAAGGACCCTGACCTGATCTTACACATATTAACGGACGCAATTGGTGATGCGGGTGACAGTGATGCGTGAGATGATTCATAAAAAGAACCCTGAACAGGAAAGGACCCTGACCCCAGCAGCGTTCACATCTCTAGCCACTCACCATCTTGAGCGCCTGCAGGAAAATGGGCCACAACTCAAACTTCCCTCCCCCACTCGCCGCCCGCTTCTTCCTCTGCTGCAGATGAGACAAGAACAGCCGTACCACCCCATCCTCTCTCTCCTCTTTACCTTCATCCTCCTCTTGACCCCCGTCACCATCACCACCACTACCCTCCCTCCTCGTTCCCCTCCCCAGCAACACGAGCCGCGAGAGCACAGCAGGCGCCAGCAGCTCTGGGCTCACAGCATCACAGACCACCAGCTTAGCCGCTGCTGTCAGAATCCTCTCCTGCTGCCTGTGAGGCGTCTCAAGAAGCACCCTCTCCTGCTTCCTCACACCGCTGCCACTGCCAAACACCCCTCCCACGCCATCCTCTTCCCCACCCCCATCCCCACCCTTCTCCCCATCCGCATGGGCTTTTCCCCGTCCCCCACTCTCACGGTTCCTGCCCCACCTTCCCTCTCCTTCACATGCTGGGAGGAGACTCGTGCAGGCGGCCCAGTAGGCGTTGACGCTGGTTGGTGTGGCGGTGAGGGATAGCGGCTGCACAAGGGTGTGGGCGAGCTTGTGAGGGGCGAAGAGCACCCAGAGGTCGGATATGTGCTCTAGAACCTCTGCTGCTAACCGCTGCTTCTGCTGCTGTTGCTGCTGCTGCTGCTGCTGCTGCTGCTGCTGCTGCTGCTGCTGCTGCTGCTGGTGCTCCCCCCCACCTTCTCGCTCCTCTGCAGTCCGCTCCTCCTCCTCTTGCTCCTCTCCCTGTCTCCCTGCAGTGTTCCCATCCGTCCCTCCCTCCATCAGCCGCAGCAGCAGCGCCATCAGCTGCTCCTGCCTCTCCTTCACCCCGCCCTCCCGCTCCCTAAACTCACCCCCCTCATCACTCCCAACGCCATCATCCAACTCCCCATCACCCTCACTTCCCTCCCCTGGCCCTCCTCTCCCTGCGTCTGCCCCCTTCCCGCCCCTTCTCTCGCTGCTGTGTGCTGAGACAAGGCTCTTGAAATCCCACACCAGCAGGAGGACCAGCGAGCGGAGGATAGGCGAGGCCAGCTGACCAAGGGAAGGGAGGGAGGCGCAGTGGTACACATAGGTACACATAGGTACACATAGGTACACATAGGTACACATAGGTACACATAGGCAGTGAAAACATGAATGTCAGCAGCAGCGAGTGAGAAACGAGGGGGTAGTCTGCTAGAGAGTGAGGAGGACCCTTGAAATCCCACACCAGCAGGAGGACCAGCGAGCGGAGGATAGGCGAGGCCAGCTGACCAAGGGAAGGGTTGCTATCAACAAGCAAGGAGAGAGGCATTGTTGTGCAGGGTGTTTTTGTTCTCAAGAAGAACACCCTTCACAGGCGAGGCCAGCTGAACAAGGCGAGGGTTGCAATCATCAAGCAAAGAGAGAGGCGTTGGCATGAGAGAGTGGAGGAAGGGGAGCTGGCAAACGGGGTTGGAGGGAGAGGATGTGGAGAAACGGGGGGATAATGGGACAGGAAACGGCAGCTGAAGTAGTTTAGTTTTGAGACGTCTCAAACTACTTAACCACGCTAGCTGAATTAGGGAGGCAGAAGCGGTTGTAGGCGGGTTAGAAACGGTTGTAGATGGGGTAGAAGCGGTTGGAGATGGGTTAGAAGCGCTTGCTAACCTCAGTGTGCTTGTAGGGAGGAAAGCGCTTGCAGACCTGAGTGTGCTTGTAGGGAGGAAAGCGCTTGCTAACCTGAGTGTGCTTGTAGGGAGGAAAGCGCTTGCTAACCTGAGTGTGCTTGTAGGGAGGGAACCGGTCCAGCAGCTGCAGAAGCAGAGAAAACAAACCCGCCGGCCCCATTTCCTCCGCATCAGCCGCCCTCCCAGCAGCAGCAGCAGCCCCAGCAGCAGTGGCTTCAGCACCAGCAGCTGTGACACGCAGGAAGGGGCTGATGTCTGCTTGCAGGAGGAAGACAGCGAGCCGAGTGGCAGCCACTGAGAGGGAAAAGGTGTCCACGTCAGCTGCTGACGTGGCTTGAGAAGAAGCTGCGTCCAACACAGCACGTGCCTCCTCTCTCACTCTCCCCACCACCACACTTCTCACTGCCCCTCTCACTGCCTCCTCTGCCTGCTCCCGCATCTCCCCATGGGCCTGCTGCATGCACCGCAGCAGCACTCTCGTCGCTGACGCCATCACTGCTGTGCTGACGTGGCGCGCCAGGCTGTCGCGTGCTGCTGAGAGGATCGCGAGGAGCGGCTGACGGTTGGGAGAGAGGAGAGATGGGGAGATATTTAGGATTGTTTTTAAGGGGCCTCAAAGATGGATGGATGGGAGAGACAGGGAGACGGGGAGATATTTAGGATGGAATCGTTAAGTACGTTCAAGAATGGGAGGAAGGGAGTGGGAGGAAGGGGAATGGGCGGAAGGGGATGGGAGGAAGGGGATGGGCGGAAGGGAATGGGAGGAAGGGGATGGGCGGAAGGGGATGGGCGGAAGGGGATGGGCGGAAGGGGATGTTCAAGAGAAAGAGAGGAGCTTGCATGTGAAATGGGTGACACTTATGTGCGTGTTCGTGTCCGACAACACCATCCACTGCTTCCATCCCCCGTTCAGACTTCAGACCCCAGACTTCAGACCCCAGACTTCAGACCCCAGACTTCAGACCCCAGACTTCAGACCCCAGACTTCAGACCCCAGACTTCAGACCCCAGACCTCATCTCGTGCTGCTGTCGATCCGCCGGAGCCCCCACATCCAAGCACTCTGCTGCTTCCAACAGCCGAACTCTAAACCCAACCCCAGACTGCAAACTCCTCACCTTAAACCCTGTCAACCCAGTCCCTGATGCCGCTTTCCTCTCTCATCTCCTGCTGCTGTCGATCCGCCAGGGCCCTCACACCAGGCACTCCGCTGCTTGCATTCCAAGTAGGGGAATGATTTACATTTCTAAGGAAAAAAAGACTCTGTTTCTATCTCACCTCCTGCTGCTGCCTGTCCGCCAGTGCTCCCACGTCCAAGCACTCTGCTGCCTCCAACAGCCGCAGCAGCACCCGCTCATCCGCCACGTGGCGCCGCATCATTGGCGGAAGCACCTTCACCAGCGCTGCTGTCATCCCTGCCACTGCTGCTGCCTGCCGCTCCTGCTGGTTCGGAAGGGGGAATGTGAAAAAGAGCGCGTGAGAGCTCACGTTCCATGCCTTGGACAGTGAAACGGCCTTCCTCTTCGTTCTGCCGCACCCTTTGGCACAATGGGCAGCCCCACCGTCTTACGCACAGTTAGGGAGAGAAGGAGAGCAATGGTGGATGTGTCGGAGTGAGAAGGAGGGGAGGTAAAAGAACTCACCCTCTTTGCCTTGGACACTGCTGCTGCTGTCTTCTTCTTGATGTCCCCTCCGCTCTTTGGCACGATAGGCAGCCCCACAGTCTTACGAGCGGCTAGTGAGAGAAGGAGAGCTAGTGTGGGGGTGTCGGAGTCGGGAGGAGGGGAGGAGGAAGGGAAGGAGGGGGTGGAGGAGGAGGGAGGAGTGGGGGAGAGAGGCTGGGAGGAGGGCGAGAGGGGCGTGGCTTGGCTGTCTGATTGCAGAAGCAGCTGACCCAGGGTCTTGAAATCCTGGGGGCAAGGAAAAGGGGGAAGGAGTGAAACCCAGAAAGGGGGAAGGAGTGAAACCCAGAAAGGGGGAAGGAGTGAAACCCAGAAAGGGGGAAGGAGTGAAACCCAGAAAGGGGGAAGGAGTGAAACCCAGAAAGGGGGAAGGAGTGAAACCTAGAAAGGGGGAAGGAGTGAAACCCAGAAAGGGGGAAGGAGTGAAACCCAGAAAGGGGGAAGGAGTGAAACCCAGAAAGGGGGAAGGAGTGAAACCCAGAAAGGGGGAAGGAGTGAAACCCAGAAAGGGGGAAGGAGTGAAACCCAGAAAGGGGGAAGGAGTGAAACCCAGAAAGGGGGAAGGAGTGAAACCCAGAAAGGGGGAAGGAGTGAAACCCAGAAAGGGGGAAGGAGTGAAACCCAGAAAGGGGGAAGGAGTGAAACCCAGAAAGGGGGAAGGAGTGAAACCCAGAAAGGGGGAAGGAGTGAAACCCAGAAAGGGGGAAGGAGTGAAACCCAGAAAGGGGGAAGGAGTGAAACCCAGAAAGGGGGAAGGAGTGAAACCCAGAAAGGGGGAAGGAGTGAAACCCAGAAAGGGGGAAGGAGTGAAACCCAGAAAGGGGGAAGGAGTGAAACCCAGAAAGGGGGAAGGAGTGAAACCCAGAAAGGGGGAAGGAGTGAAACCCAGAAAGGGGGAAGGAGTGAAACCCAGAAAGGGGGAAGGAGTGAAACCCAGAAAGGGGGAAGGAGTGAAACCCAGAAAGGGGGAAGGAGTGAAACCCAGAAAGGGGGAAGGAGTGAAACCCAGAAAGGGGGAAGGAGTGAAACCCAGAAAGGGGGAAGGAGTGAAACCCAGAAAGGGGGAAGGAGTGAAACCCAGAAAGGGGGAAGGAGTGAAACCCAGAAAAGGGGGAAGGAGTGAAACCCAGAAAGGGGGAAGGAGTGAAACCCAGAAAGGGGGAAGGAGTGAAACCCAGAAAGGGGGAAGGAGTGAAACCCAGAAAGGGGGAAGGAGTGAAACCCAGAAAGGGGGAAGGAGTGAAACCCAGAAAGGGGGAAGGAGTGAAACCCAGAAAGGGGGAAGGAGTGAAACCCAGAAAGGGGGAAGGAGTGAAACCCAGAAAGGGGGAAGGAGTGAAACCCAGAAAGGGGGAAGGAGTGAAACCCAGAAAGGGGGAAGGAGTGAAACCCAGAAAGGGGGAAGGAGTGAAACCCAGAAAGGGGGAAGGAGTGAAACCCAGAAAGGGGGAAGGAGTGAAACCCAGAAAGGGGGAAGGAGTGAAACCCAGAAAGGGGGAAGGAGTGAAACCCAGAAAGGGGGAAGGAGTGAAACCCAGAAAGGGGGAAGGAGTGAAACCCAGAAAGGGGGAAGGAGTGAAACCCAGAAAGGGGAAGGAGTGAAACCCAGAAAGGGGGAAGGAGTGAAACCCAGAAAGGGGGAAGGAGTGAAACCCAGAAAGGGGGAAGGAGTGAAACCCAGAAAGGGGGAAGGAGTGAAACCCAGAAAGGGGGAAGGAGTGAAACCCAGAAAGGGGGAAGGAGTGAAACCCAGAAAGGGGGAAGGAGTGAAACCCAGAAAGGGGGAAGGAGTGAAACCAGAAAGGGGGAAGGAGTGAAACCCAGAAAGGGGGAAGGAGTGAAACCCAGAAAGGGAAGGAGGAAAGAAAGGGGAAGGAGTGAAACCCAGAAAGGGGGAAGGAGTGAAACCCAGAAAGGGGGAAGGAGTGAAACCCAGAAAGGGGGAAGGAGTGAAACCCAGAAAGGGGGAAGGAGTGAAACCCAGAAAGGGGGAAGGAGTGAAACCCAGAAAGGGGGAAGGAGTGAAACCCAGAAAGGGGGAAGGAGTGAAACCCAGAAAGGGGGAAGGAGTGAAACCCAGAAAGGGGGAAGGAGTGAAACCCAGAAAGGGGGAAGGAGTGAAACCCAGAAAGGGGAAGGAGTGAAACCCAGAAAGGGGGAAGGAGTGAAACCCAGAAAGGGGGAAGGAGTGAAACCCAGAAAGGGGGAAGGAGTGAAACCCAGAAAGGGGGAAGGAGTGAAACCAAAAAAAGAAAAAAAGGGGAAGGAGTGAAACCCAGAAAGGGGGAAGGAGTGAAACCAGAAAGGGGGAAGGAGTGAAACCCAGAAAGGGGGAAGGAGTGAAACCCAGAAAGGGGGAAGGAGTGAAACCCAGAAAGGGGGAAGGAGTGAGTGAAACCCAGAAAGGGGGAAGGAGTGAAACCCAGAAAGGGGGAAGGAGTGAAACCCAGAAAGGGGGAAGGAGTGAAACCCAGAAAGGGGGAAGGAGTGAAACCCAGAAAGGGGGAAGGAGTGAAACCCAGAAAGGGGGAAGGAGTGAAACCCAGAAAGGGGGAAGGAGTGAAACCCAGAAAGGGGGAAGGAGTGAAACCCAGAAAGGGGGAAGGAGTGAAACCCAGAAAGGGGGAAGGAGTGAAACCCAGAAAGGGGGAAGGAGTGAAACCCAGAAAGGGGGAAGGAGTGAAACCCAGAAAGGGGGAAGGAGTGAAACCCAGAAAGGGGGAAGGAGTGAAACCCAGAAAGGGGGAAGGAGTGAAACCCAGAAAGGGGGAAGGAGTGAAACCCAGAAAGGGGGAAGGAGTGAAACCCAGAAAGGGGGAAGGAGTGAAACCCAGAAAGGGGGAAGGAGTGAAACCCAGAAAGGGGGAAGGAGTGAAACCCAGAAAGGGGGAAGGAGTGAAACCCAGAAAGGGGGAAGGAGTGAAACCCAGAAAGGGGGAAGGAGTGAAACCCAGAAAGGGGGAAGGAGTGAAACCCAGAAAGGGGGAAGGAGTGAAACCCAGAAAGGGGGAAGGAGTGAAACCCAGAAAGGGGGAAGGAGTGAAACCCAGAAAGGGGGAAGGAGTGAAACCCAGAAAGGGGGAAGGAGTGAAACCCAGAAAGGGGGAAGGAGTGAAACCCAGAAAGGGGGAAGGAGTGAAACCCAGAAAGGGGGAAGGAGTGAAACCCAGAAAGGGGGAAGGAGTGAAACCCAGAAAGGGGGAAGGAGTGAAACCCAGAAAGGGGGAAGGAGTGAAACCCAGAAAGGGGGAAGGAGTGAAACCCAGAAAGGGGGAAGGAGTGAAACCCAGAAAGGGGGAAGGAGTGAAACCCAGAAAGGGGGAAGGAGTGAAACCCAGAAAGGGGGAAGGAGTGAAACCCAGAAAGGGGGAAGGAGTGAAACCCAGAAAGGGGGAAGGAGTGAAACCCAGAAAGGGGGAAGGAGTGAAACCCAGAAAGGGGGAAGGAGTGAAACCCAGAAAGGGGGAAGGAGTGAAACCCAGAAAGGGGGAAGGAGTGAAACCCAGAAAGGGGGAAGGAGTGAAACCCAGAAAGGGGGAAGGAGTGAAACCCAGAAAGGGGGAAGGAGTGAAACCCAGAAAGGGGGAAGGAGTGAAACCCAGAAAGGGGGAAGGAGTGAAACCCAGAAAGGGGGAATGAGTCACAGCGGGGCAACGCGAGTGCACTCTACCCTTCAGTGCCCACGTCGCTTCAAACCACTTCGCTTAGAGGGATAAGAGTCAGTGCCAACTCACAACTCACCATCAAGACGGGCACTCTATCCCACAAGGCTTCCACCACGTATCCAGCCTGCACTGCATCCCCACACGGCTGCACCATGCGCACCACCACCAGCACCTGCTGCACAGCTGCCGTCTCCCCCTCCCCGCCCCTCCCTCCCTTCCCTCCCCTTTCATCCGACCTCTTGCCTCCCCCGCTGTCTTTCCCTGCGCCTGCCTCGGCTGCAGCAGCAGCATCACCAGCAGCAGGAGTGGTGGGGTGTGGGGAGGAGGAGAGTAGGAGGTGGAAGAGGGCGTGGCAGGAGGCGAGTCTCAGGGGCGGGCAGTCGTCTGTGAGGAGGTCAGCGAGGAGGGAGATCGCCTCGTGCTGTGGGAGGGTGTCGTTGCTGTTGGCAATTGGGGGGGGGGGGGGGGGGTGTTACAGAGGGGCAGAGGGGAAGAGAGGGGAAGGGGAGTTGAGTTGATGGCAGGAGGCGAGTCTCAAGGATGGGCAGTTGTCCGTGAGGAGGTCGGAGAGGAGGGTGATTGCCTGGTCGTGTGGGAGGGTCTCGTTGCTGAGAAGGGCAGGGACACATGGGAAAGGAGGGGAAGAGGGGAAGAGGGGAAGAGGGGAAGAGGGGAAGAGGGGAAGAGGGGAAGAGGGGAAGAGGGGAAGAGGGGAAGAGGGGAAGAGGGGAAGAGGGGAAGAGGGGAAGAGGGAACGAGGGGAAGAGGGAAAGAGGGGAAGAGGGAAAGAGGGGAAGAGGGGAAGAGGGGAAGAGGGGAAGAGGGGAAGAGGGAAAGAGGGGAAGAGGGAAAGAGGGGAAGAGGGAAAGAGGGGAAGAGGGAACGAGGGGAAGAGGGGAAGAGGGGAAGAGGGGAAGAGGGAACGAGGGGAAGAGGGAAAGAGGGGAAGAGGGAAAGAGGGGAAGAGGGGAAGAGGGGAAGAGGGGAAGAGGGAAAGAGGGGAAGAGGGAAAGAGGGGAAGAGGGGAAGAGGGAAAGAGGGGAAGAGGGAAAGAGGGGAAGAGGGAAAGAGGGGAAGAGGGAAAGAGGGGAAGAGGGAAAGAGGGAAAGAGGGAAAGAGGGAAAGAGGGGAAGAGGGAAAGAGGGGAAGAGGGGAAGAGGGGAAGAGGGGAAGAGGGGAAGAGGGAAAGAGGGGAAGAGGGAAAGAGGGGAAGAGGGAAAGAGGGGAAGAGGGAAAGAGGGGAAGAGGGAAAGAGGGGAAGAGGGAAAGAGGGAAAGAGGGAAAGAGGGGAAGAGGGGAGATGGGTTGATGGCGGGAGACGAATCTGAGGGGCGGACAGTTGTCCGTGAGGAGGTTGGAGAGGGGAGAGATTGCCTGGTGCTGTGGTAAGGTGTCGTCGCTGGGAGACAAACACGGAGAAAGGTGGAAAAGGGTGGAAAAAGGTGGAAAAGGTGGAAAAAGGTGGAAAAAGGTGGAAAAAGGTGGAAAAAGGTGGGAAAAGGTGGAAAAAGGTGGAAAAAGATGGAAAGAGGTGGAAAAAGGTGAAAAAAGGTGGAAAGAGGAGGAAAAAAACGGAGATGGGGTTGTCTGAATTGAGTATGAGTCTGAAGGTGGAGATCGCTCACCACCTCACCATCCATTCTAAGTCCCATCTGAGGAGTGGGTTGCTAAGAGCCCAGAGAAAGTAAGATATCTCTGCATTGCTTTCGAGTCGGCTCGAAAGAAAAATGTCACGTCAGCTGCATGCATTGCTCACCTGGCGAGCAGCTGGACCAATGAGATGGCAGCCACCGCCACATCAGCATCCACGTCATCCACCATCTGCTGCATACGTGGCAAGAAACGCTCAGAAAAGACGCCGAGTGCCGGGAGATTGTCCTCGCTGGCGTACAGCGATTGGAGCGCTGACAGGGCTGTGAGCCGGACGGATGCCACCTGGCAGAGGGATATTGGAGCAGAGATCACACATTTAACTCTAACAGGAAATCTCTGAGAAACGGAGCGCTTGGAAGAGAAAAATCACGTTATCTGGAGGCTTTTGAGGGAGAAACAATGGGCAATGAAGTCTAGAGATTAACACAGAACAATAAATTGCACTTTATCTCTCAATTCGATCCGCTTACCTTGTCATTGAGCGAGAATCCGAGGTACTTGAGGTAGACGTCGTCCAGGAAGAGTGATGGGTAGCGCACCACCCACTGCCCCAGCGCCGCCACGCATGCTGCTCTGATGGCGGGGTCTATGTCCCTGTGGCGATGAGTGAGGATGCTGGGAGGGGAGGAGGGAGAAGAGGGGGGTTGTGTATAGGTGTAAGCAGGAGGGGGGAAGTGTATGGGGAATCGCACCCGAGCACTGCCACACACGCTGCTCTGATGGCGGGGTCTACGTCCCTGTGGCGATGAGTGAGGATGCTGGGAGGGGAGGAGGGAGAAGAGGGGGGTTGTGTATAGGTGTAAGCAGGAGGGGGGAAGTGTATGGGGAATCGCACCCGAGCACTGCCACACACGCTGCTCTGATGGCGGGGTCTACGTCCCTGTGGCGATGAGTGAGGATGCTGGGAGGGGAGGAGGGAGAAGAGGGGGGTTGTGTATAGGTGTAAGCAGGAGGGGGGAAGTGTATGGGGAATCGCACCCGAGCACTGCCACACACGCTGCTCTGATGGCGGGGTCTACGTCCCTGTGGCGATGAGTGAGGATGCTGGGAGGGGAGGAGGGAGAAGAGGGGGGTTGTGTATAGGTGTAAGCAGGAGGGGGGAAGTGTATGGGGAATCGCACCCGAGCACTGCCACACACGCTGCTCTGATGGCGGGGTCTACGTCCCTGTGGCGATGAGTGAGGATGCTGGCAGGAGGAAAAGGGGAGGGGGAGTTGTGAAGAATGAAGAGGGGGGAGGAGGGTTTTGATTAAGCAAAGGAGGAGGGGTGTGAGCAGCAAGAGGCAACGCACCAACCACTGCCCCCCAGTGCCGCCACACACGCTGCTGCTCTGATGGTGGCATTCACATCTCGATGGCGACGAGTGAGAATTCTGCACATATGAGGTTTAGAGAGGGCGGGTGTGAGCAGACGAAGGGATGTAAGGATGTGAGCAGAGGGAGGGCTGTAAGGATGTGAGCAGAGGGAGGGCTGTAAGGATGTGAGCAGAGGGAGGGCTGTAAGGATGTGAGCAGAGGGAGGGCTGTAAGGATGTGAGCAGAGGGAGGGCTGTAAGGATGTGAGCAGAGGGCGGGCGTGGGCAGAAGAAGGGTGGGAGAACTAAGAGCAGGGAGTGTCCGGGGGACCCATGAACAAATCTTTTGGTCCTACATCACTCACCAAGTGAATTTTCAAGTGTCTCAAGACTCTTTTGAGGCGTCTCAAGACTCTTTTGAGGCGTCTCAAGACTCTTTCGAGTCGTCTCAAGACTCTTTTGAGGCGTCTCAAGACTCTTCTGAGGCGTCTCAAGACTCTTTTGAGGCGTCTCAAGACTCTTCTGAGTCGTCTCAAGACTCTTTTGAGGCGTCTCAAGACTCTTCGGAGTCGTCTCAAGACCCTGCAAGCCCTGCACCACTCACCCGGTGAACCCGCTTCGCATGAACCCCTCTAGCTCTGCCATCTTCCCATGCATCTCATCCACCTTCGCTTGCAGCTCCACCACCACTCGACTGCTCGCCCCTACCCTCCAACTCCCCTTCCGCCTCTCCCACCTGCCCCATCCCCCACCCCTTCTTCCCCCTCCGCCTCCCCCCTCCCCTTCCCACGACCTCCCCCGGTTGACCCCCTTCTAGTGCTCCTCCTAGCTCCTTCTCTGCCTTCCCCTTCTCGCTGCTCCTCCTGCTCTTCGGACCGTCGGATCGTGGCCTGCAGCTGCCTCTGAGCTGTCGATTGCGCGTCAGAGAGCACGGAAGCAACGGTGATGATGGAGGAGATGATCTGCAGACCCACTAGCGTTGCCACGTGGCGGAATATGCGGGGGGAGGACCTGGGGGGGGAAGGGGGGAGGAGAGGGGGTGTGTGGGGGGGTTTGAGAGGTGGGGAAAGGGAAAGGGAGGTGGGCGGCACAATATGCACGAAGGGGAATCAGCAGAAGAGGGGGGCATATGGAGAAGGGCAGAGGTGGAGGTGCGAGAGAGAAACAAGGTAGTTGAGGAGGTTTTTCTTGAGGCGCCTCAAATATAGACTCCTCACGTGTGAGGAGAGAGTAACAAGGTAGCTGAGGAGGGCAGGCAGCAGCTGATTGTCAAAGACAGCACCCTCCCCGCCGCCCGCCAGCACGAGGGCATCCCAAAAGTGCAGCAGGGAGGCATGGATAGAGGGGAAGGACGAAGGGAACATACGAGGAGAGGGCGACGAGGTAATCCAGGAGGGCGGGCAGCAGGCGGTTGTCAAACAGCGCGCCCTCCCTGCCGCCCGCCACTATGAGCGCGTCCCAGAACAGCAGCAGGGAGGCGCGGAACGACGCCCCGTCAGCAGCCTTGGCGCGGACAGACGAGCCTGTGCCATTGCCATCCCTGGCGTCCTTGGCAGTGAGGTGGTGATGGTGGTGGTGGTCAGATTGAGTGGCTTGCAGGTGATCGAGCAGTGTGGTCTGGTGTGCCGTGTCCACCAGGGTTTGAACAACATCGTCCACTGCTACGCCCTCTGAGATGATTGCATCATCACCCATCACCACCTCAACTCCACACGCCTGTAAGAAAAGGGAGCACATGGCAGACACACCAGATGGCGCATTGCGATATAAAATCAGAGCCATGTGCGTGCATTGCAGCGCGTGCCCTCACCTGGAACAGCAGCTTGAGGCGCATGCCCTCACCTGGAACAGCAGCTTGAGGCGCATGCCCTCACCTGGAACAGCAGCTTGAGGCGCATGCCCTCACCTGGAACAGCAGCTTGAGGCGCATGCCCTCACCTGGAACAGCAGCTTGAGGCGCATGCCCTCACCTGGAACAGCAGCTTGAGGCGCATGCCCTCACCTGGAACAGCAGCTTGAGGCGCATGCCCTCACCTGGAACAGCAGCTTGAGGCGCATGCCCTCACCTGGAACAGCAGCCTCACCTGGAACAGCAGCTTGAGGCGCATGCCCTCACCTGGAACAGCAGCCTCACCTGGAACAGCAGCTTGAGGCGCATGCCCTCACCTGGAACAGCAGCCTCACCTGGAACAGCAGCTTGAGGCGCATGCCCTCACCTGGAACAGCAGCTTGAGGCGCATGCCCTCACCTGGAACAGCAGCTTGAGGCGCATGCCCTCACCTGGAACAGCAGCTTGAGGCGCATGCCCTCACCTGGAACAGCAGCTTGAGGCGCATGCCCTCACCTGGAACAGCAGCTTGAGGCGCACGCCCTCACCTGGAACAGCAGCTTGAGGCGCATGCCCTCACCTGGAACAGCAGCTTGAGGCGCATGCCCTCACCTGGAACAGCAGCTTGAGGCGCATGCCCTCACCTGGAACAGCAGCTTGAGGCGCATGCCCTCACCTGGAACAGCAGCTTGAGGCGCATGCCCTCACCTGGAACAGCAGCTTGAGGCGCATGCCCTCACCTGGAACAGCAGCTTGAGGCGCATGCCCTCACCTGGAACAGCAGCTTGAGGCGCATGCCCTCACCTGGAACAGCAGCCTCACCTGGAACAGCAGCTTGAGGCGCATGCCCTCACCTGGAACAGCAGCTTGAGGCGCATGCCCTCACCTGGAACAGCAGCTTGAGGCGCATGCCCTCACCTGGAACAGCAGCTTGAGGCGCATGCCCTCACCTGGAACAGCAGCTTGAGGCGCATGCCCTCACCTGGAACAGCAGCTTGAGGCGCATGCCCTCACCTGGAACAGCAGCTTGAGGCGCATGCCCTCACCTGGAACAGCAGCTTGAGGCGCATGCCCTCACCTGGAACAGAGCTTGAGGCGCATGCCCTCACCTGGAACAGCAGCTTGAGGCGCATGCCCTCACCTGGAACAGCAGCCTCACCTGGAACAGCAGCTTGAGGCGCATGCCCTCACCTGGAACAGCAGCCTCACCTGGAACAGCAGCTTGAGGCGCATGCCCTCACCTGGAACAGCAGCTTGAGGCGCATGCCCTCACCTGGAACAGCAGCTTGAGGCGCATGCCCTCACCTGGAACAGCAGCTTGAGGCGCATGCCCTCACCTGGAACAGCAGCTTGAGGCGCATGCCCTCACCTGGAACAGAGCTTGAGGCGCATGCCCTCACCTGGAACAGCAGCTTGAGGCGCATGCCCTCACCTGGAACAGCAGCCTCACCTGGAACAGCAGCTTGAGGCGCATGCCCTCACCTGCCCCTCACCTGGAACAGCAGCTTGAGGCGCATGCCCTCACCTGGAACAGCAGCTTGAGGCGCATGCCCTCACCTGGAACAGCAGCTTGAGGGCGCATGCCCTCACCTGGAACAGCAGCTTGAGGCGCATGCCCTCACCTGGAACAGCAGCTTGAGGCGCATGCCCTCACCTGGAACAGCAGCTTGAGGCGCATGCCATGAGCATGAGGCCATGCCCTCACCTGGAACAGCAGCTTGAGGCGCACGCCCTCACCTGGAACAGCAGCTTGAGGCGCATGCCCTCACCTGGAACAGCAGCTTGAGGCGCATGCCCTCACCTGGAACAGAGCTTGAGGCGCATGCCCTCACCTGGAACAGCAGCTTGAGGCGCATGCCCTCACCTGGAACAGCAGCCTCACCTGGAACAGCATCTTGAGGCGCATGCCCTCACCTGGAACAGCAGCCTCACCTGGAACAGCAGCTTGAGGCGCATGCCCTCACCTGGAACAGCAGCTTGAGGCGCATGCCCTCACCTGGAACAGCAGCTTGAGGCGCATGCCCTCACCTGGAACAGCAGCTTGAGGCGCATGCCCTCACCTGGAACAGCAGCTTGAGGCGCATGCCCTCACCTGGAACAGCAGCTTGAGGCGCATGCCCTCACCTGGAACAGCAGCTTGAGGCGCATGCCCTCACCTGGAACAGCAGCTTGAGGCGCACGCCCTCACCTGGAACAGCAGCTTGAGGCGCATGCCCTCACCTGGAACAGCAGCTTGAGGCGCATGCCCTCACCTGGAACAGCAGCTTGAGGCGCATGCCCTCACCTGGAACAGCAGCTTGAGGCGCATGCCCTCACCTGGAACAGCAGCTTGAGGCGCATGCCCTCACCTGGAACAGCAGCTTGAGGCGCACGCCCTCACCTGGAACAGCAGCTTGAGGCGCATGCCCTCACCTGGAACAGCAGCTTGAGGCGCATGCCCTCACCTGGAACAGCAGCTTGAGGCGCATGCCCTCACCTGGAACAGCAGCTTGAGGCGCATGCCCTCACCTGGAACAGCAGCTTGAGGCGCATGCCCTCACCTGGAACAGCAGCTTGAGGCGCATGCCCTCACCTGGAACAGCAGCTTGAGGCGCATGCCCTCACCTGGAACAGCAGCTTGAGGCGCATGCCCTCACCTGGAACAGCAGCCTCACCTGGAACAGCAGCTTGAGGCGCATGCCCTCACCTGGAACAGCAGCTTGAGGCGCATGCCCTCACCTGGAACAGCAGCTTGAGGCGCATGCCCTCACCTGGAACAGCAGCTTGAGGCGCATGCCCTCACCTGGAACAGCAGCTTGAGGCGCACGCCCTCACCTGGAACAGCAGCTTGAGGCGCATGCCCTCACCTGGAACAGCAGCTTGAGGCGCATGCCCTCACCTGGAACAGCAGCTTGAGGCGCATGCCCTCACCTGGAACAGCAGCTTGAGGCGCATGCCCTCACCTGGAACAGCAGCTTGAGGCGCATGCCCTCACCTGGAACAGCAGCCTCACCTGGAACAGCAGCTTGAGGCGCATGCCCTCACCTGGAACAGCAGCTTGAGGCGCATGCCCTCACCTGGAACAGCAGCTTGAGGCGCATGCCCTCACCTGGAACAGCAGCTTGAGGCGCATGCCCTCACCTGGAACAGCAGCTTGAGGCGCATGCCCTCACCTGGAACAGCAGCTTGAGGCGCATGCCCTCACCTGGAACAGCAGCTTGAGGCGCATGCCCTCACCTGGAACAGCAGCCTCACCTGGAACAGCAGCTTGAGGCGCATGCCCTCACCTGGAACAGCAGCCTCACCTGGAACAGCAGCTTGAGGCGCATGCCCTCACCTGGAACAGCAGCTTGAGGCGCATGCCCTCACCTGGAAGACTCCGCAGTCAAAGCCATGTGCGTGCACTGCGGCGTGTGCTCTCACCTGGAACAGCAGCTTGAGCAGCTGAGCAGTGGCGTGCGTGCGGTTGAAATCGTAGCCCTCCATCCATCTGTACGCTGCCTCCTCCACGTCGGATGCAGTTCCAGCCATGACGATGTCTGTGGGTGGTTTGGGGGGGAGGGGGGAAGGCGAGGGGAAGGCGGGGGAAAGGGGGGGGGGAAAGGAACAAAGAGCTTGTGGGGAAACAGTAGACAGTGCATGTGGTTGAAATCGCATCACTTCCTCTCCCCCACACAGTCCAGTGCAAGTGCGTCCCTGTTCAACCCACCAAATAGGCTTCGCTTGACAGCAGCGAGCCCACCATCAGCCCCCGCGATCCCTGTCCCTGCCTGCTGCTTCTGCTGCTTCCCTGCTCCCTTCCGCTGCCCCCCCTCCTGCCCTCCCCCCACACCCTCCTCCTCTCCTGCCCCCGCTTGCTGCCCACCTTCCGCCTCGACCTCTCTCTCCTCCACCTCCTTCCCTCTCCTCCTCCTCTTCTCTGCTTTCTTCGGCTTTGCTGCCGCAGCACCAATGGCCCTCCCCTCAACTATGAAAGCACCGGCAGCAGCAGCAGCAGCCGCAGCTGTGGACCGAGCCTGGCGGTGAGGCTTGGCGAGAGCCTTGAGCGCTGCTACCTTGCGAGGCTTGGGAGCAGGTTTGGGGCGAGGCATGGCGACAGCAGTTTGCTTATGGGAAACTCCCCCCTCTGCACGAGGCTTCTTTGCCTTCTGTGACGAAGGGACATATTCCTCCTCCTCTTCCTCCTCGCTCTCCTCCTCCTCCTCACTCTCTCCCTCTGAGTCGTTCTCATTCACACTCTCGTCCTCCTCGTCTTCTCCCTCTTCCCCCTCCCCTTCCTCCACTTCTGCACTTTTCTCCTCCCTTTCCTCCTCTCCCTCCACCTCAGCCTCACCTATTGCCTCCCCTTGCTCCCCCTCCCTTTCTTCCATCTCCATTTCTTCCCCCTCCTCCTCACTATTCCTACTCCCCTCTTCATCTCTCCCCTCCATCTCCTCAGCCTCCTCCCCCTCAGCCTCCTCCTCCTGCTCTTCCTCCCTCTCCCTGCCCTTCTTCCCTCCCTTTCCCCTTCCTCTCTTCCCGCCCCCCGTCCCTCTCAACAAACTGGCTCTTTTCCCACTCTCCTTCTTGCCACCCTTCCCCCTCTCCGGTCCTCCTGAACCCTTCTCAACCGTACCAGTCCTCCCAGACCTACCAGCCCTCCCAGCCGTACCAGCTCTGGTGCTCCTCCTCTCAACAACCACCGCCTTGCCCTTCTTTCGCTTTACGCCCTTCCCTGCTTTCTCCACGACCTCCACTTCAACTTCCTTCTCCTCCTCCCCCTTCTCCGCCTCCTCTTCCTCCGCCTCCCCCTCCTCCTTCTCCTCCTCCTCCGCCTCCCTTTGCTCCTCTGCATCTACTGCCGCTCTTTTACCTGTTGCCTCTTGGTGTGCCCCTCGTCTCCCTCCAACTCTCCCTTCTGCTGCCTTTTCACCCCCTGCTTCAGCCTGCCGCGTCACCTTCCCCTTCCCCTTCTTTTCCACCTTCCCTGCATTTCTCTCCTGGCCCATCTCCCCTTCCTCTCCACCTTTTTCTCCCTCCCTCCCCTCCCCTGCCTTCTCCCCCTTCTCCCGCTCCCCCTTCCCCGCTCTCTTTTTCCCCACAGAAGAAGCAGCCAGGGCAACAGCAGCACGCTGAGCAGCCGCCCGCCTCTCCCTCCCCCCTGCAACTGGGGTTACCACCACATCCTCTCCCGTGCTTGCACTCTTCCTCCCCTTTCCTCTCTTCCTACCAGAGACCGGGGTTCTTTCTGGCTTTGCCGTTTCTCCTGCCACCTCCCCACCAGCACCTGCCTCTGTCTCTCTGTCTCCTCTGCCGTCCCTCTCGGTGCCCAACGTTCCCTTGGGCCCAAATCCAGCGCTACCTTCCTCTCCGCCTCCCCCTTTTTGAGGCGTCTCAAAAACCCTCTCTGTCCCCAACGCTCCCTTGAGCCCAACTCCAGCGCTCCCTTCCTCTGCATCTCCCTCCGCTCGCTCCTCTGCCTCAATATCTCTTCGTTCACTTGCCTCACCCGCTCCTCCCTCCTCCTCTCCTGCTTCTACCACTGCTCGAGCCCCCACGTGCGTGTTCTCTCCCTCCTCTTCCGTCTCCTCTCCCCCCGCCTCCTTCCCATCGGCAGACGGCCCTTCTCCTGTTTCTGCTGCTTCTGCTACCTCTGCTGCTTCTTCTGCCTCTGCTGCCTCTGCTGCCTCTGCTGCTTCTGCTGCTTCTCCTGCCTCTGCTGCCTCTGCTGCCGCTGCTGCCTCTCCTGCTTCTGCTGCCTCCGCTGCAGCAACTGCCATGCCAGCTTCTGCTTCCCTTCTGGAGAGCAAAAAGGAGGAAACAACAGACAGGAGGGACAGAAACGTGGCAGGTAGATTCAGTCAAACAGGGGACTGCAAGGCAAGACAAGTGTGCAAGGCGAGACAAGGAGTGCAAGGCGAGGCAAGGAGTGCAAGGCTAGTCAAGGAGTGCAAGGCGAGGCAAGGAGTGCAAGGCGAGTCAAGGAGTGCAAGGCGAGTCAAGGAGTGCAAGGCGAGACAAGGAGCGCAAGGCGAGGCAAGAGGGGAAACAGGAGAGTACAAGCTCAGAAACCATGAGCTCGAACGAAATGTGACTTGCCGAAACCTACCCGGCCGTTCTCCTCTTCTTGCCGCCCCGTCCACTCGTCCCTGCCTCTCTCTCCTTCTTCACCTTCTCCTTCTCCTCCTCCCGTTCCTCCTCCCGTCCCTCCTCCCGACCCCCCTTCCCCGCCTCCTCAGCCTCCTCAGCCTGCTCCTCCTCCTCCACCTCCGTCTCCTCCTCCCTTTCCTTCTTCCGCTTCCCCTGCGCCTTTGCACCCTTCTGCTTCTTCCCTCCCTTCTTCCCTCCCTTCTTCGCTCCCTTCTCCTCCTTCTCCTGTGGCGACTCCCCGTGCAACTCGTCCGCCTCGTCCCTCCTATCTTCGACCTCCTTGCTCCGTCCTTCACTCGCCCTGCGAAATTCCTCAATATCCTCCCTCACCCTCTCATCCTCCTCTCGCGTCTCTCCATCTTCTCCCCTCTTCTCTCCATCCCTCCCCTCGGCACCTCTCCCCACTTCCCCGGAGCCCCGCCCCTTCCGTCCTTGCCCCTTCCGCTGGGACCCCTGCTGCAGCTGCTGCTGCTGCTGCGGCGGCGGCGGCGACGGCTGCTGGCGCTCATGCCGCTGCTGCCGCTCTCCCCCCTGGCGCTGCAGCAGCGTCTGCTGCCTGGCTTCCTGCGCCAGGCACGCGTCGAGCGCCGCCTTGTAATCCGGGAGGCACTTGCTGCGCTGGCTGCGCGCGATCGCCTTGTCCCTCGCCTCGCCCTCGAACCTGTCCAGCTCGTCTGGCCCGCAGAAGCGGCTGGCACGCGAGGAGGGGGGAAGGAGAGTGGGCAAGCGGGTGTTTCAGATCATTAAATTGATCGCTTTCTTCCTCGCCTCGCCCTCGAACCTGCCCAGCTCCTCTGGCCCGCAGAACCGGCTGGCACGCGGGGAAGAGGGGTGCGGAGGGGGGTTGGGGGGGTTTCGTCAGCGGGTAACTACGTATTCAGCCAATCGCCTTCTCCCTCGCCTCGCCCTCGAACCTGCCCAGCTCGTCTGGCCTGCAGAACCGACTGGCACGCGGGGAGGAGGGGTGAGTCAAGTCCACACATCCATTCAGCCCTTGATGCGGGGGGATGCAAGCAGCGTTTCACGGAGCGAACTTCGCAAAGAACGCTGCGAGGCTTTACGGAAGCGGGGCACGTCGTTTGCGAGACTCCTCCGAGGTTGTTGAATTCTGACAGAGTCGCAGGGATCCCTTGACGATTCGCGTCTGTCGCAATCGAAAGGCTCACATCTGTCGCAATCGAACGACTCACATCTGGCGCGGCTGCAGGAAGAGAACGAAGACCTTGCCTTCCTGCGGTTGCTTCTTGAACTTGTGAGGATCCACGACCTGATTCAAAACAAAGGCGGAACCAACAGAAACGAGAGGGGGAAACGAACGGGAAACGCTATGAGTCGATTCAAAAGGAGAACGACGACCTTGTCTTCATGCGCCTCCTCCTTGAAATTGTAAGGATCCCCGACCTGGCTCAAAACCGCGGGGGAACCAACAATATAATAATTGACTACCTGTAATTTCATAGATATATGTCATTTGCGCTTATTTTGAACATAGACTTGCTCTTTTCAACGAAAACCAGCGGAAACCAACGCAAAACCAACGGGAAACTTCCGATCGACGGAGGAAAGGCGTTCTACTTCCCAGCGACAGGGGTAGCAGACGAATTTTGAGCGCCTCGAATAGACACAATTAGAAAAGGTAAAAGCGAAACAACGACTTCTGCTGCAAGGATAACGATATAAATCACGAAACATTGTATAAATATCTTCTTAGCCTGCTTGAAGAGAGGAGAGGATCACCTGAGCCGGCCATGGCGGGTATCCCGTGACCTTAGCGAGGACAAGCGAGCCCACCGGCCACGATTCAGTATCCGCAGCCATGGCTAACTCTAATGCTCGGACCTAGCTAGTCTATTACCAGGCTATGACCAGCTGGTATACTAGAAAACCACATTCAAAGCGGCCAGGCTACGACCAGTTAGAAAATAGCGGCTCGTGACAGGGAAAACAGTTAAGGCACGGGCCGTCGGACCGTGTAGCAGAACGCCAAGACTTCTTGTCATTAGGACGCTTTACAACGAGAGGAACGTCATGGGCTTGAAGGGTATGGCTGAGCTGCCAGGATGCCAGACAAAACAGGTTCAAGGAGGTTTCACCAGAAGTGCTTCGGGAGGGAAGTCTAATCTACTGATGGCGAGGTTGGAACTTGGAAGCAAATTGGGAGAAATGGAGGGAAGGGCGTCGTGCTCCAGAGGTAGACTGCAGCAGCAGAGAAATGTACAAATTTGGCGGGAAGGGAATTTCGAACATAGAAATTGCCGCGTGTTACATACGAATCCTTGGGTGGGTGTACTGATAAACTGCTGTTCTGTGAGTAAAGAACAACAGATCAATTTTACTTTCATTCAAAACAGAGGGCAGCTGGTGAAGGGCCAACTGACTGCATTTAACCCCTCATTTTATCACGTGCTGAGCTCTCTTATAAACCAAGCTCAGCGCCTCTATTTTCCCACTAAATAATCTGTTCTAATCCAGGTCGATGCCAGAACCTACGGTCCCCCATCAGTAGCCCTTATCGGTCCACCCCTCCACTTCCACCACCAGTCGACATGGTACCAGCTCCTGAGCCATTCTCAGCAGGCAGGGGAGGGCCCCACTTGCCATCTGAATCTGAGGGCTCTAGCACATGCACCGAACCATCGCTCAGACCCAAGGCGAACTGGTTGGGGTCTTGGGGGTGTGCTGCCACCACCATAGGCACCACGAGACCCGGCCTGAGGAAGACAACAGAGGATCAATACCGGTATGAGCATGCATGGAGCATAAGCGCAGGAAGGGAGCAATGGTGGCATGGAGACAAGTGCAAGCCCGGGACGAAGCAAGAAAGCCTGGCAGTGCAGTATCCGAAGACAAAGACACAGCCGTGTTTTTGAGAATTCTCAAAGGTGTTTTTGAGAATTCTAAAAAAAGCCCTGCCAAGGGATGCCACTGCCAGAGAAAGGTCTGCGTAATGTGGCGGCGTACCCGACAGAGGGAGCATATGCCGAAGGAGCAACGCGACACCGTGGCCGGAGGCTATCCCCGTCGAACACACACACAGTGGCATCCGCAAAGGCTGCCAGCACCAGCGATGAGTCGCACGAGTATGCCGCAGCCGTGATGGGCGCTGACAGCGGGCCCAGGTCTCTGGGCACCCACTGCCGGAGCCGGTCGAGCTTGCTGGCGTCGTAGATGGCGAGCTGGGACTCGTGCGCCACCAGCAGGCGCTGCTGGTCGTTGTGGAACTGCACCCGCGTGTCTGCTAGAGCTGAGGGGGACGAGCGGGACGGCAGGGCCAGAGGCCGGGATTTCCTCTTCTCCCACCCGTCCGTGCTCCACAGGAAGAGCTGAGAGAGAAAAGGGGGGGGGGGGGGGGATTGGGCAGGGAGAGAGGCAGGGAGGATGAGAAAGGCAGGAAAGTATGTTGGTGTGAACATAGTTAAGACCCACCTGCAAGTCAGCAGCGAACTAGCCAATTACCCTGAGCCCACCTACATATCACCCTGAGCCCACCTGAGAGTCACCCTGAGCCCACTTATGAGTCACCCTGAGCCCACCTGAGAGTCACCCTGAGCCCACTTGCAAGTCACCCTGAGCCCACTTGAGAGTCACCCTGAGCCCACTTGAGAGTCAACCCCTACTCACCTGGCAGTCACCCCTCCCCTACCTGCGAGTCACCCCTCCCCTACCTGCGAGTCAGCCCCGGAGGACACAAGGCTGTTGAGCGCGTTGGAGAAGGCAAGCCCCGTGATGCGCTTGCTATGTCCCTTCAGCTTGCTCTTCACCTGCCAGGGCACGATGGGAAGGGAAGGGGGGTGGAGGGACTTGTAAGCCAGTTCAGAATCCACCTTACTTGCTGCGGCCCTTCAGCTTGCTCTTCACCTGCCAGGGCACGATAGGAAGGGTGGGGGGCGGAGGAACATGTAAGCCAATTCAAAGTCACGATAGGAAGCGTGGGGGGGGGCGTCAGCTTGCTCTTCACCTGTCAGAGATCGGGAGAAAAGGGGAGCGGGGTAGAGAGACTGTGAGATAACTCATATGTCACCTGGCTTGCTGTAGCCTAGCCCTTGACCTGGCTCTTCACCTGTCGATGCTTGATAGGGAAGGGAGGGGAGGCAGGGGAGGAGCTTGAGAATCGAGCAACCGCAGTCTATTTGAAGTGAAGATGACGGACTGAACAGTGTGCGAAGGGGTGTGAGTAGACGCGCGGTGGCGGCCACTGACATGACTTTTGAGGCGCCTCAAAAGGGGTGTGAGCAGACGCGCGGTGGCGGCCACTGACATGATTGCAGAGAACTCACGATCACACCTCGTGGTCACCACAATGCATAGCCACTATTGTGATTGAAATCACGAGGTGTCATTGCGAGCTCGCTGCAGTCATGTCTGTGGCTGCCACAGTGCGTCTGCTCACACCCTTTCGCACACTGTTTAGTCCGTCAAGATCATTCAATTCAGCTTGAGTCACGTTTTTGCACCCACCTCATGCAGCCGCACTCACCTCAAGTCGCACATTGATCTGCTTGGTGGCGCCATCCATGGAGATGGTAGGAGGAGGTGGATGCTAGGGGGGGGAGGTACTTTCTTCCCCATGGCCTCTACAACCCAGACACTGACCTCATAGAGCCTACCATTCTAGATCTGAATGGTTGCGTTGTCCATGCCGGTGGCGATGATGCTGTTGTCCTGCAGGTGGAAAGCTGCTGCTGGAAGGAGGCTGCTGAAGAGGAAGTGGCTTTGTTCTGATCCGTCCCTGTAGCATAGTAACTCACCTCATCCAACCGGACGTTGTAGATCTGGATGGTTGCGTCGTCCATGCCAATGGCAATGATGTTGTTGTCCTGCGGGTGGAACGCCAGGAAGGTGGCTGCTGGGGGAGGCGCCATGAACGTCGTCATCACCTGGTCAATGCAGGTCAATGGTGGTTCAAACAGGGGGAGAGAAGAGGGGTGGGGGGGTTGTTGGCATAAAGCTCAAGCTGAGTTCAGTGCGTCCGAACGTGAAAGGAAACACGCACCACACACACACACGCACGCACGCACGCACACCCCTACTCCCACGCGCACCTTGAAAGTGAGCATGTTGAAGAGCGACACCTTGCCCCCCGAGGCCGACATGACGTAGGAGTCGTTCTTGGAGAGCGCAATGCATGCTATGGGGTGCGCGCCGTCCCGGTCGTCCGAGCTCGCATCGCCCGTGTCGTTGGTCATCATGATGCCGCTGGCCGGCTGCCATAGCTGGGGTACTGAGCTGGCGGTGGCCTGTGTGCAAGAGAAAACAGGAGGGACCGGAGCGAGTGATTAGGCTCATAGCAATACATGGCAAACCGTCCCTGTCATCTGAGCTGGTGTCGCCCGTGTCGTTGGACATCATGATGCCGCTGGCCAGCTGCCACAGCTGAGGTACTGAGCTGGCAGTGGCCTGTGTGCAAGAGAAAACAGGAGGGATGGGGAGGGAACGATTAGGCTCGTAGCATTGCATGGCAAACCATCCCTGTCGTCCAAGCTGGCCGCTGGCGTTGCTCGTGTCGTTGGTCATCACGATCCGCTGGCCGGCTGCCACAGCTGTGAGACGGAGCTGGCAGTGGCCTGGCGTGTGGAGGGAGGTGGCAGTGGGGGGAAGGGGAGGGAGGGAAGCATGCTTGGAACAGCTCATGGAGAGCCCCTTGACTGAGCTTGCAGGCTGAGAACCTCTTGACTGACAGCACCTTCTGCGTCAACTTTTCACTCACCACTTCACTGCTCTCCCTTCCCACTCACCACTCCTTTGGGGTTCCGATCAAATCGGAGGTTCACTGCTGTCGAATCCACAGCTTGTGCACCACATTGCTGACAGCACCTATTAGGGTGTATCCAATACGTACTGTTAATGTACAGTTACATATATGTAAAAGAATATAACTATGTATATACTACTCCATAACACTCACCACTCCTTTAGGGTTGCGGTCGGACCGCTGCCACTTCCACAGCTTGTGCACCGCGTTGCCTGACAGCGCCAGCAGCGCCACGCCCGCGTTGGTGTAGATCAGACGAAGCACCTTGCTGGGCGGCAGACTGTCCGGCAGGCGGGCGGCACGAACCTATGATGTTGGAGAGGAGGGAAGGACAGGAGCAGGCAGGTTGAGCGGAAGGGAGAGAGGAGAGCAGGCACAAGAGGCAATAAATCAGGGCAAATGGCGAGGGCATAGGAGTTGCGAGATGAGAGGGTGGGAAGGAGGATATCAGAGGAAGCAGCTGGGAAGATAACACACGGGAGGAGGGGCACCAAGAACTCAGAGATCCCACGAAAGGGCGAGAAAGGGGAGGGCGCACCTGTGAGGGCTCTAAGAATTCAGTGAGCTTCCAGCCCTTCTTATCGGACCCATCCTCCTGGAGCCTCTGTGCCGTGAGAGGGGAGAAAGCCCCGGGAACGGAGAGCAGTGAGGGGGAAGAGAGCCCGGGGGAGAGGGAGAGGGATGAGGTGGGAGAGAGGAAGGGGGGAGCCAAGGAGGAGGATGATGAGAAGAGAGGCTTGCGAAAAAGATTGGGGGGGAGGAGGAAAAATACCACATGCATTTCCGTTGGAAGTATCCAACCGACTTTTGAGTCGACTCAAAAGACCATACGCATTTCTTCCATCGTAAGCACCCAGCCTCAACAAGAACCTAAAAGTAACACTTACCGATGCCGTAAGGGCTGAAGCAGGGGATGACCTATCAACCTGCTGCTGCTGCTGCTGCTGCTGTTGCTGTTGTTGCTGCTGCTGTTGCTGTTGCTGTTGCTGCTGCTGCTGTTGCTGCTGTTGCTGCTGCTGCTGTTGCTGTTGCTGCTGCTGCTGGAGCTGCTGCTGCTGTTGCTGATGCTGCTGCTGTACTGAGGGCGGTTGGGATGGGGGTGGTTGCTGGGACGCCTGAGCCGCAGCAGCAGCAGCGGCGGCTGCTGCTGCAGCTGCTGCTGCCTGCACTGCTTGCTGCTGCTGCTGCTGTGAGGGGGGCTGGGGCAGGGCTTGTGGTAACGGCTGTTATCAGCAGACGAATGGGGAGAGGGAGGCACGCACACGCATTAACAGAGAGGGTCAAGGAGGGTACGAATACATTTTAGGAAGAGAACGAAAAGGGAGTGTAGGGGGGGACAGGGGAGGGGGAGAGACGATGCATTGTACAGAGAAGGAAGGGGGCGGAGGATCTGGCTGAACAAGTGAGACAGTCAAAGGCACGGGCAGAAGCAACGGCCGCAGCAGCAACGCGAATCTAGAGAAGTTCTTAAACGTTTGTGAGAGTCTCAGCAACGTGAAATGGACCTACCTTTGGTGTCCACTGGCCTCTGAGGAAGCAGCAAGCAGCCGCAGCCACAGTAGCAACGTGAATACAGACAGGGTCTGGGTGCCAATGGGTCCGTGCCCTACCTTGGTGTCCACAGGCCTCTGAGAAGCAGCAGCTGCTGCAGCGGCCGCGGCAGCAGCAGCCGCAGCGGCGGTGGCAGCAGCGGCCTCGAGGTTGCGCAGGAGGCGCAGGCCCATGTCGTTGGCGAGAATCTTCACTGAATTGTCCGCTGCCGTCACGGCCAGGAGCGAACCCTCCCGGTTGAAACGCACCCTCGGACTCGCCTGGAGGGGAGGAAAAGGGAGAAGGAAAAGGGGTGAGGTGGAGCAGGAACTAGGGAGAAGGGAAAGGGGTGAGGTGGAGAAGGAACTAGGGAGAAGGGAAAGGGAGGCGGTGGAGGAGAAGGGGGGGGGGGGGGGGAAGGAAGGAGGGGTGGGTTACAACACACAACTCAAACAAACCTGCCTGACCATGGGGCGACAGGAGGGGGAAAGGGGGGAGCAGCATCACCTGCAGCAGCCGTGGCAGCAGCAGGAGCAGGAGGAGGAGGAGGAGGAGGAGGAGGAGGAGGACAAAGTAGGAGGCACTCACAGGCAGACCACCATCAGCATCTAGAGTGCAGAGCACGGCAGTGTTGTCCATGTCCCAGAACTTGATGAGGTACTCGTCGCCCGCCACGAGGAAGCGGTTGCGCGTGGTGTCAAACTGCACCACACCCAGCGAGCGCTTGCGGAAACCCAGGTAGCTGCGCTTGATGGCGCCCTCGCTCTCGTTCCACTCCACCAGAGAAGTTTCGCCCTCCTTGCTTGTTCCGCAGGAGAAGAGACTGCACAGGGGAGAGGAGGGGGAGGAGGGGGGGAAGGGAGGGAGGGACGGGGGAGAGAAGAAGTGAGCTGTATGCATCCAGGAGGCCCAGGCAGCTGCGCTTGATGGCGCCCTTGCTCTCATTCCACTCCACAAGGAGGTCTCGCCCTCCTTGCTGGTGCCACAGGAAAAGCGGCTAAACAGGGGAGGGGGGGGAGGAAGGAGGGAGGGAGGGAGGGACGGGGGAGAGAAGAAGGCGCCCTAGCCTTCCTTGCTGGTGCCACAGGAGAAGCGGGGAAGCAGGGGAGGGGAAAGAGGGGTCGGGGAGAGGGGAAGGTGAGATGAGGCAAAGGGAATGGGTGCTCTAGTCTTTCCATCTAAGACGCCTCTAAGGCACACACAGACAATCATCGCGTGTAACTCACCGCAAGCCACCAGCGCAGTAACCCATGGGTGAGGAGTCTATTTTTGAGGCGCCTCAAAAGACGCCTCTAAGGCACACATGAACCATCATCCCGTGTAGCTCACCGCGCGCCATCTGGGTGCTCTAGTCATCCCATCTAAGACGTCTCTAAGGCCCACACAGACGATCATCGCGTGTAACTCACCTCACCGCGCGCCATCGGCGCAGCACCCCATGGTGGTGCTGCACCACTTGCCAGTACACTTGCTGCTGCAAGTAGCATTCCCACTCACCAAACAACTGCCACATGAGTTGACTCGAACAGCACTTGTGACCCACTTCCTGCCATCAGCAGCGTCACCACTCACCGCGTGCCATCAGCGGAGTATCCCATGGTGCTGCACCACTTGGCACTACAGCATCACCACCACTCAACTGGCGAAACTTGACCCTACAAAAGCCTGTCACTCACCGCGTGCCATCCGCCGAGTACCCCATGGTGCTGCACCACTTGCCCGGGGCGTCATAGTCCACTCGCGACCCCAGGTGGTCATACAGCCAAGCCTTTATCTTGCCGTCGATGGCCGTCGAGAAGATGAACTGCAGGCATGTAATGGGGGTTGGGTCGGACAGAATGATAGGGGGTTGAGTAGCGCATTTGATGGGACACAGGAGGGGGGAAGGGGACAGGAGGACCCCAGGTGGTCGTACAGCCACGCCTTGATGGCTACATTGATGGCCGCTGGGAAGATGAGGTAGATAGGGGGAGGGTGGGGTGGAAGAGAGGGGGGGAGGGTGGGGGAGGGAGAGGAAAGGGAGTGAGAAGCTGGAGAGCAGCAAATGGGCACAGGAGGAAGCCAGCAGGAAAGGCGAACAATGGGGGAAGGTGGGTGGTAGGAGGGGGGAGAGGAGCGGCAGCAGGAATGCAACAAGTGTACAGTTCTAGAGGAGGTCGAAGCATTTCGTGCCGAATTTTACATAACTCCAACCAGAAGTTTCAAGTACCTGGATGTTCTCCTTGTGGTGTGGGTACACGGAGTACACAGGCGCTTCTGAGTCGACTCAAAAGCACTTGGTGGCTGTATTGTATGTATATTTCTTCAATTCAAGTACCTGGATGTTCTCCTTGTGGTGCGGGCACACAGAGTACACAGGCGCCTCATGGCCCTCAAAGGTGTAGAGCTTGCGCCCGCTGCTCGCCTCCCACACCTGGTGGCATGGGGTGTGGGGCATGGGGGCATGAGCACATGGGCACGTGCATGCACATGGGCCCATGCACACACAGACATGATACAAATGGCATAATTCAAGCAGCCTCACCACAGTGTCCTGACACGACTTCATGGGTCAGGGTGAGCTGCTAAGCACATGCACACGATGCCCACCTTGATGGTCTTGTCATCGCCGCATGTGATGATGCAGAGCCGCTTGTTGGGGTGAGAGAGAGAAGGCCAGGGGACAACCTCACCCACACTCCCATAAAAAGCCAAGCCCCCTCCCACCTCACACACACCAGCGTCCCACCTTGATGGTCTTGTCATCGCCGCATGTGATGATGCACAGCTGCTTGTTGGGGTGAGAGAACGCCAGGTCGTTCACACCACCCACATGGGCGTCGATCTGCACAAGCCAAGAGAGGCAGGAAGGCAGTGCAGAGCAGATGCTGCCATTGGTGTTGATTCGACTCGTGCTCTCACAGCGCAGAGGAAGCAGCGGCAACGGTTGTAAGCGCCTGCCTTGTCCATCCACCCTCACAAGGTGCAGCACACAGGGTTACCATTCCTAAAGCACGTAACGCACGCTGCCTCAAGTGCTGCGCATACCTCCAGGTGTTGCCCCATGCTGCTTGGGTTCTGGTACGTGTAAATGTGCACCATGTGCTTTGAGAACGCCGCCCCTGCCACAAGCACCCACGCAAGACAACGAGGAAGTAGGGCGGATACAGAGTACGTCCGAGTCAGCTCAAAGTCGTACGAGTTAAGTTAACAGCTATTTAGGGTTCTGTAAATAGGTGAGACTCACCAAAGAGTTGGCCGTTTGGCTCCCAGATGACCCGATTCACGGCGATGGTCTGATCCTTCATCCACAGAGTCTGGAACTGAGGCGAGCACTGCTGCGGGTCCCACAGTTTGAACGGCCGGTCCACCACCTTCTCCCGCGACCCCACCTCCCAGATAGCCACGTCTCCCGTGTTGCTGCCCACTGCACGCACAAGAGGGGGGGGGGGGGGGGGGGGGGGAGGGATGGAACAAGAGAGGCAGGAGATAGTGATTCTTCAGGCAAGAAAAGGAGGAAGGGGAGAACAACAGGATAACGCCTGGACTTCAATCAATCAAGGCACAACAAGAGGCGGAGGGGGCAGGCAAGGCACTACGGTGCAACAAGAGAGCAAGCCAGAACCACGTGCATCCGCAGGCAAACGCCAGCAGGGGTAAAATAGGAAAGGAAAGTCGTGGGGTGGAAGAGTAGGGATATGGATAGAGGGGGAAGGAGCAGAAGCAAGAGGGGTGGAGAGGGGTTGGGAAGAGAAGGGTGCGTACCAAGCAGCAGCGTGGGCTGGTAGGGGTGGAAGTCCATGGTCATCACACACGACCCCTGGTTCAGATTTCTCGCAATCGCCTTGGGCAAATCCTCCACGGAATACCCACCCCCTGCGCCCACCCCTGCTCCCAACGCCACCGGCCCCTGTCCCCCCGCTGCTGCTGCAGCAGCCGCTGCCGCTGCTGCGGCTGCTGCTGTCACAGCGCTGCCTAGGCCTGCCCCTGCTACGTTTCCCCCAATCGCTGGCACTGGGGGCCCTGGGACTGCTCCTGGGACAGGTGGCGGCTGTTGATTGGGTGGGACTTGGCCGTAAACCTGGTGTGGAGTAGGGTGGGAGTGGGAGGGGGGAGGTGGAGTAATGGAGTGAAGGGCGGATGATGGGGAGCAAGGAACACGAGTGGGGAGTAAGTAGGGCGGGAGAGTGGGAAGCAGGGGATCTGGGAGCACGGGGAAAAAAAAAAACCATGCCTGACTCGCCTCGTCCATGCCGCCCCTCTGCCGCTTGAGCACCATGTCCGAGTCCCCTGTGCCGGGAGACTCTCAATGCCACTTCATTCCACTCACACGCAGTCACCTCAGAGCACCTCACCTCGTCCATGCCGCCCCTCTGCCGCTTGAGCACCATGTCCGAGTCCCCTGTGCCCGGATACTCCACTGCCACTGGGTTGCCTGGCGGCGTGCGCGGCCGCTTCAGCATTGCTGCAGAGAGAGGGTTAAACAGGGAAGAGAGGGAAACTAAGGGGCCAGAGAATCAGAGCAGCGTGTGTGGCCACTTCCAGGATTACTGCAAGAAAGGGAAAGAGGAACGGGTAAAACGGGAAGGGCGGAGGGTGGGGGGGTGGGGGGAAGCAGGGGGGAGCAGGGGGGGAGTTTTGTCGCACCGAAAAAGAGAAAACAGTCAACACCTTTTTGAGCTAAGCTCCCCTGACCCAGGCTCGATGGGAAGGCAGCACGGGGCAGTACACACCTGGGTTAGGCCCTGGCGGCAGGTTGGCAGGGGGCGGTGGCACCACGGCATGTGGGGGAGGCGCAGCTGCAGGCGGCTGTCCACCCATCCACCCCGCCAAGGCGGAGGCTGATGGGCCCCCGGGCTGAAACGGCTGCAGCGGTTGCTGCAGGTGGGACAAAAAACAGAGGGGGGCGGGGGAGGGGGAGGGGGCGGAGGGGGCGGAGGGGGAGGGGGAGAGAGAGACAAGGATATTGAATGTTTTGCAGGTACAGGATGGAAGGCACCGGATGGCAGGCACGGATGGCAGGCACGGATGGCAGGCACGGGATGGCAGGCACGGGATGGCAGGCACGGGATGGCAGGCACGGGATGGCAGGCACGGGATGGCACGCACGGGATGGCACGCACGGGATGGCAGGCACGGGATGGCACGCACGGGATGGCAGGCACGGGATGGCATGCACAGGATGGCAGGCACGGGATGGCAGGCACGGGATGGCACGCACGGGATGGCACGCACGGGATGGCACGCACGGGATGGCACGCACGGGATGGCAGGCACGACATGGCAGGCCACTGTTCCAACACACCAAGCAAACACCACAGAATCCCCACCTCGCCCCCAACCTTCCGGCATTCAGGGTGACTCCTACCCCTGGCTCCCATCCCCCCACGACTCACCGTATGCCCCACCACGCCCACGCCCACTGGGCCCAGCGGAAACGGATGGGCCTTTGGCGGCACTTGCTGCTGCTGCTGTTGCTGCTGCTGCTGCTGCTGTTGCTGCTGAACAGCAGACAGAAGCGAGTTAGGCGGGGCTGGCTGCTGCGGCTGGGTGCGGCCGCCGTTGGGCGCAGGCCCACAGGTGTGGTCCACAAAGAGGGTCTTGATGTCGGGGTTGGGGCGAGGGTTCTTACACAGCTGGTGCTGCCAGTTGAGACTGAAAGGTGCGGGGCAGTGGGGATATAGGGAGAGGGAAATGACTTATACAGGAGCAGGTTGGGGCTCCGGGCTGTTGGGCGCAGGCCCACAGGTGTGGTCCACAAAGAGTGTCTTGATGACGGGGTTGGGGCGAGGGTTCTTGCACAGCTGGTGCTGCCAGCTGAGACTGAAACGCGTGGGATGGTGGGGATGCGGAGAGGGAAGAGACTCGGAAGAGGAGCAGGTTGGTGCCCTGTGTCGTTGGGCGCGGCGGACCCACAGGTGTGGTCCACAAAAGGGGGTTTGATGTCGGGGTTGGGGCGAGGGTTCTTGCACAGCTGGTGCTGCCAGTTGAGACTGATGGGTGGGGATGGGACGGTGGCGAAGGGGGGGGTGAGGGGACGGTGTGGCATTCATGCAGGGAACGGACAGAAGAGGGAAAGCGAGGGGGAAAGTAAGCGAAGAGGAGGCGGGGCGAAGGGGAGTTGGAGAGGGGCGCCGTGGGGGGGGGAGAGGGGGAGGGGGAGAGGGGGGGAGCACAGAGAAGAATCCACCTCTGGTTGATGAGCGTGCATGAGGACGCACCTCTGGTTGATGAGCGTGCGCAGGCACGAGTTCTTGAGGTTGGGGAACTGCAGCTTGCCTATGAGGCGACTCAAAGGCCACCTTGCACCCACCTCTGGTTGATGAGCGTGCATGAGGACGCACCTCTGGTTGATGAGCGTGCGCAGGCGTGAGTTCTTGAGGTTGGGGAACTGCAGCTTGTCGCGGAAGAGTGGGTTGGCCTCGATGAGCTTCTTCAGCTCCAGCAGCATGATGTTGCGCGCCGACTTGGTGTCGCCGTACTTGCTCAGCTGCTCGTTCTCCCTGGGGGGAAGGGGAGCGGGAGCAGAGGGGTTGGGGAAAAGGGGGCGGAGAGGATCGGGAGGGAGTCACCATACTTGCTCAACTGCTCGTTCTCGCTGTGGGGAAGGGGAGCGGGAGCAGGGGTGTTGGGGGAAAAGGGGGAAGGAAGAGCAGGTTGGCCTCAATGAGTTTCTTCAGCTCCAGCAGCGTGATGTTGCGCGCCTACTTGGTGTCCCCGTACTTGCTTGGTGCGAAAGGGGGGAGGGAGGGACGAGGGAAAGAGGAGTGCCGGGTCTTGCGCTAGCTCGGCTCTCAGATCAGCAACGGTAACCGCGCGCCATCGATCAAACGGTGGAGAAAGCGAGGGTGGTTCGGAGCGCGGAAGCGACGATCGGGCACAGAGGGCTGCACGGAAATGTTTCAAAATGCCTGCAGTTTAAGAAAACTAATGCTCTTCATGGGTCGTTGCCTGTCAAAAACGGCTGGTGACATGGTCCGATGAGACATGGTCCGATGAGACATGGTCCGATGAGACATGGTCCGATGAGACATGGTCCGATGCGACATGGTCCGATGCGACATGGTCCGATGAGACATGGTCCGATGAGACATGGTCCGATGAGACATGGTCCGATGAGACATGGTCCGATGAGACATGGTCCGATGAGACATGGTCCGATGCGACATGGTCCGATGCGACATGGTCCGATGTGACATGGTCCGATGCTACAGCGAACAGCGCTAGAGAACGGAATGGGCGTTGACAATCGCGAGTTGTGGAAACGCACCGGAAATTGTCCAATGTCAGAAGCTGAGTAATCTCCTTATAGAGCTCCTCGTTAAACGACGCGAAAACCTTGAGGTCCTTCACCAGGATCTCTACAGCCTTGGCTCTATCTTGCCTGAGATACCAAGGGTAAGCAGGGGAGGTGACAAGAGAGTAAAACAGCATCTAATGAACCAGTCCGGAAGGGTGAGAGGGAAAAAGGCCAGCCGGAGGCACTGGTCAATGCGCGAAATGAAGGGGGAGCGGGGTCAACCGAAATAAGAGATTTCGAGCGCGAAGAGAAGACCGCGAGCATCTAAAATAACGGACAGATACGTACGACGCGACGCGACCCAACAGTACAGTCAAGTTGTTGCCGTGACACGCGTGGGTCAGACGTGACGACGAAGACACGAATTTCAGACATCTAGTCGCCACTTATAGAATTGCCGCTGTCACTGATGTCAACGTCGTCACGTCTCTGTCAACGCCAAAACATGGTCGATCTGGCTTCTGACACCGGGGCTAACGAGCTGACGCCGATACGCTCCACGGCTCGTTAAAACTGAAACGACCGTCTGAAACGGGGGTCACTCGAAAGCAGAAACCGACGCGCGGGGCGATAACTCTATAACGCGTGGACGGGAAATCGATGTGGAATCGAAGCGCGAAGGACGACAAGGCACGCACTTGTCGAGCGCTTCGAGGTACTTCTGCATGGAGTAGCGGTTGTCGTCCACCTTGGTGAAGCTCGCCAGGTACCGCTCCACCTCCTCCCACACCTCTCTCGACTAGCTACCCTAAACCGACCGTCTGAAACGACGGTCTGAAATGACCGTCTGAAACGAGGGTCTCTCGAAACGCAGGAATCGACGACAGGAGCAATGACTCGATAACGCGTGGACGAGGAATCGACGAGCAACACATGACAATCCACCCACGCACTTGTCGAGCGCTTCGAGGTACTTCTGCTTGCGGATCTCGAAGAAGATCTTCATGGAGTAGCGGTTGTCGTCCACCTTGGTGAACCCCGCCAGGTACCGCTCCACCTCCTCCCACTCGCCCGCCACCACCTGGTCCTCGAAATACTTCATGTTGAAGAAGAAACCCGACTCCTGCTCCAGCCTGCATCAATCAGGAAATGGAGGGGATTGTTCCAGAGTGAGTCGTAGAAACGACACTGAAACGGTAGATCCGCATGAGAAAGTCGCTTCGACCCGCCTATCGTGCGGAAATAAAGGACTCCGTGAGACTGGAAACGAACGAAAAAAAAAACAAAGCAAACAAACAAAACTTCTGAATTATATGGCAGGTGAAAACTTAAGAAAGTGAACATTAACGACTCATACTTGTGAACAGTTTCCTTGAACTTCTCTTCATCGAGAAATTGTAGTATCAGGAACACTAGCTCTCGGCTTAACGACGACATGGTTCAGGCTCGAAGCGCCAAAACGGCGCACAGTTTCTCTCGAAATTTGTTGATCTACGTCGGACGAAATAGTTCAAGATCGCAAAACTAACTGAAGTCCGAGGACCTGCAGCCGCTTAAAGTGTCAGACACCAATTGGTCAGCTAAAATAGTGGCAGAAGGAAAACTCTCGTCTAGACAAGCATCAGCTATTGTCTGGCAAGCCCATGTCAGTTCCTGGCTCTGATTCAGTGCAGGGGGGAGCGGCTTGGCTACAAGATGGCCTTTTCTACAACCTTGGGTGATGCTGAGGTGTTGTGAGGTCGCATGGGTTCAGGTTGGTTTGAATGCGGTGAGGCGCGGCAATCTCCTGGATGGCTTGACTGGGGAAGCAGCGAATGGAAAAAGAGAAGTGAGGACGAGAGGGAGAGAAAGGGAGAGGAAGTGGCAAAGGGGAGGGAAGGGAAGGGCGCAGGGCAGGCAGGGCGCAAGTGTCACCCAGGAATGCCACCCAATTCAACACGAAGAACCCCTTGGTTACGAAACACGCAAACAATTTGGTCAGATCGCTGCTGGTCCCTAAGCTGTGACCCTGTCCAAAACAAAACACCCACCTGTGAAGAAAAATCCATGTTGGAAGGTTTTATACGTATTACATCTGAAAATACACGCCAACTTGATTCTGTATCTATCGTTTTTTCGCTGCAATATCTGGATTTTGGGAATGGTGTACTACACCCAAAATCACCTAGCGGGGCTCACAAGCAAAGTTCTGTAGTTTTGGGTGTTGCCCTTGCTCTGCTGACACCACACCAACTTTCTGTACGCTGTGGTGGCAGGCAGGGCACCTAATGATTCGCCCGTACCCTCGGCTGACGGATGCGGGGAGGAGATTGATGCACCCAGCCAACGTCAACGTTCTATGGCCAGCCTATCCAATGCGTTCTGTTCTCTGTGTGTGGCCGCTTCAGAACGCCCATCTGTCCGTTCCATAAGCCCGTGAAATGCGCTCGTCCGTTCCGATTGCGCCGTTCTTTCTCAAGGTCCAACTTCCCGCGTCAACTGGTTCTGCCTGGCTGGTGCGGGCTGGGCAGTGGGTAGTGGCGCCGAGGTGTGTGGAAGGTGGACCACATCAACATTGCACTGTTTATGATAAGTTGATCAACTGGACATCTTATCCCAGGGTTTCGCGGCAGGACCGATGCCAGTACACTATTCTGTTTGATACAAATCTGTTCATTACAGATCGATGCATTTCTACCAGGTCTGGAGCACTTCTTTTCATCTTCATATTTGTGATACCTAACGATGACCAAGTCGAGTCCTAATGTCATCAAGCATGTGCAATGCATGGTGTACTCAGTATCACTCAGATAATGAGAACATATGGACAATATTGAAAAAACAATAACAGCTTTAGTCCACATGCTTGTCCGTCGTTCTTATAATATATCATTTGTTTTTCCACGCAACACTTTGACCACACATAAATTGGAGAATTGTTGCTGTGTCCCATATTATAGCAATTTTGCCGAATAATTCTTCTTGAAATCTGTTATATAGAGCAACTGGTTTATACTGGCTACAGAAAAAAACCAAAAGAAAAATTTGCATCTTAACAATACGAACAAGACAAGAGATTGTGAAGTTAAAGTCCTCATCCCAAATCGTCCAAGCGCACTTGCGTTTGGAAGCTTGGCATGGGCTCTACGATTCCTAAAAAAAAAAATCGCTAGAACTCATTTGTCGTAAAAAGAAGCCAGATTGGTACATCTAAAACGCCAAATAGATATGCATGTTTGAAATTGTATAAACGCGAATGGATTTTGGACTATCGATGTGTTTGAAATCTGATCAAACGGCTACATTAGGGTCGCAAACTGTTGATTCCGTAGCATGAAACATTTGAAATTAGGACCGTCAGATATAGATATTGGAAAATGAATTGTTGTGTCTCCCAAACACACTGAAGTTCCAAATTGTAGCACGCACGCACTGAACTTGACATAACTAAAAGGCCCAGGAGGCTCGAACTAAAGGGTATGGAACTGTAGTGTTGGTTCGGGACTGTTCGAGTCGTACCGTAATCACCCGGATATAGGCGCGGCCATTTATTATGCCCAATAGGATTATAGAATGCAAACGCGCATATATTTATTACTTCATTATAAGCGCGTCATTTTTTAGAAAGTATATTCCCTAAAAATGCATTGAATTATTATTAAAAAACAGGTGAATTGCGAAACTTCCATATCGAAAACTCTGTGCCAAATCTCCCACAAGACTCTCGCACCCCCCCCCCCCCCCCCCCCCCTCCACCTCGCCAGCCAGATTCATGCGTTTCCCAATCGCTGTCTTGCCTATGATTGATCGAAACTTTCGCCAGATATTCCGCGCGATATTTCAGCGCGTCCCCTTCTAAAGACAGTTTTATTGGAACCCAAATATACCCAGCTACATTTTGGTGAGTTCAAATCATTTTTCTATATAATCATTCGTATTGGGCTTATATTTTTTTATTCGAATACAAGTGCATCCTGCTTTTTGAACCTAATCCCTATAAGCACATATGCGTCTATATCCGGGTAATTACAGTATGCCTTGTAGCAAGCCTCCGTAAGGAATTACTAATTTCTTACAAAAACAGCCACCTAAGTCTCGCCCCAACCCCCTTCAAATGCAAAAAGTTTGAGGACCGCGGCTTGCAATCTGGAATGCGGGCCACAAACAGGCCCCTAGAAGTCAGGAAAATTTTCCTGATTAAGGAAAAAAACAGGGAGTTTCTCAGTAGTAACCCCGATTGTGTAGGATTTTTTGAATGACACGCCATGATTTTAAAGGCTTTTTTTTAATATTAACTCTGATTGCTCGGCAATGATTCTTAGCGAACCCTAAAATTTTTAGCATTGTAGCGGGTCCTAGTCCTTATCGAAAGTATGTTTTAGGGGGCCAGTCAAGATTTTCGAGGTTCAGCCCCTGCCCTGGGCTGTGTGAGGGCGCTAATTCGCACTTGGTAAAAAAATCTTTACGCGCTGTATGTTGGGGTGGAGGTTGTATGATGGATGTGATTGGCGCTAGGCCAAATCTAGGGCTCGATGTGTGCTTCTGAGAACTGCGTGAGGGCAATCGCTGGCCCTTGGCCAAATTTGCTTGATCTGTGCCTGCCTCCTTTGGGGCTCTATGGGGAAGAGATATCAAACATATATTGTACGTTTCTGTATTCTATATAGGGTTGTGCCTTATGGAGTACAACCCATTAGGTTATATTCCCTTGTACGCCTTGTTTTAAATATTCTTTTCACTTGAACATGGTATCATGAGTAAGTACAACCCCCCTCCCCTCCTCTCCCCCTAGCGCTTCCGCCCTAGGTCCTAGCCGCCTCGTCGCCACACAGAGCCTAGTGGTCCCTCCGCAGAGCTAGTGGGTTGCCTCATGTACCTGATGACTTGCCCTCGTCCAGATCCCGCATACCCTCTCAGCATCCTGGCTTGCTTTATGGCCCCAGGCAGACACCGACCACAGCACTTGTCGGCAGCTAAGAGGGTTTTGCGTTATCTAGCAAGTACATCGGGCATGGGACTAGTGGTCCTTACTGGGCACACAGACGCTTCTTGGGCAGACAACGCCGAGACTCTCAGGTCCTCACAGGGTTACTCTTTTTGCCTTGGTGCAGGTGACATCTCATGGAGGTCCACCCGTTCCTCGTCTGTTGCCCAGTCTAGCTGTGGGGCTGAGATCGACGCAGGTGCCATGGCGGCACAGGAGCTCCACTGGCTGACCTTCTTGCTCACCGACTTGGGTGAGCGGCCTAGCTCTGCCCTGGTTCTGTACGCTGACAACAGTGTCATGATCCTCCTATGTCAGGTGCCACGATTGAGGGCAGAGCGAAGCACATCCAGCTGCGGTACTTCCCTCTGTGCGAGCTGCAGCAACGTCGTCAGGCTCGTGTAGTACACTTGGCCTCAAGTGCCAACACATCTGAAATGTTTATTAAGGCGCTTGCGCCTAAAGATCATCAGCGGCACTATGTACAGCTAGGTCTCATTCCTGTAGCCTCTCACGTGCTAGGACCTTGATTGTGTACAGACCTTTATATGTATTACCCTGAGTGGACTTGCGGTCTCTTCCCAGTGGCTGGACTAGTAGTGCCACCCTGGTCTTGCTCTCGCCTTGTGTGTACTTGTTTGACTGGTATTTAGACCCCTGCCTCAGAGAATGAACTAGTAGTGCCACCCTGAGCTGTTTCTCTCTCATCGGGCACTGTCCTAATCTAGTATAGGGGGTGTGTCAAACATATATTATATGTTTTTGTATACTATATAGGGTTGTGCCTTATAGAGTACAACCCATTAGGTTATATTCCCTTGTATGCCTTGTTCTAAACATTCTTTTCACTTGAACAAGAGATTCCCTCCGCCCCTGCAATCACTTTTGCATCCTCCTGTGCCCGCCCCTCCCCTTCCCCCCCCCCCACCAAAAATGTCGATTCCTGCCCATCCCCAAATTTTGCCCCGCACGCGCAAACTCGCTACGAATCCCCCCACCCCCAAAAAACAAGACTTGAATCTACATAATTGGTAAACAATACCATCCATAGAATCTGTTTCAAAGAAATGAGGAATTTGTTTTGAGGTAAATTTGATGGCTCAATATTTTTTTCAGGGGATCCTGTCATAATTTAATGCGGGGAGAATCCCGATGGATCAGGATGCCTCAAAAGCAATCTAGGGCCCTGGCCACAAGCCTTCAATGTTGAACTGTGCCATAATGTGCATTATTTGTGTGGCCTGATGAATATGCACTTGGCTTGGCACTAACCTTAAAACGAATCACCCAACCATCGGGCTGCTACGTCACCAAGTGCTGGCGTGGCAGCCTTGATACTTTCGATTGGGGGCCCTTCGAGGGCCCTTCTGCTGCAGCCATCAACGCGTACGCGAGCTTAGCTAAGTCCTGGCAGCTCGAGGCCTCGTTTGCGGTCCTAAGTACCTGGTGGAAACAGGTTGCTCGTTTTGCCCAACACCCAACAGAATCTTTTGCAACACCAACCCCCCATGAACTAAGCTTTGAGAGCCTTGATATTGCTGTGGAAGACCTATAATTGGGTGGGACGGTGGGTGGGACCACAATACCCACACCTCAAGCAACGGCCAGGTCCAGTTTAGTAGCTAGGCATTGGGCGTACGGTATTCGTGTACCACCTCAGGGTTTCTTCGCTAACGACGTTGGACCCGGCGTCTCCCCGTCTGGCTCATAGGCCGTCCTTTTGTTTAGCACCCGAAAAGCTATGACGTTGGGAGGCCTTGTGGCGCGCTTGGCGCGCCAAAACGCCAAGTCGGTTGCTTCAGGGAACTTTCCGTTCAGGACGTTCGTAAGCGGATCGGCTCCTGCGCTTGCTGCTGCGTCTAAGAGCTTGCAGCAGTTCTCGATATACCGGTGGGATCCCGACCAGAACGAGAAGCCGCGTCTTCAGACCTACACTATAGACACCAAGGAATGCGGTCCCATGATTCTTGATGCCTTGATTAAAATCAAGAACGAGGTCGACCCAACTCTGGCGTTCCGCAGATCTTGCCGGGAAGGGATCTGCGGTTCCTGCGCGATGAACATCAACGGTGCTAACGGCCTCGCGTGTCTCACCAAGATCGAAGCATCACCAGGAACGTCTATTCCGGTCACTCCGCTGCCCCATATGTTCGTTATTAAAGATCTCGTGGTGGATATGACTCAGTTCTACCAGCAGTACAAGTCTATCGAGCCATGGTTGAAGACGAAGAAGCAGCCGGAAGATGGGAAGGAGTTTTACCAGTCTAAGGAGGACCGACTGAAGCTCGACGGCATGTATGAGTGCATCCTGTGCGCGTGCTGCAGCACCTCGTGTCCCAGCTACTGGTGGAATCCTGAGAAGTACCTCGGACCATCTGCGCTTCTGAATGCCAACAGGTATGGTTCAAGGCCTGTTGGCCTTCGTTCGTGCATTTTTTATCATGCGCCTTCGTTTACCCATGGAGCTGGCTCCATATTTCTCCCTTGTGGATTTCAGGTGGATAATGGACAGCCGTGATGAGTACACCAAGGAGAGGCTGGATGATCTGGATGATGCGTTCAAGCTGTACCGCTGCCACACCATCATGAACTGCACCAAGGCATGCCCCAAGGGATTGAACCCAGGCAAGCAGATTGCCAACATCAAGCGCCTAATGGTCACAAGGAGCTGAGGTTTCTTAACTTACTGTATTCAAAGGTCGCCTAATAGCATCAGACCAGTAAGAGATGTATGCTTTGTACGTATGGTCGAACTCTTCCAACGCATCAAGTGTCAACCGTGGTTTGTATGCAGCATTCTGGCTTTGCTTCACACTAAAATAAGTTCCACATTTAATTACTGAAATGACCGGCTGTATGATAGATCTTTGAGATCAGCTAAAATGCCAGTACAATTGTTAACATACACGCATAGAGGCTTCTGGCATTTGATGTTCCATGCTGACTACCCTGCAGAGCACCTGCAGTGGAATGGACAGGTCAAGCTCAATAATGTCAGGCTGAGATGACACCCACTGGATACATAACCTGTCGACACGAATCTGCTGGCTTCACAACAGCATCCAACTCTCCAGCCCTCGCCTGCATCTCGGTAGCGCCGGAAAACCGATCGGTAAGACCTGGCAACTTATCCTTGAGATGCTGGAGAAGGTGCCACATAATATCCATCCGTTCCAGTGGTTGCTTGCACTGCAGACGCACAGAAAAGCAGCAAGTGATTAAATGCACACGACCCACGAGAAAGAGACAGGAAAGGCTGTGAGGCGATGAAGGACTAACCTGAGCAATAATGTGAGCCTTGACACGGCCACCAGAGCTCCTGACTGATGACTTGCGAACCACCAAGCCAATCTGACGAAGGCCATCAGCAAGGTCAATTGGCACAGTTCCACCAACCCACTCAACCTGCACACAGCAAAGGTCCAACAATGTTGAGCTGATATTGACAACAGTGTTAAGAGTGTAAGGAAGCAGGAAAACCTTTGAAGACCTCACCTTGATTTGGACCAATGTGGGTGACAAGTGTTGCACCAACACTGGGCATTCACTCATGCATTCATCAAAGCTCTTCTCCTCCTGCTTGGAAACAGGAACGCATATACGTCAGCCATTGTGGGATAAGGCGAAGAACAAAGAAAATAAAATGGTATTAACGTTGCTCCATTACTCACCAGCATTGCTTGTCCCTTCTCAATGTCAGAACGGAGAGATGCAAACTCTCTCAAGAACACAAGGTGCTGGATTGTGCGCTCCAGCAATCCGTCAATGCTCAACTGCAAAGAAAAAGGGGTCACTTGTCAATGAAAATGACCCAACCATTAAAGACCAACGGACAACTTCAAAAGTGAAATTACTGAGAGCCCAGCCATACCCTTTCAGAGTTGGGGACAATTCCTCGCAAATCCTTCACGCGATCCTGAATGAGCTGCCGGTCGCGAGGCCTCTGCTTGGGCTTCTCCTCCCTGCCCCTCTTCTTCATCCCCCTCTTGTCCTCCTTTCCAGTACCACCAGCAGCAGCACCAGCAGCAGCAGCAGCAGCAGCAGCAGCATCAGCAGCAGCAGCACCACCACCTGCTAGTTGTCCGAAGAGCTCCTTCAGACCGGCGTTTGACGCGACGTCTGGCGTTGCCCTGAAGGGCTTCAGTGCGCCCTTCACACCTGCTTCCTTCGCCAGCATCGCATCAGCCATGCCCTTCGCACCTCTCTCACCATCTCCCGCAGCCCTGCCAGCGATGCTTGCCCTGCTCTGAAGACCTGACAGCCTCCCAGCACCTATTGCTTCCACCGCCACCGCAGCCGCAGCAGCAGCCATGGGGTTGTGCTTGCTGCTGACGTGGCCTTGCTGCAGCTCGGCGAGGCTCAGTGGTGGCAGCAAGCCCGAGGTGCGCATGAGAGCTTCCAGGGTCGCCATTCGTTCCATTTCATCCAGGCTGCTGTTCCCCATCCCCACACCGCCCTTCGCTGCTCCTAGTCTGTTCGCGCTCAGCTTGTTCGCTGCTGCAGCAGCCATCGATTTCTCCATAACGGCAACACTTCCGGAAACAGCAGCTCTGTGAATCATATCCTGGTCCAAGAGCTGCTGGTGCTGCTTCTGTAACTGCGGCGGCCCAGAAGCCATGGAAAACCCTCCCCTGAAGCCACCAGCATCAGCAGCGAGCCGTGCGCCACCAGGGGCGCCTGGCTGCGCAAACACGCCGCGGCTCATTGCGTTCCCAAACTGCCCGTTGGCAGACATCTGCGCCGCGCCGATGTCCGCCAAGTCCGCCAAGTCCGCCAGTTCCGCCAAGTCAGCAGGGAGTTGGCCTGTGAAGTGAAGTCCCAGCGCCTGCGCGAGCTCATCAGCTCCGCCAAACGCGGAGGCAGATGTTAGCGCTTCACCACCACCGCCATTTGCACTCTTGAACTGAGATGCCAATGCAGCAGCGTTCCCGTTCCGACCAGCAGCCTGAGGCACAGGGGGCAAGCCAGCGGAGCGGTTGCCGAGCATAGGAGCCCTGAAGAGGCCGTCGGAAGCAGCCATGCTGCTCGCCGTCATGCCTGCCAGCATCTGCTCGTCTAGACCCGCCAATCTCCCAGCAAGATCGGCGTCGGAAACACCAAGATTTCCAAGGTTTCCCCCTGCTGGCGCGCGGACAGCAGCAGGGACCGACGCCCTGCTACTCGCCACGGGTTTGTGGACGGCCGAGGTGGCGGTCGGGAGAGGGAGATTGGCGAGAGATGGCGACGACGAGTCGTTGAGGAAGTTCTCGTGGAACATGCGGAGCTCCTTCTCCAGGTCAACCACCGCCTTGGCCTTCGCTCCTGCTCCTGCTCCTGCCGCTTCCGCTCCTCGTCCCAGCAACTCGCCAGACGGCCCGAGAACGTGCGCGGAAGCTTCGTTTGGAGACGAATGGCGGGAAAGCCGCGAGCTTCGATCCACCGGGTTGTTACCCAGCGACTGCGGGGGAAGAGGAGCACCGCCGATGTCCGCGTCGAAGAAATTCAGCTGAATCTGATTAATGGCGACGGACGCTCGAGTCGTCCTTTCCGGAGCGACCTTGGCTCGCTTCGCCGTGCTTGGCATGTCGAGAAAAGAGGCTACTTCTTGCTTGGGCTCCACTGACGGTTTGAGAGGAGCGGAGCTCATGAACCGAGCGTTCTGGCCGACGGGAGAACCATCAGAAGGGATGCCGAGAAGGCTGAAGAGATCCGACGGAGAAGACCCGGCCAGGGGATTCTCCGCGAGCGGACGCGACGGAGCTGGAGGAGCGGCAGGCGGAGGAGTTGGCGCGACAGACATCTGTATGTTTTGCTGATTGGAGTGAACTGATTGACGGCTGAGCGCTCCCGGGAAGGACGCATTGAGGAAACTGGATTGAGGGTTGCAATCGCCGAGGGATGCGGCGATGTCAGGAGGGAACCCTGCAGCTGCCAGAGCGCTTGCGCCGGATGTAGGAAAAGCCTTGGCTTTCAGCGCATTCTCGGAGAAGAGATCGGAGAGGAACGCTCCAGGGACCGTTTGAAGCGCCGCGAAGAGAGAGCGGATGTGAGAAACGAACTTCAGGTCCTCTGGCATCTGCACGACCAGGAGGGACGCCGGATGTTAACCCAATTCTCAAACCAAGCACCATCTTTTTAAGGTGTGAACGAAAATTCTGTTACTGACCGATCGACTGGAGCCGAGTTGCAAGACCCCCTCCGGAACGGCGATGACGGCAATGGTCTGCTCAGGCAAGAACGGAACTCCACGGCATGAGTAGGCTGATATAGGAAAACCGTTTACAGCTCAAACGAACTCCGTAGTTACGCACCTTTACTCCGGCAGCAAATTGGTCATCCCATCCTGATGGATACTGGAAACGGAAGGACGGGGGAAAGGTTAGGACCTTAGCAATGCCATAGAATGGAACGGATGTGTGAAGCAACATCTGAAAACCAGCTAGACGACAGAATGGTCTTTATGAAACACCGTGAATCACCTTGTCAACGCCCGTGCAGCCTCCGTAACCCTTCATGGATGAGAATCCGTGGCGAGAATCAAGGCCTGGAACGCCTTGAAACCGGGGAGCAAATATCCATTGATGCTTCCCGGAAAAGGCCACTCTGCCGACAACCCTGAAAAGCGGAAGAAATCATGAAACGCTGAGTCGTTAACGTCAGAAAAAGCTATCTCAAAGTGCGTCTTAGGAGGAGCAGAAACTAAGTTCCAAGAGAGAAAACTAAGGAAGTACTCAGTCTAAGTGCCAGGAAACGTAGTCGTAAGGGATACAGTCCTCACCCTTCTCCGAACGAATAAATGTGATATGACATCTTCGCGACAGCCATGCCGAGCAAATTCCCGTCAATACTGCTATTATCTGCGCTCTGCTCCTTCGGAACACCTCCAGGGGTATCCATCGAACAATATCCATCCTCCCAAGTCAGGACCCTGAACCAGTCAGTAGGAAACAACGTTAGGTAACATGCTTCTACAGAAATTGCTTACAGAACCCTACAGGCCAGGAATGTCCCAACGTACATTCGATTGCGTCTCTTCAGTTTCCAAAACACTGCGTAAGTCCATCCATCTGGAGAGCATAAACTCCTAAGAGTCTGCCGTAATAGAACCATGGTCGCAACTCTTATTCGCTGCTGCTGATTGCTAAACGAGAAAATACCTTAGATACGTATAGCTATACCGAAAGCACCTATCGACTCCGAGCACGAGTCTGCTGTTCGCCTAACAGGAAGAGCTACGAGATGAACCCTAGGAGCACATGAATCCTACGAGTGTTAGCAGAAAGCTTGTTGCTTGGGTTGAGTGTGTGACAGGAAGGGAGGAGCGCGTTTCCCAGTGATACTGTACAGCTATGGCGAAGGAATCATGCTGTGCACAAGGGTTTGCTTGATGCTGTTGACGGTGGGTTGGACAAGTTCGATTTCATGAGGCGGGCTAGGGTTTGCTTTGCCTTGCCCCCACCCACGCTCAGGGAGACACCACCAGACCAGAGACTAGGGAGGAGGCAGGGTTGATTTTTGGTGCCAGAAACAGAGAGAGCAGGGGAGGGGAGATGAGGGTTTGGTCTTGTCCCGCAGTGGGGATGATTGATGGGAGCACCCCCAGGGGGGGTACAGTAGGAGGAGCAGAAACGAAACGGTTTTGGCCCAATAAGAACTGAAGGGCCAGCAGTGTAGCAGCTGCAGCAGTGGCGGCAGGGAGGTCCTGCTGTTGATGCTTGCGACGGGCAGGCGAAAGAAATCGAACGGGAGCAGCCACAGGAAAAGGGGGCACTTCACGGGCTACGGTTTGACACTGGGTGGCAGGTAAAGCGCGGCAGGAGCAAACCAACAGGCTGACAGCAAAGCTGCTTGCACATCAATGCATGCACCCCAGCAGCTTTGATTTTGTTTACACGACGACTGCGTTCTGTACAGTAAAGTAGTGGACCACCATGACGTGAATCGCGCACGCCATGGATATCTGCGTTGATTCGCCTGTCGACCATAGCCCGCGATAAAATGAAATTCTTCGCTGACCTCAGCGGTGCTTTGTCTCACATGTCGGTAGCTGCTGTCTGCAACGAAACATTCGCGCAATACAGGTCATATGCCTTGTAGACGACTTCCTTTTACGCCCAGGAGTACTCCATAGGCATTTTATCCTTAAGGGTCCTTGTACGCAAAGTGTACCTGTCTCAACTCAACAGTAAGTTAGACAGTCAACTAAGCTGATCCAAGGCCGTCCAATCAGTTTGCTCTTGTGTTTTCAGAGCGACCACTCCTACTAGCCGGCGAGCCTCTAAAAATCCAGACGTGTCAGGCTCGCCAACTAATGTCGAGGCATAAATCCACCAGCTCGCTGACGGTCCAGTAGAATTACGCCTGCAACGCTAACGGAATCCGTCGGCGTTGCCCAATGAAAATCCATCTATCCACAGCCAGTAGGAGCGCGCCTAGGGGCGCGCCAAGGAATGTGGCATTCTAATGAAACCTGGCCTCCGAAAGTCAGGGTAATTACACTATTTTGTCAAGGAAAACAGGGTAAAATTTTGACCTAGCCCTGTTTTTGACGCATTCAGAATATCGATTCCCGTCCATTGACAGGTGTTGGAAATATCTCAAAGGACTTAAGCGTTTCTGAAGTATAACACTGCACTCGAGGAAGACTACAGGGGAGCACGCGAGTCAACGGAGGTTGCACGAGGGGGCGGACAAAGAATGCGAAAAGACTCGAAAGGTCACAACTGGAGGTTACGACTGACCGTTACAACATCACGGATGGTAACCGAAGCGGCAATCGAGTCGCTGTGCGACTCGATAAACCGTTCCTGTAACTGTATTCTACAACTGCTTTCTTATCGTCTATATATTGCTGTATGCTTGTTTCTTTAATCAATCACTTGTTCTCACATACTAGTACAAGGGTTCAACCGTCTCAACTTCCGCTGCACTACTCAAAGTCTCAAGTCTTCACAGCTGGGACTTAGTCTCTGAAAGGATCCTAAGGGCTTTTTCTCAGCCCAATATGGTATGAGAGCTGGTCAGAGACCAAACTCCCAGCAACTGCGCTCCATCAACCTGCAACTCAACTCAATTCAACGACTTCATTGATCACAAGACATGGACAGCAAGGGCAAGAAAGTCTCTACGGGCTCACCCAGCGGCCAAGAAACTCAACACGGCAACTCTGGTCTGCACACCTCAGGACTGCAGACAGAGACCGGGACTGCTCAAGAAACAACGGGAAGAGTACCAGAGATGGTGACTCCATCTCCCTCTTCAAGCGTGGACCCCAACCTTATGGAAAGGTTCTTCAGCTTCATGTCGCACTTCGACCAGCAGCAGCAGACAAGGACACCTGCGCATTCAACACAGAGCAATGGAAGAAATATGGGATTAGCGCCGATGAGCCTCGACAACTCATCGTTTGGGCGACACAATCAAGCGCCTACCTTTGCGCCTTATCACTCTTCACCGGGGACGTTCGAGTTCATGCCGCCCCGTGCCCAACCAACAGCAGCTGCATCACAATAAACACCAAACGAAATCTTAAGTCTCCAGGCGCAGTTTTCACACGTGATTAAACTGCAGACATCCTCACCGTTCAACGGACACGACTTCTTTACCTGGAGCTTCGAGTTCGAGCTGCTGATGGAGGCTGCGCACCTTCTGGGATACTTCAACGGGTCCCTGCCATTCCCAAGCAACGGCACTGGAAAGGAACAAGAAATCTTCACGTATCAGTCGCTGCTGGCGTATACGGTTCTCATGAGAAACTTGTCACCACAAGAACAGCAGAGCATCAGAACATACAGGAGCTATGGAAACTCCGCGGAGCTCGCATGGCACCATCTCAAGTGCCTCTACCAAGCAAACGACAGCGTGACACAAAGCAGACTCATGCAACACCTGACAACAATACAAATGAAGACCAGGGAAAAGGCGATGCAGTATATGAGCCGCTGCCAGACCCTCCGCGACCGCCTGCTTCGGTGCGGAGGAACAATCACTGAAGAAAGCTTCGTGACACTTGTCCTCGCCGGGCTCGGGCCAAAATGGAGAACCACACGATCGCTTCTTCGCGCCCACGGAAGGATTTCGGAGATGCACCTCTGCGCCGAGCTTCACGCTGAACAACAGGAGATGGACCTGTTCGAAGAAAGACAACCAAGGAAGCAGCAACAGTTAGTCTTCTACACTCAACGAAGAAACGACAACACCTACAATCGACGCGGCAAGCAAGAACGCGACAACAGGGGATTTACCTTCGTGCCGCCGTTTTGCCACAACTGCCAGACTTCCGGGCACTCCAAGGTCAACTGCAACCGCCCTCGCGTTTACCGTCCAGCAGACCCACAAGTCGCTTCCACTCAAGCAAGTCCCCCAAGGCGCTCTTCAACATCTGCACAACAGACACCAAACATTATCAATTGCATGGTACACATCGACAACTGCGCACCCGGCTCACCACCCACTTACGCGCCAGACGAAGAAGAGCTCCCGCCACCGCGCTCACAAGGCCTTCAAGTCAATCCAACATATGCTGCGGTCGCCAACGCCAAACCCACCAGGCGAAACACCTGGTTCTTGGACAGCTGCTGCGGGCAACACATGTGCTCTTCGGGACGATTCGTGCAACAGGAGAAACGCCTCAACCGCGACGTCGTCATCACCGTCGCCAACAACGAAAATCTGAAGACAAACAGACAAGGCGTGGTTCAGTTACAATCCATGGAGACAAACGTCATACTTCAGCTCAACAAAGTCCTCATTGTCGACAACCTGGGATACAACCTACTAAGCGCAAGCCAACTAATGGCCAAGGGGATTCACCTGGAGTGCGACTCCTACTCCAACGAGTTTCGGCTTTACCACGGAAAGGGTGGCCTCTTCATCGGTCGTGCCCTCCTGAAATCCGGCGTCTTCGTGTTGGACTTCGTACCCGACCGCGGTACTGCCGACAGCGACGGCATCGTATCATTCGCAGCCTGGACACACCCGCCGGATCTTGATCCAGAATTCGACAGTGACGGCTTCTTGCACTCCAACACCATACCTGTAGCAGAAAGAACACGAGCATTAGCAGTCATCAGACAAGAAAGACAAGTACCCGCGAGTATCCCAACCAAACCATCACCTGCAGTAGCAGCAGCAGGACCCAGCCGAGTCCCACCACCGGCGATCCGAGGACCGCCAACCGAAGCAGACCAAGTTATGCCCATCACACGAGAAGTTTGTCGAAGTCCCGCCACAGTCCTCGCGTTCTTCTCCAACGCCGACATATACCACCGCTCGCCGGGTCATCGCGCTTCCGACGACATCTGGCACCAACGCCTCGGGCATCCTGCAAACAGCATGATACTACAAACAATCCAAGCAGAGGTGTTAGAACGCAACGCCCTCCTAACGACGAGCGGCCAAGAACTTCGAAGACCACGAGCACGGTGCTTCACGTGCCCCGAAGCAGATCTTCCCCATCAGCCTTTTCCATCTCATCACAACCCAAGCGCACCTACCTACGCTCCGATGGAAAAAGTCTACAGCGATATTTTAAACATGCCTCGAGAAGACACCGAAGCCGACTTCAACTACGTCATCACGTTCATCGACGCAGCAACCAGTTACGTCTGGCACTTCAATCTCAAGATGCGCGATCAAGCTTTCGACGCCTTCACAACGTGGCTTCCCATCGCCGAACGAGAATCAGGAACCAAGCTCAAGAGCTTCCAGTCAGACGGTGCACTGGAATACCAGTCACAACGCTTCAGGACCTATCTGGCGGAAAGAGGAATCAGACGCCTGGTGTCTCTGCCCTATGCTCACCAGCAGCAGGGGGTCGCAGAACGCATGAACCGGACCTTGCAGACGACGATGCGAAAACTGCTTCTGGGAATGAGGCTGCCCACCACACTGTGGCCAGACGCGATAACACATGCAGTTCACCTGCACAACCTGCTGTCCTCGTCATCGCTTCCCAACAACGCATCACCGCACCTGTTGTGGACAAGAAAAAGGGGCAGCACAAAATTACTACGAGTTTTCGGTTGCATGGTACAGTACAGACCCCACACAGCCCGAGCAGGACGCTTCACACAACGAGCTCGGTGGGGACTACACCTCGGCATCGCCAAACATTTTCACGCGTGGAAAATTCTCGACATACAAGACAAAAATACCGTGGCATCACGTGATGTTATCTTCTACGAGCGACTGACGCTGCACCATTACCTGGACAACATTGCCAACACACAAGACCCCACCGACGGCTTCTCCGGACTTCGTTCCTTCGCCGACCGTGCTGCCGAAGCTGACGCGGCAGAAGAAAACGTACCTGAAGCCTCGGAAGCTGCCGGACCACTCCCATTCTGTTCCGTACCTGTTCCACTCGACGAAGACAATCCTCTCGATAGCAACAACCTCGACACCTTTTACCACTTCGCTGACCAAGGTTACATTACACCCCACCCAGTCGACACAAATGTTTCAGAACGCATCGGTCCCAACTTCTTACCTGACCCAGAAGACGGTGACAAAGCAGCTTATTCCGGGAATGAAAATTCCCCTCGACACACACCCACAGGACTGCAGATTTTAGGCCTCTGGGTCTCCGTCCAGCATCCGCCGCCGCCTTCTCCGCGAGAGCCTTCGACCCTGTCGCAGGCTCTGGGGGGGGAATATAAGGCGAAATGGAAGGAAGCGATGGAAAATGAGTTAAAGGCTCTGCAAGACCAGAAAACATGGAAACTGGTACCTGCAACAAGCATCAACGGGAAAAACGTCCTCTCGGGGAAATGGGTGTACCGCATTAAGACCAACTCAGACGGCTCCATCGAACGATTCAAAGCTCGATGGGTCGTACGAGGCTTCGATCAACGATACGGGACCGACTACACAGAAACCTTCGCTCCAGTCTCCCGTCACACCTCATTACGCATCCTACTCGCCGTCGCGGCCACGAAGACATTACCACTACGCCAAATCGACGTCGCGAATGCGTTCCTATACGCACCTGTGGACGCTGAGATTTTCGTCGAACAACCCCACGGATTCATCGACGACCCCACGAAAGTATGCCAACTGACAAAATCCTTATACGGGATCAAGCAAGCCCCGCGGCTCTGGCAGCAGCATCTCCACGGCCGTCTCGCAAAAATCGGATTCCTACAGCTGCCGCATGACCAAGGAATGTACCGACTGCAGAAGGGAAGAGAGTATATCCTACTCATCGTCTACGTCGACGACCTGCTCTACATCGGCTCCACTACCGACATCGCCACCTGGTTCGAACGGGAGGTGAAAGAAGACTTAACACTCACGGTGTCCGACGAAGTGACCCAGTACCTAGGACTGAATGTCGACGAAAACGACACGGCGTTCTACCTACACGCTGGAAAGTACTCATGCACCGTCGCGAAGAAATTCGGTTTAACACCGACTACTGTCCCAACCCCCTACCACTACGGGAACAACAACAGCACCTCCGCAAAACTCCCCGCGAAGCAAATCCAGGAGTATCAACAGAAGCTCGGCTGCCTACTATTCGCAGCAGTAACCTGCCGACCCGACCTGTCCTATAGTGCGAGTCAACTGGCGGCGCATCTGAAGCAACCGGAACAGGAAGATCTTGAGGAGCTCAACCGGGCACTACTCTACTTCGTCTCCACGCCGACGATCGGGCTTACCTACAGCAAAGCGACAACACCGTCCGTACGACTGCTCGGATACGTCGACGCCGACCACGCGGGAGATAGGGAAAATCGACGATCTAGGACGGGCTACATCTACCGACTAGAACCCATCGGAACTATCTCCTGGCAGTCGAGCAAGCAGGAGTTAATCGCACTATCCTCGGCTGAAGCAGAGTATATCGCCCTTTGTACTGCGACCAAGGAAGGACTCTACCTGCGGGAGTTACTCGAGGAAGCGAAGATCGCGACCTGCCCGCCTTCTCACTCCTCTGCGACAACCAATCTGCGATCAAAATCACGAACAAGGACGGCTTCGCCAACCGAACCAAGCACATCGCCCTGCGGTACTTCTTCGTCAAGGATGAAATCGCGAAGGGGAGACTTCAACTCAGTTACTGCCCAACGACAGAAATGGCCGCAGATTATCTGACGAAGAAATTGGCGAAAGCAAAATTCGACTACTGCATGCTCCTGACCGGGCAAACAAACGTCACCGGATCTGAACACGCCAGCATTCCAGAAACGAAGGGGAGTGTTGGAAATATCTCAAAGGACTTAAGCGTTTCTGAAGTATAACACTGCACTCGAGGAAGACTACAGGGGAGCACGCGAGTCAACGGAGGTTGCACGAGGGGGCAGACAAAGAATGCGAAAAGACTCGAAAGGTCGCAACTGGAGGTTACGATTGACCGTTACAACATCACGGATGGTAACCGAAGCGGCAATCGAGTCGCTGTGCGACTCGATAAACCGTTCCTGTAACTGTATTCTACAACTGCTTTCTTATCTTCTATATATTGCTGTATGCTTGTTTCTTTAATCAATCACTTGTTCTCACATACTAGTACAAGGGTTCAACCGTCTCAACTTCCGCTGCACTACTCAAAGTCTCAAGTCTTCACAGCTGGGACTTAGTCTCTGAAAGGATCCTAAGGGCTTTTTCTCAGCCCAATAACAGGCAAGCCAAAATCATCCCACGACCGATTTTTGAGTAGGGGATGGACTCGCCCTGAAAAATCTAAAATAGAAGTCCGCATCCGTGGAAAAAATGGCTCCCTTGTCATTGTCAGGAGTTGCAAGGGGACCCCTAGGTTATCGAGAGACCTGCTTGAAACGCGGAGTTGATACACAGTTGGAGAGGCTTGCGACGTGACGATGTTTACTTAGTCGCTGCATACGCCAGTCAAGCCGCCCATGCACAGTACACAAAAAACAACGCCCCATTTCTTGGGAAAACCCCACAGTCCACGTTGCCCCTACCGTACAGCCAGTATTCGTTAAAAGGGAAATCTCTCGCGTCGCCCCCCGGGCTCTCAGGGAATATGACTTGTACTTCGCTAATAATTACCCCTTTAGCATCGAGTGGCTTCTTGGAGAATTTTTAGAAAGGATAGAGCTCAGGTGTAACAAAGCGGCTGGAATTCGCTCTCAAGTCCCCAGGGTCGCCATCCTGCCTGCAGTGTTGACGGTTAGGCGGCGCGTAACATCCAGCTGTGATCAAGGCAGTGAGCTAGCTGCGCTGCCTCGGGATTGGTTGGGTTTCGGGCATTGCCACATCACTTGGCGGCAACTTCTGAGTGCCAGGCATTTGGGAGGGCGTACTTACAGAGCGTCGGGTTCTGGTCTCACAGCACGATGGCTTCGCAAACTTTAGTGACCGGCAGCGATCCGTGAAGCTCGATTCGGCTGCGTCTAGAACACGCCCTCCGGCGCAGTTTTATTGGAAGCTGGGAGCTCTGGGAGCTCATTGCCTCAAGATACGAAAAAAACCGCACCCCCACCATAAACCTCTAGCCTAAAGTAGCATAAGTACCACCCAGCTTCTTACGACGCACTGCATTCTCCCAGCCAACGTTGCTTGCTACCTTTTTGTCCCCTTGGTCTAGGCGCGTATTTTAAGTGTACGTTCCGCCTTATAATCGACACCTCTGTGCTTCACTGTCAAGTTTAGTACTAATTCGACTCTTCACATAGAGGTCACGTGATCTGCACACACAAGTCAGCAAGCCAAGCTGCCCTTTTCTACCATTCTAGGCGAAGCATATGGGGAAGACCAAGTACGTGGTGGTGACGGGAGGCGTGGTCAGCGGATTGGGGAAGGGAGTTACAGCTAGCAGCATCGGAGTCGTCCTAAAAGCATGCGGCCTCCGGGTCACATCGATCAAGATCGGTACGAGATTGTAACGAGTATTCGATGAACTATATGGATCCTTCCTTTTGAGGAACATTAGATGCTTATCAGCCGGTTTATGTCTGGTTCCTGGTAAGCAGCACTGGAAAGGGGGCCAGCGATGTGCCTCGTGTTCGCTGCGTCTGTTTCGCCGTTGTTCGCAGATCCGTACATCAACACGGACGCGGGGACCATGTCGCCGTTCGAGCACGGCGAGGTGTTTGTGCTGGACGACGGCGGCGAGGTGAGCGGTAGAGTATCTATCCAAGCTTCGAGGGTGTCCGGGTGTTTGACGAGGCGGGGGGTTTTTCACCTCTCTTTGGTGAAGGAAATAATATTGAACAGAACAGCATTTCGAGACAGGAGCCGGTAGATGCGAGAGGCAAAATCAAATCCCTTCGAAGTTCAGGCTTGGATCATGAGGATTAGGAGGACGCGGTACCTGAGAACAGATGAGACTTTGGGTTTAAACGTTAGAACAGCTTAGACAGCAAAATTGTGTTGCCCGTTGTCGGATTTCCCTCCTGCGTCAGGTCGATCTGGATCTGGGGAACTACGAGAGATTCCTTGACATCACGCTAACGAGAGACAACAACATCACCACCGGCAAGATCTACCAGGTGCGCGGTCGTCTGGATGAATGGCCTAACTCAACACTCGCACATGCTGCTGCTATTGGAGTCGTCTGAATGGCCGTTTTATCGTCTCAGCTCATTTTGCCTTCCGCTCACTCGCTTCCTCATGTTTCCTTCCACGTGGCAGTCTGTGATTGAACGGGAGAGGCGTGGTGACTACCTCGGCAAAACCGTTCAGGTAAATAAGAACGCATTCAATCACAGGAACCATTTTGATACGGCCATGAGCAAAACCGAGGTTTTTTCTCCTGCCGAGTTGCTTTCTTTGTACTCGCTAGGAAAACGAAGCCCTGAACCCCCTATGAACAGTAGGTTGACAGAGCCATGTTACCCTACCACACCCTCATGACAAAGCCCTAAACCCGTTGCACGGTGACACTAAATCTTGGACCAAGGTTGTCCCTTACATCATCGCGGCTATTTGGGACTGGATAGGGCGCGTGCCAGAAGTACCTGAAACCTTCAACTTAAACCCGAAACCCTCAAACCCCACCCCTCTCCCTCCGCCCTGCCCTTCCCCCCTTCTCCCCTGCAGGTGGTGCCTCAGATCACGATGGCCATCCAGGAATTTATAGAGCGAGTGGCGCAGGAATGTCTCTGAATGTCCCCTTCTCTTTTCCCCCCACAGACGCCCTTTTCCCTTCCCACCCTCCACCTCAGGTGGGGCTGCACATCACGACGGCCATTCAGGACTGGATAGCGCGACTGGCGAAGGTGTCTGTGGGCGTCTCTTAACCACAACCCCTCCCCGCCCTCTCCCTCCTCCCTCCCCCCTCCGCCCTCCCCTTCCATCCTTCCCCCCTTCAGGTGGTGCTGCACATCACCACGGCCATCCATGACTTTATAGAGCGAGTGGCGCAGGTATCAGGTGACGTCTCTGAATGTGAGTAACCCCTTTCCCTCCCACACACACCCTTCCCCCCTCCCACCCTCCACCTCTCAGGTGGTGCCGCACATCACCACGGCCATCCAAGACTGGATAGAGCGAGTGGCGCAGGTATCAGTGGACGGCAGCGGGGAGAGCGCTGACGTCTGTGTCATCGAGCTGGGCGGCACTGTTGGTAAGTTGGGCGGCAAGTATTTCATTAGCATACAGAGTTCAGGGTGGTTTGATTGATCTGATCATCCGAAACCCTAAACCCGAAACTTAAACCCGAATCCCCTTTGCTTCTCTGTCCTAAGGGCTGTCTGTTACATGTTTCCACCTCTTTCCTCATCCTGTGCCCGTCCTCCCTCTCGTCTTCCCTGGCGCGCAGGCGACATTGAGTCCATGCCCTTCATTGAAGCCCTTCGACAGTTCCAGTTTAGAGTGGGTACGTGGTCCCGGTTCCGAGTAGCCAGCAATCTGCCTGCGCGCGTGCATCAGTATTCGCCCCTCCTTGTCCAAACCAACCACTCTCTGAGTGGTAATAGTCTAGCTTTGAGACGTCTCAAAACTAGATCATTGTGACGCCAATCACCCTGACTGCGCATCACATTGCCGGGTGCGCCGCTGCACTGCTGCCGGATCTCCTCATTGTCTGCGGGCTTCAGTTCTGCAGGGCAGGAGAATTCAGGCTGGTGCAGGCGAGTCTGGTGCTCCTGCTGGGGGGGCTTGTTGCCAGATCGTTACAGCTTCTCGTTTCGTTTTTACTTGCTCCCCGCCTCCCTGCTTCAACCTTTGCAGGCCAGCAGACCTTCCGTCTGGTGCACGTGACCCTGGTGCCGGGGCTGGGCGTGGTGGCAGGATCAGTCCAGCCGTCTGTTTCTTTTCTTATTTGCTCCCCGCCTCCGTGCTTCAACCATTGCAGGGCAGGAGAACTTCTGTCTGGTGCACGCCAGTTCTGGGCGTGGTGGGCGACTCAGCCTGTCAGCCTGAGCGTCTGTCTTTCCTCCCATATACTTCTCCATGCAAACATGATTCTTCAGGCCAGGAGAACTTTTGTCTGGTGCACGTGAGTCTGGTGCCCGTGCTGGGCGTGGTGGGCGAGCAGAAGACCAAGCCCACGCAGCACAGCGTGAGGGAGCTCCGCGCGCTCGGCCTCATGCCCAACCTACTGGCCTGCCGCAGCGCAGAGGTACATGCGCTCAATCCTAAACCCCGACCCTCAAGCCTAATCCCGTAGCATCTGGTCCTCAATCCCTGTCAGCAGCTCGCCTGCGGGTGGGCAGGGGTGGGGTGGGTGGAGTGGAACAGACAGGGAGTGCTGGGGGTGTTGGGGCGGGTAGGGTGGCACAGAGAGACAGTGCTGGGCGTGGTGGGCGAGCAGAAGTCCAAGCCCACGCAGCACAGCGTGAGGGAGCTCCGCACGCTCAGCCTCATGCCCAACCTGCTGGCCTGCCGCCGCGCTGAGGTGGGCAGTGCTCAACTGTAAACCAGAAACCGTGAACCCTTGTCTATTGGTCGTCAATCAACCCCTGTTAGCAGCACGTTGTGCCGCATGCCCAACCGGCTCGCCCGCCGCAGCTCCGCCGAGGTACGTAGGGGTGGGCCGGGTTGGTGTAAGGGTCTGTGGATGTATCAATAAAATATACATGTATATCAACATGGATATACATGTATATCGAAGACTCTGCCTCTGTCAACGGCCCCGTTCGTTCCCCACTTCCTGTTGTTGCTCTTTGAGCATATCTCTCCTGTTCTCTCCTCCCCCCTCCCCCCCCTCTCTCTTCCCCCCCCTGCCCCCCCTTGCACCCGTCCTAAGTTCTCCATTTCTCCCCTGTCCCTCCGCCCCATCCCCCTCCGCCCCATCCCCCTCACCCCGTGCGCGTGTTTCCCCCACCAGCCACTGGAGCCGTCCACTCGAGAGAAGCTGTCACAGTTCTGCCACGTGCCGGTGAGTGGAGGAGGCCAGGGGGGTTGAGCGCACAGGCAGTGCAAGGGTTGGGTGCCTGAGGGCGTTTTGGGCAGCCCTTAGTCGCTGTTGCACTGAGGAACCTTCTGATAATTTCCGTTACTTCCGCTCGAATGGCACCATGTATCTACCCATTATTCGTGAGATGATATTTTCGTTTTGAGGCGTCTCAAAACGAAATAGTTATCATCACTCGCATGGCACCACCTACCTACCCATTATCATAATCTCACGCATGTCCCTCTCTCCCTGTGTCCCTCTCACTTACGAAGTTGCACTACCCACTACTGCCTGCAGGTGGGAAGGAGCACTACCTGCACCCACCTACTACCACGCTCTCATGCTCTCAGGCTCTCACGCTCTCAGGCTCGTTCCCCACATGCCTCCTCTACCGTCATGTCTCTTTCAGGTGGCCAACGTGCTGAATCTGCACGACGTCAAGAACATCTGGCACATCCCTCTGCTGCTGCTGGTGAGCGTGATGCTGTGGTTATGTCTACACTGCTTGCATGCCTACTGTTCCCCATAAGCCGGCAGCTGCTTGTATTGAGCCACCAAAAAACGCGTACATGTTGAATCTGCAGCACGGCATCACGAACATTTGGCAGATCCCTCTGCTGCTGCTGGTGACCCTGATGCTTCCCCTAGTCTGCTGCTCCTTGTTTAGAGGCCTTGGAACGAAATTCGTTAAACCTGTTGGCTGCTGCATGATGGCATGATGGCATGAACGTATAGCACATCCCCCGTGCTGCTTCTGGTGTGCTGCAGCCTCCATCCCTCTGCTACCCCTCGTGAGCTCCAATTCGAGTCAAGTCTCTGAGTAGGTTTCAAATTCTGCCAAATGACTGCGAGCGGTATGCCAGGAAGTCTGGCATTCTCCACCGTGCAACCATCACTAATGCTTCTCCCCTAAGCATTAGTGATCGTATCCCCCTAAGCATTGGTGATGGTTGCCCCCTAAGCATTGGTGATGGTTGCCCCCTAAGCATTAGTGATGGTTGCTCCCTAAGCATTAGTCAGACGGCTCTCAGAAGAAGGGCACCACCACCAGCAAGCTCTCTCCCGGCTCCTTGCTCCCCGCTCTCCCCGCTCTCCCTGCTCTCCCCGCTCTCCCCTCTCTCCCCGCTCTCCCCTCTCTCCCCGCTCTCCCCTCTCTCCCCGCTCTCCTCTCTCTCCCCGCTCTCCCCGCTCTCCCCTCTCTCCCCTCTCTCCCCACTCTCCCCGCTCTCCCCGCTCTCCCCGCTCTCCCCTCTCTCCCCTCTCTCCCCACTCCCCGCTCTCCCCTCTCTCCTCTCTCCCCTCTCTCCCCTCTCTCCCCGCTCTCCCCTCTCTCCCCGCTCCCCGCTTTCCCCACTCTCCCCACTCTCCCCACTCTCCCCGCTCTCCCAGCTCTCCCCGTCCCCGCTCCCTGCTCTCTCCTTTCCCATCACCCCTCGTCCCCCCCTCATCCCCCCCTGCTGCTCTCTCCCTCTTTCTCTCTCTCTCAGGAGCAATGCGCGCATCTCTCCATCCTCAAGCAATTTCAGATCCAGTGAGTGGTCTCCCAGTAGCCCTAAACCTAAACCTTTTCCAGTAACCCAACCTGCGCTATTCCCCGTAACTTTGAACCTAACCTAAAACCATTCTCGGTCTCCTTGATCTCAAACCCGGAACCTTGCCCAGTGATTTCTTAGAAACTTTTCCAGTCCCTCGCATGCTAGTGCGACTGGCACTAGTGGTGATTTTTGCTAGTGCTTTGTTACCATCACCATGCCCTCATACCCTCCAATGCAGACCACCCGAGCCTCAGCTGCAGGAATGGGCGCACCGAGCCAAGGGTTGGGACGAACTCACAGAGACAGTGAGTGCTGGTGTGACTAATGCTGATGTGACCATTGCTGGGGAGGTGACTATTGCTGGGGAAATGACTGCACCTGGTACAAAGCATCCCATCCCTGCAGGTCAGCATCGCAATGGTTGGCAAATATGCGGACCTCTCCGATTCCTTTCCCTCCTCCCTCTTCCTCCCACTTCCGCCCCTCCCTCAGACGGGTCTCTCAGACTCCTACCTCTTCCCTTCTCCTCATCTTCCCCTTCTCCCCTCCCTCCTCCCCCCTCATCCTCCCCACGGTTTCACTCTCCCCATCTCGGCAGGTCAGCATTGCCATGGTTGGCAAGTACACTGGTCTCTCTGACTCCTATCTTTCTGTGCTCAAGGTGCGTGCTAGCTCTCGCTGTCTCTGGTATCTCTCGCTGTCTCTGCTATCTCTCCTAGGCGCCTACTGACTGTTCTGAACAAGTATGCAGAAACCTCGCTTTCTCACATGGCATGCTCCTTACTCTCTGTGTGCTTACACTAGCTACCCCTCGTTAAGGTGCACAGCACAGTGGAGTGGTAGAATCAGATTTCCAGCTTTGTGTGGTTGGAATCTTGTGAACTCAGCCTCTTTGCCACCTTAACAAGCCCCTTACCCATGCATGCATAGTGTCCAAGTCAGGGTTGCAAGTTGATTTTTAAAGCGTCCAATCCAACACCCTCACCACTCCCCGCTCTCCCTCCCCACTTTTACCAGGCGCTACAGCATGCATCCATGGCGTGTGGCCGCAAGTTGATCCTCGAGTGGGTGGCATCGTCTGACCTGGAGGATGCTGCCAAACAAGAGGTGCGCGGGCACACAACAAGGGATGGTCGCAACAGGTTCACATCGCGATCATCCCTTTTGTGCGGTGCTTGGCATGAGAGTGCTTGGGTTCCACTCCACCGCGCTTCACTTTCTGCAGGGTATTTTGGAGATTTCTCAAAAACACTCTGCACAGTAAAAAAACACCCTTTTTTTGAGAGGTTTAAGAAATTCATTCCTCCTACATTTATGTCCTTCCCTCCTGTCCCCATCTCCGACAAACCGTCATGCTTTATCCCACGCCCCCTCGCTTCCCATCCCAAATTCTTCATCAGAGCCCGGACCTGTACAACGAAGCATGGGCAGCCTTGAAGGTCAGTCTCACACCATTGAGGGCCGTTCGGTCCATTCCCAAACGGAGGTCATACAGCTTCTTTCTTTTCGTCTGTCGATTTTCCTGTATAGTGCTGTCAAGTCATGTCAAGTCATGTCATGTCATGTCAAGTCAAGTCATGCCATGTCATGTCATGTCATCTCAAGTCATGTCATGTCATGTCATTGCTACAAACGCTCTGGCAGACACGCGTTTAGCGTTCAAACGCTTGCGTTTGAACGCAAACGCCAAACGCACCCAAAAACGCAAACGCTCTGTGGGATTTTTTCGGGCTGCCCCCCAAAAAAAAACACGAGATTGTCATTGGAGAATAGCCTTAAGGATAGGTGATTTACATGACATATGAGGATGCTGGCTTAAATGTTAAGCACGGTTCTTTTTTATGAGACAAAATGCTTGCTGGTAGACCCCCCATGTTTCCCCCCTCCCCCACAGGAATCTTGAACCCCTGCCCGGGTAAAAAATTTACCCCTGCCCGGGCAAGCGTTTGCCTAGCGTTCACATAAACACTGCCAAGCGTTTAGCGTTCAAACGCTAGCGTTCAAACGCCAAACGCGTTTGTAGCAACTCATGTCATGTCATGTCAAGTCATGCCATGTCATGTCATGTCATGTCAAGTCAAGTCATGCCATGTCATGTCATGTCATGTCAAGTCATATCAAGTCATGTCATGTCATGTCATGTCATGTCATGTCTGCATTCGTGTATCCCTTGAATGCGCTGCCTGCGCTGTCTATGGCCCACCATCCAGCATGGCCTGCCACTGTTGCCTGCTTGTGAGAAACCCTACCGTCCACTCCACTCCACTCCACTCCACTCCCCAACTGTCTTTGCAGAGAGCGGATGGAGTGTTGGTGCCGGGTGGGTTCGGAGACAGGGGAGTGGAGGGCAAGATTCTGGCAGCCAACTACGCCCGAACCAACAGGATTCCGTACCTGGGCATCTGCCTCGGCATGCAGATCGCCGTCATTGAATATGCCCGGAATGTAAGCAGCGCGGATGGGTGTCACATGGTAGATTGGGTGAGGAGTTTGGGTGAGGGGTTTGGGTGAGGGGTTTGAGTGAGGGGTTTGGGTGAGGGGTTTTGTGTCACCAGCATTGGTATATGTGTGCCAGCATTGGTATCAGCACTGCTATGTGGATGGCTCTGAGTTCAACCCAGCAGCACCGCATCCCTGCATTGTCTTCATGCCCATTTCCTTGCCCATGCCCCATGCCCCATGCCCCCTACGCAACATGTTGTGATGCCCGAATGCCTCCGTCAGGTGCTGGGCTACAAGGACGCCAGCAGCACCGAGTTCGACCCAGCATCACCGCACCCCTGCATTGTGTTCATGCCAGAGGTCTCCACCACCCACATGGGCGGCACCATGCGCCTGGGCGCCCGAGACACCTTCTTCCATGCCACAGACTGCCTCTCCGCTAAGCTGTGAGTCAAAGTGCACCATGGGTGGCTGGCACCATGAGCCTGGGCGCCCTATGGTGTCCACCACCCACATGGGCTGCACCGCGTGCGCCTGGGCTGGGAGCCAGAGATGCCGTTTTCCCTCATGCGCGGAACAACTCTTGACCCGACTCCCTGTCTGCCAATCGGAGAGCCATCTTACTAGTATTTTCAAGAATGACTCCGCCAAGCAGAGAGCCATTTTTTAAGGTTTTTTTAAGAATGACTCCGCCAAGCGGTGGGACAGCCATGCATCACACCATCATGCAGCCGCACACCCTCCCGACATGATCATCACACCGCTGCTGTTGTGTTCCCCTATCTTTCCTCCCCTTTCCCCACTCCAGGTACAGTGCCGCTATGAGGTCAACCCTGACATGATTATACCACCCCTATCCTCACGCCATGGCTGTTGCACCCCTCCCGGCACATCCCTATCCTCCCACACCTATCACCCCACCAGGTATGCCATAAGAAGCAGCGTGAGCCAGCGGCACCGGCAATCAGCCCTGGCATGATTGATGAATTTGAAGCCGCATCTCACTCATGGCCCCCTGTGTACCATTCTTTTTCCTGGCCTCTCATCCCACCAGGTACGGCGCTATCAGCAGTGTGAGCGAGCGGCACCGGCACCGCTACGAGGTCAACCCCGACATGATCGGCGAGTTTGAAGCCGCGGGTCTCCAGTTCGTAGGCCGGGACGAGTCCGGGCGGCGCATGGAGGTGAGTCTGGGTGGCGCATGGAGGTGCCGGATTAGGCATGAAGTATCCCCTTCACCTCGGCCCCCTCCCCCCCTCCCTCCCATCCGTAAAACTCCACCACCATGTTCATTCTTCATATTCCCCATCCTTCATATTCACCATTCTTCATATTCACCATCCTTCATATTCACAATTCTTCGTATTCACCATTCTTCGTATTCACCATTCTTCATATTCACCATTCCTTGTATTCACCAATCTTCATATTCACCAGTCTTCGTATTCACCATTCTTCATATTCACCATTCCTCATATTCACCATCCTTCATATTCACCATCCTTCATATTCACCATTCTTCGTATTCACCATTCTTCATATTCACCATCCTCCATATTCACCATTCTTTGTATTCACCATCCTTCATATTCACCATTCTTCGTATTCACCATTCTTCGTATTCACCAGTCTTCATATTCACAACCTTCACATCCGCCAACCGTAGCCACCGTGTGCTTTCGTCAGGCCCTCTTCCCTCCGCCCTACCCCAATCCCTGCTTTTTCCCGGGTTTTTCCTGCTGACCTCAAACCCTGTTTTTCTTATTCCCAATCTTCTCCTCCCTTCCCTGCCGGCAGATTCTGGAGATCCCGTCCCATCCTTACTTTGTGGCCGTCCAATACCACCCCGAGTTTAAGTCCAGACCAGGAAGGCCGTCCCCTGTCTTCCAAGGTATGCCACTCTTTCATGTGTCTTCCAAGGTATGCCACTCTTTCATGTGTCTTCCAAGGTATGCCGCTCTTTCATGTGTCTTCCAAGGCATGCCGCTCTTTCATGTGTCTTCCAAGGTATGCCGCTCTTTCATGTATCTTCCAAGGTATGCCACTCTTTCATGTATCTTCCAAGGTATGCCACTCTTTCATCTGTCTTCCAAGGTATGCCACTCTTTCATGTATCTTCCAAGGTATGCCACTCTTTCATGTGTCTTCCAAGGTATGCCACTCTTTCATGTATCTTCCAAGGTATGCCACTCTTTCATGTATCTTCCAAGGTATGCCACTCTTTCATGTGGAAGGTACTGCTATCTATTTTCCATTGCACACCCATTCCTTTTCCTTCCCCTTTTTCTCCCCTCCCCACCCTCTGCTCCCCCCCACTCCTCCTTCCCATCCTCGTCATTGACTTGCATTGATTCCACCCTCTTCATTGACTTGCATTGATTCCACCCTCTTCATTGACTTGCATTGATTCCACCCTCTTCATTGACTTGCATTGATTCCACCCTCTTCATTGACTTGCATTGATTCCACCCTCTTCATTGACTTGCATTGATTCCACCATCTTCATTGACTTGCATTGATTCCACCCTCTTCATTGACTTGCATTGATTCCACCCTCTTCTCCACCCGTGCCCTACTGATCCCAGGCACCCACTAACCTCTTTTCCCTTATCGTTCCCTGCCTCCCTTTCCTTAATCCACCCACATCCATCCTTGGACCCGACAGGCCTCATTCTTGCAGCTTCAGGTCAGTTGCAAAGCCACCTGATCTCCCATTGAAGATCACCTACATTTGCGTGAAAGGTGGTCTAGCAAGCTTTTGAGACGACTCAAACGGCACTTTATGCGCAGCTTAGCGCAGACATAGTTAGCAATCAGGCACCATGGTTAGCATCGCACTTCATTTGTGCCGCCGAGTTGAGCAATCAGTCAGTGACACTTTCTTCAAAGAACGTTTTCTCTATGTCAGCAATCAAGGTTCTTGCATAGGTATGATATAGTGGACTCAACTAGACCTGCAGCATTTACATAGATCAATCAAGTGACTTAGGGTTGAATCTTGGAAGTAGCATTACAATCGAATTCGCAAATTGCCAGACTGATCCGCATTGAGATGCGCAGTTGGACACCGCACTGTATCTCACAGGTTCGATTCTGACGTTGCATCCAGGAATACGCCCTTAGTATGTCAGCCTACAAGCCTGAACCTGAACCCTCATTCGTAGGTGCCTTCCATTCTGACGCCATGAGAGCACGGGCATAGATATCCGCATGTGATTCGTACACGCTCGTCCTTGCGGCAGCAGGACTTGTTGTCTCCAAGATGGCATCGCATTGCTGCATCAAGCTCTCCTGTCTTGATCCGGGCGGGTCTGACATGCCTCTCATTGCTGCGTGGTGCCATGCTGTGGCTCCTACTGTTCCTAGCGCTTGCCGCGTTTCTTCTGCTGCTGCCAGCAGTTGTTGTGGTGGGGGCGTAGTAACAGCAGCTGCCACTGCATCAAGTCTCCTTGCCCATGCTGCTTGTCCTGCTGCTCCTCGTTCTGCTGCTGCCGCCATTGCTGCCGGAGTTGATTCTTGCGTTGCTGCTGCTGCGGCTGTTGTGGCGGCGACTACAGCCGCTCGTCGCGGCTGCTGTTGAGAACGGCCCCGAGTGACATCGTCACAGCTCCAATTTCTGCGACCCTTCAAAGGAGTGCTTTCAGCATTGACGCTCCCAGCATTCGAGCTCCCTCCGTCCAAGGTTGATGCTTGAGTTGCTGCAGCAGCTGCTGCGGTGGCGACTGCAGTCGCTCGTCTCAGCTGCTGTTGAGATCTGCCCCCGGTGACATCGTTGCAGCTCCAATTTCTGCGAGCTTTTAAGGGAGTGCTCCCACCATCGATGCTCTGGTTCATGACTCCACTTGGGCTCCCCGAATTCAGGCTCCCCGCATTCAGGCTCCCAGCATTCAGGCCTACATTCACGGGCGCGTAGAGCGCTGACGCAAGGCATGACGACCACACGTCGGACGACCACTCGCTATGATGCTTGAAAGCCCCCTCACTACGCATCGAACGACTTGGAGAAAGCACTCCTTTCTCAACTCCCGGAACTCGCGCCGCCGCGGTGCTGTCATTGGCGCGCCGGCCAGCGGTAACGCCGCCCGCCATCGTCGTCATAGAGCCGGGCCGGATTCGACCATCTGAAACGTCGGCTTGAGGGTCGAATTGTGATGGAACGTCGAGTCGATGGTCAGCACCGTCTGGCGACGGTGCGAGATAATGATGGTCCGTCGTCGCCGGTCCAGCGTCACCCGTTGCGCGCGGCGCCGCTCGGACAAGAGGAAGAATTTGCGCTCCGTCGTTTTCGAGGAAAGCCGCGGGCTGGCAGACATCTTCCGCCGGCCGCCGGTAATCACGGGCGGCGGCCGTTTCGTCTAGACACCTCGCGGCGGCGACGGAACGATGATTATTAATATCGTGCGGGACTTGCGCCGACGCGACAAGGCTGAAAGATCGCCGCGCCTCGAAGTCTAGATCGAAGATCGAGTCGTCTCTTAACGCGGCAGCGGCGGGTTCGATGCGAACATCATGTCGCCACCGTTTCTGCTCGCTACTGCTACCAGACGGCCCGACGACACCGAGAGAGAGCGTCAGATCGACGCCACCAGCTCCGCCGTTCCGTGCGGCGCCTGATGCGGCATCTGTTGCGGAGATCGGCGGCTCTTCGTTGCGAGAAAATGTGGCGTCATTGGGGCCGAAATCGGGCGAAGGAAGAAGAGCGTCGTTCAAGTTGGTGGATGGTTCAAATTTCGCTGCGCCACGCATCCGTTTCGGCAGAGGTCCGTCGTACCGTGCTGGCGCGTCGAGGGACTTGGCTGTAAAATCCATCGAGAGCGGGAAGTGAGACTCGGCTCTGGCGGGCGGATCGGACATTAGTAAGTGGGGTTCTGAGATCCCCGGGACTTGAACTACGGACACACGGTCAAGGGGGAGGCGCATTCCAGTGAGGACTACTCGCAAACGTGTGTTGTGTGTTTTCTCGCACTGTTGGCGCGCTGCGTCTGCTGAAGCGGAATGCGAAATGTGGAATGAGATGCTGGAAGCAGTGGTGATGGAAAACTGAAGGCTGTTGAATTTACAGCGCAATGCAGCAGACCAGAGCACACCACATGGTCTGCTCGCAAGGGAACAATTGTCACGCACTCGATTGATTTCGCGAGGAACATTTCGTGGCGGCCCAATTTCTCGGACCCGAGCGGGCTTATCATTTCATTGGCCTTGCTGTACTTTGGAAAATAAGGTCCAAATCCGGGAAAACCCTTGCTGCAAAGAGTCAGAAACTCAGGGGACGTCCATCCAAGAGCGAATGAATTGCCCGCAAAATCCTACGAAAATGGGAACAGTCTCTTGTTGAGGGCACCATGCTGGTTTTCCTTTACAAAGTGGATGTACTATGGGTTAAATTCGACAAGTTGCGGCTGCAAAAACATTTTGACCACTCTTGAGCTTACTCACCCAGCCAAGAAGCAGGGCTTGAGTTGCGACGTGATGACGCGCGGGAAGCGGGCTGGAAACTCGGCTAGATGCGTTGGCAGTGCTGAGATGGCACCGTATTGGCTGCCTTGCCCGTGGCAGCAATGGCGTCAACGGCCCACGATCTTGTTGTGCGTGCGTTCGTGCGATGTGAGTTCCACATCTTGGAATGTCAATGATGCGGGCGTGGTCCTATCCAGGGCCTATGTTTGACGGGTAACTATCCGGATTTTGATACTTTAACGGGTTTTTTTGCGAAACGATTACCCATTTTTGATGGACTCGGTTATCTCTAAACCCAGGGGTTCACGGGTCGATTTTGGCTGGAAAACGGGTTGAAAGCGTAGGTCTCGAAGGATTTTGGCCGAAAAATGGACTTTGACGAGTACGACTGGGGCCGGAATCAGACTTTAACGGGGGGCTTTGGTGGGAACCCGGATCTGACGAGTGGCTAAAATTTCAATCTGACGCCCTGGTCCTTTGGACGGGGCTGCAGCAGGGCTGGCCCACATCAGTCCATGTAGGTGCTGGCAAACCGCCTAAGACTATCCAGCAGAAGCGGAGTGAGGTGGTGCAAACTGAGGAAAACCCGCCGGATGCCCGACCCAGGTTCTTTCGCGGAACTACAGAAGCGGTTGGGACGAACAGACGACACAAATGGCCATCCTGTGCATTGAATGATGGGCAGCGAGCTGTTGTTGGGGCGGGGACACGGGTGCACTGCACTCTCCAAGTCCCATTTTTTTTTTTCTAGTTTTCTAGGCACCGAACCCAATGAGGCCTAGAAGGAACCAGACGCGCGAGTGTCTCATGCTGAGGGTGAGTCTAGGAAAATCGTTTAGCCGTTTTGGACACGGCGGGACGTGCGGTGGTGCAAAAAGGGAATCGATTCCAGAGACGAACCTGCAAAGAAACGCAGGGGTGCACTTGGGTATGACGCGCCGAGTGGCAGCCAGGCTGTGTGGTCAGGAACTCAGTCGCACCAAGCGAAACGGGCGACGAGAGCATGTAACGCAATGCCATCCAATTGGTGGAGAGCGTTGCGCAAAGGTTTGGACTGGTTGGTCTTTCCTGCTAGGCGACCTGCGAGTGCAGGAGTAGCTGGATCTTTTCGCCACCAGTTTTCGCGAGCACTGGAAGAAGAACAACGTACGAATAGGCGAGTCCAATCGCATTTCTTATGTATGTGCGGAGGTGCTCCGAAACGCGCACGCGCGCCCATAAATTTCGTGCGAAATGTATGCCTGTCCTCTTGAGAAGGTTACATTCATAAAAACTGGTAGCCGAACTCGGTGCTGTACAAAACAAAACGTTCATAACGCGCCCTAAGCTACAGTCACGAGGGAATTGAGGGAGCAAAATGCTGAACACGGGCAGAACCTGTCACACCCATCTGCTTCAAATTTTGCTCTCTCCATTTCAACACCGCGCCAGACACCAGTTTTTGTTGTGGAACAACCGCCCACGCAGCGCATGTTCTCCTCTTTTATGTTATCCTCTCTCAGGTTTAGGGCCGATTCGAGGCTCTTTTCATCCAGACTTCCAGTCATCATTTGCCCCATTTCGGAAGACCCGAAGATCCGACATGCTAGCAAATGATGACCGGAAGTTGGGATGACACGAGCCTCAAATGGGCCCTAACTGTTGAGTGTACAGTAGACAGTGTACGTGTACACTGAACTGCACCGCTGCGTTCATTGAAACCACTACTTCAGTCACACCGCTAACCTCTTTGACGGGCAGTATCGGGAAATAGCAACGGACTCATGGGTAGAACGGTCGTTCTGTACGAGGGGCGGTGAGGTGAGTCCGTGACGACAACACGACTCCAGCAAGAATTCCTGGACAGCAGGGCTCGCGCGCTGGGCAAGGTGGTTATTTGATGGATTCCGTTTTTTGTTTTGTTTTTTTTTTTTCAGACTGAGTTTTCGTCGATTCTGTCCTGCAACGGGTGATTCGTGGCATCACAGGATACCTTATTTTAATACCCTACGAAATGAACTTGTGGAGGAGGGGGTGGAAACGGGAGCGCTTGTCGGGATCTTTGGGGTTGTATTTCATTCCCCCTCCCACTTCCGCCCCTCATATTAGAGGGGACATCACTTAGCAAAAGAAAGCAATTCAATCCACCTGGTATCTTTCATCTGGTAGCAAGTGACGTGAAGTGTTACTTGTCTCCAGATCCACCTGATGGATAGCAGGAGCGGATAGCTCACACCCTTACGGTCCCTGGGTACTTCCTTGGCCATAACAAGCGTACCTGCGCGTGCACATGGAAAGTGTAGACTCAAGGGTAGCTCTTCGACGAGGCCGTTCTCCAACTGGTAATTGTTATGAGATTCCGTCCTCAAACGGGTAAATCTGGAAGGGATTCCGTTCCCCTGCGGATTGCCCTAGGCTTCGCGAACCATTCGCTGGAACAGCTGGCGCTCTCCTGACCGTCAATCCTGCATTCACGGCCAATTCTGACAAGACGGCAATCTCCAGCACAGCACAGAGGACACGAACTGAATCATTGCCGTGGCATCAAGAGGGGACTCGTTGGCCTCCATTATTGTTGGCATTGCAAAGATCTCAAGCTGCGAGTCTGCGAGGGTTTGATTGCGGTTGGGTGAGGTGCCTCACGGATCAAAGGATCGATAAAGATATGCACTGGACGACTCTGATATTGATATTCTCTACACGACGCCTATATCCATACAATTGAGAAACTGAAAGTGATAAAAACACAGGTATGACACAAACAACACAAGAAACTAGGCCACGAATGCCAGCCATCATGTGGTCGGAATCATAAGGAAAGCAGAGGGCAACGATCGACCAGCGAGTCGTGCAGGATAGGAGATTGCCCTACCATACGCCTGACTGCAACCACCCAAATGGCTCCCTGCTCTCCCTATGATTCAAAAAAGCGAGCCACATGATAACCACCACTGCGGCACCCAAACCAAAAACCCTCTAAATCCCCCCCCCCCCCCCCTCCTCCTTCCTGCTCATCAGAAAGGTAGTTTCAGCCTCCCAAGCCAAGTCGGAGCCCAAGGACTACATGCCATTTCCAAGTAGACTCTGGAGAACCATTGCCACAGATCACCAGCTAGAGGTCCCACAGCTTGAATTCTGATTGCTGCATGAGCGCTCCGGCCCCAAGCACGTGCTGGGAGTCCAGGCCGCCTTGGGCTGTAGCCGCGACAGCCGGAACCGAGGCGTCAAATAAGTCGCCCATGGCATCGCCGAAGACAGCTGGATCTTCCACCATCATGAGAATCTCGGAATTCTCCCGCAGCAGCGACGGCACGCAGTCAGCGACGCTGCTGTCGATCCAGGACGTGATCGGGGAAGCACTCATGCAGCTGCTGCTCATGTCAATCTCAACGTCAGCAATACAGCCTTCCAAGAAAGAATCCAGAATTTCCTCACTCCCCTCACTCCCCTCACTCCTGTCGCTCCCTGAGAAGCTCCTGGACAGCCCGTCACCCTCCGCACTCTCCCCATCCCACTGCTCACTCCCCTTCCTCCCCTCCACTCCACCCAGAAGCGGCTTCAGTGCAGCTTCCAAATCGCTCTCATTCACACCCGCAGCACCGCTCTCCGCCGCACCACACCGCTCCCCGTCAGCAACCCACTCGCCCGACGCGAACTTTCTTGCAGCAGCGCCACCTGTCACCTCCACCATGCCCCCCTCCCCCTCCACGGCTTTAAGCGCCGCTGCCAGCTCAGCAATGGCGTCCTCGGCGCCCTCCCACGTGGCGCACCCACGGCACGCTTGAAGCAGCGCGTCGGCTGTAGCGGCCGGCATGATCACCGGGAGGAGAGCGGGCGGCGACGAAGTGTGGTCGGCTGTAGCGGCAGTAGTAGTGCCTGTGCTATCGGCAGGGAGTGCTGTGATGACCGAATCTGACTCTACATGGCCGGCTGGGGAGGAGCAGGCGGAGGAGGGGGAGGAGGGGGCGGAGGGGGAGGTGGGGGCGGAGGGGGGAGAGGGGGAAGAGGGGGAAGGGGGGCGCTGGGCCAAGGACGGCGGGGGGAAGTTGAGTTGCGCCTTGGGGCCGCGCATCAGCCACGCGGCCATGTCGTACACGCGCGCGGCGTCCTCCCCCAAGTCGAACGACCCCAGCCAGATGCGCGCGCGCCGGTTCGGCTCGCGGATCTCCGTCACCCACTTGCCCCACTTGCGCTGCCGCACGCCCTTGTACACCGTCTCTTTAGCACCGCCGGACGCTTCAACCTGCGTTGACGCATCCGCTACTACTAGTGGCGCGGACGATCGCGACGAATCGCCGCTCTCCGACGCAACTGCGCCATCCGCCACCGCTGCGGAGCTTTCGACGTGATTTCTTGCTTCGTCGTCGCCGCTCCGCTTGTGCGTCGCCGCGACTTTGCTCCGCTTTCTCGCGCCGGGCCCGCGCGGGCGTCCGCGGCGCCGTTTGTTGCCCGCCAGGGGAGCCGCTGCGCCAGCCGGCGCAGCAGCGCCGCCGAAGCCGCTGAAAGCGGAAGCAAGCGCCGGCGGCCCCGCGAGGGGAACCCCGGGGGGCGGAAGCATGTGGAACCCCGCCGCGAATGCCGCCGCGAATGCCGGCGGGACGGGACTCCCGTAATTCGGGATCATTCCGTAATTCACGGGGCTCCACATGCTGCCGCCTCCCGCCGATAGCGGAGCAGACACCATCGCGCCGCCGCCGCCGCCGCCGCAGCCGCCGCTTGCGGCATGATTATTATCGCCTGAAACGCTGCAACGCATCGGTAGAAAGCAGTGCGCTCCGGGGGCTCTCGAAACGGCGGCATCCGACCCGCCGACAAAACCCGAACCGTGAATTGGACAGGCGATGCCTCCGCGGCTCACGACGTGAGACACGGGGGAAACCGCGGAATGATCGCCGTGAGTCGTGGCTGTCCGCCCGACTGACGGGCTTTGAGTCGAGCTGTCTCTTCCCCGCGCTCGGCTCGAGATGTGCTGCGATCGGCGGAGCAGCAGCTGCTTGCGCTTTGCCACGTCGACGGCTTGCACGAGCCCCGCTATGGCGGTCTGCGCTGACGCGATGGCTTCCTCCAACGACGCCTCGTTGCCGCCGTCGATCGTGGCGGAAAGCGCGGGCGGAAGGACCGCGACGGACGAATGAGCTGGATCCATTGACGAAATTTCTTCAAAGAAATCTCTCCCCCGTTGACAAAGCAGAAAATTTTATCACCAACCTCCCTTTCAAAGCGGAAGATAGTAACGGATCTATAAATCTCCCCACGCTCCTCTGCGCGTGTGACTGTGCTCCAGGGACGATGGCTCAGCAATGACCGATCCGGCGTCAGCGTGTCAGTTAGGATGGTGAGAGAGCCGCATAGCCGACTCCCGGCGCAATGAGCAAAGCTACTGCTTCTCCCAGAAGGAAAGGAGCTTGGGCGCTGCTCGCCGCTCGCCGCTCGCTGCTCCTGTCTACTCCGCGATGTTTTCTTATGGCGCTTTAAAAAACGAAGGCTCCTCGCTTCGCCGCTTGCTATTTCTGTGATGTGACGCCAGACGAAGTCCCGAAAGCGTCAGGCTCAGCCAATGAGAGGCGAGCTGTGCGTCACGCAATCATGCGACGCTCAAGGACGGGCGAGTTCTGATCCGAGGGAGGCGTATGTCGCGCTGGAGAGGAGGCGTTAACTGGCGCTGCTGGTACTACTAGCCCAGACGAAATCACGGCACGTCGGACGATGCGACGCGAGGGCTCCTCACTCAAGTTGAGTGGTCGAAATGCGACGCTTGCTAATCACGCGAATGGCAGAAGCTTCTTCTGAATCGCCTCCGAGGAGTCCTTGCCCTGCTGTATTAGTTTGAGGTGCACAAGGCTGAGAGCGCGCGCACCGGATGGCCAGTGCACGAGGCTGGCGGAAAGCGGAACCACTGCCAGTGGTTCCGCTTCTGTCGGACATCCGCACGCACTGGATGCCGTGCCAGCCAGAGCAAGTGGCGGGATTCCCCGGTGTCTGCGGGAACCGCTGCCAAACGAGCGCTCTTTCTGGGGGGTCCGAACCTGGCGGAGTCGAGTCAACCACCCGCGTGCTCGTGGCACGAGCCCTCTCCACACACGCCGCGGCGACCAGCTGGGGAGAGAGGGAGGGCAGGGCATCTGTCTGTACCTCCCCCACCCCGCGAGTTCGTCGCGCCCGGGAATGCCCCACATCGCAGCAGTACACGACGTCTGTGACAAGGAGGTGAACTTTGCTTGCAATCGCCATGCGGGTTCTTGTGCGTGCGCCGATAACACCTCCTGCCAAGCTTGCTGCTCCAGCGTGCTGTCTCCGCTGCTTCGTCGTTTACAGCTGCGTGGCGTCCTGTGTTGGGAGGGCTAGGTGGGAGGGAGATTGAAGAAAGATTCCTGAATTATGGGTGAATGCCCTTACGTGCAGAGTGTGAGGCGTGAACGTGACTCTGGTGTATCGAATACAGCCATACTAGACTTGACTTGGACACCAGGCGAACCCAAAGAAGACTTTTAAAGCGTAATCACAGTTTGTAATGAATCGCACTTACAAATTACCGTTAATAGTCATTTGAGACACGTGCAATGTTCTGGTATGGTACCAGCATGTTTTAGGGCATCTTTGACCTAATACACCATGCTCCATTCCTCGCTTCCCACTCCCCTCCTCTCCCATCCTACTTCCCTCATCACCCCATTTGGATCAACATTCCCCCCGTACCAAAATTTCCCATCTCCCCCTTAGGTTGGCCTCCTCCCCCTTCGGGGCGAAGCGAAGCCCGATGGGGGAAAAGCTGGTTTTGCAGTCGCCATGCCACTCGCCAGTTGGCGCTCCGCTCGTGGAATGCTCGTGTTGAGTGTGCGCAACCGAGACGCGCCTTCGGAAGCTGCCCCCAAATGGAACGAAAGGCCTTCGAATACGGGAAGAACCTTCGTCTAAACCTGCTTTCAAATGTTTGTGGGCAGATTTTCGCGTTGAATTTGAGCGACGTAAATATAGTTGAGGATGACATCCTTGAGTCATTTCATCGTAGGCATATCACCAATGTTAGAAAGGAATAACACACGAGCCATGCTTCTTAGCGGTTTGCAATCAAATATTGTGGCTTCCAAACACTTCGTGAAAATAAAGCTTCAACTTCGCATTCTATGATGGTTTGCATTGCTGTGTTGGCAGCAAACGAATCTGAATGCAATGCCTATGGGACGGAATCACCCTCAGAACTATCCGTAAGTGCAGGAAATCGACTGCAAAATACCCGTTAGCATACGGAATCGTCAAAGAGCACCCGTTGCGTCAAACTATATTTCTCAAACAAAGAGACTAAACAAAGAGATGGCCAAGGCAGAGCCGAGGGAGCCCTTATGGTGTGAGGTGTTTCTCGCTCCGACGTGCCTCGGATGAGTCGCTAGCAGGGCAACGTAACACCAGGTAGGAAAGAAACTGCTCTCACTAGGGGTTCAAGTCCGGAGGGGGGTGTTGTGGGGGGGAGAGGGATTTTCCCACTACAATGCTACTTCGTTCGGGGTCAGAAGAAGTTGTCCGTAACGTCAAGGAATCCCACGGAAATCATAACATATACTTGGTGAAAAAACATGGAATCCAGCCGTAAATTACTCGATCTCCTTACATTAACGGTAATTAGCGAGAGCCCTGTCCGAAAGCCTTGGGTTGCTGCGCTGGCAGCAAACAAATCTGGAGGCACGCTTCTTGGATCTCGTCTGGGCCGAGACTGCTGAAACGTTGAGTAGGTTTATGTGGCTTGCGAACCAAGCAAGGAGGGCCTGCCTGCCACGTGTAATGCCATAACCCTTGAGCCTTGTGTGGCATCCCTGGGCTGGTTGGTTGGACCAGGGCTAATTTTTCGTTTTTCAAGACCCAGCGATCTCAGAATTCGCGTCACTAAAGATCCTGAAAATTCAGCATTCCCTGGGAAATCTCTTTTTATTTGAGGATTAATTTGACCTTCAATCTGAAATTCAAGAGTGTTTTTTGGGACTCCCTACATATGAGCGGAACCTGTGGGCACGTTGAGTACAAGCAGGAAGGACATCGATAGAAGAAACGATGGAGACGAATACAGAACACACGCTTGCTGTTGCTGCTGTCCCTTACCACCATACCAAGTTCCACTCTTTCCTTAATCACGACAGAAATGCGTACAACTTAGAGGGACAGTGCGCAATATGAATAAGATGATATTAAGGGGTTGTGATAAGTCTAACAGCCCTGCACTTCTGTAGTTGTGAAAGATCCACGGGTCGCACCTTCAGATTGTGTGGAAAATTGGTCAGGGTTGCAAAGGAATAAGGGGGGGGGGGGGGGGGGGGAGGGTAGGGTTGCAATTCTTGCAAGGGTAGTTTCCATGCCAATCGGATGGCCAGGATAAATTTTCGCGCAATCCGGATTGCTGAGGGAGTTCCTTGGAAAACCTTAGAATCAGACAGGAGTTTTGTGAGTCCAAAACCCTCAAAATCTGGATTTCAACGGGAAAGACCCAGAATGCACCTAACATTCCGAAAATTTACCCTTGAACCGAGAGCCCTGGGTTGGACCCTGTTCGACTGCTGTGGCGAAGATGTTCTGGGTTGAGTGTTATGAAATATAACTCAGAGTACAGTGCAGAATACTACAGGGGAGCGTGACTACAGAATGTCTCTAACAATGAAAAGCCTATGGCTTATATAGTGCAAGTTTACCAGGTTGAACCTCAAGAGCTGGACCAGTCAAGGGCTCGGTAGTCCCGAGGGTGACGAGGTCAAATTGGATTCGGGGCGCCTATGTAGCACATTCAGGGCCGATTAGGTCGGCGGGGGTGGTTTGACGCGAGGTTTGAGAACCGAGGCTGCGGACGCGCGCTGTTCGAGGTACTAAGTGTGGCGAAACCCGGTAAGGATTCGTGAAATCCTTACATTGAGGATGGTGATGTACCTACTTTTGAAGGAATGCCCAAATATCTATAACCCTCCCTTTTATGCTTTGTACACGTACAATAATAAAGTAGGTGCAAAGGTGGTCATCTGTTATGAGTGGGAATGGAACAAGCACTCAATAATGGGAATTCAATATCGGAAAATAATCAATGAGCAAGTGACGAGCGAACTGGCTAAAATGGCGCACGTACATGCTAGGACAAGCTAGGGCGAGAACCTCGGGACGTGAGGTGGGTTGGATGGGTGGCGAGGGTTTTGAAACGCGACTCAGGGAGGTTTGGGCCGAAAATGTAGGCCGAACCTTGGAGTTTTAGGTCTTCTTGTAAACACGCTTTAATGAATGCTCATTCCTTACACTCTCCCAACTTCTAAATGAGGCCCTCCATATATCGAATGCCGAATTCCTCGATGTTTCTGTAGGTCTTCAATAAACTGACGACCGTAGTGATGATGCTGTCCTAACGAGGTCTTTATGTCGAAATGCGATCAATGGTCAGAAAACGTCGAAATGATCGCTTTCAAAGCCAGCTGCCCAAATTGTTCATACCCAGTGCGTATGAACGTGAGCAGTGGTTTTAGCGAATTCAGAGAAAATACCGCAAACCCGTGAAATTTCGATGTTGTAACTAGAGAGGTGGTTTTTGGCAGCCAACAAGAAGCATTTGTTTTGCTCAAGGAATCAATAGTATTTTGTCTGCTGAAACATGTCCGGTAAAATCCCTTGAATTTTCGGGCATCCGATTATCTTAAGACTGATCCGACAGCCCAAACCCAAACAGCTGACCGTTTCGAAATCGATGACCTTCAATCAGTACCGACCTGTACATCGGAGCTCGACAAATCTCGACCGTCGAAATCAGAGAAAGTTTGTGTGTTTGCCAAGCCTCAAAACGAGGGTTGTTTCAACTTCAGTGTTTGTCGGAGTACTTACACATGTCACAAACAACACACTTCAGTTCTAGTAAACCTTCCACTGCCCCTTTCAAATGAAGTGCGTTTGACACCCTGTGCAATTTGGGCCTCGGGCTTTAATCGTGATTGTCGAAGTTTGTCGAATTCTTCAGCTAAGCAAAGGGGTACTGGCGAAAACTCCTCTTGAAACTGTAAACAGTCAATCTGGCTGTTGATGATGGCGTGTGGCTGATGAAATCTTGTAATGATGGAATGAAGGATGACGTGACCACTAATTTGTTGAGACTGAAAGGAAATGTTCATCAAGGTGCAAGGTTATTCGTAACAAGTACAAGCACACGCGTCTGTGGCTCGCGAAAGTCAACAAACTCCATCAACGAATTGACGCACTATGGCGAGGACGCGTAGCTGAAATGCATATCGGTCGGAGATGTATGACGGAACTCGTCGGAAGGGTCTGACAAAATTTGCAGCGCAACTGCACGTCTCCAAGAAGAAACAAGGCCCGGTAGATCAGGTAAAATCCAAGAAAATCCACTGCTCCAGAGAAATAGAGAAATACCCCAATTGTGTCGCAAATTTCCGAAGCTCAACTTCGATTATATTTCATTCAAAACTCCAACTCGTAAAACTCCAAAATCTGCACCAAATATTGAAATTCTTCGTCAGGGCAAACCGTTCATGAGGTCTTGAAAATCAGCAACAATTGCTCCAGAAGACTCCAACGAGATTCAAATACATATTCTTGACGAGTCAAAACACTTCTTGCGAGCTGGCCCCAACAGAGCTCCAACATTACTTCTGCCAAAGCTTCTCTGTCGATAGTGATGCTGGCAGATGTTAATCGGCGAGGATGGTCGTGTTTACACGATCAAGTGAACTTAGGCGAATTGAAGATAGAAACGGTAGCGAATGGTGGCGAGAGGTTGACGACGATGGCGATGGAAGGGAACCTATACTAAAATACTCCAGTGATTACCTCGAGCCGAACCCAAGGTCAAATTGCCAACTGCATCAGCTACATCGTCCGCACACGCCGAAATTTTCGGGAAGAGCCGAAAAATCGTTGCTCTTGTCCCCTTCCAAGGGACCGCCCTAGACCACAAATTTCGGTCGATGATGCTTGTACCCCTGAAGATAGCGGGTACAACTCCAGATGTTAAATACAGAACCTTTTTACACTGTTTTATCGTTAACCCTGAGACCGCTGCCCTGGAACTGACGATTTTTTTTTGAGATCCCAGGTAATGAACTAGGTCCGCAACTGCAACACTTCTTCGGAAGAAACATGTAAACGTCAAAGACGATGCCCAGAATATGTCAAATGCTTTTCAACGTCGCCGGTGGAACTGAGCTGTGAACATGAATAAACGACCCAGTTCTTCAGATAAACTACACGACATGCCCTGGCACATCCAACAACGTCAATCACGATTTGATGCGCATTATGTAGCGT